AAATAGGAAGCAAATTGAATCAAAGGGGACGAGTTCTACGAGAAAGTACCTTTTAAAAAAAGTTATACTTCGACAATGCTATCTAACTCAAAACAATCTGAACTGGATGTTTAATGCTAAAGGCAGTTGTAATACGCATTTTATGACTATGTAGATGAAGAATTTCGAAAAAAGAAACACAGCTAAGCGAAAAACCTTTGTGATCTGTGTTATTGTTTTATGTCTCACAAAATCTTCGATACTAAAGTACAATAAAATACTCTTGAAAATTCAAGTGATGAAACAAAAAAGCCGCTGAAAGAGTTTTTTTTTTTTTAGTAAGCATGCAATTTTATCGATTACAACGCTCTCAATTTGTTTTCAGATATAATTTAGAGCGAGCGGCTTCCGCTCCGGATCCCATTTGTATATTAGCAACAGTTACAATGTTTGGCGTCGGTGAAAAAAAAAAGAGATAATTAAAAAAAAAAGAAACCGAAGATGCTATTTAATTTATCATGACCCTGTCCGTATGGAATGAGTAAAATTAAATCAAATCATTACCTTCAAACCAAACGATTTTTTTTGGCTCCGTTAAATCAAGTGCAGTGCCGTGTAATTGGGGCGACTATCGGATTTGCTCTCTCGGTTTTATTTACGAATGAAGCGGATAATGTACACCTTTGTTTCTTCCTAGCGCAGGAAATGTACTTAATCTTTCTCTTGGGTTAAAGAAAGACGCTTTGAATAACTAATAGCAACTAGGCACAATCAAAACTAGAGTGTATTTCTCTTCGTTAGAACTGTCTGACAATTAGTCACGGTCAATTATAGAGAAGAAAGGAGGCTCGTGTCTTTCCAACACGAAACATACCTAAATTATTTAACACGAACATAAACCGCTATGTTAACGACTCACTCGACACACGTGCTGCAACCATTCTTAACAAGCGCAGAAACAATTGCCTAATAGAACAGCATTTGCGTTTACTTCCAAACGATTAACTCATAGTTTTGCTTTTGTCGTTTTTGTACAAAAGTGTTGAAGAGAGGCAGCGCATCATCTCGCACAAATTTTAATCCATGGACACTATCCAACAGACAGCCTTAACTTAGTGACTACAACGGGAAAGCTACCACTGGTTGCAGAGCGCTTTGAACCACTGAGTTTCCATTCTTCCGCGTCTAAAGAAAGCAGAGCCAGTAAGCGCTTTCTTCACCCCATGGGTGAACAAGAACCCAGACAAGGAAGCGATTTCTCTCTTTTATGACAAAAGACTAACAAGGAATACCGTTTATGATGCAAAAATTTTATATATATAAAGTCGGTGAAAATTTCGTGAATTAATTCAACATTTATTTAGCTTGTTATGCTTGTGCCTTGAAGAAGATTGAACTCCTCGAAAGGATCAAACATAATTAAAATGCCGTGTGCTACTCTTTTACGTACATGCTCGGTTTAGAATCACAAAAATTGTATTTCCTCTGGATTTTGGAGAGGTTTTACCCTTTATCACAATTTGTTTCTGTACGTGAATTACCTCCATCCGTTTATTACAAATAACCTTCTCGAGAAGGTTTCCTTATTTATCAACGTAGAAAAAAATTTATTTCGCATTTTATCATTAATTGAGAAGACATGTATAACCCTTTAAACTTAAGACAAATATACAAAGCGTAAGGATGGAAAACAAACTGCAATGAAGTTTTCAAAGACTCAGATTTCGAGATATCGCGTGCAATAAGAAAAAAAATGTAATCTACTCTGTACAAATACAAGAAACGGTTTGACATGAACTTGTTTCTATGAAGGGAAAAATTCAATCATATCTTTATATTTCTGTTTGAATTAAAACGTAATGAGTATTTACCTTAGTCTGGAGCTAAATGCGTGGGAACAAACACATTTTTAATACGAAACTGAGGGTGGAACAAATAAAGACATCATAAGCAAACAAAATACGTGCGATAACCGTTTTATCTACAACCAAATTATTAACTTTAACTGATGAAATTAGTAAATATGCGATTGTTGTGCCGTTTACAACAATTGGTAACTCTTGATCGTGTGTTAAACCAGATTCATTATTTAAGGTTGTCCCGGTCATCTCGTGTTCAATTTTGTTTCTTACATTTATTCTTTGAATTATTATTAATATCCTGGCAGTTTTACAAGGTGAATCATTGCACGCACTAGTCACTTACACTTGAAAGTACGTTTGATCTATGGGCAAGATGTACAGTTATTCAAACTAGTGAATTAAAATTATGCAAATCGAACAGTAGCGTGGTCAGACCGCCAAAAGTAAAAAAAAAAACAACAACCCGACTTAGACAACTAAGAAGGTGCTTTAATTTCAAAGAAAACCATTAATCTTTAGAATCTTAATTCACAATTTTTTCTGTTATTCTTTCTTTTTAGTTTAGCTATGTTAGCAAAACTGACGTCCCAGTTCACGGTGTGATCGAATTTGACCACCAGAGCGTGTTTTTCTCTTAAATATACTCTCCTCACAACGGGTGTCTCAAAAGAAAGGAAAAGAAAAAAGCGAACTTGACTATTACGAAAACAATTGGAACTGGACCCATTTAACTAAACTTTACACGGCGATTTCCAAATGGATCATGATATGAAAGTCGAAAAAAACACAATATGTACCTGTCTCTGAATTCAATCATCCTACTTTATTACTTCTGCGTCGAACTGGATGTGAATGAATTCGAAGTTTTGATCGTAGCAAACGTTTTATCGTCAATGCATGCTTTCGAACTGAGCCCAAAGACGCAGAGTTTATGCATGAACATCAGCTTTTCGTCTCTGTTTAACTATAGTAACATAAAATACACATGGTAATCGGCTGACGATAAACGCTGAAACAAGCGTGTAAAGCCTTAGGGAGCCCTTAGAATAACAAGAAACAACAACAAGAACAGACAATAATTGAATTAGATTGGTGTTCTCAGAATTCATTAATGTTCGACAGAAAGATTAACTTCCCTTCTGCTACAAGTAAAGTAAGTTGATGTTAACAACTATTGTGAGGCTTGTTTTCCATTCCTTTCGTTCATTTTTTTCACGAATAGGAAAAAAAAGGAAAGACCCAAATTAATCAAGCTCCCTTAGTCTCAAGCTGCTCGACTCTTGCCTTGCAGAACAGTTTAAAACAGGCTTACCCCTGACTTCATGATCAAAATGTAGATAAAGGTTCATTAACTCCTTTATAAGTTTTAAACCGTTATAGAGCCATTCAAATTGTTGTTTATAATCATGTGCACAATGAAAACGAGCGTGGTTTGGGGCGTAAAGCAAACAGAGTACTTAGAAAACAAACTTGAGAGGTAAACCATATGGAAGTGTACGGTACACATCCTTGCCATCAAAAATGGCGAAATTTTCTTCTAAACGCTTTTTTTATGTTGACGAAAATGAAGAATACGGCCAATTTTGTGACAAACTTAGATGCAATCCTTCAGCAAAGTGCGTGTTTCTTTCCTGAGGGTTTTATCATCTCAAAAGGTTCTCCCCGGGTGGTGTAACACGGGGAAAAAAAAGTGAAATTGACCATTACGAGCTGAACAATAGATAATGGATGTATTCGCTGATGGTTTACACAACAATGACCGAATGGATCACGATCACTCGCTCTCGAAACAAACAAGTCTTGGAAGAAAAGCTTCCTCAGCTATACAGAAGTTCTTTCATCATCCCAAAGATTAGGATCAGTGCGGTAATTTTGCGATCACTTAGATGTTATCAGCCTCAACTCTGTTTTGAAAATCGTGATGAGTTTGTGATAACATTGTTGTTATCACGAGTTGGCTGCCAATTTCTTAATGTACGAGTACTAAGTATGATTGATTTCTCGCAAGCTAAAAGATATAACATCTATTGACAGACAACAAAAGGCTGTACCTTATCCTGAGTGTCGACAATTTGGTGTATCACGATTGAGTTTCAGTGATGTTAAAGTTAGGTAGTTTACACTTACCAACCAGGCTTCTTTTTACCGATTTAGTGCTGGAAACACTGCAGGAGGATATCGTGTAACCTACTATGGTGCAGTTCCATCTAATTTATTGGCGCTTTCAACTCGAGTGGCACAGAATCACTGCAGGTTGCCTATTGAGGAAGCCATGACAAAGCGATCTTATACCAGATGGAATTCAGCCAAAGAAAATGTAAACAACAAACCCGAGAACAGACATCGAGAGAATGCATTTCTGAAGCTTACGAGGAAGATTTTCAAGGAACATACACAAGAGACACAACTAGAAAAAGCAGAAGGTACTTGAAGTTGTGTAGCAATGTGGACACGCACGTGAATATAGAACATACACTATGTTATTGTATTTTCCTGTCTTATTCAATTACTATTTATAAATCTATTTAGATTTATTAAGGTTAAGATTGACTGATATGATGTGCTTTCATGCTTCATTTGTTTTCCTTTTCAATTAAAACTTCTTTGTTTCGAGGGTTCCATGAACCTGTCAACTACGTTCCTTCCTAATTTTCTCGGTCCTTTTTTTCTCGTTTTGAAATAAAATTTTTAAAAAGTTTCTTACTTCCAGCAGTGGAAGAAAATTTTTAGTTGGTTTTGAAGCCGAACGTAACAAACCATTATAACATAAATGATTAAAGGGAGCAGGTTTCTAAAGAAACTGTGGTGCTGCGTCGGTGAGAGAGTATAACTGGGTACTTTAGTATTATCAACTGCGTTGATAACGTAAATTGGCCAACGTAAAGAGTTTAAAAGCTGACGTTTCGAGCGTTAACCCTTCATCAATCGCTCTGACAAAGGGCTAACGCTCAGAACTTCAGCTTTTAAACTCTTTACGGTGGCCAATTTACGTTATCAACGCATTTGATAATACTAAATTAAACTATTATAACGGTTGCGCACGATGATATCAAGCAAGTTGCGCGACATGAATCTCGTGCATTTAAACCGTCTGATAAGAAAAAAGGTGCATGGAGCTAACACCGTACAGAAAGCAAGTATATTACTCAAACGTCTACTGGTAGAATTTATTTTTATTGCCTTTAAATGGATCAAAGCGGGTGACAATAGACAGAGTTTGAACACTGTCGGCAGAATCGATATGACTTTGTCAAATCCAATTAAACTTTAATAACGAAAATAATCACAATTAGAAAATATGGCGTTAGTCTGCTATAGTCATAACTTTTCAAGTTATGTTAGATTTTCCTTACACATCCTGTTGACCTTAAACACTTAATCCAGTGAAATCCAAACCTCAGTTGCAAGTGAACGAGGATCATGCTTGAATTGTAAGAATTTAAGTAAAGAGAGAGTACTTGTTTACAGCCACTTGAATATTGCATTAGCAAAATTGTCCAAAGGGCACAATTCATAATATAACTCAGTTTCTCTATATTACGAAAACCACATCCAAATTGACACAGATACCTTACTCATATAAGGAAGGAGAATATTGTGTTTAAATGTTACTACTCGCATGGAGAGATTCCACAAGCTTTACAATCTCTACACAGTGATTCATGGTATGATAGACCTATTTCAAAATGGTAGCTAAAAATTGAAACTACCCAAGAAAATCATACTAGCATCCAAATTAGCCTCAGTCCTCTATTTGGTAATCCAACAAAGTTACATTTTACTTGGTGTTGTTTGAGTCCGCAAAGATTTCATCTGTTATTCTAAAATTCGATTAAAATGAAGAAACCCTACAGTTGGCAGGGTTTAGCCTCCTTCGCAGCCATTCTTTGTGATGTCACGCGACTATGTCTCAGAAAACGTTGTGTGACATCCAAAAGAGAGGCTACTTTACACAGGAGAGCCTGCAATATAAGCGTTAGGGATAGGCATTCAGAAAGAGATACAATAAAGTTCAAGAGTCATTCTTTAATAGCTAAAAACATGTTACTTTTGAGGCAATGATAACGGAAACGTCCCTTTTATTTACATTTCTTGTGATAGGAGCTGCCTAACATTGTCGACTATTTCTTCCCGGATTTCAGGCTTCAGCAGCTCTTTTACCTGAAAACATTACAAGAAAATATGTTTGAAACTTTTAAACGTCGCAAACTTCACGACAATGGTAGAAGGAAATAGAAAAGTTACTTACAATACTGCAGCTTAACGGCTTATGATGTCTGTCCACATTCTATCTCTTTGCTCTCAAAAACTTGACGAAAACAAAACTAATAAAGGGGGTAAGTTTCTAAAGAAACTGTGGTGCTGAGTCGGTGGAGGGTATAACAAAATAAATTGGTTTTATCAACTGAGCTGATAATGCACATTGGCCACCGTAAAGAGTTTCTAAGCGAAAAAACAAAAATAGGCGAGCTTAAAATGTAAATGCAATCGCGGTTCCTTGCAACGACGTGAAGGTATGTCAAATAAAAAAACAGCTGTACTCTTTTGACCGGTATTTCTACGACTCTCAAGGAACGTTTTTTAGAGCTTTTTATACTTCCCGGCTATGTCCTTCTCCACGTTTAGAATGGTGATTTACTTGATTGTTGCCCACGTAAAAAAAAAACCCCAAAAGAACAAAACAAAGACAAAAACAAACAAAAGGTACCTAGCGTTAAAACTAAAACTAAACGAGACAAACAAACCAAAACGGACAAACAAACCAAAAGACAACAAAATCGACACATTGACGAGCAACCCAAGTGCTTACCAAGTACTTCAATGATGCGTCATAAGCATACTGTAGAGAGGTGTTAAAGAGCATCACGCCATGGTCTGTCAATGTCAACACACAGTTTCGAAGACGCGCAATCGTCTCGCGATCAGAGTGCTGGATCTAGAAATAAGGTATTAAGAAGACCTTATGAGACGGATTTTGGAAAAGTGTAACAATACCTTCGAAAAAGGACAAAGCCAGAAAGTTTGCCCACACAATTCTGAATTGTGATGTCTGGTTCAAAAATCGAGCCACTCAACTCGGCTGAGAAGTTGAACAAACAATAAAACGGGTATAAAGAACACCTCATCGCCTGAAGAAGACTGTCATTATGCAGTAGAAGAGTCGCACTCTACATCGAAAGTGACTCCATAGTGAGACGAACGATTACACACAATCAACACTACTGACCTGTCTTGGTGCATTGGTGTCATTTTCCAGACTGTTGGCCAGGCCGTCAGCGGGTGTGGCATCTTCGTTTTCCAAAGGAGATATCCAAACATAACCATTGTTACCCACAATTACCGTGGCACCACAAGGAAGGTTGAGAAAGTGAGTTTTGCACCTTTTAACCAGCGAAGGTGGAACTTGAACGAGGGTGCCCTCTTTAAGCTGCCGAGAAAACAATAAACTTAATACACATAAAAACAGTAGTACTACTATTGTTTAGGGCTAAAGAACTTAAGATTACCACAATAAAATTATGCAAACAAAGCTTTGCTATTTGAAAATGTTCAGCCAAACCAACCTTTCCATACTTGAGACTGCGCGTGTGTAAAGAAAGAGAACCATCGCTGTATACCGATTGCACCTCTGCCTGGTTTAGTCAAGGGGGAACACTTAAATTTATTATCTAGCATTAGGTGACTTAATAGCCCAGAACAAAGGTAATAATATAAGAATAGTAAACGGTAGAACGCTTTTCGATTGAGTGTCGTAAAGCTAAATTAATCACGAAGACCAATCAGTAAAAAGGAAACAACCTTTAAGAAACAATGGGAATTAAAAGAAATAACAAAACTGCCTAAAGCGCGGGAAACCGCGGGTGACCAAGTCGTAATTGGTGTTATGAATAAAGGGGTAAGTTTCTAAAGAAACTGTGGTGCTGCGTCAGTGGGAGAGTATAGCAGGTAATTCACTGTTAAACAACTGGGTTGAAAACGTAAATTAGCCACCGTAAAGGGTAAAAAAGCTGACGTTTCGAGCGTTAGCCCTTCGTCAGAGCGATTAGATTTCGAATCTAATACGTTTTCAACCCAGTTGTTTAACAATAAATTACCTGCGTAATTGGTGTTAGTTTTGTAGCTGATTGGTTGCAAGAGTTTGCTGAACCAATCACAGAGCCAAGTATTACATGCAAAACCAAATTAATCTCGTTGCTCTAAACAGCAATAAATGTCCAGAGTGCAAGGAAATTGGAAAGGATACACTTATCAGATCACCCTCGGCAAGAAAGTGGCGCATCATCAATTCATCCTCCGCAGAACGTCGTCTCTGTTTACAAACACGGAAAACATAGCATCTTTAAATACCGACGTATCATTAGTAAGACTTCCCTCTATGTTCTTTACAAGTCTTAAGTAAATTAGTGTAGAGAACTAGATGTTTCATCAAGAAAGAACACTATCGCCGATAAGTAGATCTATGCACCTCACGTGTTTGCTAGGATTTCAAATTTCCGAAGTTTGAGTAGTTCCATCCAACACAATAAGTTCATGTTTTTTTTTTCAATATTACAAAGCAAAACCCTATGCTACCCTTCCCCTGCCCAAAAAATGTTTTGTTAGCGATAAAAACAAGAAACATCGAACTAACTGAAGCCTTATGACAAGAATTTCTCATTCTGTTAACCCTTTAAATCCTAAGAGTGATCACAATCTAGTTTCTCCTTACAGTAACACTGCTGAATCATTAATGTAAGATCACAAGAATAAAGGAAATGATCATCAACTCAAATAGCTCTTGATTGTTAAACAAATTCTCCTTGTCAGCACCTTAGGAAATTTAGAGATAACAGTATGGAGATTATGCATACTGGTGTTAAGGTGTAAAGGGTTAAACTTTTGTGGAATTTTATATTGGTATATGTTGCACTGTTACTCCCTCTCTCTCTTTCTCTTTGTCTCTCTTCTTCTATCTGTCTATCTCTCAGGGATGAAAAAAGCTTTTCTGAATAATTTGTGAGATTAGTAGTTTTAGTATGGTTATGCAAAACATGGCTAAAAAAATAGGATCAAAATGATATGCAACAACAAAGCAACAAAAAAACAACAAGCTTTTTTTACCAGTTCACCACCAGGTAAATTTACTGAAGAGAGCAGCAAAACAGAGTCCAGTCTAGAAAAAGTTTCCACTTTCCATCTCTTCTGTCCAACCTTGAAACAAAGTAAATACTAATTTATTCACAGCTGTTGATATATTCCAAACAGTCAGTACTATGGAAAACAACATACTGCTGCCATGCAAACTTTCTCCCTCTTTTTTATACAAGGCATGATTACAACTTGAAGCACAGTGATGCAAACAATCAACATTCATATACACAGATTGAAGCAATTCTTTGCTTAAGTAGAAGTCATGAGTTAAAATATACATCAAAGAGGTTGAAATAACAAGCTAATGGTAACAATAACCTACAAATTATATCCAAAGTTATTTATTCATTTTTAGGTCATTTAGAATAAGTAGTTAGCTCTTCACCTCTGTGATTCTTCCAACCACAACATCTCCAACTTCTCCATTGTATCTGAAATAACACAACAATAATTATATAATTTTGATGTGTTTTTATTACATACTCTTAATTCCTCCTTATTTGCACTGACTATGGGAAGGTCTATGGGAGGTAAAGGTAATTTTCAATGGCTACGATGGCTTCTGGAGCACAAAACAGCCAAAGGACTTGCAGATATCCTTTGACAGAGAATTAGTCCAGTAAAGGTCCTCCATCATTAGAAGAAAAGCTTTTCCATGTTCCACTTCTTTCTGTGTGGATACAAATACTGTGAAATTCCAGTGTCTTATCCAAGCAGGGTTTTCATTGAGAAATGCTGTTGCAGGAGAATGGTGTGACAAGTTTCCAAATCTGAATAGAACTGATTCAGCCCATCAAAACTCTGCTACGGAACTTTGTGTAATAGTTGAAGAATTCTCTAATATCTGATGAACACCTGACGAAGAATACAAAACAATGACAAAGTCCTGAGTTTCAAGATGCATCTAGGTCTGAGTTCAGAGCACTGACCATTTGGCCTCCATATCCATCACAAAGACTAGAGGAGACCTGGATTGCTAGTTCTGCTTCAGGGTAAAATCTGCACATGAGAGTGGATCAGAGAGCTTCCACTGAACTTATCCCACTTCCTGTGAGATGACTTGAAAGAGGGCATTCTTGGTCCCCTTAGATGGGATTCTGGTGCATTACTGATTAACATTTCAGTGAACAGATTTATAAAAAAAAGCACACATTTTACATACCTTGTCTTAAATGGTCTTACACATATCAATTTGTTGACTCTTTCAACTATTCCAGCAACTGATGCTATCAATTTTTCCCCATCAACATATGTACCATGACCCCTACAGCAGAGAGAAATTACATCCCAGTTTCAAATGCAAAAAAAAAAGACTCAAGGGAGGTGAGTTGTACACAGGGTAAGTAAGCGAACCAAAAACCAAAGTAATCACATTGATAAATTAGAACAAATGGAAAAGAGCAATTTACAATTGAGTGTTGATTGCATTGGGTTTGTTCTACTTCACTCTCTGTTTGGTCCAGAATACTTGTGCCATTTGCTCAAATAATATAATGCAAAACTAACATCAGCTCTGTCTGAATCATAACTCATGTTTTACCAGCCATCAAGCTGTTTATTTCATTTTAATAGTTTGAGTTCTCATTGACTCCTCGTCATGTTTTCTTTTGTGTGACTGTCTGTTGTTGTTCCTGTGATTTGGTTGCACAAAACTCAATTGTGAATTGCTCTTTCACACACACACACACACACAAAAAGAATGTTAAACAAAGCAAACTGCCAGAAGTATGTGAAAACTTATGTGGTTAGGATGTGATAGGGTTTTGTTTTATACCAGACTGGTTAAGATGGTAGCATGTGATTTCTAGATTTGGTATTCATAGTTTGTGTTGGAAAGGTGTGATATTAGAGACAATTTTTTTAAGGTACATATGTTAGAATTGAATGAAGACATAGTATATTGTCCATAATAAAGGGAGGTTAATATTACATACTGAGGTATCCATTAGGAGGTTTGACTGCATTCTAAATGTGCCAATAAGCACTGAGCTCTGTTATTCCCTGGAGTGGATCATGCTCCATCATGAGCATAGACATTGAGGTGACAGTCACACTTTTCTCTTCCTCACTCTTTACTGTTCTATCCTTATTCAAAATACTGCTGTGACACCTCACCATAAACAACCCAAAAAGTGTTGAGGAGCAACTTAAGAATATGGAACTACCGATGACCATCTTTTCCGCAGTCTTTGAAGAATACGATGTAAATTAGTGGACCAGTGTTGTAGAGTTTTAACTATTGTTAACCCATCTACATTTTCACCCACATGATGAGTCGCTCTCACGCCTTTCCACTTTGCTACCTTAATCTGTACAGCACCCACCCACCCCTCCCCATAGTTATTCCCTGTTACTTGTGATCCACAGCAATGGAAAGTAACATTGAAAGAGGAGGAAACTATCGTAACAATACTTGTGTTCTGCGACGCACCAAGTGCACTATCCAAACACACTTTGTCGACTGTTTTTGGGCATAATTTTTTTGACATCTTTTCTTCATACGGCCTTATACTCCATTTATCGTTTTGACAACCTGTGCTCATTATGCATTCTTTACATCACAGACCAAAAAGATAATTTTTCAAACCAACCTCATGTATCCTGTGTCTTCAGTTATGACATCTCCCGGTGATACAATGTGCCTTGGTTCAAGTCCAGCTAAAGCTGAGATTCTTTTCCTTTTCTTGGGCAATCTTGCATCCACGGACATTTCCGCTATTCCTTTTGAGACCTCCGATGCTTTCAAACCTGAAACACGTGAAATCTGTTCGCCATTTTGAAACGGGAGGAGACTGGAAAAGAAAAATACGGTAGCTGGTTAAGCGGTGTGTGGTATAACAATCATAGTTTCTACCACGCAAATTAAAGCAGAGAATTCGAAAAATGCTTTCACTAAAATCAACTCACTGAACGCTAGTATGAAGTTGAACATTGACTCGTTAAAAGTGACAAGTAATTTTTTTTTAACCAAAATGAGAATCGAGTTACATTTGGGACACAAGGTCCAAAAGGTAAAAAACCCTCCTGGTTACTAAGTTAAGTATCAGCCAGATTGGGCAGTTCTCGTACATTATGAATTCATATCGAAGGAAGGAGCAGTGTTTGAAGCAAATTCAAACGTTTACTGTCTACATTATACCTTCATGATCACCTTAGGTGGGAATATCTCTTGAACCTTGTAGAATAAAAGTCAAAAATAGTTGGGTCAAGGAGTTTGTTCTTTCCTTCTTCCATGTTGCCAGTTACTTAGTAAATGAAAGGCCTACCATGTGGCCACTTGTTCATTCCAGCTTAAGCTCAAAATCAAAATACTGCAATGTAGCAGCTCTCTTTGCTCTCCTAGAGGAAAGTTTCTTTCTTTGAGTTCAGTAAATTTTGTCTGTTAAACCAATCAATGTTGATCAACAAGACCACACAATCACTTAAAACTATGCTGAACAATTGATTACAAGTTTTGTAGCAATTATACCAATGTTGCAGACTTGTCAGGTGAACATTGGCATTCATTTATTTCAGGTGGGCTTTATTATTTATAAGAGTTGCCATCTTTATGACTAGTTATCATGTTTTCTCTTCACAATGGAACAGGTGACTGTAAGTTTAATACACACATATTGGGAATCTTTGTTCATTTACCATGTAAACAGGGTCCTAACTAGGTAAAACAAAACACATTTGCAACAGCAAAGAAAAGCAGTTGCACCTACTGGTTCCTTGCAATACAGAAAATCTAAGCACAAAGGTCTTTTCCTGAAAACATAAGGCAAATCGCCCCTTCCCTAGAAAAATACTGTTTCTGTTTTAAAAAAATGATTTAATTTCCACAAGTTCAGTATTTTGATTTTATCTCTAACAGCAGGAATATAATCATGGCTATTTAAACATAGTATGGCTAAAGAGTTTCATATGGCAGAGCAAGTAGAAAAGAAGAAATTCCCCTACCATTGTGGGTTCTAACACATGAAAATTAGCTTACAGTAATAAATTGAAATGAGAACTTGAGTTTGGTGAAACTGAAACCATGGAAACTATTTACAGTAACAACATATGAAAATCAGGTGAAGCACACCAAATAAACCTAATTACCTAATTATTGCAAAGACACAAGACCTTAATGGACCTAGTTATCATTCAATTTTCAGGTCTGAGCAAGTTGATAAAATGATTGCTTTGAGGAAACAAGAACAATGACTCATTTCTGGCAACTATATGTTATAAAAAAATTCCAATCAAACAACAATTTGTGTCCACTGTCTTTGGTTTCTTTGCAAATAGATTTTAAGTTGAATTAAGATTTCATTTTGTTGGGACTGGGACAATCTTTCAAATAGTAAGAAAAAGGATTCTTTTTTTCCTCAGAATCTTACCCACATTTTCTATACTGACTAGCTTCTTCCACTCACTATTTTACTGAAAAAAGACTAAACTTAATAAAACTGTAACAAGTTAATAATATCATTTCTTGCTTGACCCAAAGCCTGCAAAACCCATGGTGGCTGCCAGATTAGGATCAATTTCTCCATCATCCACTGTTCCTGTCCTTTGTTTCTTCTCTCTGCGGGCAACCTTTCTCTGTTGTTTCCGAAGTTCTTCCTGAAAAAAAAATTCTTCAAATTTGATACCATAGAAAGCAGTGGTAACTATATAAGGGACAAAGAAAAATCTGCAACCTTGACCAGGATTCATCTTCACACCTCCTCATTTCACAAATGGGGGCGTCATTTAAGGCTGTTTTTAACTGTTGATGGAGTTGGAGCCATAGGTGGGCCTCCAACCAAGTGAAAATAAGTTGTGAGAAGAAAATGAGTCGTAAGAAGAATCATAAGCTAAGCTCAATGGAATCAGAGCCAAAGGAACCAGTACTGTTTCATTTTCTTCAAATTCCACCCATGACTCCCATGCCTAGGTTCCAGTGAAGACTAGATTGTTGGAGTCGTAAGCAGAAGTGGAAGAAACAATCAATCACAACACCATTTCTTTGGCCATTTGATGGTTTAAGACTTCAACAATCCAGTTTTCACTGAATGGTAGGTGACTACACTATAAGTAGCATCACAATTTATCTTCTGATGCTGTCAGCTTGACTTTTATTAAATCATTTCCCTCTGCACTTCTGAAAAAAACTCCAACTCTGACTTCATTATAGGAGAAAACCAGCCTTAATTGAGCCACAGAGAACACTACTTTGAGTTAAGCCTGATACAAGGTACATACACATGTACACATGTGTGAGGCAACCTGCATATAGAGGAAATAAGCACTGTCACAAGTATCTTGTCTTGTAGATTGTACAATGTTAAGTAACTTTGAAAAAAAGAGATAGATGAGACAATAAACAAAAGACACAATATGGGACCATCCTAACAGTAGATTCAGAATTTTTTCTATCACTCACCTTAATATCAATGCAAATGATAATTCTTTGCCATAGAGATTGAAAGATCTTTTACTTTATCTCTACACAAGATCCTTTCAAAATTACTTACCTAACACCTAAACTGGGACAGGCTGGGTTTTAATTATAAAATTTTCACGTGTGATGACTCATATTTTTTTTAATCTTCCCTTTCTCCTACTCCTTGTTTAATTATTATATTCCTTGAGATCTCAGCGACAATTTCAGGAGAACTAGGATTGATTTTACTTTAATTTACCTCTTCACGCAAAACAGCCATCCTCTCTTCCAAATCATATTCTTTATCTTTCTTCTGCTTTTCTTCTTCTCTTTTCCTCTTGTTCACCTCGAACCGTCGCTTCACTTGGTCCAGAGAAGACCTCTCCACTTTCATAGACATACCCAAATTTCGCTGATGTTTTTTTCCATTAATATGATCCAAAAAGTTCACTGAATCTTTTACTACACAGTCACACACGTTACAGTAATACCCTCCAGTATGGGAGAGTGGTGTCGTTTTGGTTATAACCACTGATTTCCCGAGGTTTGCTTCGAGATCGACATCATATTCTCTTCTTTTCAATAGCTCCCTTTTCACTGGAACGGATGGTCTCTCCTTTGAACTCAATTCATCTTCGTCGTCCTCTAATTCTTGTTCTCGCTCTTTAGCTTTCTTTTCGTACTCATCTCTGTCCCATGTTCTTCTGAAATTATCATTTTTCCCAGCCGCATTTGCCATCGTGGAAACAAATATGGCTGATACAACTTCAAACAACGTTTTGACAAGGCGTTCTACGAAAAGTACCTCAATAAGAAAAAGCCCATAACTTGAAGGGACCCAGGTATGGTTCCCTCTCGATACCTGGGTAACATTGTTCTCCATATTTGGAAGTGTAGCGCAGTCCACGCAGGGTGTGACGTTGTGAGACCAAGATCCTCGTGCGACTTACGTGAAACGCGCCATCTTTGTTCTTGGTAAGCAACGGTCTGAATCGTCTCGTCTACTTCTAGCCTTCTGGGAAGGAGAGAAGCAGTCTTCCACCGAAATAACATGTCTTACGATTTATAGCTTTTAAAATCGTTTGATGGTTTTTACAGGACGAAGGACTATTTTAAAGGTGAGTATGTCGTTTTGTACCCTTTCGTATTCCTCTTCGTTGTTTAGGTTCGTGCGTGATTGATCGGTCGACTAAGTGCACGGGATTTCCCTCTCGTTTTGCCATGCAGTTTATATGAAAAACTCTTCGTTCAGCGAATTTTCTCCTAGGAAGATTTCGGCTAAAGTCTGAGAAGATCGCCGCAAAGCTTTCTAATCTACCACGACAGGTATTGAAAGCACGAAACGTGTTATCAAACGTGTCAAGAAGCTTCTCTATGGCGATGTTTTTGTTGACTTAGGCGGAATATGCCGATGTTTTTGGATTATATCTCGAGCGTGCATCGTAGAATATTGAGAATTGTTCCCTAAATGACAGCAAAAAATATTTTCCCATCTTCGAAACGACGAAAAGCGTACGTTTCGCAAACTCAACAGGTACCATGGAGTGCGGCTTGCCTTCTGTATGGTTCACTCTCCAGTCGTGGCATCCCAAGTTTTCTTCAGTTGCGGTCACGCTTATAATAAATCATTGTTTGATGGTAATCTTTTTACGTTTCTTTGTTTTGACTGAAGTCTTAGAGGTTTTTATGGGTTCCTTTTTTTTTTTTTTTTTTTTTAAGCTTTTACTCAGTAAAACCAGTGGAAATACATCGTGAGGATAAGGTTTCGTTAGAAGTGGCTGTTGTGTATTGGGCAATATGCGCCTTACTCAAGAAACATAATTTGTATCTGACCAAAGCGTAGCAAATATCTGAAACCCTTTTTCCTCTTCGACAGGAACGTCAATGGCTGGCCCAAGGCGTATCTTGGATATAAATCGCGCGACGACGGAGGAATTGGAGGGTTTAAATGGAGTCGGAAGAACAATAGCAAAAAGCATCGTGGATGTCCGAACTGCTCTAGGCGGGTTTTCAAGCATCGAAAACTTGCTTGTCATTCCGGGTATAGGACGTTGTTTTATAGATCTACACAAAGATGCCCTTTGTTGTTCTCCCCTGCCCAATCTTAACAGGAGAGAGACAAGAGGCTCTGCCAAAGCTAAGACTGGTAGGCAGTCATTAAACAGGAGATCTTCTCCAACTGCAGCTAACAAAGGACATGGAACACCCAAGGGAAAAAGTGAATCAATAAAACGAAAACTCTCAAGCAGTAGTCATGATCTAGAAAATGAGGAGAGTGAGAAATCATCACCAGAGAAAAAGTTCTGTTCTCCTGCCCAAAAGAGGCTGTTAAAGCTTCTGCCTCATAGAAACTATGGTACCATCAAGACAGCCACACCTGTGATGAGTCCAGTTGACAGCCGTAGTCGGCACATGTCATTTTGCAGCCATCCTCCAGCGGGTCTAGAAGAATGGTTGCAAACATTTCTGCAGTGGACAGCTGAGGAAAGGAAATATGCTCTTGATGAGATCATTGAAAATTGTGAGCCAACAGTTGTTAGACACATTATGGGTACCATTGAACCAAGATTTCAACGGGACTTCATCTCTCTTTTGCCAAGAGAACTTGCATTATATGTTCTGTCATTTTTAGAACCCAGTGACTTGTTACAAGCTGCTCAGACCTGCAAGTGCTGGCAAACACTTTGCGATGACAACCTGTAAGTACAGTGCAAAAGAGAACTTCTTTTGTGATGTGATGTATTTTCAATTACTTGTATAATTAGTTGAAATATCAAAAAGTATTATGGGTGTTAAGAGGAATTATTACAGATATTTTTGAAAAACTTGCATTGAATAAGTGCTAAGATGGTGGAGAGTGCCACATGAAAGGGTATGCTCTTCAAAAACTTTCTCTGGGAAACTTGCAAGGAATATCTATAATGAAGTCACACATCAAGTCAAAGTTAATGTTTAAGTTGACAAAAAATTCAAGCTGACTGTGATTAAACAGCAGTGATCGACCTCTTCAACTGATAAGGCACGTCTGTGCCTTGCCCTTGTTTTTTCTTTCATGACCAAGTGTGACATATTTTCATTTTATTGATAAATTTGTGTCATCAATGTTTCCTAAGACTTTGCATTGAGACTTGACCCAGAAAAATTTAAGAATAGATGTTATTCATTTGATTAAGGTCACTTGGACACACACTGTACCTCCAACTGAAAGTTGTCAGATTTGAAACAAAATCTTCTGTTCTACAAAACTTCAGGGCATATCTACAGTACACCAACATTAATATTCACCAGGCAAAAGAATGGTCCAAAATAGGAAAAGCACCATTTTTGTCAGCAAATTAATTACTCATTTTCCATCAATAATTTGGATTGCATTTGGGAATGGTAGTACTGTTCCCTCAGAAGATCTTTTCATTGCGTTGAAGGCTTAAAAGACCATCACCTTCAATAAACTTGCTTTCCATTTAGAGCTCCTAAAAGTGTATCTCAGTCAGAATGGGAAAGAAAAACCTGAAAATCTCCAAACACACAGCCAAACTGGTCATTAAGTTTGCAGTAAAATGTGGAGGAAAATTTTCCATCTCAAAGCATTGGTTAGCTGACCTCACAAGCTTGCATAATTGGATTATGAAGCACACTTGCACTTTTTAAATTTGGGTACCTGAATTTCTGTGACAACATGCATTAGAATTTACAGCCTGATGTGATACCCTGTCTTTTTTTATAGGCTATGGAAGCAGAAATGTAAGCAAGCTAATATTGAAGAAGAACCAGTAACTCCTGTGAAAAATGGTAGGCGTAGATCCAATAATGCACAACAGATAAACCAAAATACTAAAGCTGCAAACAGCCCTTTCAAGAAACTTTACATGACAAAGCAGCGCGTGTATTGGAACTGGAGAATGGGCCCATTACGTCCATCCAAAGTCCTTAAAGGACATGATGACCATGTCATCACCTGTCTTCAGTTTTGCGGCAGCAAAATTGTTAGTGGTTCTGATGACGGAACTCTTAAAGTGTGGTCTGCAATATCTGGAAAGTGTCTACGCACTCTTGTAGGTCACACTGGGGGTGTTTGGTCATCTCAGCTGAGTGGCAACATCATTGTCAGCGGCTCTACTGATCGCACACTGAAAGTCTGGAATGCAGACACTGGTTACTGCATGCACACACTTTATGGACACTCATCTACCGTTCGTTGTATGGACATGCATGACAGCACTGTTGTTAGTGGTTCAAGGGATGGTACTTTAAGAGTGTGGGACACTTCTTCTGGAAACTGCCTTCATGTGTTGGTTGGGCACCTTGCTGCAGTGAGATGGTGAGTGAAACTATCTGTATACAGACATGTGGAACAACATGTGTCTACTGATAATGTTTTTCTAGTGAAGTGTCAACAATGAGAGTTGGATAGAAGAAGGATTCTTGCCATTTCTTGCTTGAAATGTTTTTCTATGCACAGCTGGTGCAGAGTATGCAGTGATTCCTCTAACTCCCACATCAGAATTTAATCAGTAAACTTAACAGAAATATACATGTACATGTACAATTCAAACAATCCACCCACAGGACCTTGACTTGTTGGGCACACCAGATTTTATACAGAACCCAAGTCCAATGAAAATTAACTGACTATGTCAGTTAAAATGCTCACAATTTACCCAAAATAGTTTACAATTTGGGATGCCATAGTTCTACCAAATTTAAGATATACTGGTTGCAAATTGAGATTCTCTGGGATTCTTTTTTTCATACTGTAGTTCAAAACCTAAACTTAAATATACATGTACATGTACCTTTCAAACTGTACCTTTTGAACTTCATTTGGATTGAATTAATTTTCTGCCTGTTTCAGACCCTTGCTTTTGTTTTGAAACATTTCCGTTGCAGAGGTCAATGTTCTGAGTAGTTGTCATCTTCAAATTCTAATTTTAATCCGTATTGAATGAGCAAGATATTTGGTGGTTATGAAGGCATACAAGTAAATTTAAACTTAACATTTACTATTATAATTCATATACTATTCTTTTTAATAGTGTGAAGTATGATGGCAGACGTGTGGTCAGTGGAGCATATGATTTTTTGGTAAAAGTTTGGGACCCTGAAACAGAGCAGTGTATACACACTTTGCAAGGACACACCAACAGGGTGTATTCTCTACAGTTTGATGGTGTTTACATTGTGAGCGGCTCATTAGATACTTCAATACGAGTATGGCATGTAGAGACTGGACAATGCCTGCATACCTTGATTGGTCACCAGTCTTTAACAAGTGGCATGGAGTTAAAAAACAACACATTAGTCTCAGGAAATGCTGATTCTACAGTCAAAATCTGGGATATTGCCTCTGGACAGTGCCTGCAGACCCTGGCAGGCCCAAATAAACACCAGAGTGCTGTTACTTGCCTTCAGTTTAACAGCCGTTTCGTTATCACCAGTTCTGATGACGGCACAGTTAAAATTTGGGACTTGCGGACAGGGGAGTATATCAGAGATCTAGTAAAGTTGGACAGTGGTGGCAGTGGTGGTGTTGTGTGGAGAGTGAAATGTGATGAAAAGAAGTTGGTTTGTGCTGTTGGAAGCAGAAATGGAACTGAAGAAACAAAACTTCTGGTCTTGGACTTTGATGTTCATGAGTAATTGCTTGATTTTTGCACTGCTTACTGCTTAATTGCTCTAGCAGACAGTGCAATAGTCATTTTTTTGTAAATTTTTTGTTTTCATTTTGAAAGGACTCTCTTTAGTTTCTGGAACGTGTAGGCATCATTGTTCTCATCTCATTCATTAATCTCACAGTGTTACATAATTGTGTTATTTTGTCATTGGTGTTGTGGCTGCAAGCAACATATTTTGCCTTTTGTACAAAATTTGTGAGTTGAGTTAAGTTGGACAGCACTTTGTAAAAAGTAATTCATTAAAGCTGTATTTGCCTTTTGGATAATGCAAGGCCAAAAAATATATTAGTCCTATTGCAAAACTAATTTTACAAACAATATTTCCAGGTTTGGTTCATTTAGGCCAAATGCCTCTTATTGTGCTGACACATGGCTTGTTGCATTGAATTAAAAGGAGAGATTTGATTTGTGATTTGAGAGCTTATGAACAGGATTTCATGACCACTAATGCCTGCGGGTCAGGCATTGTAAAAATTCAGTAGAACAGAATTTGACCTTTTAGTCAACAATGGCTATACAAAGAAAATTATGCACCTCAAGGAGTTGTCAAAGTAAATATATATATTTTTCCACTACCATTGTAATTAGATAATGGGTCAGGATCACTTGTGTCCAAAAAATTTTGATGACACTTCTTTCTTATAACATGATATTATTACATTGACATACTTGAAAGTTGTTTAAGTTTATCTTTGTATCAGGGGCCAGTGATATCTTTAGATGATTGCCTCTGTCCTTTGACGCTTTCAAGGATCATTACTTTAAGTAAAAGGTAATACAAATGATTGTATAAAGTGAACTAAGTTAAAGGTTGGGTGAAATGATGAAGACTGAAGAGCAATAAAGCTTATTTTTGTAACACTGTTCCATGCGCTAAAGTTGTAACTGGGATGGTTAAAAAATCCAGAGTTGTAGTTAAATGATGAAAAGAGGCCACTGCTCAGAGAGTTTCTCTTAGCTATTCTTCTTCCTGTCTAAAAGATAAGCATTTCCAAGGTGCATGAGCAAAGAGGCTAGTAATTATGTCTCAAAGGTGGTGAATAATAGGACCTAGCACTTGCCAAAAGAGCCCCTTGTCAAACCCAGAGACTGCTAGCATAGTTCAAAGCACAGAAAGGCAATGGTAGACTTGCCACAACAACTGTTCCATACTTGAGACTAAAAAAAATTTTGTGGTCCTAGAGGCACAGCACCACTTATCCTTGTTGACCACCACCCATGGCCTAAAAGAATTAAATTACACAATTACATTATTTCAAATTGGAAGTTGGAAAGAAATCCACCAATGTTATGCATGGTGACATGGTTAATCAAATCCACAATTGGAAATATTCCAAGTTGAAAAGATAAATTGGCAGATAATGTGATGCAAATTTTAGTGAATCTTACTGGCTAAATTTACAAAGACCTAAATATATATATGGTGTATATCTATATATACGGTATCTATATATATGGTATATATATAGATATATATCTCATATAAGTGTAGTTCAGAATATAAATTCGCTAATTTCAGTCTACTGTACATTTAACTCTTTCCCTGAAACATTTTTTTCTTGTTCTGCCCACTATCATCAGACAATGTAAGGAAAATCATGCTGTGAGCTTTTCCAGACTAAATCACCCCCTGTCACCAATGGTATTTAAACTTGTATTTAGTGCAACTTGATCAGTAATCATACATATGACTTCAAAAATCAAACAAAAGTGGCCATTTTATTACATCTATTTTGAAATAGCTCAATTTCCTTGTATAAATACAGGATTTGGTCCTAACCAGGAACTAACATTCTCACTTGCTGGGAAAAAGATGTGATTTGGAGCAAAAAATATATGACTAAATCACATCGAGAATTAATCAGATACCAAGGATCACCAGTGATTTCAGAGCTAATCATAACCATTACAAATTCCTCAAATATTATTGGTGCATCCGTAGCTTCATTTTTCACCAATCATTCTGTACAGTTGTAAAGGAAAGTGTAATCAGACAGTTGGCTGAAATCTGACATGTGTAATCGGACATTTGAAGCAGCCAATCATACTAAGTCCACTCAGCTAATCCACCGATCACAGAAATGATCATAATAACCATAGTAACAACCACTTATCCAAAGAAAACCTGAGGAATTTCCAAAATGGAGGAATTTTAAACAAAAGACATTGTCTCCACTGGAGATATTTGTTCTAGGTGCATTTGTTTTTTCTGAAATTGAAATGGTTATGACTAATTGGTAACAGAACTTCTTCTTGTCCAATTCTGTTTGTAATCATACTTGAGATTAACAAATCAGACTTCTGCTTCACACTCGTTCGATTTTGTTAATTGACTCCACTTGGTCCTATTACCATTAGAAATCCAATAGAGATGTTGATTATTATCCAATTGTGTGATACAGAACTCAGTCACACAAAGATTGACCACTCTGCCACTAGTTCCCTAGTAGAGAAATGGAAATATCTTGTAACGATTTTGGGGATACTCCTTGAATTTGTTTTTATACCAATTATGAGTCACTGTAGCTCCAAGTGAAAGGTTCTGCACAGTAAATAGCAAAATCATTCCAACATAAACATTGTGACCTTTTTGTATCAGGAAGAAAGCAAAGTAGATTACGATTTCTGCCAGGTAGTGAGGACTGGAGACATGATCAAACCAGTCACCATAAGGAATTTTGTACACTTTGACTGTTTTCCCACATGCAGAGTGTCGTAACTTTGCCAGTATGACATGACAGTTCCACTGATGCCAGCTTGCCCAAAGAAATACAACTATTCCCAGCCACTGGATACCACTGAAATTTTGCAAACCTGACAGCAGTTCTCTGCACAAGCTACACCAATCTTGAAAAATAAACCACAGAATTAAACAGAATCAGAAAGTGTTCTCCTTAATGCATACTTAAAGAAATTTCCATTTTTTGCCAGGGAAAACATGAAATTGAGGCAGTTATTTGGAGAGAGACAATTACTATCTATTCTCATTTTTTGGCAAAGATGATTGTACCAGATGTCCTTCCTGACCTGGCTGCAGATTTGAAAAAAAGAGACAAAATATCTGCACACAAGCTGGATAGCGCATTGAATATTACTGCAAATGTCACTGAAATGGTCAAGTTTCGTATGGGTAGTATAACTTGTTTGGTTATCAAATTTGCTAAGGCCTTAAATAAATTACAGTTCATTTGACAGATTTTAAATGCTTTTAAATGTTCACTTTGCAAAAAATATCTTAAAATTTGGTTCATCCAGGCCAGTTCCCTAACAAATATTTCACAGAAATAAAGTTGTACAAATTTACCTTTGTCCATTTTCTTTTCCCCAAGAAGTGGTGAAGCAAGTGCAATTGCATCCAAAACATAATAAAATAATCCCACCAAATAGTGCGACAAGTGAATCTTGCCTGTAAATACACTGATAAATAAACATTCAAACAGTCTGCGACAACACTGCACCAAAAGAAGAAGAAGGGATACCAAAACAGTAAAGCAATTAACACATGGAGTGTAATGTAAGTCCAGTATTTGAGGAAAATACTCTGTGATTGGACTCTTGATGTGGAAACAATGAATAATCAACATCCATAAAAGTGCACATGATAGAGAACTTCCAACAATGTAAAAATGAGTGAACCAGCTGAAAAACAAAATTCAGCCCAAATAAGATTTCTTTTGACTGTATTGAAACTGGAAAATTTGAAATAATTTCGTGTCAAATTGAAAAAAAAATTGATTATGTGCTTTCGACTATCGTGGTCTTTAAAAAATTGGGTTTGGTTTTCAAGGAAACCACATCATCATAGAAACACATTAAATTTGTCTTTTCATTTCCATATCAATAACAGGTGAAGATATGTAACCAAAACACACCAGTCACACCAATTTTCTGTGTAAAACTTACCAATTCTTGACTTAATAGGAACTGGTGTGAAGTTTTTTTAGACATATTATTACTACAGGATTAGTAGAAGCCATGTCTGAAAATGGATGTCACATATGGAAAGCCTAAGGTCGGGATTTAAAGAGCAAGATGGCACACCCACCGAGAACTCCAAGGAAATCCCCCCTCCCCCCTTCACCTTGAGCTCTCTGTTCCTTAACCAGCCCTACCCCCCATCTTAGAGTCCCAATTATCACGGCCACTTCCATCTGTGAAAACCTTTGCACCAGTAACCAAACTTCCACGATTCAGCAGTTGACACATCCTCAGGTAAAGATCATCATTGATGACGTTGCCACAGTTACTATTTTTTAGAGTATCACGTGACTATCACATACCGACAATACCGGTGACCATCACCTGTTTGGGACGTGAAGAAATCTGTTCCAGCGACTCTGATCCCAATTTGACTTCGTCTTTCCCCATTCAAACAGATCAGACAACCAGAAAGGTATGTATCTTCTCATTATGTACAACAACGTCACCAAAAAACAACCCACATTTATAAAACTCAGACTCACGAGAAGAAGGTCCATCTTTCAAAGTACGACTGCAGTGAACTCAGCGGTAACGCAAAGCAATGTAATACGCAAGCGCAATCCACGTGTACAAGGAAAAAGTGTATATATTGCAGAATCGTGCTCACCAACTGTTATATTTCCAGCGCAGCTCCACTAGACAGGGCGACTCAATTTTATCAGGATGGTTTTGATGACAATGATAGGCCGTGTTATTGACGGCCTACCTCTCGCAGCCTCGATGCAAAGTGATCAAGACGTATGTAAACCAGAATTGTTCTTTAGTTATAAACAGGCCTATAAACAGTTACTTTCACTATCTCCACCATCAGTCAATTAAGAGTAATTCCAAAATTCCGTCGAAAACCTTGGTTTGGACTTAAAGCTGGAGCCTGATCTCAGCCTGGTAGAGTAATTTAAACCTAACTATAAGCACCAATGCAAACCCACATACTAGTATGGCTTTACGTATTAGCATTTAAAAATATTCCTTTTTGGTTTTTACTTTTGCATCATGAAATTTGAATGCTTCGTTTTGTTACATACTGAGCTACTAGGAGATTTTAGATTGATACCTTAACTGTACCAGTGTTTAGGTAGGTGGTGGACAAAGGAGAATCAAAGAAGATTGGGATCTTTGGGACGATTGTTGGGGGGGGGTGAGGGGTGAAAGTATCATAATAAAGAGTTCTCAACTGACCAAAAATGGGTATCTAGGGTTGATAGTAATTGTATGTAGGACTGACTGTGGTAACTCTTGTGTTTATAGAACATGTAGATAGTGGTGCCGAGATTGTGCTTATCATTCTTAGAGGTGTTTCCAAATATAATACCAACCATTGCTTTGACATAATTGAAATTCTATATTCTATCAGAATACCACCAAGGATTACCAAGCACAGGCTAAATTGTTGTTTAGAAAGCTCACAGATCACTCACCAGCAAGAAGTAGTATTGAAACTGGACCAATGATGTTTCAGTGAGTATTAAAAATGAAACATTTTCCTCCAATGTCAGTGGATACCATGTATCATTGATCAATCATCATCCATATCCACATCCACATCCACATCTCCATCATACCTGGACAATGGTGAAATTACATAGATGCATTTTCTCACATCTTAGAGCAGAAGATGACATGCCATTGTTCCAAAAAGTTTTCATCCTTAAATAACTGAATGATGAATTAAGGCATTGGTCAACAGATAAATTCGTTTCAAATGAAAATTCATAATCCTGTTCTCATTAAAGCTCATCTTCTTAAAAAGTTTAAATATCTCTTGTTACTAAGGAGACACCTAAAGAAAATATGGGATAGTAACTATTTGAAAATAGTTGGGTAAAATCATTTTCACAGAAGATTAATCTGCCTGGTTCTTGGCGCTTGATGAAACCACTGTAGATATCTTAGCCAATCTTTGTTGTCTATTAGTGGAAGACTTCTTGAGAAGGACTTTGGTATTGATTAGGGCCAGTAGATTATGGAAGATTTAATATTAAGCAAAGCCAGGTATGCAATAATATTAAGTCCATAGTACTCAAGGTAAAACAATTAAAGATTGGTTGTGTTTCTTTCATTTACAGTTACATTATAGAAAATGGGGTGTGTTTCTTGACACTAACCGAAAAGACTTTCTCAAAGAGGGCAGCTTTTAGTTTTCTTGAAGAACTATCTTCTGAGTTTCACAGGGAATTTGGTTCCAAAGTAGCCACAGCAACTAGACCCTACCTCTTCATTGAGTTTGGTAAGCTTCTTTATCCACAGTTTTTATCTTTGTGTTCAGAAATATTTTTTCCAAGCCTTCATTGTGGTGAAACCTTTTTTATGGTGTTGCCCACACCTCTCCCTCACTATAACAGTGATGTATTTACCTATTGCTCACCGAAAAACCAACCAAAAGCCAACAAAAATAGAGTGGTGAAGTACACATGCTTCTCTGATTTCCAGGTATATCATGTTAATATGAGGAAAGTCATGTTCACTGAACCTAATTATGTTGATGTCATTTCAGATACATTTATTCAAAAGGCAAGGAAAAACTATCAAGATTCAAGAACAAGGAGAAATCTAAACAGATTAAATGATGAACTCCAAGATGTACAGCGAATCATGGTTCAAAATATTGATGACGTTCTTCAAAGAGGGGAACAACTTTCAGGTGAATGATCACCTTTCACATTTGTAGGCATTAAATATGTTAACCCTTTACACCCTAATATTAGTATGCATATTCTCCATACTGTTCTCCGTACATTTCCAAAAAGGCTGTGAAGAAGAATTTGTGTAACAATCAAGAGTTGCTCTAGTTGGTGATCATCTCCACTCTCACGACTTTTATGTTTGATTCAGGGGTGATATGGTAAGGAGAAATTAGATGTCAGTCACTCTTAGGGGCTAAAGGGTTAAATAATTTCATGATTTATCAAAAATTACCTTCTTTTTAGTAAGTTATCATTAAAATTATGTAGCACTGTACATATTAACCTGTGTTGCAGGAAGCATTCAGCAGTTGTTGGAGATCCATCATTACACTTTAGAAAGTGACTGGCATTCAGTTTCTCCTTAAAATATCACCCCTGAATCAAACATTAAGGTCACAGGGATAGAGGAAACTATCACCATCTAAAGAAGCTCTTGATTGATAAGTATATTCTCTTGGTCAGCAACTTAGGAAATGTAAAGAGAACAGTATGGAGAATATGCATACTAATGTTAGGGTGAAAAGGGTTAACCCTTTCACTCCCAAGATCTCATCAGTAATTCTCCTTACTTTCTGCCACACTAATTTTTATGATGTTAGTTTGGAGAACTTGGTATTGAATCAACAAATAATCCCCTAACTGATATTTTTCTTTATTCTCATCCCATGTCTGCTTGATATTGCATTGATACTGTAGGGATAAATTCTCTCTTTGTCACCCATGGGAATGAAAGGGTTAAGCAGATCCCATATTTCATGGACATCCTGCTTCAAGTGGAGACTAGCTCAAGTCCCAAACTTTTTCCCTCTATCTGTTGTAAAGTGGATTTGTATTCAGGTTCAGAAAACTTCACAGACAGCTTAAATACAAATACAAGTTTCATTTCTCCAAGACATTTTGATACTTTTGAAATTTTTACTGTGGTAGGAGTAGTTATCCTTTAGGTTAGTAATTATTCACTGTTTCATTTTGAGTTTGACGGGTAACTACTGAGGTGCAATGTAATAAACCCTTTAACTCCCATGAGTGACCAAGACAATATAATAGACCTTACAATATAAATACAATATCAACAAGATAAGTGATGAGAATAAAGAAAAATATCAATTTGGGGATAATTAGTAGATCCAATGCTAAATTCTCTGAATTAACATGATTATAAGAATTGTATGGTTGACAGTTAGGAGAATTACAAATGTGATCTGGAAGTTAAAGGGTAAAACCTGTATTGAGCTGACTATAATGATAGTCACACAACTGTTGTCTTTCTACAGTTTCACTTGTGTTGAAATTTCTCCTCTCTAATTTGGTGAATTTCAGTTTTGGTTTACTTTGTCATTGATTGGCACCATATTCAAATGAAGTGTCATCTTTTCTTTTCAGTGCTGGATGACAAGGCAGGAAATCTAAGGTTCCAGTCAGAAAAATACAAGAAAGATGCAACATACTTAAATCTTCGCTCTGCTTATGCCAAATATGCTGCTGTAGGAACAATTTTTGTTGTTCTGTTAATCTATGTTCGATTCTGGTGGTTTTGAGGAATCATAGACTTATTTCATGACAAATAGAATGTAAAAATAACTAATATAAAGTTCTATATTATAATTATTACCTGTGGAATTGTACCTGCTAACTGTTTCTATGAAATAGTAGTTAGCTTGGGTTAACATACAAAATTTAACAAATTGTTCTACCCCGTGAATTGTGACTCTCTTGTTTTTCATTTAACTATTTAAAACAAGCACTGGTAAATCATGTAGATTTTACTAATGATGATCTCAGTGTTATACTGTTCCCTTTCATTGTAATACCAAACTCTCTACATGGAAACCTTTTGTCCCTTCTAATGCAGATATCTTAGTGATTCTCCTTTCTGGCAATGTTACATTCTTCTTGCAAAGTAGTTAAGAAAATTTTGTGTGATTAAGATAACACCCTCTAATTTGTGGGTCTTTTATCCTCATTACCTCAGTGCTAGATGATGCTTTGATTTGTAACCGAAAGTTATATGCAAATAATTTGATGGATTTATTAGGTGGAACCTTGGACTAACAGCACCCTTTGTCATTCTCTTTTAAGATAAGAAATTATATTACTCTCTCCTAGCATAATGTGCAGTTGTACATCACTGTGACCTGTGTGAACACTGTTAAATAATTTTTAATTGAAATTGATTTCACTGATCAACCAGCTTTTCTTCACCAGTTATAATCTCTATTATTCTTTTATGTTCTATTACAAAGTTTTTATTATTTATAATGGTAAGAGAACTGAGTGGGCTCCAATCCAGTCTGTAATCATACAAGTGATTAGCAAAATCAGAGTCTGATCATGAGAATGATAACAGACAGAAATGTACAACATAAACAAGTCCTGTTACCATTAATCAAAATTATGACAACATCTGAGAAAGAAACTAGATGTTGGTTATTTGTTTTCATACAATAAAACTCGGCAAAACGCATGATGCGCATATTGTCTACCAACACAGGTATGACATGTCAACTGCCCTATTATAATGCCCAATCACAAGCATGACCCATACAATGTCCTATCAGTGCCCAAATAGGGCGTAATTACCAATCACATTTGAGAATTTTATGATAGTTTTGATTAGTCATGTAGTTGTCTTGTAATTGTCTTACCAATATGAATTAAGCCACACAGGAAGAACAAACCAAATGTGGAAGAAAGTAGCCCACAGAAAAATTCCTTCTCAGTCTGAGGTGTCTTTCTCAATCTACAGACCTCTAGGCATCATTCCTTGTATGTATCCTCAGTTGTCCCTGTTTGTGCAAATGGCTCTAATTGCTACACTGGCACTTTTTACATTCTAAGTCCAGACCATGTGGTAAACTAATAATTGATATTCATATCATTATAAAAATGAAAGGAAGGCCTAGAAAACTGCATTTGTGCAAAAAATCCCAAATTATTTTGAGCTACATCATAGATAAAACCTGTAGCATTTGTTGAAATGTCACTCTAATAAACTGATGTTTGCTGCTCACTCAGCTCCACTTTAGAGGCAGAGCATGGGCTTGGAAGCTGTGTGAAAAATTGCAATGAACCCTTCTATGTGGTTCACAGTTTAGGAAAATTTACACTGTTGACAGTCTAGCAATACAATTTGGGGGAATGCTGACTCATCCTCAGTTGTCTTAACTGACATACAACAGAGAAACAATGTTTGACTTACTACCTTTTGCCTTTGCTACATGTCATACAAGATGTCTAGAAATGATTTTGGGCCAACAGATTATCTCTGTTATAAAGGAGAGAGAAAACTTCAGATAGAGGAAGTTATAAAAATACTATTCAGGTTTTTGTTTCATAAAAATGACTCTTTCTAGTGCTGTATCATCATTGGAACTGTTTTGCAAATCTACACTATTAAGAGAAAACTACATTGTTATGTTTTTATTAATCAGAGTGTACATAGGAATTGATTTATTAAATTGTTGACTGTTGCAATAAATTCAACCACAGTAATCTTAATTAATGCTTTATTTTTGTTAAAACTCAATTTCTTGTCACCCTGAAGCTTAAACAAGTTAACAAAAGAAAAAGAGAAATTCCCTTGATGCTTGAAGTTGTCTATTGTAATATTTCATCAAAGAGAGAGAAATTAACTAAATATCACAATTTAAATTTAAGTACTATCCAAAGAAACTCAACTTCAAAGAGCTTAAATTATATTAAGATGTTACACTAACACAAGAATCAACCTAGTATCCACTAAGGTCATGTTCTATCGGGATCAACCATACAAAGCTGATTGAGTTCATTTTGTTCAGATTGCAACAGGGAAAATCACCCTCATTTGAATATTTCAAACCCATATCACACCAGGTTGAAATGGTTGAAGAAGCCCAAGGGGCCACTATTACTGTTCTTGACAACAATTAACAGGCAGGTGTAGTCTCCTGCTGCTAGTGATGTTCTCTGTAAACAAAAAGGAAATGCTCAGGGGTGCCCACTGCTTATCTCCCAAGTCTCTCAATAGATAAACTAACTATGGTATCTTCTCAATGTTTGTCTAGCAGCTCAATTCTTCCATTTGGAAATTTGAACTGCTTCAACCTATGCCAGTAGTAGTTGAAATAGTTGATCCCAATAGCACATAAACCAAGCTGCAAAGTCAATTTCTTGTAGGAATACTCTTTTAAATTACAAGGAGTAAAACACCAAACATGTCAATAGTAATTTGAATGTGAGTAAAGTATAACAATTCTTCTTAGTTCAACTTTTTTCCCTTTCCTGATTTCAGTCTTGCTTGCCTCTTTTTCCTTTGGCTCTCTAAATCTCTCCATGCTCCAATGATAAATTTGCTAAAATGAAAAGCAAACTGCTAGTAAACTTTCAAGTTAGATTTTTAGTGAGGAGGCATATAGTAACATCAAATCACATTGTTTTCATACAAGAATTTTTTTCTTACAGAGTTCCCTTAAGATTCTCCTTACAGGCTAACTTTAACTTGGTTTCAACACTTGTTGACCAGCTACTGTGGTAAAATTAGATTTTGGGTAAAACTTACTAATAACAGAGATATAAGCAAAAAAGTGTTTTAGCCTACTACACAGTGTCAATAACACAACATGAAGAGCTTTCATTTGGACAATAAGAACATGACCCTTTATAACAGTGGAGTAGCCCTTACTGAAATCTGGTTAGTACACAAAAGTGTCCAGATTGCAATTAGCTACTTAACAATATCATAAAGCTTATTAACTTTTCAAAGGGAAAACAACACTGTTGTATACTTATCATGCATCTGACTCAGAAATACTGCTTCAAGTTGGGCATGAATCTGGAACAATTTACAGGTAAATTCAAACAAATTAAGTTAACCCAAGCATAGAAAGGTGTTGGCATGTATATATGGTGCATACTTCAATGTTGACAGCTCACTGATCAATCCCTTGATCATTCCTCTGTCAGATGGAAGCTCCACATCACCTTCAGCTCTGTCACCTCCTACATCACTATATACATTACTGACCGAAATAATGAAAACAAATATGTTAACAAGTACACAATACATCAAATGCAAGGAAAATCATTTGACAAAAAGGGAGTTCATTATGGTCAAGGACTTTAAATTGCTTTGTATCTGAATTCTCTCATCTTTTTGTTGTGTTTAGTTTCTGATCAAGTCTGATAATTTAGTATCCTTAATCTCACCCATTCCTGCCCTAAATCTTGATCGGAATTATGCCCTAGGTGGAAAGGTGGGTAAATCTCCCAAGTAAGAAACTAAGAAATAACTGCAAATAGCATCTTAAGTGACTGAACTTTGACCAATTACCTGGAATCATGTTTCAAAGGCCTTAAGGGTGGCTGCTCCTCATCAAAGTATTCATCAACATGAACCAGCTGAGAGTCTGTACATTCCATTACACTACCAAATTCCAAAAGGTTAGCATCAGAACCAGAAAAGGAGAACCCTCCTTCCAGCTTCCTTGTTGGGCTCTCAATACTTTTGCTCTGCACCATGTCACAAGATTCTTCTCTTTCAGTTTCTAGTATCAACTCTTCATGTTCAACTTCAGCAGTCGACTGGGCACTAGTCACAGTCAGGTCTTCTATTAAATTTTCCTCTATAGCAAGTTCTGATGCCTGAGCAGTGCAACGGGACTGAGAGGACTCCAGATTGAAACCATTTCCAGGCTTGGTGGGCCCTTTTTGGACTACTGTTACATGTTCAATGTTTTTGTCATCAACCACAGTTATCTTCTTCATCTTAGAAATTCTTGTAGATTCTGTTACTTCAGGAATTTCATTCTAAATGGGAGACAGTGAATGCTACACATAATAAATTACAAGTTCAAAAGGAGCTTTGCCTACTGAGAGTAGTTGTGGCTTTTCAAAGCCACACAACCTCTAAAATGAGGAAATTGGAGTACCCTGTTCAACAAGCTAAGTTTGCATATTCCAATGACAACTGCTGAGTTGTGATTTTGACTTTGTGATGAAGGGCAGAAAAATGGTGGGTGTTATATTCTACTTGAAAGGAACAATGAAGAACAAGAGATAAAAAACTTACTGATATCACAGTGCTGTTTTTGTAATAATTTGGAACCATCTGGTCAAGACCTTGCTCATTAATGGGCTGCAACGAATCATTAGCTCCACACACATCAGAACAATTTTCACAGGATACCTTGTCTACAACCATCTGTTTTTCCACATTTACCTTTTTCTCTCTTGCTGAGTTTATATTTGCATTGGATGTTGGGGATTGTCCTACTCCCAAATTAAATTGAACACAGTCTTTTAAAGACTGTGCAGAGATGAGCTGGGTATCCATTGATGGTACCAATGTATTTACAGCTTGGATACCTTCACTTCCTGATGAGCTTTCTTGTCCAAACAAAACTTCTTTCTGAACTTCTGGCCTGCTGACTGTTGAGCCATTTACTCCTTGATATTTTAGTTTATCTGCAACTTCATGGGCACATACACTTTCACTGCTGACTACACCATAATAATGACATTTTTTTCGATCAGATTCCTCCCACTGTTCCATCCTGAGTTCATTTTCCAACATAAGACGAAAATTTTGTAAGGCTGGTACACCACCATCTACCACATTCTCATGGCACTCTTCAATAGCATGTTTTGAAGCAACTGGCTTGACTGGAACTGCACTAACCTTGTCCTTATGCATACAAATTGTTGCTGGTGTTTCTCTCTCTCCTATCATTGTAGTTTTTATAGCTGAACAACAATGCTCTTGCCCTTCCATTACTGTTGTTTCTGCTGCCACAGCTTCATTAACATCTGCAAGTAATGTCTGAGAACCAGCCTTAACCATCTGCTCCTCCAAGGCTTCATCATTACACTGATTTCCATGTCTAATAACGGTTTCCAGGAGGTTATCTATGACCTGCATAACAATGGCTGAAACATCTTCCTGGATGGTACTTGAAGGGCAAGATAAAAGCGTTCCATTTGATGTTAGTGAATTTTTGCCTTTTACATCAGCAGCTATTGTCCAACTCGTACTAGCAAGAGGTAAGTCTTTCTTTTCATGACCCAACATCACCACTCTTTCCATTCCTTCAACATGTACCTGCATTTCTTCCTCCGACTCTTTTTCTTTTTTTCTCTGCTGGGAAAATAATCCCAGTCAGTGTAACATCCAGTTTAAAGTATAGGCCTCTTAGTCTTAAGATCGAGGTTGATTAAGTGAGGAAAGTGTTCCAAAAACCATACAATTTTATTCCAATATTCAAAACGTATAAATGAACATTTTACACATAACCGATAGAGAGGCCGTAGAATGCGTCAAAATCATTTCAAAAACTTTTCATGTTATTGAATGACAATTTAAGAAAAAAATTCGGTTACCAGGTATTCGAGGATTTCACTGAAAAAAAAACCAGATCAACAGCTGAAATATAATTGGGTTTCCTGTGTTTTTTAAACGTAAACAGATAATAAATAAAATATTGGACTTTGAAAGATCATACCCACGTGGCCAAGAGCGGGAAAAAAATGATAATAGCACTGGTAACTGACGCTTTACTATTGGAAACACACCTTAGGCGAGTCGTTAGTTAAAGACTCCTCTACGCGAGTCTTCTGACTCCGTGGGCTTCGTTGAGTATCAATAAAATTCCGTTCTCTATCCTTCCAAGGCTGTTTAGTTCGCCCCGAACCCACACCAGGAAAAATAGAGCTTCCATCTGTTTTCAAGATTATTTTAGACTTTCGGGTAAAGGGCGGGATATATTTACACTCCTCGGCTTCCATTTTCCGTGGACTTGAGCTTGGGTCTTCTGAAACGCTGTTGCTTTCGCCCTCATCTTTCTTTCCTGATATCCACTGTTGTAAATCTTCATCAAACTGTTTATTCAGCTCATCATCAAATTTAGGTTTCTTATCTTCAAATGAAGCACAGTCCGTGTTTTTTTTCTGCTTGGAACCTTTCTTTCTTGGTTCAATCTGACGCTTACGTTTCTTTTTCCCGGCCATTTTGGGTAGCTAACCCAAATATCACTTTTTGTCTTTTTTTGGCGCGAAAACTTACGGCTGAGATAAACTGGTAAAGAAAGTTCTTCCGAAGCTGCTAGACCTCGCGCTCTGCTCGCGCTCACATATCAACAGGATCTGGGAACGATTCCCAATTCATTTACAATTTTGATTTTGGATGCCCCGTCCAATTTATTAAAATAAATTTTAAACGGTTATGGTCGATTTCGTGGGATTTTAGAATGGCTCCGTCCATTTACAGACAGTTTCGTCTGACTTTGAACAGTTTAGGGTGGTTCAATCTGATATCAGACTGCTTCGCGTTCAGTCAAATCGCAACTGTTATTGGTCTCGTCACGCAACGCACTCTCTGCCCCATCAAAGGGGAAGAGAGTGCGTTGCGTGACGAGACCAAACAACGTTTGGGGAGGAGACTACTCCGTGCTCGGTTTCACTTTATTGAAGAAAGTTGTCACATTTAAGAGACTACTAACTGTAAAATTCGGACTGTGCTATAGATGTAGACTCTCATCTTACAATCGAATGTTGGTTGGGCTGTGGTTGTCCTTCTTTCATATTATTCTATACGGTCAAGTCGGCTTACGAACTTTTCCGTCTGCTTTCGAGCAGTTCCTTCTGATTTTAGAATACATTGGATTGCATTTCTCGTTTGCTTTTCTAGGGATCCGTCATCTTCGACCAGTTCCGTCTTAAGGGTCAAGAAATGTGCACTCGATGGACTCCGTCTTACATCGCGTATTGCCTGATTTCTGGCAGTTCCCTCTCACCATGTAGGGCTCTCTTTGTTTTCAAACGCTTCAATCCAGCCCGGACAGTTTTTCTCTATCATTTACGACTTGGGCTCATTTTGAAAGGTTCCATATGCCTTGGACAGTTCCGTTAGCTCTCAATGGTTGTATCGGACGTTTAATAACATAAATCCTGTGCGCGGAGGCAAATTGCGGGAAGCAAAGTGCGGGCGACAGAAGGTCTCTGGTATGCGGTTTGCAGCATCTTTTCTGATCGCATTTTGGTTTCTAGTGACATTCAAGTCTCACAACTACGGTCACGTTCAGTATATTTGAAGGGCTTTATGTTTCATGTGTGTTCGAGACAAAGTTTTGTTGTTATTATTATTTTTTAATTTTTTATGCGAACGCAACTGAAATATACCATCTAACGTTCTTTTTTCTGGTTCTGCACTTCGATCACATGTAAAATTACCCGCGTCTTAACTGGCCAATCAGTGGCCAAGCCTTATTCCAACAATGGATCCTACATAACCACAGCACTGAAGATCTCTGTGTTGAACTCGCCTTCTACCGCGGATAAAATTGCAGCATTGGCGGTCTCCACACAGGGCCGAAACAGACGCCAGCCATGTTTCCCTGGTTAGTTAAGCGTTTTTATTTTTTTAAATGCAAACTGGCTCGCTCTGTCATTAAATTATGTTGTATGTGTTTCAGTTTGCAGGGCCTTAGCACGGCTATTTTATTATGCGTGCTCATGAATCATGGAGTTTCGTCCCGAGACGTTGCCATTCACCCCGGTATGTTGATGCTAATTTTTATTCTTACCCAGGTTATCCTCACCTAAGTAAATAGTCTAATGACCTCTATAAACGAACTGTAGGTAGGAACTGAGCAAAAGCGTGATACAGAAATGTAAGATCAACAGTTTTCCAGCAGTCTGTGTGCGGGTAATGCAATCACAGTGGTTAATTTCAAAATGAATCCTTTATGTTGCCCATTACAAAGCTGGACTGTCTGCACATTGTGCGAATCTCTTACTGTCTTCTCCAATTTTCTCTCTGAATAGACTGAGCATACTTAAGAGCATTTATCTCCTTCAGAATACTGATAAATTTTGTCAGAAAATATCGAACAGTATTTTCACATTTCCTGTCTGATCAGTTCCAAGATCGCGTGAGCGGGAATAGGTTATAATAACAACTCTTTCTTTCTGTACTCCTCAAGGGCGACAGAAGGAAAGAACATTAATGTCTCTTTCTAGCTTTACAATCAATTTTTTTAGCAAAATCTTCATTCTAAGCTTCTCAGTGTGAGCGATGAGTCATTATAAGAATTGGTGAATGTTCTAAGGTCCTGCTCATCAAATTATGTGTTGAAAATTCGTTGTTGTAAACAAACGTTCATATCAAAACGAGACCTTCAAAATATTTTAGTTTACGTTCACAAATTTTCATAAAAATAGAAGTTCGTTTCATTCGAGTGCGCACTATCACTTTGATCCGGACAGAGATGAACAATTACTGCTTCTTTGATGGAGGTTCTAAATGAGCAATTTAACCCCAACAATGGTGCATTGTCTTTGAAAACTCTCAAGCCTGATATCTATGTAACCATTAGAACCATTAGAAATATGTTCGTGAGGTGAACTGCTTCATAAGCCTTTCCAAGTAGAGTTTTAATGTTCTAAATAGCCAAGATCTCAATTCATTTAAGGATTGAGCTTTCATTATACTCTGCACGGGAAACGAAACTCGATCGCTTACGCTAAGGGACAGTCAATCATTGTTAAAATTGAAGGCCCGACGTGCTGTTAGACGATACGCAAAGAGGATGCCGAACCACATAACTAAGATGTCCCAGAATGTTTTAGTTGTCTACGACTCTTAGCATTAGTTAATGTAAATTGGTTTGTGATAACGATACAGTATTAGTGATTCTAAAAAGAATCCTCGCTTTTTAAGAAATGTGTACGCTAAGAAAGGACTGAAACATTTACGTTGGTACAGACTTTATTTTTCTCCAAATTATTGTTGTTTCTATTTGTTTTGGTTTTGTGATGTTTTTAATTGCTCTTATTTGTTATGTGTGTATACAGACGTTCATGATGACATTTTCATTAGCTTGGTGACCAAATTTTCGTAGACGATTCGCGGATTATATTTGTACCGCGTATTGAGAGAAGGATGTCTGTTCTTTGAGAGATCAGAATGATAATTTGGTTTGGAAGATCAGAGAGGAAATACTTCTGACTCAAAGTGGCGCGAAAAAAAATTATATTCATTGTAACAAAACATTTCCACGTACTTCGTCAGAATTAGCCTTTCGAGTCTCTTCGGAAAATATTCAGAAAAAAATCTCAGCGTCCGGATTCGTCACACCAGTCTGCGCGACCTTCACACCACTGTGCAACCTTTATTTCCGTCACGCGCAACACGAAGCGTCACTGCACCGTGGGGGTGAATCTGAAGATACTGGAAGCAGAGATTAGAAATTTGGACAAAAAATCAAACGAGCAAATATGAAGGAATTAGATCAATAAAAGCGATAAGCCAACTCAGGGTAAAGGAGCGAAAACATTTACTGATTTCCAAATATTGAGGTTTCCTTTATCCTTTCATTGTTACTACGTGTAAGACTTTTTAAAGAGGGGGGTGGGGTGGGGGAGAGCCGGGAGGGTCATTGTTTCACTGCAAGAGAATGGGAGAACACCATTATTCATACAAAGTGTATCGTAAGGACACCTTTTGCGTCAAAGGTGGTTTGTCAAAGTTACAGAGCTTTATTGCGTGCCTCTTCCTGCTTCCATAAAATTTCAGATACTGCTGACTTAGCGGATTTTGTGCAAGAGTTTCAATGGAGTTTGAGCGAGCTCGAGATCGAAACGGTTGGTCTTTGTCCAAGCCGACCACTCCCTTCTTCAAGCGACCAAGAAGTTGAGGATGTTGCGTACGACCTATCGTCCACGAGTGCTACGATAAACACCACTGTGGAATCGCTTTTTCCTAATGGTTTTCCTGAAGATTTTGTTTTATTCGCCACTGTAAAAGTGGATCCTGACAACACAGCAGACTTGTTCACGATAATGGACACCGAGCAAAGTCTATCTTTTAGTTTGAGCCCTTTGGAGTTTGAATACAGGCGACGAGGGAAGGCCCCATTTCGAGTGAGATTGAACCAAAGCCTAGCTGATGGGGCGTGGCACAGAGTGGCCATAGCAGTTAGAAAGAAACACGTGACGCTGTCTTTAGATTGTGCCGAGCCCAGAGGACATGTAAGAAGGCCCAGGGGATTTAGACCTAGTTTTGGTCGAGACAGTGTTGTTCGACTGGAGGAGCAATTCCAGGTAAGGATACAACTAGAACTGACATGGAAGTCGATTCGGCATGGGGTTCATGATCTGTACAAGTGAGGTTTTGAAAGTTTACCTAACTGCAGAGAAGCAGTTATGTATAGTACAGTTTGAAAACTTCTAGAACATCTCAAATAATCACAAATAATGAAACACACAGGCAAGTTTTTTAATTCGGTTTTTTACCAGTTTGGGGAGATATACTTTGTTGAATATGTAGTTGGTAAAAGCTAAAATGTTTTTTCGACTTGTATACAGTGTTTGCAAAGTGGAGGTGGTTCGTGGCACGGTAAATATCCAATACTTCTACAGACAATGAGCGGAATATTTGTTTTATCATATACCATACAGAATCAAATAATTAGTTCATTTCTGTTAATATATATAAAAAAAAAAAATTGGTCGGAAGTTTCACTTTTGGTGCTCGCTTATGTCTCTTCAGGTGCTGAGAGTTGAATTGTACTTGCCAATCACTTTCGAATAAGCCAATCATCTAACGCGAAAAGCATATTTACTCTCGTGGTTTAATCTAATTTGTGGTTTCTTTTTTCTTTTTCAGGGATCTTTACAGCAGCTCATAGTAGCCCCAGATGTGTTCAGAGTTCTTTCTTACTGCAAAATGTTTACTACCGATTGTGACAAACCTCTGCCATACGCGCCTTTCCTCAGTGGTGCTGCCCAAGAGCGCCGTGACAGTAACGTGCAGATCATCAACAACGTCAGATATGTAAGTAATCGGCTTAGTAGTCTGTGTCGCGAAAAAAACTTAATAAGGGCAACAAAATTTTGCGTCGTTGAGTAATTACTGATAAACTATATGACACAATGTCTCGGCCAGAAATCCATGCGACGAGTGATACACTGAGCTAATCATGGGGTAAGATTGAAACATCAGCTTCTCTGTAAATGTAAGTAGGCTCTTTGCAGTCTGATCGAAGCGTTTGGTGAGTAAAACGAAGTGCGATAGTAAATAGCGCGATGATGGAGGCCAAACGAAAAAACCAGGCATATAAAAGAAAAGAACGCGACCCAACTCAAACCTGGCTCCTTTTTCCACTCCGCTTCTACTATCGCGCCTTTCGTCTGATTCGCTCCAGTTTCCTCACTGTACGTATTTTTCGTGATTGTCTCTTCATCCTTCTTTCTTGTCTTTATATACACCTTTATCTGTTTTTTAACAGTCTAACGATATTGAATGCTCTTTTGTACGTAGTATGATGGTTTGTCTCACGATGTAGTCACTTTCGAAGTGGATCGCATCCACGTAGCATCCATATCCACTTTCGGTGTGGATCGATCCATATCAAAAGTGATTGAATTGGGACAAAAACGTTTGTATTATTCATTCAAGATGTTTTTATTTTCAGATCAAAGGCGAGAGAGGAATTCCCGGACCTCCGGGTCCTACGGTATGTTCCGTCATGTCTTAACCCTTTAACTCCCAAGATCTGATTGTCAATTCTCCCCTCTAACTGCGATCCATTTCCTTGGAAATAAGTTACAAGAATTTGGTGTTAGATCAAGATAACAACTTCCACCTTATAAGTTTGAGTATTCTCATGACCTGTTTGCTGGATAGTGTTTAGATATTACAGGGAGAAGTTACATATTAATCACTTTTGGGAGTTAAAGGGTTAACTCCTTTAATGACCCAACCTTCTCTGCCGTTTGTCTTTTGTTTGTTTGTTTTATAAGAAAGCGTTTTCTTTTTTTATTTGTCAGGGACTGCAAGGGGCGGTTGGTGAAAAAGGTTACAGTGGGCCTAGAGGTGATCAGGGAGCAACGGTATGTTCTGGCATCATTTTCGCAGACGTTACAAACAGCCCAAGAGTTAAGGCCGTTAAGGCCGTTAAGGAAATAAGCACAAATCGTAGGTTTTCTAAACCTGACTGAGCCTGCAGCATTTCCTGTATCGCTAAACAGCGCGATTTTTGCAAGACTGAGGGCGCGACCTTTCCATGAGTTAGGTAACAAAACAAGTTATCTGTAGTAGATAATAGCACTTACGAATGGTGATGTCACTGCACATATTTGCTTTTGTCGGTTATCAAAATATTGCTTGTTATGCTGCTGATTATCAGCGCCGCGCTTTCACCGGGAAACTATTGAATATGGCTGCGAACTGTTGTCAAAGTAAAACTTGATCGACAATTGCCTAACAGGTAACAAGAAAATCAAACACACTCATTTGACCCTTGACTGTTTTATGAGATGAAAATCAGTCTGGTAAAGTATCGAAAAGAAAAAAGTTGTTGGTGAATATTCTGGACTAGGTAATAGGGTATTTTTTTATTTTACAGGGACCTCCGGGATCTCCCGGTACAGCTGGACCCCCCGGCCCTCCAGGGCCCCCTGGTGACGGAATCTATGTCGTAAGTGAAATCGCCATCCCTCGTTTCTGGAGCATTTTATTGAGTGTTGAAAGTAGTCCGAGATCGCGTTAGCTTGCAATCATATGGTACCGGATTAGTTTAGAAATCTAGTGCCAATCTCTCAACCAATCACACGGTAAACTAAAACCAATGGTGACACTCGCATTGTCCTGCACCTAAGGACGGCTATTACACGTGCTAGCTCTGGCTTCTAATTGGCTCCTCTTTGGTCAGTTCTGATAGATAACTAAGGGTTTGGTCATAGTTTGCTCAAATGAAAAGCGCTCTTACAACCACTGAAATTGTGTAATCAAAGATCAAAAAGGAATAATGAATGAAATCGGCACCTAGAGACAAAGAAGCTTTCATTTTCTCGTACAACCACAAAGTGCACAACGCAAACTAGATTTTACACGATTAAGGGACAAATAAACAAAATTGTCCAAATTTACCTATTCGTTGAGACTCGCTGTTTGTCAGACCTGATTTTGGGTATCTTCACCTCTTCAATTATACATTTTGAACTTTTGTTATTTCAGAGATGGAATAGACTTCAAGGATCGAATGAAAAGGGCCCAGGCCCCGTAGCGGGCGGTCTTGTAGTCGAGCCCCCCGCAGTGGTGAGTTTTTTAACCAATCGTTACCTCTGAAGGGGTCTCCGCTTTGGGTTAACACAAAGCCATGGCGAATTCGAACAAAATGCTGTGTTTTGCGTGTTTTTTAAGTAACGAACCACAAAGAGATAAATTTTCTTATTCTGGCTACAGGGAGATACTGTTGAGATATCTGCCGATTAGTTCTCGGTTCATTGCATTTTTTCTAGTTTTTATTTTTTATTTATTTGTTTTTATTTGTTAACATTTTTTAGCCGGGAGAGCCAGGCCCACGGGGACAGCGAGGAGCACGTGGACAACCGGTGAGTATAGAAAAGCCTCTGGTTCAGTAATGGAGCTGATGTAGATGAACTGTGTCATTTTCACCCCACGGTATGACATAGTCATACTATAGGATTTATGTAAGGACCTGAAATTCACTCATTCACCCACTCCATTCTGATCTGTTAGACAAATAATTTATGCATTGAATGCGGATTAAACGTGTTATTCCCAAACTCTTTTCCTTAACCGTTCTTTTTTCTTCAGTTCATTTACCTGAGGGGAGAAAAAAGGCGAAAATTTTTTGCAATTTCCTGCCACCACCAAATCGTCAGACAACGTTTTATTTTACCAAGTGCTTTACACACTCATCATACTTAACAAGCTCGTTATAATGTCTTGGCACTTTCCAACAGTCTAATATTAATATTAATATCGTGAGCAATAATGTTTATCTGCTTCTGCTGGCTGCACGACTGTCTACATTTCACGAACTCTCGCAATGTGCTTCAGTTTAAAGAAAATAATATTTTAGAAGGGAACGAAAATCTTTCTTATCGAGAAATGTCGTGAATAGTCCTAGTTGAAGGTGATGTAATCTTGTTTGAACCTGCTATAATCTTCTCTCTGCAGGGACGTCCAGGGAACCCCGGTGAGAAGGGATCCCAGGGAGATCCAGGAGCCCCGGTAAGGAACACATCGTTTTCTTTACTTAATACGCGTCCGGCAGTACTGAATAGGGAAAAGATGAATGACAACAATAATTTTAAAAAAAACATAGAAATTGCTTAATTACGTGATCACTCCCATATTTTTTTATAGTCATTGCCTAGAGCCCTAGTCGAGTTATTTCTACCTCACAATGACTCGTAAGCTTAGTGTTATCCTCTGCATTTAAGTTTGGTTTCTCCAAGTAAAGAGGCGCAATGACGGCGAGTTATTTGGCAAGCGATATATCAAGTAGCTGCACATGGTGAATAAAGACGCTATCCGCGCTTTCCTGAAAGAGAAGAATTATCATAAAGAACGAATTTCCATAAATAATGGAGAAAGTAAAGCACTGATTAAGTAACTGTGCGAACATCTCCCATGAAGACGTTTGGGTAATCTCGTACCCAGACCTTCCACGACCAAAAAAGCCGTTGTACATTTCAGTTACACGGTAGGATCTGGGTAAGAGATTAGCCGTCGGGTCTCATCGTTCATGGATCATGCTTTTCTGGGTCAACGTTTTTACAATCTAGTGTAAGTAATTTAAGCATTACACCGCAGTTTCTATTGGTTTTCCAATAACCCCTACGTAGGATGTTGGAAAAACACAAGGAAAGTCCCGAGCTTCTCCCAACATCCCAAGTGGGTTATTTCGCCGGTAAACCGCTGGAAAGTGCGGTCTATAGCATTTTATGATATAACCAAGGTTTTACCAGTGCAATAAGCGATATATTTTGACCAATCAGGGCAATCGTAGTATCTCAGTAGTGATAGTTGCGGTGCGATCATGAGCCCTCTTTGGTGTTTGGAATACTACTATCCAGCATTTGACAACACAAACATAATTTGCGTTTTTTGATGTTTTAATCCGATAGCATCCACTGACAACTTTAACAATAGAAAATTTTAATAATCCATGTCACATTTTCTTAGTGCTGATTGAGCCAAAAAGCTGCTTGTGTCCTGATTTTGTTTCACAGGGCTTACCTGGTAACCAAGGCAACCGAGGTCCATCTGGTAGACCGGGAAAACCGGTAAGCTGTCAATGATACGTGAATATTTTTCTCTCTGTCGAAAGTAATCAGGGAATGTAATGGTTTTCCTAAACTTCTTTTTTTATTGGTCGGTGAATCTTGTGTAATCAGATGAAAATCTAAAACCGATAGCGCCTTGTTCATGTGAGTATTACCACGCCTCGGGCACGCTTTGAGTTCTGATTGGTTCTTTGTAATATCTATGGTTACTCTGATTGGCTATCGTCACCAGTTTGCACGTTTTGAGCTCTGATTGGTTCTTTGTAATATCTATCGTTACTCTGATTGGCTGTCGTCGCTAGTTTACTTTAATTTTTCAACATTTGTCTATTAACGTAGATCGTGACTTATCGACTTCGCCGTTGACTCTACTGATGGATAATTAGATTCTGTTGTTGAACACCACGCGACATTTAGGGATGGCTCCAATTGCCTACCCTTATTCTAACCCAGGTTCTCCGTGTAAATGACACCAGAGACCTTTAGCAAACCACGACGGCGACGACAACGAGGACGTGGCAAAGTAAAAGATCTAATTAGCAGAGCAATAGCTCAATACGTGCTTTTCAAAATTGTGTACATCTCTTAGCCGTCCTCTGTAAAATGACAACATGATATCATCAAAATTTACGTGGTCCAAGAAAGGAAACCCCAACGGCAAATTATTTAAGTTTCCATTTGGAACTCAACACCGCTCTCATACGTTTTGCTGAGGTTAACTTGCGGCGCTGTAAGAGAAGGTAAACACATCGAGTCATTCGCGAAATTCCAACGAAAAATATATATTTATTTTTAAGTCGACATCTTCTTTGGCGTTGCCGTCCTAACTGCAAAAAGTCCCTATTCTTTCGACAGCGCAGGAATGGGAAACTATTTCCGTAAGATCACTGAGAGTAATCGAAACGATTCGACCAAAGCATCAATATCCAATAAAGGAGTTAACTTCTCAGTCGCATTCATTGTATTGTGGCTCAACACCGACCTTAACCTCGCCTTTTTTAAACAAAAATATTTGTTTCTTTTTAGGGTCCCCAAGGACCGGACGGACCAAGAGGTACCCCCGGAGTTATGGGAGAAAAGGTAGGAGGGGAGGATTCGCGAACTTGAAAATTCAGGGTTACTGAATAGACGTTACACATGAAATGATTAACCATGACGCTCTGACAAGCATGTAACTTTTATAAAACTAAGACTATAGCGTGCTGTAACTATACTTCTGTGTGCTTCACTATTTCAGGGAGACAGAGGAATTGAAGGAATGGCGGGAATGACGGGCCACAAAGGACCACGGGTAACGTGAACATTTCGATTACCAGCTGAAGTTTTGTGTTCAATAAAACTTGGATGAGTTTTGACAAATGTCCCCAAGTTTTGATATGTTTCTACATAAAACCTTGAGAAAGGTTACGCTTAGGTCTCCATTATTAGCGATGTTGGACGCGCATTTTTACGCCCGCGAGAAGATTAGAGACGGGTTGGGGAGAGGTTTGCCAGGAGCCTGGCACTAGTAATTTTCAGTGCTTGACTCTCGCCGGTGCGTGATGCTTAATGCTTCATTAGTTCTCTCGGGCTAAGAAACGCCTTGGCTGAAGCGTTATAATGTGGTTCTGTTCGCTGGCCAGGTTACGCATGACGCTATCGGCAAACGGCAAAACTTGTTGCCGTTAGCCTTTTTTCAGCCGTTTTTATACCTTGCTATCACATCGTGTCTATTTCTTGATATCTCAAAGCAACGATTAACACTTTACCCTGGAAGAACTTGAATAAATTTCAGTGGTTATGGTAACTTTTTTACGCTATGAAAAAATACTTTGAATATAGTCAGAGCTATGTACTAAACAAGATAGTTGTAAGGAATGCATAGCTCAAAATTCGCTGAAACCGAATACGCAGTGATACAAGAAACTTCGAAGTAATTTGCGTTTTGAATAAAGTTTCATACTCTTCGACAAGGACTGAAACGATCGCATGAACATGAAACGATCTTGTAAAGGTGAAAAAAAGAGATGTATAGATCTGAATATTTTAACGAGCTGTAGATCAGAATTTTAAAAGGAACTAAATCGCGAACATGCAGAGATTAAAAGATGATGAAAAGATTCGAAACAGAAATGGAACAGCGGTGGATAACGATGGGAAGACGTCCTGAAACATTAGTCTTAATTTTTCATACTTGAGATATACGCAAACTGTAAAGTACTCCATAAGACTTTTAAGGTTATTGATCGTCAGCACTAGTATGTGTAGAAAATGGTCTCTCAAGCGGCTGAAACTCGAGCAGTGTAATAGCAAACTACAAAATTTCATAAAAGCATATTTGATAAGAATCCGAACCACATTCATGTAAAGTTTATATTTTTCCTAGGGTCTACCAGGCATGCGAGGAGAAAAAGGCGACAAAGGTGAAGCTGGTGAAAGAGTAAGTGCCTTTCATACCTAGATATGGCTGCATATCCTTTTGTTGTTTTTCTCTTCTTTCATTTTCTTTTCTTCTTATGAATTGTGCATCTATCCATCAGTCTGTCTTCCCGTCCTTTCGTTACTCAGTCTGCCAGTCACGTGGTCGATCGGTCGGACAGTCAGTCAGTCGGTTGGTCGGGCTATTGATCGGTCAGTCAGTCGGTCAGACAGTCAGCCAATCGGTTGGTTGGTCGGTCGACCAATCGATAGGTCAATCAGTCTGTCGGTCGGTTAGTCGGTCGATCGATCTGTGAGTTAGTCGGTCGATCGATCTGTGAGTTAGTCGGTCGATCGATCTGTGAGTCAGTCGGTCAGCCAGTCAGTCGGTTGGTTGGTCAATCAATCGATTGGTTGGTCAGTCAGTTGGTTGGTTGGTCAATCGGTCCGTTGGTTGGTCAATCAGTCGGTCGGTGGGTCGGGCGATCGATCGATCAACCAATCTGTCAGACAGTCAGTAGGTTGATTGGTTAGTAGTTGGTCGGTTGTTCGGTCAATCTATCGGTCAGTCAGTTGGGTCAATAGGTCACTCAGCCGGTAGTAAGTCGATCAGTACGTCAGCCAAGCGGTCGATCGGTAAGTTTGTCAATCAGTCCATCCGCAATTCGATCTGACCCCTCCTTAGTCCTATTCAGTGAAAAATGAGATTCTGAAATAACACAGTGTACGATGCTCTGCATTCACCTATTAAGCTTTACTGTTTTACAGGGCGATGGTGGCACACCAGGGCAAGCTGGAATGCAAGGTGAACGGGTAAGTATTATCACTGATAGAATCCCACCAAGTATCCCACTATTTCGTCTTTGTTCTCGACAGATCTGTTTCTGTTGTGTGTAATAACAAATGGTGGGACCAACGGTAAGAATATAAGTCAAAATAAATTAGTATCAAAAAATGGAAAATTTAGACTTCACTAGTAACGAGGACTTGTCGCCGTTAACAGACCGAGAGTTGTAAACTATTGAAAAGAAAAAGAAATCGTTGTTCTGGACTCATAAGTCCATTTTAGTACCTTATCACGTTACATATAGCAAGTTGTTTGCTGGTTCGTGAGACTCATCATCACTTGCGGCTAAAATAAGCAATATTATGTCTATTTTTCGAAGATTATAGTCAATTGACCAAAATGTTGCCTCTTGTGTACACACTGATTACTACTGTGATTGGTCAAAATTGTCAATAAAGCCACTCGTTCCAATCCACATCAATTCCACTACTATATCCCAGATTCTCTCACCAAAAGGCAAAATGGCGACTCAGTCAGCCCTAACTTTGAACGTTCTCAATGTAACGGTAACGCTGGTAGGGGTAGATGATCAAGAAAGAAGGTAATCACCGATCCTAGGGTCTCTAAAGTAATTTTCTGGAGAAGATTAGTAGTTTTTGCAAGCGTAAAATCTATGTTTTTATCACGCATCGTAGGTAAAAGTTTCTCAAGGCGTGTACATACACTTAGTTGGGGATCGAGGAACAAACACAACTTGATCGATATTTCTTGGTTTTATTCAAACTTCAATTTTTGTATCACGTGATTACTCTATCTTGTTTGACAACTCTTTGTGGATTTATAAAAATTTAACCATAGAGTTTAACAAAATTAAAGTTGATTAAATTTTTTTCATTCCAGGGACCCCAAGGAGAACCAGGAGAACGGGGACCGCCAGGGCCGAGAGGATTGCAGGTAAGTATCGGCAAAAAAAACTTTCACGGGTTTTTCAACTAATTAACTTTGCATAAACAAGTTAGTGGAAGTCCTTCAACACTACTCTAGTTCAGTGAAATAAGTAAAGCTGTGAATTGTGAGAGTAATCTGTTGAACATATAACTCTACAAAGTTGCAAAATGGAGAAAGTTGCAAAAGTTTAGACCTTTTTTATAGTAAGGAGGAGGTGCAGGTGAGGGGAAACAAAACCTTGTTCCCACCATACAAAGTTCTTTGTCAGTTTGCAACACGTTATCGTCATACTTGGCAGTTTTACTTATTTCACTGAGCTCTTTCCAGCTGCATCTATAGATTTCCTTTCAATGGTGCATGTAAAAATTTTAAAAATTGCAAATGGGTCTATTTGGGGTGATTGGTTGTCATGAGACAGAGCCTTCGAGGCTAACTCTGTTACATTTTTACTTTATCCCTTAATTCTTAATATCAACAGGGAGGTACAGGAGAGCGAGGTCCACCAGGACCCTCTGGATCACCGGTAAGGAAATAAGTAAACAATGGTCTTCATTTGGTATGAAAATAGGCTGGGATATTTGTCTACAAACATAACCTGTTCTAATAAGCAGACAGTTCTGTAAGAACAGTGCCAGTATTATCCATCAAAAAATTTTATACAATAAGCAGGATAAAGCATTAAACTAGTTTACCCTCAAAAACATCCACATGCAAGGGATGGCAACTCTTCCAGACTTGATCCTTCTTCTTTGGCTTTTTTGTCAAATGATTCTTCTTCTGATGCCAAAGATTCAGTAAAAGTAATATATCCTGTCTTGAACATTTTTCTTTTAACAAGATTAATCAATACCTTGTAGTGGAAAGGAAAAAAGATTTTGCACATATTCATTAGGGTGACCTCGAATATCACCCTAAGAAATTATCATGAATCTGATTCACAAGCAATACACACAACATATGGTTAAAAGAAAAGAAATTACCAGTTGTGGTCTTGTCAATATTGAGTGTACAGATTTTTTTAGTTTTGACATGAAAAAGTTAGTAAAAATTCGTAAGATGTATGGTGAAATAAAGATTAGTTGAGTATCAGTGAAGGGTGTGCATGGAAATTTTGGTGTGCATAATCTAACTTTCCTTCTTACCAAAGAAGTCTTGGTCTGATGTTTATTAGTTGGACTCGAACATGAGGGGTCCATAATCAGTCTGTAGCCAGGTCATTGTATTGCATCACATTGTGGGCAAAATACTGAACCCTTGAAGTGTCTCTCTCAACTCAGGCTTAATCTGGAATGGATTAGCATCCTTTTCAGAGGGAGCAGCGATATTCCCAGTAGCTTTGCATTGAAGAAAATCGATTATGCTCCAATGCTGTGGACCTATTGGCTTGAAACCAGACTTAATTTCTTTGTTTTTCCACCTTCCTACCTAGGGTCCCCCAGGTGCTATAGGAATTCAAGGTGTGCAAGGCATGAGAGGACCCTCGGTAATAATAGAATAAAGCTACATTATATTCTGACATTTTAGATATGTTCATTTAAACTAACAGCTTAATAGAATGTGCACAATGGATGAGAATCAATGGTATTGTTGTTAGAATGGACACTTCTCACTGCTGAAGCCCAGGTTTGCATTCTTGGATATGTGATCAAATGTGGGTCAAGTTGGCTCTAATCTCAGTGGTTAATGCTTTTTCTCTGAGTTCATGGATTCACAATTCTCCACAAAAACCATACAGCTAATTCAAATTTGACAAGGAAACAGTGGAGGATTTCAGAGCTACCCTGTTCATATGCCATTTCTAAAATCCAATTTTATTTTGATTATTTTGAAGCTTGTTATCATTTAATAAGACATATATTCAGAATGAAAGGTCTTTTTTTTTGGAGGAGCTGGGAGAAAATCAGAGTGAAATACCGTAAAAACTGGATGTGGATCAAACTGAAGGAGACTCTAGATATTGATTTCCATATTCATGTTTAACATTCTTCTGTTTTGGTACAATTATATTTTTGTCAAAAGTAATATTCAATGAACCAGTATTCAATTTTCTCTTTTTTCTTTTCAAGGGACCTCCTGGTATTCCGGGTCCCCCAGGGCCTATGGGACCTAAGGTATGTCACATAGCACCTCCAGCCTTTTTCTTTCTAATACTAAGGTGGGAATTACTTTTATTGGAGATAATTTGTCATTCATGTACCACAGTCTATAATCCTTATTTACTATCTTTAGGGTGAGGCTGGAAAAGTTGGTATGCCTGGTTTCCCAGGTACTGATGGTGTGCCAGTAAGTAGAGAGAGAGAGTTATTTTGACTTATAACTAGTACATGTAACCTCCTATTAAAATACATATAATGTATTTTTATTGTGGTTATGAAAAACAGCAATTGATGGCCTACTTAAAACGCAGTTATTCACTGAAGAAATAAATAAAACCCATTTGCTGCAATTAAATATAAAATTTTCACATATGACCTTATGGTTGCATGAATTCTTTGTTATTGTCAACTTAAGCCAATGTGGTAATTAAACAAACTATTTTATTTCAGCTTTATGATTATAAATGTTCAGTTAATAAACTTTGCATGAAGATGAGCACAGGCTTTGAGGAGTATGTACTGACTTCTTGTGGGGTAAATCTAATCCTCTGACTATATTATAGGGATACCCTGGCATTGAAGGACCGCCTGGACCCAAAGGCGACAGAGTAAGTCAGATTTAATGTAACATGCTATAGTTTTCAGCAAAAGCTCTAAAGTTTTTGATCAGGGGGGAGAGAGGTTCATTAACCTCTTCTCTATTAGTATTTATAAAGAAGATAGCTTTTTACAGCATTTTAAGTATCTGAAATTATCAAACAACCCATTAACACCTTAGTCTAAGCTTGTGGATTGTAAAGTTCTTCAAGTTAACACGTTTTTAGTTGGCTGAGTGCATATGTTTGTAATTTTATCACAAAGCACCATAAATTATTTTTATTAAATTTTTCACCCTTGTCATGCACCCTTTTTAAGTTTTCAACATTACAGAATTTGTTGTGTTTCTATTTAAGTTTAATTTTATCAATGTTTTGATTGATATACTCAATGGATGTACTTCCCAGGGTGCACCAGGAGTTAGAGGACCACAAGGCTACCCAGGCCTCCCTGGGCCAAAGGTGTGATACAGTGATACAGCTCAAGGATATTTTCTATTTACAATAGGCATTTTCATCTTTCTACTCTAACACATTTTAAACAATTCATTCCCTTCAATATGACATACTTCAAACTTCATACTCCAGGCTAATTTTCTAAATTAATTTTGAACCAAAAGCTTAATTTTGAGAAATCTTGTATTGTAATCTATAACTTATCTTTGCATTTGTCATTGACCAATCAGAAATTAAATTCTTTGTTGGACTTGAGATTTTAACCAATATATTTCATTGTATTTTTTTTGGCCTTTGGCACTTAATCTTTAAGTCCAATGTGCTTTAAATGACAAAATTAGCCATTTAATAATAAAAGAATGCTTATTTTTTGCACAGGGGAGCAGAGGAAAACGAGGTCCAGAAGGAGAGAAGGGTGAAGAGGTTTGTATTTCCTATTTTACATTTATATTATAAACCTGTAGACCAGGGGTGTTGGCTTTCATCAATTTTATTTTGATTCAGCTCTCCAGATTGATTTTACATCATAGACCAGCAAGATTATATTTCACGAAACCAATCTAGTCTCATGATAAATCTTCTGTTTTGCTTAGCTGTGCATTTAATGAAGAAAAACTGTCAGCACAAATATTTTTTCAAAGGGATTTTAACCTGTTATTCCTGATTAACTGCTTCTGCTGTAGAGTTTTAATTAGTGCAAAGAAAATTTAATGATAAAATAGCTTGGGAGAAATAGAGATTGATTCTTAGGTGTGAATATAACTGTCTCAAAAGGAAGCTGAAATCTCACTTAAACACACTAATGTCTACAAATAGGGCTTTTCTTGGGTATGGAAATCCCTGTAAAACACCAAAGTTTATTCAGTAAAAGTGATAGCTTCAGAGTATGTGAATCACAGGTACTAATGAAATGCATAGGAGCAACACTCATCCATCAAACTGAATACCTTAGACTTATTGAGACTTGACCCTCATCTTCTTGTAATCAGCTGTCACATTTCACCTATTAATAATCTTTCACAGGGACTAGCTGGATTTCCTGGTGCAAAAGGTGATGAGGGGCCAAAAGGAGAAGATGTAAGTGAAACAAAAAACTAACTGTTTTTGAATATAACCTACCCTGCATGAATTCCTAGCTAGTTTTATGCACATGCAGCTAGCATTAAAATGGTTACTTTGACTTTTGAAATCCCTTCTCCCTCAGAGTTCCAGTCACCTTACCAAAGGCATTTTGATATACCCTAAGTACCATAATATGAACTCATATGAATTTGAGTTGAAAAGAACCATTCAGTTATTCCTTGAGAAGTAAGGTTTATCCCAGGACTTTGCTTAAACTGCTGTAAGTTGTGATTACTGTAATCATCGTCTTCCTTGTAGGGTGCCTCAGGAGTAGTTGGTGTGCCAGGAGGTGAAGGACCTGAAGGGCCAAAGGTTTGTTTACCAGCTACCTCAGTGATCTGAATCATATTTCTTAGTCTTAATTTATTGACAATCGCTATTGACAGAAAATTTTTGAAGAGGACTGATTTCAAATTTTGAGAGGTTTCTCAAAAACAGTGAGTTTACCCATGGCTTGAAACATTAAAAAGCAAAATATACAGCTCTAATGACTGTTAGGTAAATCATTCAGTCCAAATACCTAGAAAGGCTGGTAGTCATCAACAAGCATGACCAGCACTGCACCCTTAAATGCCATAGGTAAAAAGAAGCGTTTACCTCTGATAATTGTAGGGTCGCAGTGGTATCCCAGGACCTTCAGGCCCCCCTGGACCTACAGGAGTAAAGGTATTGTTTATTATTGTTAGTTATTATTATTATTGATATAAGTTATTGTTTTCAAAACATTATGATTACATGTTATCACATTATGATCAGATCAGACTACTCTCCATTTATAACTTAGTTTGAAACAAAAAGTTAATGGCAAGAACAGCCAATTTTATTACATTACCCCTTAACATTTATTGGCATTATTTGTTTTCAGGGAGAGAAAGGACCACAGGGAATGCCTGGGTACCCTGGTGAACCAGGAGAAAAGGTAGAGCAGACAAATCTTTAAGAGCTGTTCATCAGTAAATGGAACTGCTTTAAGCTCAATTAATAGGCAGTGATGTAGGGAATTGCTGGGAGCTGAAGAATGTACTTGACTATTAACAAAATTTTCTTAGGTTAAAAAAATTTAACACTGCGCAAAGTTTCGGTCAACACCACCTTGAAATGACACTCAATTAGCTGCATTTCAGTGTGGTATTTTGATTATCAACATGTGTTTTGCCTAAATCTGTTGAATATTGTATTTCAGTATATTTGATATTGCATAATGGGCAATATTAGCAAATCATAAAGGCTGTGTGTGTTGATATATCCTCGTATATATGTATTTTTTAATGACAGGGTAATACGGGTGCAACAGGGGCAAGAGGACGAGATGGATCAAAGGGAGTCAGGGTGAGTCTGTATGGGCTATGATCCTCTGCAAATAAATTAGGATGATTTTTCAAGACAAGAGACATGAGATGCATGGGACAAAGTTCAAAAGTTTTTGGAAATTTTCCGTTATCGCCCCAACCCTGACAAATATTTTAAATTCCAGATCCATGGTCAAAAGACTTGTCACACTCCTCTTACATTCATATTTCATGAGTTTGTTTTATTGTTGTTGTTTCTTTTGTAGGGGGATCCTGGACCACCAGGGCCGCAAGGAGGAAGAGGATCAAGGGTACAGCCAGGCTACAAAGCCTACTCCTCTTTGTTCTCTTTAAAACACATCCATCACATTGTCTCATGAACCCACTATCTTTTAAGTGTCATGGCAATAATGGTCACAGCCTGCCATGTTTTAGTGGAAGTGTTGAACATAAAGAAAAGATAACCTGAAATAAAACAAAAAGTCGGTGTCTGTAAAATAACAAAAAGTTAAAGGAAGCAATTTAAAGGGTCATTACAGTGCCACACCCTTTTTCCCTTTGGGCCCCCCCCCCCCTCTTCACCCCACACACCCTCATACTCTTTAATTTACTACATTTTCTATCCCTTTTTTTCTGTTGAATTATTGGGAACTTACAACCACGATGCCATAGGCATAAGTATTGCGAGTGATAGATAAATTCGTAAATTGTTGCACTAAGCCCCCATGATTTCAGTTGTTGTAACTCACTTTTTTTACGTGTCCATAGGGTCCACGTGGTGCGCGGGGATCCCCCGGAACTCCTGGAACCAACGGGGCAAAGGTGAGTCATACTGGTTGAGTTTCATGATACTGGTACAACAATAATGATGACGATATCAACAGTTAAAATGCTAACAGTAAAAGGAATGATAAAAATCTTCTGAAACCACAGAGGTAACAAACCTGATTAAATAACAATGATAGAGGGTAACTATTTTAAAGAATCTTGCCTACCAGAAAAAAGCGTCTTCAAAAATACGCTCACAACGCTAAGTTATAAGTTCTTTATGAATGGGAAATCTTGTGTTCGCGTCCATTTTATCACTGGTTGATGTTCCTTAATTAAACTCTTCCACGTTTTGTTTACACTGCGAACCTTTATTAAGGTACTCATCATGTATCTGTTGAAGGTACAATCTTAGCATCCGTAATAAGCACATTTTTTTTTAAATTCTAGACATATTCTTGCAACTTCTTTCCATCATTGTTTCACCTTAAGCTCTTGAAGGGCGACACACTTAGAATATGAACTAATGCAAGGAGACGTGTTTTTTTATCATCTTCATCTTTTAATTTTGTTGTTAGGGTGCTGCTGGTGAGCCTGGAGTACCTGGTGACCGCGGAAACCCGGTAAATAGAGATTATTCCATGGAAAATGTGCACGAACTATTTTAATTCACGAGTTGCGAAGCATAAAAAACGAACGAGTGAGCGCAGCAAACGAGTGAGTTTTTGATGCATTGCAACCAGTGAATAAAAATTGTTCAAGCACTTTCCATGGTATGGTACTTTTATTTCATACATACTGAGATTTTTTCACATTTCAAATATTGGAAGCGAACGACTGTGAAAATACACCGTTCGTCCAACCAGAGACACGAGCGATAGTACTTCATAGTGTAAATCTCAGTATCTGTTAAATAAGTAGTATTACAGGATTATGAAGTTACTTAAAAACAGCCTCGAGTGAATAAAATCACACAGGGGCAACAAGTTATGTTAATAAACGTATATGATTCGAGGATTTACGGTGCTGTAAAAAGTGACTGGGAAAATCTTAAGGAAGCTCTGTCACATTAATTTGAGTCAGTTTCTTTAACTTGCAAATTCAAGCGTAATTTCACTTGACCTGAAAGCTTCAAGAAATGCCGGAAACTTTTGCAAAGCATGTGTCTTGTCTATAGCTTGACATCTTTGTCTTAATGAAACAGGGACCTCCGGGACCTCAAGGGGACCGAGGACAGGCAGGACCTCGTGGATCGATGGTAAGCCGTGTTTTGTTCACGTGATTCATCATAGGGCACTTAGAGTATAGAGTAATTTGAAAATATGTTTTTCATATCAGGGTATTCCAGGAAAAGCGGGCCTTCCAGGATTTCCTGGACCTCGTGGAGAAACGGTGAGATCCAAGTTTTGATAGAGACTTTTAGTTTATCTTGATCTTTCGTTCAAACTTTTAGTTCTCGCGATGTTTTTGATAATCTTTGGATTGAGTGCGTTTCTGTCGTGGGTTATAGGGACCTCAAGGAAAAATAGGGCCGCCAGGATCCCCCGGAATACCAGGTGGACGGGTAAGTTATTTTTAACATGTCCCGATGACAAAGAGGATCGAAAGAAAATTATCGGTTTAATTTAATCATGGCGAGGATTCCTTTCCTGTTATCACTTGACGATTTTTTTAGAGTAGATTATTGTCAATTTTGAAGTATATTAATGTTATAATTAATCCAGTATATAGGCATCACTTTAGATAACAATTAAAATAGAAAAAGTCTTCAGTTTCCCAGGAGCCGCTGAATGTCAAACCGAGAATTAGTCAAGAATTATTTGTGTACTTCAGCGAGAAGAGAAAGACCTGGAAAATTGGAGTCAAGTGGTTAAAAAGAGAATCTTTAGGAATCTGTTTCTGTAAACTGTTTGATATGAAGTAGGCTCATCGAAGTTGTCTAGCTTTTAAACTCTTGTCAAATACATAACCATGCAGCAATAGTAATCCGACCATGCCAGGTAAGAATCCGTTGGACATTCGTTAAAAAACCGTTGTGAGTCTTCAACTCACCGCTGTCTATTTAGACTCATTTTTAACATCCTCTTATTGATTTAGGGTCCTGCAGGTGAAAGGGGAAGCTCAGGACCTAAAGGAGAACGTGGCCGACCGGTGAGAACACAATAACGCACTACCCCTCTGCCCGTGTTTGTTATGATCCAAGAAGAGACATGATGAAAGCTGTGTGGATTCACGCACTACTCTCGATAATATCGTTATTTTTGTCGTATCTAGGGACCCCAAGGATCCACAGGAGACCCAGGGGAGCCTGGCAAGGATGGTTCAAAGGTGCATAACAGTTCTTTTTTTAACCTTCTAATCTTTGAGGGTTGACGGATTTATTTTTTTTTTTCAGAAACGCCTGCAAGTGGTATTAAGTAACCCTTTGGCTTTGTTCTGCCGTTTGAGATCTGCGTTTTCCTTTTTTTCGGATGAAACGAGCTATGTTGCATAAAACGTAAATCACGCTTTCTTTTCTATTTATCTCGTTCTGTATTTTTCCTTATCAGGGAGAGCCTGGTAAATCAGGCGCGGACGGTAAGGACGGTGCACAGGTGAGAGCTGAAATTTTCAAGTTCTCAGTTCTGGAGTAGAAGAGAAACATGATGGTCTTTTCCTTTCCATTAAGATCCCGCTACTCTGGGAGGTGAAATGCTAACACTCAAACAATTGATTTTGCAATTTTTCTTTGGATCTGAGCATTTTTCTTGATTCTTTATATTTAGGGTCAGCCAGGAACACCAGGGCCGAAAGGTGCCATGGGACCGCCAGTAAGAAACAAGTTTCTAAAGAGATTGTCTATTTGTTAATTATCATAAGTGTTTTAGTTTTTGAAAGTTGATTGGGAATGATTCTTGAAATTAAGCCTGAAACCCATAAGAGTGACTAGTGTCACCACTGATTATGAGACTGAAAGGAAATGATCTCCAACTGAAGAAATTCTTTCAGTATTTTTCCTTGTTAGTACCTAAGGAAATGTAAAGAGAACAGTATGGAAAATATGCATACTGATGTAAGGGAACAAGCCACCTTAAGATTATGATTTCTAAGGGTCATTTGGTTGTTTCCTCAGGGACCCGCTGGACTCAAAGGAGTAGAAGGACCAATCGGTCCGCCAGGAGCACAGGTAAAGCGATGAGTATTGGTCAGAGTTTCATTTTTTTTCCTTATTACATCCACCAGCAGTGCAATTAAATCGTCCATATTTTTTCAGGGGCCTCAAGGAATGCGCGGACCACCCGGACAACCTGGACCCCAGGGTTCTATAGTGAGTTCCGCAAACATATTTTTAAGCATTTTCAATGCGTTCTCCATTATTATTCGAGCTACAGATTATTTTCATTTTTGATCTTGTAAGAGAACATCCTCTACATCCACTTTTATAATTTTGGATAGATGTACTTCGTATGTGTAATTACATGATTTCGAGTGCAATTTGCGATAAATAAGCGCGATTAAGTTTTTCAAATGCGAACAAAATTGCATGACACCGTGGGTCGAGTCCAATTTGTAGTCTTTGAAAAAATTTACGAGTTTACGAGTTTGTTTTCCTCTTTAGTTGATTTTACCTTGTGACATAGTTCACTGGTTCGCCCGCTTGCCTTTGCCTTGTTGCCCGAGCAGTCGGACTTCCTCCACTCTCTTTCTCTGTTAGGTATCGGCCTACGGCAGTAAACTGTGCACGAAAGCTATCACGCTCGTATTCTTGCCGGTTTTTCTTCCGAACTGTCACCTAAAACTCCTCGTGAAGTTTGTTCAGAGCCTCCGATTCACACTTTACAATTCTCAAGACTTCCAGACTTTAAGACATATGTTTGCGCTTTTTGATGATTTTGTTTTAAAAATTCACCCTCAAACTCGGAATTAAAACGTTTTACTTTCCATTTATCTGTTCGCCATTTTGGTTTGTTGGTCTTTCGCGACTCTCCTGTCAATATATTTAATTTCAACTTTCTGCACTGTTTGAGATTGAATAAAAATTTATGCGTGCATTTCATTATGAAATCAATGGAACTCTAACAATGATTATCAATCACGTGTCTTCTCGCAGGGGAGGCCAGGTCGCCAAGGACCTCAAGGACCAGCTGGAGAGAAAGGCAGTAGGGTGAGTGCACGTGCGTAGCACTCAATTTCAATTCTCTCTTCTAAATATCAAGTTAATTGCGCATGTCCTGAGTAACTGGTGTTTGACGAGTTCGCGAGTCATACTCGCGCGTGACTTCTGGCATGGCAAACTATTAGTTATTTAAAATTTGAAGCTTTCGCATGTTATCCTGTTAGGGAGAAGAAGGAGCTCGTGGAGAGCCTGGACCCGAGGGGAAAGCTGGACTTCCGGTATGTAACGTTGACATGTTTCTGATCAATAATGATATGCTGATGGATGTTTCATAAAAAATAGTTTTAGTTGTTAGGTAGAAAGAAATATTGTTCAGTAGTTCTTTCATCATTTGTACACAGTCCCTATGAGTTACTAAAACTTGCCTCTCGTTACAGTAAGGCTACTGGTGAACGTTTTTGCTACAAACTGGACGCGTACCTGATTGTATTGAACTGCATGAATTGATGCCGTTAGGGACTTTGCTTTAACCGTCTGCCAGCAAACACTTGACTGCGAGTAACTAATTATTTTCTTGTTTAGGGTAAACCTGGTGAGGAAGGACCAGCAGGCCCCCCTGGAGAGGAGGGTGAGAAGGTACGGGAAATGTTTACCTTTCTATTTCAAGAACTGCATTTAAGGTGATTCCTAAGTTTTGCACCGCGCATCCTGTATTGCGCATTAAAATCACGTAATTAGGGGAATGAGCGTGCGTGTATTCTGAGAATACAGTGTTGTTTTCAATCCATGGACCAAGTAAAGAGGTACGATGATCTTTCGCTCTTTAACGAGCACGGTGACCTATATTTTTTTCATTGCATGATTTTGGTGAACAAATTATCCCTTTTAAATTGGGGAAATTAAGGAAAAATTCTTCGAAGGGAAAAAAAGATAAAGCTAAAAGCGTGCACGAAACCCATTACTCGAGGATGCAAATTATGACCTTTAAAGGAACCACTCGATGAACGTTTTGAGTCGATTTCGTTTAAATTTGCGTGATTTTCCCACAAATTATATATCAAATTGTTCCATACGCTCCAGACTTTCTACCTATTTAGTTTTTTTCAAGTGTTACTTTAAAAACCCTTGCTTCTAGCTGCAGCAAAATGTAACGTGAACCGATGAAATGACGCGCGTGATTAGTGCCAGAACAGGCATAAATGGTGTAAGTTTGGCCCTATCATATGTCTTAAACAAGCACGACGACTCATTTTTTTTATTGTATTTTCCTGGTATGCGTGTTAGGCTTTTTCGAAATAAAGGTTTGAATGAAAATGTGGTTTCTCTTTTTCATTTTTTAAGCTGGTCTTCTAGTAGGACAGACCTGTTACAAATTATTCGTTTATTCACGGACACGAGTTTTGAATTTTTTTTCCCTTCAGGGTGACCAAGGAACGTCAGGCATATCAGGGAAGAAAGGAGGACAAGGACCAAAGGTCATTTATGACGTGTTTAATAAAATCGAACGTAAACCGCTTTTCGTTTAAGTGAGGTGAAATCAAAACCAAACTGACTGATCACAGCGCCTATTAGCCTTTTAACTCCTGTGGGTGACCAAGACAGAGTTTCTCCTTACAATATCAATGCAATATCATGCAGACAAGTGATGAGAATAATGAAATTATCAGGGGATTAATAGTTGATCCAGTGCCAAATTCTCCGAACGGATTTCATTAGAATTGTAAGGCAGACATTAAGAAGAATTACAAAAGAGATCTCGGGAATGAAACGGTTGATGTTCATGGCTTCGAGAGGTCAACTCAACAGTACCGTTTTTCACTATCAACAATAAAAGTTAATCAGGGTGAACGGCAAAGTTTTTATTTCATCTAAAGAATGTAGACATTATTTGGAACTCAGTACGATTCATATACTCTCGAATTTGCGCCCGAAGCGTTTTTCAAAATTAGGTTTGGACAGTAATATTCCGAATCGCGGGTGAGAATTTACAACATTCACTGTGTACTGATTAATGCGGAAGCTAATCTTTAAGCTTCAAGTGCGCCTTAAGTGGTTATTTGCCAAACCCATCAACTGATTTTACCTTACCTTTTCAGGGACCTCCAGGCCCCGCCGGACAAACTGGCCCACCGGGAAAAACTGGACCGCCTGTAAGTACCACAAACTGAGCAGAGAGCTTAAAGGCACTGTGCTACGAGTTTTGAAGTATGGAACGCATTTCGATTGAGCGTCATTACACAAAAACCAATGAATTCAAAAGAGCCAATCAGAGCAAAGGAAAGTATCACAAGAAGCCAATGATAACTCAAAGTTAAAACAAGCAAACAGCCTAAAGCGCGGGAAAACGCGAGTGACCAAGTCAAGTAAAACCAAAGCAATCCCCGATTACTTTCGGGATTGAAAATTTCTCTGTGTTGTAAGAAATTGGTTCTGTGAGATGGGAGAACCTTACAATAGTAAGAATGAGGATAGCAGTAACAAAAATAACGACAGATAAAGATGATTACAACAGGTTGGAAAATACGACTTTTGAGGTATTTGAGGTCACCTTTTGAAATATACACAACAGATTTCAAGCGGTTTGTTTTTTATCTGTTGAAATTTTTCTCCATTTTCGTGCGTTCTCCATTCTATTTTCATTTTGGTTCAGTGGTACCTTTTTGAAAAAATTGTATATAATATGTTTCGCGACTTGTCTACCATGTCTCTCACCTTTGCAATTTAAACCGGTGCGGTTCGTTAATCAAGGATCGCTGTAAATTATAATATCACTGTAACTTTTTGATGACTTTGCGATGTTGTTAATCACTTATGCTTCAATTTCTAAGTCACTTTTTTTTGTCCATAGGGCCCACCCGGTGAGATTGGACCCCAAGGGGCCACTGGTCCAAGGGGTGAGAAAGGGAGCGACGGAGGACGCGGACCACCCGGGCCTAGTGGATCTCCGGGAGTTCCGGTAGGAAACAAATCTTTGACTTCTCTTAGCGCCAGAGCTAAGGGTGAAATAGCAGTTAAAATTCAACGCCGTGAAAACGTTGTGGGTGTTTTTTCATGCATCATGATGTAAGGTATTGAATGATTTTTATTCCTACTTCGAAGGGCGTTCCTGGACCCAGAGGACTGAAAGGTGAAAGAGGACCCGGTGGTCCACAGGTATGTTCAAAAATTGTTGTCTCAGTCGTACGCGGAAGGGATTGTTGTGGATCACGTGTTTTTAATTTCTATAGTTTCGGTTGCGCATGCGTTTAAAGAACTTTCTAATTGAGTGTTGTAAACTCAGACTGTCGCAAACGGTACAGCCAATCCAAACAAAACCGGAAATGAGAAGCAACGAGAATGAGAACTCGAAGTAAGTACATGTAACCGACTTCAAGCGCGAGGAAACGTGGCTAATCAGGTCGCGATTGTGTTAAGTAACACATCTGATTGGTTGAGAACATGGCGCGAATTTTCTATGCCAATCACATGGTAAAGTGAAGCTCAAAGCAACACAATCTTGGGTTAATTTTTTACAACTTTCAATTAAATATGTGTGAGAAATCAGTTAGCTTTTCTTAAATCTGTTGTCTGTCAAAGGAGCGCCTTAATCGATAATTACAACGATAATGCAACTTATAATTCAATTAACACATAAGATTTGAGTTGTGTTGACGTTAGAGTAAGAGATTCTGTGGCGCAAATTTCATTTTTTTGTGTCAAGTTATGACCAAGTACTTTGACTAGGATGTGCTCTCCTCTTTCCTAATGTTGTCTCAGTTGTCAGCAAAGCAAAAAAGGCTTACTTTGCGCTACATACCTTAACAAGTAATATTTTGTTTAGAAAAACTGGCTTCTCAATCACTTAAATATTTTCCACCATAAAGGGACCTGATGGATTATTACTTTATTTACATCATGGTGCCGCGATAGTTTCATCATTGCGATGTAACTCATTCTAAATTTAGATTTTGAAAAGTTTGTTACATTGTTTGATGTCATTATTTCGTTGTTCTCATAGGGATCTACAGGATTACCAGGTCCTCGCGGCCCACCAGGACCGGCGGGAGCTAAGGTTAGTGACATCATTAAAGATATCATCCATACGTCAGGTTTATGTGGCCAAAAACTGTTACTTGTCCCAGTGTTTCAATGGTAACTCATTGAATAAGAGTGCGTTTGAGACAATGAAAACGTAACGACTTTGAACTCCACAGGGAGACCAAGGTGAACCTGGTGAAACCGGTACTGATGGGCGACCTGGAGAGAAGGTGAGTGGCTTCATTATCATCCCTTAAAATGAATACTCTTTTCTGTTGGATCTCTTTCTGCATTACATTTTTGGTATTTGAGATAACTTGAATAGAATGTTATATGCTGTTCTAGAAGTGAATTTGGTTTCATAGGGAGATCAAGGGCCGAAAGGTGACGCAGGCGCCCCAGGGCAGCAAGGCCCACCGGTAAGCTTTTAATTTTATCTGTTTTCGTTTTGATATGTTTAAGAAACAATAAACCTCGTTTAGCCTGTTGCAGCTTACGTTCTCACGTGAATGCAATAAACTATCGAATGTCTTAGAGCCCGGTAGGTAAATAAAAATGCTCATATACGTATCAAGGACGGGGACTAGGAAGGCTGTAAAGGAAATTGTTTGAGGTTTTTAAAACCCTTTACACCCTGACAATGCAACGTCGTCGCTTTTCACCACTAGCTAGGTATGTTAATTCCTGGTTATTACACCACGTGAATTTCTTTTACAGGGCCGAGCTGGTCAAGCGGGATCAAAAGGCGACCGAGGGGACCCCGGTCCGCAGGTATGTTCAGATTGTGCAAATTTCTTTTTTTCTCCTTTTCATAAGTTTCTCAAAACAGTGTAGTCGATCAGGGCTGCATTATAAAAATTATTGAACAAGACGTTTTCCGTAAAGTAGAAGAGGAAGCCAAGCAACTGAGCAACTTTTTCTCTGGTTGAGCTGCATTCCTTTTCGTGTACTCGAGAATTAAACTCATGAAGCAGTATGGTTAGAGCAGTTTCAACATATTTTTTTTGTGTAAGAGTTGATGTAATAATGCTGAAAACCAGAGAAACGCGCTCCAGCCGGAGGCGAAGCTTTGGAGATGTAAGAACATGACCTTTGGTTGGTGAACACCGGGAACCCTCTAGAGGACTTGAAATTTGTGTTATATACTTTAATTGCGTTGCTTTCTCTGCTAGGGTCCCCCAGGACCACGAGGTCCCGCCGGCGCACCAGGACTCAAAGGACCAGTGGTGAGCATTTTTGAAATGTTGTGTATAATCAAGGCTATATAATACTGAGCTCTAAATTCTGGGTCATGATTTTAGGGTGCATCTGGACCCCCAGGACCTCAGGGCCCACCAGGGCCACAAGGTACTAAGGTAAGACTTTGGAACTGGCGTGATGTGGAGTTCTTGATATTGTGTAAACCATTTTCAGACAATCAACACTCTGTGAGGTGCGTTTATATGCAACATGTTTATGTACCTGCACTTTAACCCTACTCACGGAGAGAACCGTTATGAAGAATTACAGAATGTATTTGTTCATGTAAATGAGAGAGTTCCAATTTTTTTTTGTTTTCGTTTTTTTTTCTTTTAAAAGGGAGGTCCTGGTGCAGAGGGAAAGGACGGACAGCCAGGTCCCCCAGGAGCAAGAGTAAGTTTTCGTTTGATGGAAGATATGATTGTTTCATTTTTCTGGAACTTGTTGGATTTTTAATGAGACGTCGTGGCATCAACTTTTAAACTTTTAAAGATATTTTCCTTGACATGAAACAATTTAGTCATTTTTTATGATGGGTTGTTATAAATTTCATGAACACCAGAATATATTCGAAATGTAATTTTTTTTATGACCAATCACTTTAGAGATCTGGAAATGTTAACAAAAAACACACACACAAATCCACAAGCTTATTGGCGTACCTGCGCATGCGTACAGTTATGATTTCTCACGCCTAATTAGCTTTATTTCCTTGACACGATTACATTTTTTTCTCGATTTTAAACCTTATTTTTGAGTCTTGCGGTAGAAAAAAAAATGAGCTTTTGGTATATTTTATTGTTTCACTTTCTACCCAGGGTCCTCCAGGCGCCAGGGGAGATGATGGAAACCCCGGCAGTCCGGGTGAGCCGGTAAGTAAAGCTGTGTTGATGACACAAGTAGTTACTTAGTCTCATTCTGTCGCACGTTGTCGTTGCAGGGAGAGCCTGGGTCTCGTGGAGTCAGTGGATCTGATGGCGATCCTGGTGACAAGGTAAATACATCATCTACTTTATGTAGGCCGCATTGAATTCAAGGGCTGGCAAAGTCTAATTTCTTTTGATTTTCGTATGAAGTTGTTCTTTGTCAGTGATGCATGCTCCCTTTGTTGTCATGTTTATCATAACGTTTTTTTTTCTTTCTTTAGGGTGACACTGGTCCACTGGGTCCCCCAGGGGTGGCAGGTCCTCCTGGCCCTCCGGTAAGAATTACTTCTACGCAGCCTAAATTCAAATTAGTGGGACTGCAGCTCGCAGTAAAGTTGTTTAAAAGAACAGCAATCGTATTGTTGCGAGAATGAAAGAGGATGGGGTGTCCACTCTGCTGGCGAGTGAAATGAATCTCAAAAGATTCCTTCTCCGCTCCCACTCCCCCCAATTACTCACGGGCTGCGTGCGCATCACCCCTGCTTCTTCATCTGCATTGGTGAAATAGAGAGGTGGTTCGCATTCTTTGTTTGGTAAAAAAAAGGAAAATAAAAAAGGTGCAACAGCAAAATATGATACTCTTGGTTTCTTCTCGTTTGAGATGATACTTGCGTGTGAAAATATCTGGACCTCATCTTGATCCATAAAAACGTCAACGACAGAAAAAAAGATCTCGGTCATTATACAGAGTTTTATTCTTCATCCTTGCTCAGTAATGGAAGTGTCCCAATGCAGAAGGTCCATTTTGGTTGTTTGGTACCAGAAGCAAAAAAGAGGCGAAGAATTAACAGAGTGTGGAATATTTCTGCTATTTTCACTTTTCACCTTTCAGGAGAAAATATCATTAGGTAGCCTCGAGGTGAAAAGAACTAAGAATAATCAGTGTGTATCTATACCATACTTAACGTTTGGTCAGCTTGTCTTACTTAATTACCCTGATGATCAAACACTAATCATTATGGATGTCGATTTCAGGGACCAAGAGGGGACAGGGGACCGGTCGGCGAAAGAGGAACCCCCGGTTCTCCGGTAAGTGGAGTAATCCCGTCATCGGTCTTAATCAGTACAATTGCAAACTTAAGAAGGGTTGAATCCTGCAACTCGCATTTGCCTTCTTCAAATATTCAGTTTTTCCTGAGTACCATACTTGATGTATAATTGCCACGCCTCTGGAGGAGATCTAAAGTGTAAGCTTTCGTTCTGAAAGCACGTTTGATATTGCCCTGGGTAATACGGTTATGATTTTTATTATTATTATAATTATGTTAGGGTGATCCAGGACCGCAAGGATTGCCGGGACTTCAAGGACCGCGCGGAAACACTGTAAGTATCTACCATAATAAGCTGCGAAATGAGGGAAATAGAGGAAAAGAAGAATGAACTTAAATTTGCCTCGCTCTCAACATGTGGCTTCATAGTTCAGTTGGTAGCGGCGCTCAACTAGTATTTAAAAGCCACCAGTTCGAAACCAGTGGAAGCCTAAATTTTTCCAGGTTCCTCTTTTTGCAGTTGTTTAGTTGAGGCTTAGATCATTTATTTACTTCGTGTAGTGTACAGCATAAGACAGCTCTGGTGACAATTCTTGTAAAGTGAGCTAACGAGAAATTCACTGACGCCAGCTAAAGCAAATATCACAATATCACAATGGACCAATAACAGCTTGAGGTAGAAACGTGCTTCGAGTTGATTGAAGCGCGAGCTAACGCGCAACAGCATGCTTGTGATGGGCTCATTCACTTTTACTAATGTTCGCTTTAGCCAATAGGGTGTCTTATGGCATTGTTTATGGCCCGTGGAAGATATCATCCTTGCAAATACATGGAAACCCAATGCAGATAGGCAACTGCTTTTTAAAATACTTGGGCTGGATTATTCGAAAGAGACTTTCACAAAGTCAGGATTAAACATTCAACTAGGTTTTAATTCCTCTGCTACAAAAGTGTGTACAATGCCGACTTTCTAGGTGGTTTAATTCATTGTGAGACAAAACTTACGTGCTCATGAGCACGAAGCCTCTCTGCCAAGTCATAAAACTAAACGAATAATTTAGCACGTGCCTGTGTTAGATTAATCATGATTGAAACAACCCAGCCGTGTCGCTTCGGTGCTGGGAGGCTTGTTTTCCGATGTCTTCAACGATATATTTTACTATTAGGGTCCAAAAGGAGAGAAAGGATTGCAAGGATCCCAGGGAGAAAAAGGAGACAAGGTAAGGAAAGAAAAATTGAAAATAAAGCAAAACGCAATAGTTCCTTTTGAAAGAAAAACCTGCAGATAGAGTTAAACTCTCAGTGACTTACGCTGGTATATTATTACAATGGAGACAAGACAAAAATAGCATCGTTTTTTTACATCAAATCTATTAACTTAACTCAGGTCAAGCAACTATTGGTTGCACAGATTTCAGCCTAGATAAATCACCACATTGAAATTAAGTAATGAAAATGATAACACCTTAATTATGATAATAATGATACTTAATATATGTAGCGCTATTTCTATTGCTATCCAAGTGATTTTAAAATATCTCACGTAGAAATGTCTAAAACATGAATAAGAAAAACTAACTAATAAAATGACTAAGCTGTCAAAATCAGAATAAAAACTAAGAATAATAAAACCATGCAAATAAAAACTTACTAGCTACCTAAATAACTTATTAACTGACTAACCAGTGATAAGTTATCTAGTAAAAAGCTTTCTTAAAAAAACTTTCCCTAAAGCTTTTCCCAAAAAAGCTTTCCTAATGGTGGGTAAGAAAGTGTAACCCAAATAGCTAAGTTAATCTAGTGTATGATCCTGATGAATTCTCTTACCAGGCAAGTGTGTGAGACAAGGTCACATCTGATAGAGTATAATAGGAAAGATAATTACAAGTGATGAATAGTATCTTTGTATAAGATCCGATACGTGTAATACCCCATTTACACCAAAGCTTGAACATGTCTTAAAGTTGTTTTGTCAAACACAGTGTAAGTTTTTTTTGCTTCATAGAAGCTGGTTAACCTAATATTTATTGAATTAAAATGTAGCGCACCGGAAAAAAAGTTAGCAAGTATTTGAATCCTAAACGGTTAAGAATATATGAAAGTCATATATTTGAACTGCGGATAAAGATGTGAATGAAAGTGATCCTCGCAGTAATGTGTACTACTTAGGCAGTAGTGAAAATAAGGCCTGAAAAAAAATTCAGGCCTGTACGGGATTTGAACCCATGACCTCTGCGATACCGAATCCTATGTAAAATTCAGTGTTTGAGTTTTCTATTTATGATTTTCACTCAGTAAAAACTAGTTTAACAAAACTGGTTTTGGTGGTGTAAGCGATACAGTTAACCTTTACTTGTTGTCTACTTTAGGGATGGCCTGGTTTCTTCGGTCCTACGGGAGTTGCTGGCCCATCTGGTGATAAGGTGTGTAAAACTAATGAAGGGGGTTACTTTCTGAAGAAACTGTGGTGCTTCATCAGTAGGAGGTGCTACATGATAATTTGGTTTTCATAACCAAAATTAGCCAACGTAAAGAGTATCTAAAGCTGACGTTTCGACCGCGAGCCCCTCGTCAGAGTGAATGAAACTAAGTTCATCAACTTATGACAGGTCCCCACGGTGGAAATGCTAATGCTATTAGATTGTCACTCAACATATACACAAATGCTGGGGGAATACAATTGAATCACGCACACGTTTTTGAGATTCTTTAGTTTCTATAACAACATTTAACATGTTAACTGTTTCTCTCCTAGGGTGACATTGGTCCTCCCGGACCCCAGGGTTTCCCAGGACCCAAAGGTGACAGAGTGAGTATCAAAACAAAGTGAATTTCACTTGACCAGTACATTTAAGCTGTAAACAGGCTTTGCCACTTAGTACTTTTGCTTTTTACTGAATTTTTGGTTGGTTTTTTTTTACGTAATTTGGGTTTTTTTTGTTTATTTTTGTGTTGTGTTTTATTTGTCTGTACCTTTCCTAGGGTGACATTTTGGTTTTGTACTTTATCTATCTAACGCTGCAGTTTTGTTGGATAATCATAAAATTGAATCAGCCATATACAACATAATAGGCAATGCCTATCGCAGGGAGCAATTTGCCTGCACCATCCGCTTCTTCTTGATATCAGTATCCTGCAGACATTGTTGAGCCAACCCCGTAACCCCCGGGACAAAATGTTTTGGACATTATACCCCCTCCTACCCAAACATTTTTATTTCTCGTTAATGTAGCTCCACGCACGTTTTCCAATATGTCGACTCACAGAAACTATTTCATGTGAAACTGCTGCCAAAACTGTTATATATATATATTTATATATATATATTCTAATTTACGCGGCCTTAAACTGGGTTGAGTTTCATCAACTAAATGTTGTGACTTACTGGGTTGTCTTTATTTTAATGGCGTCTTTATTCTGTCCCAGGGTGAGGACGGGGACGACGGACCTGCCGGACCACCAGGGCCGTCAGGGCCTAGGGTGAGTAATGGTTATTTTTAGAGTAGATTCTAATTACTGTATGGTTTGATGAAACTCATGTATAGGTCCGCAATGGTATTTTTGATGTTTTGCGATTATAAAGTACAGTGTGGACTTACCGGGTAACTAAGACAACTACTGTCATTCAGACCAATAAACGACACGATCAACAGTTCCTCTAGGTTCAAACTATTTGTGGCTCCCGCTTACAGTGTTGCGTTACTTTGTGCGGTAATTCGCGCCACATACATTGCGTTACATAAGTCTATTCGTTGCTAGGTTTTGACTGACAGTCATATACGTTGCTATGGGCCACGTGCACCCAGATCAGATGAGTTTGGAGGGGTTGTTTTTGCGAGTTTGTGTCGAGCAAGAAAATTCTGTCTTTCGGTAAAGACAAGTACAATTTACGAACCAGAAAGTGTGTTATGGTCGCCACAGCGACACTATTTATTGTTTATTTAGAGAAAATTACTCAGAACTGTTTTTACTTTATTTGTAGGGAAGCACTGGTCTACAGGTTTGAAAATTGTTTACTTCTGTTGTCTTGTTGTGAAACTTATTTTTCGCTGTTTTTGCCCCATCCTTTTTCGTCTCAACTTTGCTTAGTGCTGACGTTTGTTTCATTTCTGTTTCAACAGGGTGCCAAGGGAGACAGAGTAAGTACAAAAAATGAATCCTTAACCCTTTGGCCCTCAAGAATGACCAGCATCTAATTTCTCCCTACTGTATCAGCCATGAATCACACATTAAGGTCATGAGAATAAAGGAAATGATCAACAATGAAAGAGGCTATTGATTGTTAGAGAAATTCTCCTCGTCAGCACCTTTGGAAAAGTATAGAGAACAGTATAGAGAATATCCATGTTGATGTTAGGATATAAAGAGAGGTCCGAGTTCCAGCTCAGGGTGGGCTTATTGTGTTGTGGGAAGGGGTGCGAGGCTTGGCAAGCATCTCATGCAGAGGGAGTAGCAATAATCCCTATCTTAAGCGTTGTGGTTCACATGTCCCTAGATAAAGACTTTAGTGTTCTATGGCAAGCGACTGGCTTTTAGAAGAACTGTTTCATTTTCCAACTTTCTTCTTCAACTAGCCCTGTTCGATAAGCCATGTAAAAAAAAGTTATATTGGTAATGCCCCTTTGAAAAGTCTATTACCACTAGTTAAAAAGACATCTTGGTAAAACGTTGCAAAAGTACTTTTGTTTTTCTTTGTTCATATCGTTGTCCTATGCTTGAAAAACAAATTTATATTCATACTGTTAAGACGTCGGTAGGCTTACTTGTCTCAAACGCGTTTTAATGTTTGTTCTCTTCCTCTTCTCTTCAGGGACCACAAGGAGAAAGGGTAGGTTTTGAAAAGAGTTGTTGTGTGTGCCCGGCTAGATCATCATGTGATTACAACAACTGTAATATTTTTTCTCCTGGATTGTCACGATTATTTGTTTGTATTTTTGTTTTCATGTCTCTGACCGGGGTTTGTCTTGCTTTTATTTCAGGGTGACCAAGGCACTCAAGTAAGTAATTTTATAAGTTGAGCTCTGACAGATTGTGCGATCAATTTACAGTTGAGTTTTGAAAATAATCTGTGTAAGGGTTAGGTGGTTTTACTTCACGCTGTGATCAGTTTAACCCTTTAAACCCCAAGAATGACCAGCATCTAATTTCTCCATACAGTAATGCTGCTGAATCATTCATTACTGAGCACTGTGAGAATTAAAGAAGTGATCACCAACCTAAGAAGCTTTGATTGTTAAACAAATTCTCCTTGTCAGTACCAAAGGAAATGTGTGGAGAATGTAGATATTGATGGAAAGGTGTAAGGGGTTAAGAAAACTGGCACCATGTTAATTTTAAGTATGAAGGCTTTTGGTTGAGGCAGTCTCTCTCTTTTTTATCATCCGATTGTTTTAGCATAATCTCTGCTATCTCTCGCTCCCCTGCTCCATTTCCTTCTTGGTCCTTCTCTTCTTCTTTTCTCTTTTCTATTTCCTTTTCTCATAATTTTTTTTTCCATTTATTTTTCTTTAGGGACCACAAGGCCCACCGGTAAGAAGTAAACTATTTGTTAATCAAACATTTATAATTAACGTGCAATTTCTCCCCGCTGATTTAATGAGAGCTTTTTCCTTGAAGGAAAACGCCCCACCTCCCATCAATTAAATGAAGAAGTGCACGCAATAAGGTTGCGTATTGCACGTTGCGCAACACCAAGGATTGACCTTTAAATAAAGACCTTTTGCAGCCATTCGGTGCACAGTACATCCAATGTTCTCTTCAGCTTACAGAAAAAGTGCCTATTTGATTACTTGTGTCGAATAATTGACGACAACTTTCTGAATTCCTTTCTGTGAAATTGTTTTTCAGGGACCTCCAGGAGACATCGTAAGTAGAGAAATGTTATCACCTTCTTAATTAAAGGTTTTCGACTCACCATTTTGCGAAATTATATGTGTACAGACGTTCACATGGCCTTAAGGGAATCATTCTCCACCCACTCTCCCCAACCCCCTTCCCCCCTCTCCTTCCCATGTCATAGAATTATGCGGTGTTGGCAAATTAAAATTAAATTTCCTTGGCTCATACCGCACGTGGCTACAGAGAACGTTTTATGATAACTAAGTGAGAGATACTTGTCTTGGTGCTGGTGATAAATTGACTGCACAGGTCAATATGCGATGATATTACATTGCAGAAAACAATTATTTTCTGGTTCCCTTTATTTCGGCTGAGGAAATAATTTTTCTCCTTGCATTTAACAGTTTGAATGTGCTGGAGCTCTTTCTCACTTAAACACGAATATTAGCCTCTTAGCCAACTTATACATGGTAGAATCAATCAGTTAAAGATAATGTTCTTTTCTGGGGTCGTGAAGCTATACTTCGACTAAATCATTGTTCAGATAATGTTCACTCTTCTCTTTTTGCTTTTGTTAGAGTTCATTCCTAAGCAGTGGCTACTTTGTGCCCGGCGGCATAGAAGTTGGTGCGGACAAAGGTAACACCAGAAAGAGAAGAGCTGTGGATTCAACAGATGACACAGACTCTCAGGGACTGATCCAGTCGCTCAAGGATGAAATCGAGAGTATTAAACGACCAAGCGGAACAAAAGCTAACCCTGCACGAAGTTGTAAAGATCTGCACTTATGTCATGGCGACTTGAAAGACGGTAAGTGTTGTTGAAACCTCCAGTCGGGCGCCATGGATTTCCCATGTACCTGGTAAGAGTCGAGGAGAAGAAGCTAATGAATCGAAAGGTTCGAGAGCTGTCTGGGCTAAGAAGACATTCAACTCTCTTTATCCACTTGAGATTGACCCTTTACACCCTAACATCAGTGTGCATATTCTCCATACTGTTCTCTATACATTTCCCAAGGTGCTGACAAGGAGAATTTGTTTTACAATCAAGAGCTTCTTTAGTTGGTGATCATTTCCTTTATTCTCGTTGTTTAATTCAGGGGTGACATTTTATGGGGAATTTAGATGCCAGTCACTCTTAAGGGTTAAGAGGTTAATACTCGGTATTGGCGAACTGTCAAGGAAACTCAACTGTTGTTTGCGTGTGTGCTACTTGGTTTAGTCCAAGAGCACGCCTAGTTTTTCTCTCTAGAAACCGAGTTGAGCTTCTACTGTAATTGGACTTTAGGCTCGTCAGAGTTTACCTTACCTGAACTAAATCGACTTATGCTTCCTTCTTTTCTTCAATAAAAACACGTAGGTTTGTACTGGATTGATCCAAACCATGGCTGTATTGAAGATGCTATTCAAGTGCATTGCAACTTTACTGCTGGCGGACAAACCTGTATTTCTCCTGATGTCAACACTAAGCGCGTATGTACAACACCTTAATTTATCGTGCAAAAATCCTTTGAAGAGCCCATGTCTTTCCTCCGTCAGTGTCTTGTTTGTCGTAGTCTCCCTTGCTGCCTCTTTTGGCAAGATGTCTGAGAACAATTCTCAAGAAACGTTACGTAAAATTCGACTTAGGAAGAGAAGATTTTGTTAGGTTTCATGTGGCCCGATCTTCCTGTCTTTCTGTGACACCATAAGTGATTTTTTACTAATTTTATGACCTCACTTTAAGGCGATAAAATTGGATGTGTTTTTTTCATATGTCAAAAATGAACAGGCTGCTAACAAAAAGTGGAAGAAACTCACCGGATCTGAGTGGTTTAGCGAATATGAAGATGGTTATGAGGTGACATTTTTTCCTTCGTATATTTTCATTTACTTAGCATTCATAAGTTTCTGATTGTTAGTTGGTTTGGTTGTTTTCCATTGCATAAAAGTGATTCTTTTAATTATATCTTTTTTCCAGATCTCGTATACGGGTGTTGGTAAGACGCAATTGAATTTCTTGCGGTTACTTAGCGAGAAAGCGACGCAAACATTCGACCTGACTTGCAAAGGATCTCAAGGGTGCTTCGACAGTAAGAGTAACGCGCTGGAGAAGGCCATCAGACTACAAGGAGCTAATGATGGCATCCTTTCTTACATGAAAAACGATCCAACCGTCAAGATTACAAAGGTATGAGCGGATAGCTATGACAAGTATGAAGATGACACAGATTTAGCCAAGTCTTAGAATGCATCTCGAGTGAATAAATTTTTTCTTCGGTTCATACCGATCAAGCGAAGTATAGTTTGCGCCCTGACGGACATACGCACTGTCGTCGCTCGAGAACCAGGGTTTCTCGGTGTGATGGATTGCCATGGATTCTTATGTATGGGACTCCTCCGGTGCACATAGTTATTGCGCAGTAACTTCGCCATGACAAGACGTGCCCGGGTGGTTAGTCCATCGGATGGTTAGACGATTGATCAAGCTCCGATCGAGAAATCGACACCCTGAAGTTTATTTTGTATTGCAAGATTTCACGATTATCTGCTAAAGGATATGTCATGTTAAAACACCCTTTCAACTGTGTTCTTTGGTGAGTAAACTTAAAGTGAAGACGAGGCCTTCAAACTCTGGAGTTATTGCGCACGAAGTAAGCGCGCTAGAAAAGCCCCATACCTAAGAACCTCTAGCAACCCCATACCTTTCTTGAACGTTCTTTTACAAGATAATTAACCACGAGTGAACGAGGATGGTCAATGATTGGGGAATATTGACACGCATTACATTCGGCAACTTTGTTTTTTATTCTTTCCTTAGGTCCGAACAGACTGGAAAGCAGTTGTTCACGTAGAAACCGAAGACCTCAATCAAATGCCCATAGTGGACTTCGCCCCTGGAGAATTTCTTACTTCCAATGAATTTGGTTTTGAAGTTGGACCTATTTGTTTTAGTTAGTTCTTGTTGTTGTAACTCAGTGTCTTTCCTCTTTAAATTAACTCTCGAGTGAAACTATTAAATAAGATGTTCCTCTGAAAGGTATATGGTTCTGCGTAGTGTTGTAGTTTTTATCCTGTTCAAATAAAAGTCGTCATAGAATTTCCTTAGTTTACCAATGAAACACCAGAGACAAATAATCATAATAAAGTGTCATCCGTGTACAATATCTGTTATTAGCGTTTCGTTAAGGCTAAACACAGGAAAATATGAATAAAAAATGGAGAGAAAGACTCTGGTTGAAACGCGCGGAATTATATTCAGTAGTAAATGCCTCATTGGCGCTTGGGTGTTTGTTTTAAATTCTCGCGTATTGTTTGAAGTTGCGAGACGAAGAGGAACCTTTGAGGAAAAGATTTCTAAAAATGACTAAGTCAGATTTCATTAAACTTTGTAATATTTTGTTGACTTCAAGGTATGGTTTGTGTTTGCAAGAATTATATTTATCCGAAAATAAAGTTACCCAGTACGAGAGGTTTCATCCCTTTTATCCACCCAGCACTGGTTCATTTACAATTTCAACTAGTTTAAAAACAAGGAAACAAAACAAACAAGAAAAGAAGAGTTAAAACAAACCAGCCTGATTCAAATTCTGTCAAAAGGGCCAAGAAATCACATGGTATGAAAACGGCAATGTTCACAAAACATTTGGTAATAAGAAAATGTATCCTCTACACACGAACTCTCCGACGAGAGCCTCGGCACTCGAGTAAACACCGAATGTTTTGCTGTTCATAAAATAAGTAGCGTGAAAATTATTGCATTGAAGCCAGCTTTCAGATAAACAGTAGAAAGCTATAACGACTTGGTTAGTCCAATTCTCAAATCATTTGGCATTTTAACCCTTTCACTTCAAGATCCAAGTGTTAATTCTCTGCACTGGTTCAATCATTACCGCAACCAAAATTGACATTCTACTTGAAAATGTATCGAAAATGATGTTGTCTTGAGAAATTACTTTTTGATTACTGAATCCCGGAGTGAGATGCCCTCGTTCAGTCTACAATATGACCTGTGCTCCCGTTTACATGTGGGAGACTGAATTGATTTTATATGAATTAGAAGTGAACTTATGGATATGCAACTGGATTTTGAGGACATACCAATAAGCAAGAAAGTCGACTGTGTATAGAAAACAACTTATCGTCTGGGTTGTAATTGATGATTGTATAATATTCCACTCATTTAATTCTAATTCTGTCAGACGAAGTCTATGAAAAGGACCTGAATAATCGGACGACACTCGGTCAGGTGATGGAATACTCCGGGAGGGCCCCTCCAACTCACCTTCAGCCGTGTAGCTAAATTGCTGCAGAGATTTTCTAAATTTGGTCTTTATTTAAAAGGATTTCTCTCGAATCGCAAAAATGTTACAAATCTCTTGTTCGAGATACCGATTCAACTTCCGGCGACTATGTGACCCTGGTAACCGTAATATTTTAAGCAGATACTAACCTGCATGTTTGGTGAGACTTGCATTTCCTGTTCATATTTTGCAATATACAGTATCGTCTGTACCGCACCCAAACAAGTATATGATACAAGAAAACATGAAAACATGAACTGGTCCCCTGTGCGATGCAAATGATTTTTATGATAAAAGACATTGAAATGTAATAACTGCCAGTTGATAAAAACTGTTTGTTTTCCCGTTATCACAGCTGTCAGGTGACGTGAATAGTCCAATATTCATGTTATTAACTGTTGTGACATTCAGTGGTAAGGAACCCCATTCCATAGGTTTATCTATACCTTTTGTAAAAATACTTATCACAAGTGCGACAGTTTGGTAAAAACTAGATGGGTCGGTACGAATTTCTTGAGGTATGAATACAAGACCTGTCTTAGAATAAAATAACTCAGGTATTCACCTGCAGAGGAGTAAACAGTAGTTTTTGAAAAATAGTCAGAAACACGAAGCTTTACAAAGACAGTCTCTCGCATTGTTTGCTTAGTTCTAATTTGTGTTTACTTACGCCTGCTATCAAAACAAAAAAAAAAAACTTTCGGGATGTTTATTACATCCACACGAGGCTCTCGGATTTCTTGAAGGGATCGAGTTACTATAAGACGTGCTGGCCGCGAGAAAAAAAATCGAACCACGTATCAAACTCAGGAACGAATTTCAAGAAAATGTACTTCAAGGTGTTGTTTGTTGTTGGGCTTATGCTCCCAGAAATCTCTTCAGACATTGTCGACTTAAACAGTAAGCTTATCATTTGATATTTTGGGATCTGTGACAGTTAAGAATTCACCATTTTCTTTATCGTTTATTTCTTTACTCAACGCCCCTCACGTTCTCTCGAAAAAAAAACGAAAAGCCTCATATCTATACCGCTTTCGAATTCTCAAAAAAAGAGAGCAGAAGACAGTTTTGACAATGAACACCTCCCGCTAACCGAGTTCGAAATCATATTGTAAGTTACAGACCGAGTATTTTCCCCTTCGATTTAAGGACTAAGAGCAAGAGGGCCAGAATTCATAGGAACAGAAAGGAGATACATAACTGACAGTACGGACTTGGACGAAATAGTCGCTAGTATGGCCTACTTTACAGAACTCAAATGAAAACCAAGTAGAGTGGCTTGATTCAGTATAGCTCGACAGTGGTTTTTAAATGTCTAATCTAATTCTATCACGCCCAATCAAAACGACTATCAAAACGAAAGTCCAATCCCCGCACTTGAAATTAGTTTGCCACGCAAAGAGCGTGCCGTTTGAAATCAAGTCGTGTTATACTGCAGTGCGGCACGGTAGGGCCTGGCTTTCCAAAAGTACTTGTAAGCGTCGTGTTGCTATGGTGCTTGGCACGCTAATAGCGCGACGTTTGAAACGACGTTTTAGATAATTCTTATGTCTATGCCGATGATTGTGGTAGTTTTGGAAAACGATTTCTTCGGCTTCAAGTGGCTGACGGAAGAGTTTAAAATTACGATAAAAATGAAAAGTAAGAAAAAATATCTGCTTCCATTTTCCCACGCCGAAATGAATCAAATGAATAGTATATCCTTTAATTTTCTTCACTGTCAGTAACGGGCTAAATGCTTCATTTTTGAGTGTTTGTTTTCAAGATTTCTTCCTGAGCAGATCTAGAGTAATTGTTCGGAAGTTCAATGTAAACTCCTCCTTAACAGGTTTGAAATGTAAAGGACAGAACTCACCAGCCCATGGTAGTCTGACCTGCCATGAAGACACTACCACTAAGGAAGTGTCGTGCACTCTGAAATGTGACCACGGTTATGACGTAGAATTCCTGGCTGCTGAGCGTTATGTGTGTAACACTGATGGGACTTGGAGAGCTCAGCCATTATCCACTGGCTCACGATGGCCGAACTGTAAAAAGTACAGGTGAATATGCACAGAGAAATAGTTCAGATTGTCTCGATGTCTTTCTTTCTTTCTTTTAAGCGATTTGACAGCCACACACGGGAGACACAATAATCTTCGAACTGAGAGCCAGCCTAACATAAGAGTTAGCGTGTTCGTTGACTCACCTCCTTTCTTTTTCTCTATCTATCAATTGATCAGTCGGGATATAAATCAATTAATGAGTCAATCACCAATCAATAAATTTCTGATCAATCCATAAATCAAACCACCCTCCAACCGTTCGTCTGTCTGTTCGTTTCCTCATCCATCTATACAATTATCCATCCAGTCATTTACTTGTTTGTTAACTTCTGCAACCATCCTTCTTGATAAACATTGTTTGGGTCTGAGGCTATTTAAACACCTCAATCTGTTGTAACTCGAAAATTACCCGTGCAATACAATACATGTACAAAAAAAACCAGAAAATAAAATTATTTCTATTTCTTAAGTCGGCACTTACGTTTGCATTTGCGTTACGGTAGTTCACGCATTTATTTCCGTGCGTTCGCATTTGTGACCCATTTGCAAAACAGGTTTTCTAGATCCTTTGATGATTTAATATCAAAGCGTCACTGTATCAATGACATGTTTTGTTATGTTTCAGCCGTGGAGAACCGATTCCATGATCGATGATTCAGTGAAAGTATACGACAGGGCTGAGAGCTTCAAATATAACATAACTTTATGAAACTGACCTCAATGACATTAGTTCCAAAAGATATAATTGCTTCAGGAGAGCCTGTTACTTCTAATAAATGAATGGACGAATAAACAAATCTCTGGGCGACCTAAATTGTAAAACTATATGTTTGCTGGCTTGTTTGTTTCGGTGTGGAGTATTCAGGCCATATCCCTCAAAACAGGTTTTCAACCATTGGATGTTTTTTTTTTTTTTTAAAAAGGCAAATATTCCCTGCCTTATGTCCGATTCCTTACAGTTCCATCGTAAGTTGAGGCTCGTTCCCGAAAGAAAACGTATGCGAGGCTGAAAAACGTAAATGGCAAACCTACGTAAGTTTCGGTATTTAAGTTTAAGCTCTTTTTCCCTACAGAACTTCAGATTAAATATCTCGACTATGCTTTGAAACGAATGAAATTTCTTAAATTTCATTACGCAGCTTTAGTTCAATTACTGCCCGCAGAGGAAAGGTGCTCTCGTCCTGTTTATTTCCCGTCATTCTGTTACAGGCTATAGTCGACAAAGACTTAATCGAGTCACCCTGCTAAAAAATTATCAATTTGGTGCGCTTGTCACATAACGTCTCTCCTTAGAGGTTTTATTTTCCCATAAATCTCAGCCAGGGAAGATTATTCTCCCATGTCCTTTTGAGTCATTTCTCACAGGTTTTAGAAGGCATAAATTAAGTTCCTTATCTTGCGAGGAACATAGACACCCACCAAGTAATGAAAAATCGTTTCAGCAGGCTCCACCATATTGGAGAGAGAATCCTGGAGATAACCGACAGCCCACCAACAGGCAAGTAAACATGCAGTCGAGGCTGCTGCGCAACACAAGGGTACAGAGAGGACTAAGACTAGGGCAAAGAGTCCCGCGCCAACCAAAGAGGACTCCGCTATTACGAACACAACAAACGAAACGATAAAAGTGACGAAAACGAATCCAAGAAATAGCATACAAGGGACAGAGCCTGCCAGAATAGCAGTGCTCACAAACAGAGCAGTCAGTGGTCTTCGCCTGAAGAATCTGAGCAGCCAAGATAGACGAGTAGATCGTTTGTTCACTGGCTGCTGTTTCTGCCAATTGTTATTTAACATAGTCTTTGGTTTGTCGTCTGGCAAATGGAATCTGATTCTTGTGTGAATTTTGTTTTCACTAACAGTCCCTTGATCACGACTTGCCATAACCTTTGAGGAGTAAAATTTTTTTAGAAATTAGTAATCAATAGCTAAGCGAGCTGCATTCAATTCTATTCAGGTAAAGCTCCTATGAAAAGAAATAAAAATACAACCATAATAACTGAAAAGGTTGACTAATTTATTTTCAATTGGAGGGTTCCTACGCAAAAGAGCAGCGTTACAATTTGTTAAAGTAGGTAGTGAAAGCGAATTGATGAATTCTCATCTGGCTTTTCAATGAATGCTATCAAAATCTCTCAACCTTGTAATCAAAGGGAAAATGACGTTCATGCATGAGGATTGATTGCGTGGTCACGTAAAGGAATGATGGAAAAAAAGACTGGAAATATTTTGACCGAGAATGTAAGATGGCTGATTGCGCTCAATGAGCAAGCCTTTCGGAGCGCTAAATTAATAGATATTAAATTTTGAGCGTACGATCCGACTATTTGAATATGAAATGTTGTGTCTAGAAGTCAATCATTTGTCAGGGTAATATCAATGACTAATTTAGACTTCCAAACGTAGAAAAGCGAGAGAGCAAACAGTAGTTTTTGAAAGTAGTCAGAAACACGAGGCTTTAGGAAAAACAGTCCCTCGCATTCTTTAGTTGGTTCCAATTTATGTTTACCTATTACCCTTTATAAAAAAGATATCCTTCGGGATTTTTTTAACCTTCCACACGAGGTTCTCAGATTTCCTGAAGAGATCGAGTTACTGTAAGACGTCTTAGTGGCGAGACCAGACAAAATAGAATTTGTTATAAGATAAACTCTAATGAATACTTAATTTTTAAAAAAGTCTACATTTTGAACTCTGCAATCTGATTATTTGAATGTGGAATCTTGCGCATCTAGAAATTGATTCTTTACCAGTGTAATTAGACTTTGAAATCTTGCAAAGGGGCTGGAAGAACACAACACAAATACGGTATCTGGTCGAGGGTCTGTTTCGTATCACTGACTTGCTGCACTACCCAAATAAACTTCATAGCTGACCTTCTATCCTATTTCTCTCTATGAGTATTGATAAACAGATAAACAACGAATCAAAGTGTCTCTTTTACCTGAGAACTAAATCTTTGTCATACAGACATCATAGTCCTTTCTTAGCATTTTGAATTTATCCCGTCTTGATGACGTCAAAATTGAATTGAATTTAATCGAACGTCAGCGCAGATGTAACGCGCGTGGGATATAAACTTGTTCCCAGGACTCTTCATCCCTACCTCGGTAGCTTTGGAGGCTTATTTCTTAACTATAAAATACAAGTACAGTAGAACCTACGATCGCCCACGATCGCCTACGGGGAATGACCGCTAATACAGGTTCCACAGAATAGGAGTATTATAAAAAATAAAAACACCAAAAACGCCATATTTGCCAAAAGTAATGACTCAGTGTACAAAAATACCTATAACTGATTATGGATTTTTATTTAAGTAGTTGCTCTTCAAGAGACCGTTCGATACAGGTGGAGAACAATACAAACAGGCCATTAGGACTCAGCAAAGGGTGACCACGACCGCTTAATAGAGGTGACTGCTTGATAGAGCTAAAAATAACAATAATTAAGGGGAAAAAATTTCGGGACTTCGAAAATCGACCGCTTAATACGGCGTGACCGCTTAAAGCGGTGTTGCTTAATACAGATTCGACTGTGCCTGAAAATAAATTATTGTCGTAACAGTAACCTTGCAAGTGTTTTCTGGTGGCTAAACCAGTCGCAATTCACTTTCTGTTGAGGCACAAGAGACTTTTCAAGAGAATTTTTCAGCATCTTGGAACGATGCCCCTCTAGATGAGAACTAAAGGAAAGGAGCTGAGCTAAAGGATGTTTATATACGAAGCATCATTTTTGTTTTTGTCAGCCTTTTGTCTTCTTTTGTATTTACTTACGTCTTTCGCGAAACAACAGCTGGTGCAAAGTAACGATGGGCGACCATTTCGAAGATTCCAGCGCATGTACCTGATTGTTTACCTGATGGCACAAGGTGAAAAAATGTATTTTTGCGCTAATCCTGCTTTGAAATATTATTCTGATAGATGACAACTGTTTATTTTTGTGAGGAGAAAGGGGCTTCATGAGGGGAACTAATTTTCCCTTTACCTTTGCCGCGGTTGGGTAGGGTTGACTTCAAGTCATGGTCACCCGTTGTCCAGCTTCTGTAGCGATTGAAACCAAAACACGAAATTATTACCAAGTACTACGTCTACACTAATGAATATGACAATAAATTTGCTTACTATTGATTTTTAGCAATTGTTTTGAAAGATACAACCGAAATTGAACCAGTATCGGCTATTTACTGCAATAGGGTGATCTATTACCAACAGTTTAGCAACAGGTACCCTGAAGGATGCCATAGGCAAGTAATTCGCCATTAAATTTTTTCACAAATCTTTCAAATACATCTCAGATGCAAGTCTGATGTAATCTAATAATCTTGGGAGAAAGATCAACAAAGAAGTTTCCATATTCTATTTTTGTTTGTTTTTTTTTATTTTGTTTGTTTGTTTGTTCAGTTTCACATTGAAAGGCTTTGTCACTATTCAGGAAATTAAAAGAAAAAAAAAAAGACAAAAAAAAGAAGAGGTCACCCCAAAACCTTTTTGTTTTTTGACTCATCAGTTATGTTCGTTGATCCAAAAGACTAGTAACACAGATTCTGCTGGTGTCATCGTTCCCAAAAAATTTTAGATTATATTCGTCTACATTTACTTCAAATTCGGGAAAGTCGTTTAAACAAAATCCATTCTGGAAAGCGTTTACGACGGACTTTAAGTGACGAAAAGCCTCCACTGTCAATTCATCTTAGACGCTATAGGAGACGCGATAATAGATGACCCCAAGGGCGCTAGTGCTGGGAAAGGGCTGGGAGACTGGTAACTTCAAAACAAGCATGGAGACAAATAACGACATGGCGGCTAATGGCGTGTTGCTCATCCTTACAGAGTTTCCAGAATTTGATGCAAAATTTCTGAAAAATTTGCAGACTGAGGGCCAACATCTGGCCGCCACTGAAAGTGTATACTTATATGTATGTAAACCTGTGCGTTTTACCCAGTTGTTTAGGTAGGAAATAATGTGTAGGGCGCGAACCGTGTGCATACGGACTTCCGGTCACATAGAAGTAAGCAAGAGGGTTAAAGATCAGCTGGAGGTCGTTGAGTGCGAGTAGAAAGACAAAATGGCGTGTGAGACAAAGGAATTCGATTTTAAATTCGTCGTAAATTGTACAACGAGCATAAAATGGAATTTTGCAGTTCCTTGTGGATTAAGTTAAAATGTTTGCATGTACACAGTCTGTAGCTTATGGTTTACCAGAAAATTAGACAATTTTTTATTTTAAGTATCCTATCCTCCTAACCGATCAAAAAAAAAATCTGATGATCGGAAAGAAACTGATCAATTATTATCAATATATGACTGTAAGCTAACTATGGGTCAAAAGTGGTGCTCATTTTTAATTATTTTTTTGGTTCAGTAGTCAACAATTTGAATTCTGATTTTAGGAGCTGACTGGCTGCAGGGTCCACATGTCTACGCATTATTTTCCAGTTATGGAATGACATCCAAGCAAATCAACCAGCTTTTTGTGGTAGGATTTGGTTCCTCCATGGTTTTTGGTACAGTTTTGGGCTCGTTTGCTGATAGACTGTGAGTTTGTAATTCTGGTTTGCCCGCATTATTCATATTTTGTCGTCTTGACTCGTATAAAGAATAGTTTGTTATTATGCCTAAACTTTTCCATATCAAAACTCACAGGGAAGCAAACATTATTAGCTAGTGCAGCTGTCAGTTTCTCCTGCTCTTTGAAGAGTAGGGTAAATATTGCTTGTGGAGACTTAGTGAAATTCTATATTTTCTTTTACAGAGGAAGAAAATTTAATTGTATTCTTTATGGAGTGCTGTATGGAGTGGATTGCCTGTCAAAGGTATGGCGACATTGGCTTGGTGAAACCAATTTTATTAAGGATACTTTATTTACTTATTTGCCATAATTAGACATGATGGCGCAGTTCAGCCCAAAAGCCGGCTGAATGGAGGCCTGCATAAACAATAACAAGGCCTGAGACTACAACACTGGGAGCCATGTTCCCCATTCCTGGAGAAGTAAATGGGTTCTTATATGTCCCCTGCTAACCAGTACAGAGAAGGGGTCAGAGATGGGGTCAACGGTTTATTGTCCTAATCTGAGAAAACTAGAATAACTAGCTATTGGCAGATGTCACAGCAAAGGCAGTGCATTCCCCACAATTATTTTAAGACCCTGAGTGTTGGTTTGTCGGTTTGAAGCTTGAACTGTCAACCTCTCACACAGCAGGATAGAGAGTGGTAGAATGGCTTGGGCATTTGATGCAAATGGAAATGCTGTGGAGTTGATTTGTCAAAAAGTCTTGGTAACTTAACAGGCCAATAACCTTAATCTTAAATCTAAATCTCACAAACAGTAGTGGACCGTTGGATAATTGACACAAAAAGCCAGGAAACCATCAATCATATAATCAACAAGTTTATTTGAAGGAATTATTTGATCTGAAACATACAATTAAGCAATATAATATGAAACATTCAAGTATTTACAACACCGATTATAAAAGTGGATAATAAACCAACAGTACAAGCTAAACTAATTGAAACTTACTTCTGTCACCAGTTTCCCGTTAAATTGATCATTTGGTGTAACTTTTATAAAACTGGTTAGCAAACACGTGTAAGAACTGAACTGAACTGAAACCTAATGAACTTGACATATGAAACAATTAAAAGTGTCAATTACATTGTTTGTGATCATTGTCAATCATTAATAATATTTTGTCACCGTAACAAGTAGCAATTACTGGTTTTAAGCCAATCCATTTGTTGGGCTGGTATGGAGACCTTACAGTTTATTTCATTAAAGTTTATTGCACCTCACAATTATACTTAATATTATTAAGGGGGATTGTTATAATCTAATTTTTTCAGCATGTACCCAGTTACTGGGTGTTGTTGGTTGGTCGTGTAGCCGGTGGAATGGCGACATCCATTTTGTTAAGTGCTTTTGAATCATGGGTAGTCTGTGAACATGACAAGGTATTGTTGGGAATTTTTGTCTGAATGTAAGTCTAAATAGAATCATATTTGAAATCTTTTCGGCTGTGATTATTAAACTGTGGGTCTGTGTCCTGGTCTCTCTTTGCAAATTTAAGGAACTAATGTGAATGCACCCTATCTAATAATGAAACCAGGCCATCCTTTAATGAAAAACTTGAAACTTTCTAATAAAGGTTGAATTTACTTGATACTGATGTCCAGAGTCACTGAAGTGGGAGATTTATAAAGCTACCCAGGAGACTGGAAGATTCATCCAAGCTATCTGAGAGACTCCCAGAAAATCTAAGTGATTTGGCATACGTGGGAAAATTATACTATGCTCAAGGAAATCCTTACCCCCTCACCCCCTCACCCCTTTCAGAAAAGAAAATATTGATTGTGACTCAAAATGTAACTTTTTATTTCTTAACAAGACATATAGAGGAGTAACCCGATTTAGTATCCATTTTGTTTCAGGGAGGATTTAGTAAAGATTTGCTTAGTGACTTGTTTTCAAATGCCTTTCTGGGGAACTCCTTGGTTGCCATTGTCTCAGGCCTGGTTGCTCAAGTCTTTGCGAGTCATTTTGGTTTTATGTAAGTTTATCTCAGAAGCTTAACAGTAAGTCTGTTGGACTCCAGGTCCAATGTCTGGGCTTGAGATCTGAGGGGGGAGGTAGTTGGGGGTGGGATTATTGGGGGGTTAGTACCTCTCTCCACTCAGGATTATAAATGGGAACCAGGAGACTATCAAGGAAGCCTGACATAATGCCGGTGTAGGGGAGGGGGAGGGGCGAGGTAACCTGGATGGACTTAAGCCTCTTAACTAAGAATCAGGGACAGTAGGAATACTCCTCATTACCTCATGCCACAGCTGTCTGGATAAGGTCTGGCACACTATGGCAAGTTGACTGCATACCTCACTTTTATCAAGCTGGGAGTAGCCAGAAGGGTTTCCTGTGGGGTGTGGTCAGAAAAATCAAGGTTTTTCCACCAAAAATTTGATTGGGCTGTACTTTTTTTGAGCTTGTCCTACCTGTACTTTTATGGTCTATGTGTTTTTCCAGATTCTGGATTTTGTATCCAAATAGTCAAATGACTTAAAAATTAAGTTCTTATTGTGTTGCTGGTATTTATTATTTCTGATTAGCCTCCCTTACAAAGTTTTTATTTTGCCAGTCTTTTTATTGGTTACCAGTATATTTTCAATCAGTCTGTAATTGAAATTGCTGTACAGTGGTGCAGAACTGTAGGATTATGTGCTCTGTATTAACCTTTTACAGCCTAACATCAGTACACATAGTCTCCATACTGTTCTCTACACATTTCCTTAGGTGCTGACAAGGAGAATTAGCTTAACGATCCAGAGCGTCTGTAGTTGTTGATCATTTCTATTATTCTCATGACCTTAATGTGTGATTCAGGCTTGATATTGTAGGGAGAAATTAGATGCTAGTCACTCTTAGGGTTAAAGGGTTAAGCTTAGTATTTTCATTCTGATAATTGCTGATTGTAGTTAAGCCCACATAACATTGCTTTGCTCTCTGTCATTGCTCGGTGATAAAAGTAATGGTGATGTTTTATACTGCTGTCAAGCTTCAGCAGCCACATGTACATGTAGGTTATACAATTGTCCTAAATCACATTAAGCTCTGAACAGTTTAATGATAAAGATATCTGTTCACATTGCAGAGCTCCATTTAGTCTGTCATTTGTACTGCTGGTCCTTACAAGTGGAATTATCTGTTGCTGTTGGACAGAAAACTATGGAAATATTAGCAGTGATACAAGGCTCTCTGTAATTTGGCAAGGAATGCAAGTTATTAGACAGGGTCAGTAAAAGAAGATGAATTTAAGATTCACTTGTATGGTTCTCTCTGTAGTATGATTTATCATTCATTTGGTTGTGAGTTGTCATCAAATCTTCTTTGTTATCAGATCCAAAAGTTTTTTGCCTCGGACTGATACAGTCTTTGTTTGAGGGATCGATGTACTCTTTTGTGTTAGAATGGACTCCAGCTCTCACTCCTGGTAAGTTATCTCATAAATATGACTAATACTTATCTGTTGGGGAGGGGGTGGGGAAAAGATTACATTTCCGAGAAAGTCTGTACTCGAGCTAAGTGGCCCACCCAGCCAGAGCTTATCTCAGTTTCCTTAGCATGAAGAGACCAGGAGTATTGCTACTCCCCCTTGGATGGAATAATAGTCCATTGCAAGGTTACCCCCCCCCCCAGAATTTTATCTGAATGGAGAGAGGCACTGCAAAAGTAAAGTGTTTTGCCAAAGAACACAACATGCTGATCCAACAAAGTCTTGAGACCGGTCCTCTCCAACCAGAGTCCAGTGCATTAATCATTAGGTTACCAGGTCTCCCTCTTTAGAGTTACTGTAATACAATAAAAATTAAATAATATAACACAATCACAAGATTTAAAACAGCTGTCATTTTTACTCTGTGCATTGTTTTGAGAATTTTTAGATTCAGGAGTAGGCATAAATAATGTTGACCAAGACAACATTCCACATGGATGGATATTTGCTTCTTTCATGGTAAAGTAAAGAATTAATGGATGTAACTGTTAAGAAAAATTTTATATTAGACCAATAAGAAATTTTTGTGTGATTATGAGTTGTAAAAGAGAGGAAAAAGCACAGACTGCTCCAATACAAAAATTAAAAAATGCTCAAATTTGAAGAATTTCATCCTACCCCTAATTTTCAGTTTCTGTATCATGAATAACTTGTGTGGGATTTCATTTGGTGTGGTTAAATGAGGTGAGAATTCACACTCCAGAAAGACTTTTTTTTATGTAAAAAAACGTTTTTTGTTGTTCTAGGTGTCTGTAATGCTTGGTTCACATGTCTTTAAGTTACTCTCTAGAGTAACTTCTGTGGAGTCATTTTTGAGGTACAGTGCACAGTAGAATTGTTTCCATTACTACTTTTGGTTTAGCCTCTGAGCTTGAGACCCACCTCACTAAACCTATTATCAAGGCTGTGCTCTAGGAAAATTTTCAGGGCGCCCGAAGGGCGCCTAACCATGACAAGTAGGTCGCCCAGGTCGCCAAATATGGTGCTGATAAACATCTTGCATGCCACGGACGAAGCTAATTAAATAAACACAAATTAGCATAGAGGAAGGTTTCGTTTTATTAATCAAGCGCTCCACTATTGAAACTGTTGAAACACAAAATCATGTGAAACAATATTACATAACACACGCGACAACTTCTTCTTGTTGTCCTGCCGAATATTTTTTAGTTCTGCAAATGTCATCAAATTAGCAAGTAAAATTATAAAATGTTAGTTACAATCAGTTGCTCGCTTTATCGCGTCGTTCAATGGACAAGAAACCTGGGCCATGTACTATATTAATAAACCGGAAGAGAAACCACCGAAGCGAAGCAAGACCCATGACCTAACTTAATATTTAACCTAAATGTACAGATCACGCAGGCTATTGATTGCACTGCGCTTTCAGCGCTTTTGCTTTTCGGGCTAACGGGAGCCGGGGAGCACGATGGAGTTTCTTTATGTTTCGTTCCGTTCCGTTTCTACACGTTTGCTGGTTTCGTTTCGGGTTTCATACAAGCCGAAATCTATGCGCCCGGACGGGCGACCGCTTTTCTTTTTCAGTCGCCCGAGACCAAATGTTAGTCGCCTGAGGCGACCGGGCGCCCCTAGAGCACAGCCTTGATTATATAGGGATCTGTAACCCTTTATCTCCCAGAAGTGGTAAACAGGTAATGTCTCCATATATTATCCATGAATTATCCACCAAAAAGGTCATGGGAAATCTCAAACTTATCAGGTTGAAGTTATCTTGATCCAGCACCAAATTCTTCTAAATGATTTACAAGGAAATGTGTAGCAGCTTGACAGGAGAATTAACAATTGGATCTTGGTTTAGCTTGTGAGAAACCTTTATTATTACTGCTTGGCATAATTGTTTCTTTTCCAGCAGGAAAGTATGAGGCCTTGAATAATGCAAGCTGGGGGGAGGCCTGCCAGGGGAAATAGGGCCAGACCCCTCTTAAACCTCTCCTCGACTCTTTTCAAATCTACCTGCAGGCAGAGAAATACTTTCCTGCAGTGTTGATAATGATGGGCTGCTTGCTAGCTACCTTTTGGTTAAGCATTACAATACTTAGGTTGAGATCCACCTCAGTAAAACTTCTATATAGGGGTCTGTAACCCTTTAACTCTCAGAAGTGGTAAAAAGGTAACTTCCCTTTTATTATTCATGAATTATCCATCAAACAGGTAACGAGAAATCTCAAACTTATCAGGTAGAAGTTATCTTGATCCAAAACCAAATTCTTCTAATTGATATACAAGGAAATGTGTAGTAGGTAGAGGGGAGAATTAATAATCAGATCTTTGGAGTTAAAAGTTTAAGATGCTAGTGACCCTTGAAGGCTGAATGTGTCAATATGATTGAAAGGTTTGAAAACTTCATAGTTTAAAGTTCAAGTAAAACAAAATTAAAACAAAATTAATAAATAACAAACAAATAATTCAGCAGAGTGTGATGGAAATGAAAAAGCCTTAAGAGATGTTGTAATAAAGTATCCAATAGTATGTAATACAGATGTATATGTATGCCAGTTGCATTATTTCTAAGAACCAGTTTGAGGTGGACACTAGCAAGAGTTGCATGGATTGAGGTGTAACACATTTTTCCACAGACCTGTATTTGGAATGGCAGCCCTGTCGTTGATCACTCCTATAGTTTTTTCAAAGGTTTGTTTACAGTTCAGAGTAGTGTAACCTGTAAATGGAGAACCAACCTTGATTGAAGGCAAGCTGTTAACCCTTTCACTCCCACAAGTGACCAAGACAGAATTTCTCCTTACAATATCAATACAATATCAAGCAGGTGGGTGATGAGAGAATAGAGAAGAATATCAATAATGGGATTATTAGTTGATCCAATACCAAATTCTCTGAACCGACATCATAAGAATTGTATGGCAGATAGTAAGGAGAATTACTAATTAGATCTTGGGAGTGAAAGGGTTAAAGAACTGTTAAGAGGTGTTGACTTTTTTGTTATCTTAAATTCCCTCCTCACTACTTACATCTACATGTAAGAGGCTCTTGAATTTATGAGTTAAATTTTATTTTTTATACCCCAAATCTTCAATATATTCGGGAAATTTTTTTAAAAGCAGGAAAGTTTAGCCCAAAAGTAATTGAGTATCGAAGACACCAAAAAAAGGCTTAAGATAGCAAAATTGCCTCATGTGTTTTGGGACAATTTTTGATAAATGTTTGTGTAGCTGACATGTACGCTTGCTGCCAGAATAAATCTGGTTCTGTTGTCCAGCCTAACAAAATAATGTTACCTCAAATTATTCAAGTAAGTTGCAGTGATTTCTTTTATTGAAAAGTAATGTTTCTTCATGCCATGTTGAATGGTGTCCTGTTAAAATCAACACATTCTCTATGTGTTACTCTGTTACTAGAAATGAAAGGGTCCTCACTTGCCCTCCTCGTTGAGTACCTTCTTGCCTGGAGTTTATGGAAATTGTATTCTTACTTTTAATTGTATGATTTCTGTAAGATTTCAAGTTTCTTTTCATTTCCATCATGTAGAACCAATCTGTTGTTTTTGTTGGATTCTTGGTGTTTGAGTTTTGTGTTGGTAAGATATTGATGTAACTCAACTTACAAATAAAAGAAAAATCAAGTTTTATCTCCACTCGGCTTCTGGTTTGTGGAGGAATGGTAAAATTTACTATGGATAAACTCTAACAGGCAAAAACTGAGAAGGGTACAGTACCCTACCATCAAAACCTGACCCAACTTAGTACCCCAAAAAAGTATTTCTCTCCCATAACAAGCATGCTTGTGGTGCTTTAAGCACAACAAGAATCTTGTGTTTTTCTTTTTGTTTTGTCTTGTCTTTTCTTTCTAAGCTAATCAGGAATAGGTTTTTCTTTCCCATGCTCCATAAAATGAAGGAAAACTCGTGCCGCCCTCTCGACCAATCAGATGCAGAGCTAAGTACTTAGTCCTTCGCGTCTGCTCGCGGCTGATTGCTTGAATTCACTGCGAGTTTTCATTGGCCTCTGAAATTTTTCCTTATTTTGATTGGCCATTGTCATTAATTTGGTTGTGGTTTCCTTGACACTGCAAAGAAAAACAGCCCATAATTTTTAATTAGAAGGATACCACTAAGCTTGTCACAATTCATTAAAATGGCAATTTATGTATGTTTCGCTGAGCTATGATGTCATAGCTTGTTGCCTTTTTTTTTTTCTTGAAGGAGTCTTCTGGCCAGCTATGGGAGTGCTGAGAAGTAAATACGTCCCTGAATCAGGTAATCGTTATTTATCTTAACTTTTGGAAGCTTTTTTTAAAATTATTTTTGAGTTTGACTTTAGAGAATCATAATTAAGTAGGTAAAGCATCTTGATGGAATGATGTATGTGTTGGGAACCCGGAAGGAAAGATATTCAATAAAAATTTCGTCGAAGGGAGATATTTGGTTCAAGTAACAAACTCGATGTTAATTCTCTTCTTGACTTGTGGTATGGAGTTTACGAATCTTTTCCCAAAATTTGACTGTCATGTTTTTTTCTTTATTTTCAGCTCGTGCTACTGTCATGAACATATTTCGTGTTCCTTTAAACCTTATCGTCATCACTCTTCTTGTTCAGGTTTGTTTGCGCGCTCTGCAATGAATCAGCTAGTTGTTTTTCAATCAACACAGATCTGCGGTTATCTACCGATTACATTCGCATCAAGCTGTGCGCAGGTATTTTTTTATTTAACAAAATCTATAGACTGGATTGTTGTTTAAGGCAAATTTTCCGGCTCGCGTTGCTCAATCTACATAGATCCGAGATTATCTACCGGTTACACTAGCATCAAGCTATGTGCAGGTGGTTTTGTAGAAAGTATAGAGACTGTTGACGGAAAATTTTCTAATTTGGTTCCTTAAATAGCGACTACTTTCATCTGATCAGAGAATAGCGTAAACTGTAACCGTGACACGTGAATTCTGTGACCTCAGAGCTTCTCAAATATCTCATAATTTTAAAATACAACGGTTAAATGTGATAGAGAGTTACGTGTGCACAGATTTAAAATTCATTATCAACTGGGTCGTTAGCGCTGCCTGACACGCTTTCTCCACTCGCGGAAAGATTTGAAACAAGTCGGGGAGAGATTCACCGGGGGTTTGGCACTCATTGTCAGTACCAGACCCCGTGTAGTCCTCTCGTCGGATCGCGTTGCTCATACTTTCCCGCGGGCGAAGAAACACTCGTGCTGATGCGATGATAACAAGGGTCTGCTCGAACGATTAGAGTTAGAGTCCATGCCTTTCTCCACGTTGTGGTGGTTACCTAAATCTTTGTCTAAAGATGATCCCCTAGCAGAGAGGAAGGTTCCCTTTATAATATTGCCATTTGTGCCCCGATGTACTTGAAGCAAATACGTTATAAACGTTTTGCAAAGTGGTTTAAACGTGAAACTGAAGTCAAAGAGGCACGAATTTCACGGAAATAGCTGTAATGTTTGTCATATATTTAGACAGTGAGAAGAAAATATTTTTAAGGGAATTAACTTGTACTTTTTGATCATTAATCAGATGGACGGTTCTCTCTCAACAGGACTTGTACCTTCCATCGGTGTTTTTTTGTTGTGTGGTGTTCTTGTCCATCTGTTGTGCCGTGCAGCACTGGTTATATCACTTATCTTTCCGTTTTTCAACTTCTACAGATGACGTTAAAGGTGAGTCGTTGACATTAGACTGATAAAACCTCATCATTTTCACTCTTTACAGCATTGATCAAAGACGAATTGCAACCCCTTGAATATTTGAAATAAATTCCTTTACATCTAACTCGTTTCATCTCTTCCGATGTTAACATTACCGACGCTGTTTTTTTGGATAAACGACGAGAATATGAAAGAAAATGTTTAAAAAAAGAACAAAATAAAAAGAAGTGAGAAAAGATTAACGAAAATATATCTCGAGCACAATATCAGCTAAGAAGTCCTTCTCCCTTTTACTCGAATGATAGTCACTTTTTGGAACTTAAGTGAATATGCGCAACTGGTGTCACATGTGAATGTAGTAATGGCCTAGCTTATCGTAGTCTCTGTGGCTTACCTTTAGAGCATCGGAGCCTGTAATCTGAAGGTTTGACGTTAGATTCTTCATGGGGACTCCGAATTTTTTCTCATTGTTCCACGTTCATAACAAGACCGAGACACATTTTTCTTTTTTAAGTAATCGCGTCTTGTTAATTCATGTACTTTTCTTTTCAGGAGAAGCGCATTCAGAAATTTGTGACGTCGTACGTACAGTATAGAGCTGTTACGTGACATAAGCCAAAGAGAGAGCCTATGGTTATTCTGGTAAGAAATTAAAATCTTAATTTAAATGTCGTACACATAGACTAAACAAGGTTCCTAAAAAACTTAGTGTTTAAATAACTCGACATAGATAAGAGAGGTACCGTTGTGGATGATCTTTTTGCAATAAGTAATTTTTTTCTTAAATATAATCTAACCTCGAGATCGGAAGTTCTGAGGGTCGAATTGTCTTTGAGTCTCACATTGCGTCTTTTTGCCGTGGTCGTGACAGATGTTCACCAAATTTATTAAGAGTTTTAAATGAATACCACACGTCTTTCGCGGCTCTGCGTAAAATCAGGTGGGAATTTCAGAATGGCCATCCACCATATGGTGTATGAAATGTCTTGTAAAAATAATGAATTCATCATATCTCTTCGATATGTAACCGTCTAGTCATTCTTCTGAAACATGTTTCCTTTAGTCAAAGTTTTTGGTTTTTTTTCAGCTTTTATTGAAGCTTAGACGTAATGACTGGTACTTTGTTTTGATGAATAACAGGAACGAATGTCCATTTCCTTTTCAGGAATACCTGAAGTTGTCTTCCTAAGGGTCAAAAGAAGAATAATCAACTTTTCTCATCCGGACTGATTAAATTTTTTCATGTAGTTGTTAAAATATTACGAAACAGTCCGTGACTCATTTGGAACCGATTCGGTTATTAAAATTAAAAAAAAGTTATGAATTGTCTTTGGGTATCACATTGTCTTTTTGCCGTGGTCGTGACAGATGTCCACCAAATTTCTTAAGAGTTCTAAAAAAATAGTACACATCTTTCGCGGCTGTGCTTAAAATCAGCTGGGCTTTCAGAATGGCCATCCACCATGTGGTGTACGAAATGTGTTGTAAAAATGCTGAATTCATCATATCTCTTCAATATGGAACCGTTTAGTCATCCTTCTGAAACATTTTTCCTTTACTCAACGTTTTCCATTTTTTTTTTTTTTTTTTTTCGGCTTTTATTGAAGCTCGGGCGTAATGACTGGTACTTTGTTTTTATGAATAACAGGAACAAATCTTCATTTTCCTTTCAGGAATACCTGAAGGTGTCCTCCTAAGGGTCAAAAGAAGGATAATCTACTTTCTCTCATCCGAAGTTTTTTATGTAGTTGTTAAAATATTACAAATCATTCCGTGACTCTGTTTCATTTGGAACCGATTTTCCAATTAAAATTTTAAAAAAATTTTTAATTGAAGAACGTGAATCTGCATAAGTTGAAGGTTATATTGCACGTGAATAGATTCACGCAAGAAAGCTGAAGAGGAGGTCAATTATAGAAACCCACTGTAGTGGTTCGTGTTGGTCTAGTAAACATGCCGGAGGAACAACTTGAAGCCATTGTTTTATAAGTGCATCGAACCAATCAGATGACAGAAATGAAGTAGTCTATTTGTATGCGAATATATGACGCACTTGAGAAAATTAAGGAGGTTCATAACATATAATCATAAGAGCTTTTTACTGCGAAGCATTTATTCATAAGCTGCTCAGTCTCCGATGAATATTGTCTACTTGTGATACATTAGCGCTCTTCTGACGATTTCGAAATTCAAAATGTCTCACGGCGGTCATTCGCACGGTGGGGACGGAATGCACGGCGGTGAATCCATGGATCATCACGGAGGAAGCTCAAACCACGGTGATCATAGCGGGGAAATGGCCGGGCATGTGGTAAGGAGTTATCAACGGCTAGCTTTTACTTCATATTGTTAAACTACTTTCTTAAAAATTTTCTCAAACAATTTCAATTTGATAAGCCAGGTCCTCCGAGAAAGAGCCTTACTGAAAATAATGAGGCCACTGCTGTGTTTGCGCTTTTCATATAATGTCTAAATTGCTATATAATACGGAGATTCTCGGTTTCGTGAGCACTGAAGAGAAAATAGACTTCACCCGGTTGAAGGAACTATTTCAAAGAAGGTCATCACAGTTTCATCACAAGATCTAAATAGCTGTTACTTTATTCCTGCTGCTCCTTTTGGACTTATTCCGGAACGCACAATCACAAGTTAGTTTCATGCGTAATTTCTTTACTTCATTTCTATTGGGAATATTTCCACACGCTAGCATGGACATAATAAAGTGATCGTTACCTCTGCGACCACTTCTTTCATTTCTAAGTTAGAGGTTTGTCTTTAACCGACCCTTATTGAAGTCCTGCTGCTCTGAAATGGCGCATAAAAAAAGCTTCCTACTTCTCTGAAAGTACAAATACTAGAAAAGCAGTTGTGACGCGAAAAGAGAGGTCGATATCAGGAAAGTTTAGTATGCGAGAAAGAGGAAGCGTATATCAAAATCGGGGTAAAAAATAAACCTCTCGTATCAAGTATGGCTGTTTTATATTACTATTTTTGTGCACGCTTATATAGAACAAAGTTGTTTGGTTAGCTGCCATACTCCAGTTTTTGTTTGAAGGGTTTTTTGTTCTTGTTTAATAGCCCATTCCTCCGTTTACAGTGTTTTAAGTATATTACTAATGACTTGATAACCTTGTAGTAGAAAACATACTTTTTTTTAAATAGATCAAGGAAAGGATCCTCAAATCAATCCATTTTGTTTAACAATGTTTATGTTTTCTGACAAGAGAATTTCGAAAGTTAACAAGGCCACTCGTTTGCCAAAGTATTTTGTCGAAAACAATATGCGAGTGAAGACCTCGTTGGTCTACAAAGGCAAAAAGATAATTAAGACGTAAAAGCCAATATGAATGCCTTTCGTGTAAATTGTAAATGAACAAATTACATTTAATCAGAACAAGATCAGGCTTGTTAAAAAACAAAGACTTGAATGAACTATTCGACGCAAAGTGTGAAGACACAAACCATTGTTTCTGAGGGTTTGTGAGAGAGGTACGTTGATAATTGCAGCGCGATTCTGACATAGCTAATCTACAAAGATTTTAATTCCAAATATTGGTGATTGTTTGTTAAAATATATATCGCCCACGAAACCGGAACAACGCAATATATTTTTAAAAATAGGCACGTACTTGCGATAGAAACTTTGTTTTGTTTGTGGCGGTCATCTGGTCAGTCTGATACGTGCTTCAATGGATGACCTAACTCGGTTAAACAATCCCCCCGGGGCATCGATATTTAAATTAGTTACGCATTCAATAACTGAGCAGTTATTATGTAGGAAGCAGGAATGAGCAGAAGCGCAAAAATCTTCCGTTATTACGAACATAACCAACCAGTTTAATTAGAATGGTTCTGTTCTCTTTAGTTGTTTTGTTTGAAATGCACCATGGAGCTGCACTGGAAATATGGAAAAGTTGTTAGAGGTGTATATCAAGGTGCTTTCCCAGCTCGATACTTGGCAAGTCGGTTCTTATTCAGAACTATGAAATTTCAAAAAACTTCCTAATTTCTCCCTGCTCTTTTTGTTTCCTTTCTTGTTTGTTTGTTTTCCGAGGGTACTTTGGTGTGACGTACTATTTACAAAACTGATATTGGCGACCGTAAAAAAAAGCATTTTTTCTTGTTGTTTTCCCACTTCTAGACAGGAATGCAATCTGTCGGACACTTTGTGGTGTATAAAGCTTCACTCTTTTCCTGTCTTGGTTTCCTCTCGAACCGATCACACCAAAGTGTTGAGTCAGATCCACTCAGTTTTGACACACAAAACGTTTTTTCCGTCACTCTACAAACACTTGATCATTAAGGCACCACAGTGTTAAGAGGGCTTGAAAGTGGGAGGCTGGACAAGACACTTTGAGCTATAGTTATTTATATATGCTCAGCTGAACTATACACCCATTTCGATTGGTTATTACTCATGATCTACTAAAGGACAGTCCCATAGATGACGTCAGCATTAAAAACCTTTTGCTTTTTCGTCATATAAGACAAATAGTTTTCATGTTAATGCCGAGCGTCTGTTCAGTAATAGATGAAAGTAGTCAAAATGCGGTAAGAACACCAGTGACCCACTTGGCTGAACTTCACGTACCACTGTTTTGTTCTCACCACATTTTGACGCCATCTGTGATCTGGACCGATGTTTATTTTCTGTTCACCCCAATCTTGTTTCTTATATTCCCTCTCCCTATGACAAAGGTCAATCAAGCCACGAAAACAAGTCACATATTTCAATTCCAACGTCCACTCTGGTAGACAGTTGGCATTTAATTGTCTTTGAATATTTCAAGTATAAGTTTTGCTTCCATTTTAAGATGATGTTCCATCTCAGGAGAGACCTCAGTGTCTTGTTTGAACATTGGGAAATCACTTCAACGAAAGGTAAGTATATTGATAAGCAATGAAACGATTGTGAAAGTGATAAATCTACGATAGAGTTTCTAGGTCGATATCACTCTTAATACACCAACAACATGATCTCGGTGCAAACGGGATGATATATACTTCAGATTATTCCAATGTTCCTAAGTTTCCGAGTTAAAATGAAAGCTTGAATAAAACTTAAGAAATACTTGAGGGAATTGCTGCGTAAAGTAGAAAAACGAATGTGAAGACATCAAATTCTCTACTGGATCCTAAGATGAGCATGTTCAAGTTCTGTTAATGTTATATTTCCACTCGTCACTGATGGCATATGCGCTCAACTCATGAACAAAAAGCTTTATTTTGGTGGCCTTATAACTGAAATCCACAAAAGTAAAGAGGGTAGTTGTACATTACGCAGGCCTTCGTTCTAACAAGGCGATGGACCAGTGCTTACACTCCCCATTTCTTTCCCTTCCCAATTACAGTGTTGATTGGCTCATGTGTTGCAGTATTTTTCCTGGCTGTACTCTATGAAGGCCTAAAAATCTTCAGAACAAGGCTGATGCATACACATAGCAGAGATGCGAGGGAAAGCAGTCGTGGAAAAGACATCACATACTGTGGGAAAACTCGACGGGGTTGCAGGTGAGACGGTGATTTGCTGGTGTGAATTTGTATTTCGTGCCGATTGGATTTTCATCACAAGGTTGGGGAGGGGGGAATAAAGAATGCACAATAATACTAAATTTTCTGTCGTTATTAGACAGAACATGTGCACATGCCATAATTTGGTGCAAACCATAATGCACGTCGTGCAAGTAGTGCTGGGATACCTCCTCATGCTGGTAGTTATGACGTTTCAAGTGTACCTTGGGGTTGCTGTCATAGTCGGAGCAGGCCTGGGCTACTTTCTGTTCGCAGGATTCGCTCCTGAGAACAATCCCAAGGAAGCAGAGTCTTCTGCAAATTCCGGACATGGGAGTCCCGCCATGATGGTAAAAGTGACCAATTTAGACGAGATAAGGAGTCAACAGTCTATGGAAAACCTAAGTTTTAATAATTTGGCCATTAAAAATAGTGCGTTTGATGGCGGAAATATTGAAGGTGAAAAGTAATTTTTTGACAAAGTCTGAGAATAGTCAGAATTTGTGCTTTGGAAATTCATTAAACTGAGAAGACCTTGATAGTATATAGATTATTAATTACTCAGACATACAGAATTAATATAATTATTTTTCAGAAACAAGAAAAGCCGGAATAGACTCATGTTCTGTATGCGTAACATAATATCATTAAATTGGAAAAAAAAAAGGTCGAAAACAGCTTGCTCAATAAATCAAAACAGAGCTTTATTTTGTATAATTTCGAAGTAAAATAACTTATTAATTGACATCCGTATATCATTTTCTTGATCTGCAAGTATTAACAGTTGCCGGGTTACAAACTTAAGTGACCATAGCTAGATCATTAAGAGTATTTAGTTATAAATTGTTCCTCTCCCACTCCACATGCCTCACCGGACGGAGTTAGTTCGTCCTATGACTTTCCATAAAACTTCAGTCAGAGGGTGCTGTTCTGGAAGGTTGATTTAACATCAAATTCTTTTGAATAATTAACAAGATAATTGTGTAGTGGTTACAAGGGAAAATTATCTTTACCACGGAAGTGAAAGGATTCTTTTTTGTGTGTCCATCGCAGGGGAGTATGCCTTAATAATTTTTTCAACGATGAATGAAATCCTGACGTCGGCAAATTCACATGGCTTTGAATTAGAATTTTCATTTTTCCCCTTTTGATTTGGTTCCTCTTTTAGAGAAATGCTTAAAACAGTATTTGGGTAGTATTTGGAATTTCCACCCGCAGTCAAGCTATCGTGCAACTCAACTGTTCAACGACTCTGGCGGATGCCCTGATTTGGTTAAAACGGCGACTCCACATCCCCCATTTCTACGTAAACTGACTTAACTTGCGTGTAATATTCAATGGTGTCTTCACCCAGTTCGCGACCCACGCCAGACTTCTTGTATCCACCAAAAGGAACCTCAACCGGTGTTAAATTGTAATTATTGATCCAACAGGATCCTGCTTGAAGATTAGCAATAACACGATGAGCTCGATTGAGATCTCTGCAAAAAGATATGAAGGATTTCGTTTGAGAGCACATGCAAAGTTTCGTGTCCACGTAATTTTACATGCACAGTTCTGAATGGTTGCTCTGGAACGGGATGAAATCTGGCATTTCGTTTCTCGCTCTCGGTAGTCCGTTTTGAGCTTAATCAGTAATTTAAGTTTATAGGCATAGAGTAAACATTGATAAATTAAGGCGATGTAGATGGCCCGTGCAGCTGGAAGATTTGTGGGAGTTTAACCCCTGTACTCCCAGAAAGGATTAACATGAAACCCTATAATGTCAAGACATTGACCTATAAACAGGTAATGAGAATATTCAAACTTATCCGGTAGAAGCTGCTATCTTGATTTAGCAACAAGTTCTCATAACTAATTTACAAGGGAATGTTGAACAACTGGAGGGGAGAATTGACAATCAGATCTTAGGAGTTAAAGGGTTGATGCGCCATCATTACAAAAGCGACCAGAAATTCTTTTAGGGGAATGGAGAAAGGAAAATTTGTATCTCCCCTGGATGCTTCACAGCTGGTTTTCGCCGCTCCACCGCCTCCATTTTAATAGAACCATAAAATCATCTGCTACACAAGTTGATTTATAAGAAGTGAGGAAAGGGTGTGGGAGTAACTCTTCGCCAATTAGCCGTTGGCTGGCGCTACGACGATGGCATTTCCTCATCCACAAAGAAGTTTCGAGGAGGTCTCGAGCAAAGCGAGCTGGCGCGAGTGTTACAAGGGGTCTGGCACTAATAGTGAGGGGCCCTCAATGTAAGCTTTGCTTTGTTGCTAAGAGCTGGTACAGCTGGCAAAAAAAATGAAGGTTATAGGCGTAGACTCTGATACAGGGGCCACACATACAACCACTGAGGTGACGAAATGAGAATGAATGGGTCCTCAACCCCACTGATCAAATGACTAACTACTTCCCCATTGTATCGTCTCTCAGACACAACCCCTCAAATGCACTCTTACTTTGTAAAAACTCCTGCAGCCAAACCAAAGTCAGTGTTGTTGGCTCTCTTAACAGCTTCTTCTTCAGTGTCAAATGGCAGCACTGTCATAACAGGGCCAAATATCTCCTCCTTAATAACTGTCATATCGTCTGAACAGTCAGTCATCACACATGGTGACATGTAAAACCCATTGGCCAATCTGGGTTCCTCCAGTTTCAGGCGTTCACCTCCACAGAGAATTTTGGCGCCCTTAAAATTGACAATGCTTTATTATTAGTTTTTGTGTTTTAAAGACCTGTCATAGTTTACAGAGTAAATAGACTTCCACACTGAGAATCCAGAATTTCTTCCTCACTTTGCCAATTAGCCATAGCTTTGGCAAGCATTTCATTTGCTATTGGAAATATTATAATATACCAGAGGAATTATTTAGGAATTATTTAAAGTTTTTTTCTTTTCCAAAGTCTTTTAAAATCAATGTACCCTAAGCTATTCATAAGATGGTCTCACCTCTTTCTTTCCTAATTCCACATAATCAAGAACTTTGTGAAGATGTTCCTCAGAGATCAATGCTCCCATCTGAGTGTCAGGGTTCATGGGGTCACCTACTCTGATTTTTTTAGTGCGCTCCACAACTCGGCTCAGAAATTCATCCATGATGCTCCTTTCAACAAATACCCGAGTTCCATTGGAACAAACCTGTTGAAACAAACAAATACATTAGTAATACATACATAAGTAACTACACAAAAATTTTTAAAATAATTCCTTACTAGACAGTGCTTAGAGAATCATGTGTGGTATATCAAAATATACCATTTACATTATATTGCAAACAGATGCACCTTGCAGACTCCTATTGCCTCATGAACTAATAACAGAACACTAGTTGTGTTCATGGAAAATAGAATTTTTGTAAAAATAATGAAACGATTGAAAAAATTCAGTTTTATACCTCTCCTTGTGTAAGGAAGTTAGCCATCATTGCTCCCTTAACAGCATTTTCAAGGTCAGAGTCAGCAAAGACAAGAAGGGGGGACTTGCCTCCCAGCTCAAGAGTGACATGTTTGACACCAGCTGATGCATCTGCCATGATCTGCAGAAAAAGTACAAATACATGTAGAGTGTAGATACAATACAAACAAAAACCATATGAAATCAGACCTAGAAATGGGTTTACTCAGAAAGAATAATCAGGTGGGAGGTGCAAGGGGGGCTTTTTCAAGTACATACCATGTTCAAGACCTCTGGTGGATAAAATCTCAACAAACATTGTGTATTACACAGTATCACTCTCAGGAATCACATTTTACCACAATGTCCTTGACATAGACACATTTTTTGCTCCATTGTGCTTCATGAAACCTCACAAAAAGACCTAGTCAAACCTTAAATACTTTATTAGACCTACAAGAAGTTGAAAAATTCTTGACAAAAGCCTCTAAAGCTTATTTTCCTCACCTTAGAAATAATGTTCAAAGAAAAGGGATTGGTGAGTCTCCATCAAAACCTATCAACCTAGAAATTCTGGCAAACATTTTCAACCAGCTAAGAAAAGAAAATCCCACTCAATTTCAACCCATACTATAAAAGGACATATAAATTGACTGTTTCCTATATTTGATTACTCATCTGTTTGCTATTTCTTTCACAAAGATTACCTTTTGTCCAGTGGGTACAGATCCAGTAAAGGAAATTTTTGCAACATCAGGATGTGATGTTAGCAAATGGCCTGTCACTCCTTCTCCCTGAATAACATTTAAACCACCATTAAGAAGCCCTGCTTCAGTGAAAATCTCAGCAATAAGAACAGCAGTCTGGGGTGTGAATGGGGATGGCTTGAACACAATTGTGTTTCCACAAGCTAGGGCAGGAGTAGATTTCCAAACACAGATTTGGAATGGGTAATTCCAAGCACCAATTCCTGAAAATGCAAGAGACAGTAGATGTTAGTTTATAAACACCTAACTCGTAAAACTAAGGATTCTTTGTAATTTAACACATGTACAGTATTGTGAAAAAACAATAGTATAATGATTAGCTTTAAAGAGACTCTGGTCTATAAGGATCAGGTTCAAGCCCTGCTGGAGTGATTTAACCTGTTGTGTTCTGAGGTAAGATAGATGTTGCACTGACACCCACCACTGTGGTGTATAAATAACTACACAGCCGAGTGAATCCACAACAAATTTTGGTGACTGTGATAACGAATATCATTGTCAATAGGAGTGCAGATCATGCTAAACTACTGTCAACTTGCTTTTTACTACAAAATTGACAATGACCAAAATTTGTTAGAGACTCCCTTGGCTGCACCTCATGAGTCCACAACATTTTGACCAATGTGATGATGATTATCGTTGTTGATTAAAGTACAGACCATGCTAAACTAATGTCACTTCATTTTTTTACCATAAAATCAACCTTCAATAAAAACATTTTTTCATTGCATGACACATTGAAGTGAGCTGTGTTGTCTGTACTCTTCTTGACAACGGAAAATTGGCCAATCAGATCATGGCATTACTGTCAATTGTAATAAAATACCTGGGGGATTACTGGGGGTTACTGATCTCGAAGGGATTCTTGAGGAATTAATTATCATAGACTAGCATCTGATTTAGGTGCAGTTTATGTAGAAACTTATCAATTCATTATTTTCATGTTAAGGTAAACAGGGATAAGCTGACTGTAACTTGCTCATTAAGCTCTTATAATTCCTGTACTGGAAGTACTTTTGAAAGGTATCATATGGAGAAAAATTACATTTATCAAACAAATAAAGGTACCAAAAGCTTTAACATAAAATCTGGATATCTTTCTAAAACATCCATGGCTAGGCTTCCCAAATGGTTACATTTTTGAGTAAATGAAAAGGCTATAATACATATGCTACAATATTTGGTTACAACATATCCATGATTGTTGCATTACAAATATCTTAGGCCAAAAGTCCACACCATGATCATACTAAATATTACTGAGCAAGACAACTACTTATCTTGTTTTCAACCAAATTATTCAGTTTTCTGTGCATCACTTACCTCCTACCACTCCTAGAGGTTCTCGCCTTGTGTAAGAAAAAGATCCATTAGGAAGCTGAATGTGCTTGCCACTAATGGTTGGAGCGAGACCAGCATAATAATCTGTGACATCTGCACAGCCTTCAATATCCCACACTGCTTCATGAAATGGCTTTCCTATTTAATCAAAATTAAGAAGTAACCCACCAGGATCCAGTTGTTCAGAGGGGGAATAGTACTATCCAATAGATAAATCATGATCTAGTGGATAAGTGTTTGCAAAAATATACTGGAAATAAATATGAAAGCTATCTTTGCAGTAATGAACACTACCTAAGCAGAAGTGATTCAGGTCTGTGCAGGATTTGAACCCTGACCTCTGCAATACCAGTACTATGGTCTACCAACTGAGCTAACAAGTCAACTGAGAGCTGGTCATTATGTTGGTTCAAAATAAACCCCTGAAGTGATGACTAAATGACTGTGAGTATGGTGCTGGGTTATCCACCAGAAAGTGATTTACCCAGCTGATAGCATTATCCACCCTTTGAACCACCAGGGCCAGCATTACAAAACCCAGTTGAGCAACAAGAATAATGTGGGTGGTACCATGCTGGGAGACTATAGGTTACCATGCTGATCAGTCATTGACTGCTAATAAGTATGTGATCTTCAAGTTTGTGATCACAACCACTAATAACAGCCATTTTTGATTACATGTCAAGAGTAATTCAGAATTGCTTCGGTTTTGCTATACTTTGCTATCTGATTGGTGCGGCAAAGCTTTGCCACATATTCAACTAATCAGCTTCAAAATTAAACAAAAAGCAAAAATCGTGATGAAATTCAACAGAGTATTATAACACAAGAGGGCTTACTTATCTGAGGTAATATTGATTCCAAGAGTAAAACTTTTTATGAGTAATGGTGGAACAAAAATGTGATGCTAGACAGGTGTGACAAATAAGCTCACATGTAGGCCTACTAACCACTGAAGAAAAGAGAGGTTTTATGGGTGGAGGGAGTAATTATCTTGTCCACAAAACTATCAAGACTCACTCATATTCCTGAGGGCGAATATTGTGAAATAAATAACCTCCAAAAAAACCCGAAAACAGGAGTTTGTAACTAAATATTAACCGATTCAATCATCCTACCGGTATCCATGACCTCAACTGTGGCTAAGTCTTTGACTCTACTCCGGATAATCTTGGCCGCTTCACGTAAGATTTTCCCCCTCTCCATCCCTGACATTTTGGACCATGAACTGAAAGCCTCTTTCGCTGAGCTCACTGCACGATCTACTTCCTGTTTTCCTGAACCTTGTGTCTGACAGATAATTTTCCCAGTAGCTGGCTCAGTGACATAGATATCGCCTTCTTCTTCCTCGCTAACTGGATTGATCCGATGCCCATTGATGTAATTCAGCGGCTGGCAAGGTTGCCCAACATTGCTCGATAGATTACGGAGAGAGCTTAGGAAAAGATAACGTCCATTTCGCAGAAGAGGAGTTCGAGAAACTTGTGATATCATGCCTTTTTCGCAAAATGTACGTTCTTCGATCCAAGTTATTCAGAAGTACAGCGATCTTTCGATGTAACGTTGTACGAACTGACTAGAAATTTGCTAAGCCACGATAACTAGTGCAAGTCCCTCGCGAGGATGGTCTTATCTCCCTCACGAAAACACGTCACGCTTAGTCACGCTCATATCAAAGATCATCAAACACTGGGGTCCTCAGGAGCCCACTAATGGGCTCCTGGGTCCTAAACTATAAAACCAATTGAATGTTTAACGATGAAGTGGAAAAAATCTGTCAAAACTTGAGAAAAAAGATAATGAGCCCAAAATTATCATGTAATGCAACCTACCGTGACCAGCACTTTCGCGAGAGGTCACTTTTAGCGACTGCCTTGCTTTTATGTTTTTTCGCTCCTGTAACTACACATCCAAAGAGAAAATAAAAAGACAGTTGACATCGTTAAGATTGAAGTTAAAAATTCTCTGGAACACGTACGGAAAGGAGGAAACAAAAGGAAATACCATTTTCCTTCTACAAATCTAGGTAAGACACCAACTGCTAATCTCTCTTGATGACTCCGAGTAAGAAGAAAAATTGACGGACGTCCTACCAGCTTAAGTCAATTAGTACTATTACCTATTTTTTAGTTGCCAGTAGATTTCTGGGCTGCCATACTTTCATTTGTTAGATAAATAGAGGGTAACCGCTTTTACGTTGACTCATGATGCCTCATTGGGCTTATAGGACCTTATAGCCGTATAGCACTTTCCCCTTAAGACCCAACCTCGTTTCCAGGGCAAGGAAAGCCCTGGAACTGAGTTTGCTTAGATAATACTAATAATTTTAATTCCTTCAGGTACGTTGTTTTTTTGGTCTCTTAAAAAGTGTGTAAAGGGTAAAAAGAAAGTTTTTTACAAGTTCTTTCGACGGACGTTCAAGAATTGTTTGATTAAGTTGACCTTTAATCAAAATTTATACGCTTTTTCTCGTTTTGGATCTGGTGGTGCTACGTAAATTGTAACCAATGAGGGAACTGTTAGCTGTTCATCAAGGGAGGGTGACTAAACCTTCATGAAAGTTGGAAATCCGATTTAGGCAAAGACGTCAGTGTATATCAAAGAACAGGCTTCAATTTTTCTCAAAACACTGGAGATATGAATTTTGTGAAATTAGATCCAGATAAACAGTAGTAATTTTCCCGCGTTATTCAATCATTTATGTTGATAGTTTGGAACAAACATTTCGCAGAGCTTGTTCAACCTGTAAGAAAACACTAAGCTACTATAGTCTTTTTCGTGTCACTTTTTATCCAGTTTCTGTCAGAATATGAAGAAAACTGTTCTTCATCCGTACGAACTTGGCGAGGGAGAATGAAACAGATACAACACCGTCATTCTGGGAGAAGAAGACGTTCCATGAAATGTCATCAAACAGTTCATACTATTCGCCTCGTTTTAAAGTCAAATATAGGTTACTTCACACGAACAACAGCTTAGCCGTCGCTCGATAAGAATCGATGAATAATCTGACACATTTTTTGGAGAGCCGCTAACTCCTTTTCTAGCTTCTTAGCAGCAGTGGAAAGGTTCTTGCCTTTTACGTAAAATTTGGAGAAAAGGAGGTCTTGTTGTGGAATAATGAAGGATGGAAAGGCTTTATCTTCACAGATACACTTGTGTATTCTCCCGTAAATTCTTCGGATCCATTCGGTTAGACTGCTCCTGTCATCCAGGCCATGCTTCTCTAACTCATAAAACAAGGCCATCTTGAGCCAAAATGAGCAAATTAAAGATTGAGCTTTGAAATTTGCTTCATCATAAAAATATTCTTGGCTGTCTATTAATGCTGGACAAACATCCCGAATAGCCTTCGCTGTGATGTAAGCATCCTTGACGACTTCAGGAAGCTTGTCAAATAACTTGCTTTCCATAAGTGAAAAAGATATTCTTACTTCATTGCCATAAATACCATGCTCAAAGCGCGGAATGGTCATCGCAAAAAGGCACCGTTTTGGAATGTCTTCTAGCACAGAACTTTGTGGAATTGCACCCCTGGGCCAAAACACCCCGGCATCTATTACTGGCACGAGGTCGACTGAATATAACATATTCTTGTACACTGGGCCATTCCAGCAGAGTTCAATGATGATTGATGGCTTTGGACGGACGATGCCTGTATCGGAGCTGGGAAGAACGAAGTTTGAGCAAATCCTGCAACAACTCCACAGGCTGGAATCAAACATCACCAACCTTACAGTTTCCTCGAACTTTGATCTGACCAAATATGGCACGAGATTTCCGTCAGCGTCAAAAAATTCGTCGATATTCGCATTGTCGCTACTTCTTTTCAGACGTACAAAGCCAGGAGAGCATGAATCATCGTCGACCACCTCAAAAGAGGAGCTGAATTCTTCAAGACTGCACATAAAGTCGAACTCATCAGGTAGGCCAGTTTTGGTTTGCTCTCGAACACTACCAGACATTATCACTGTTGAACGGAAACGCTGATCACGGTCTGCGACTCTCCGAAGAATCTCCACTATCAGGTTTTCTGTTTCTTTGCATATCTGGACCACCTCAGCATCGTGAAGCGCTACTTTACCGATCCTTGGTGTATGAAGAATATGGGACAAGTATTCTTCCATATTTCTCACAGGATTGATTTGCACTTCTGCTGCATCAATTGAAATAGATTCTTCTCTCTTCCTAAATGGTAGATTGGGGTTAGTCTCACCTTCCTCGAGGGCAAAGAAGGCGCATAGTCTACATGAACTATCTGGCAATCTTCTCTCGTGCTGAGAAGTCGAACTTCTTTCGTAATTCCTAAGTGACTCCACCATTTCTTGATTGAGAGCCGAAAGTGCACAACTCATGGGACTTTCATCCAGACAGTTTCTTAAAGTGACATCGGCTGTCGCAAGTGAGACTTCCAAATACATGATCACGGCAGTGTTGTTTGAGAATTCTGCATAATGCAGTGGCGTTGACATAAAATCGTCACGATCATTGACGTTCCAAGGCACTTCCAAACCTCCGAGCCGCAGTCCTCTGTTCGCGAAAACCATATGCGCCACTGTCACCCCTTGTTTTCGAGCGCTGTTCCAATCGATCTCCTGCACTACTTTCTCATTTTCGCAAATGCAGTCCCAGGGCAACTGAAATCCCGTCATTTGACTTTGTTGACATGTTGCAGTGACGTGAACAGCTGTAAACCCTTCCGCGTCTTTCGCATTCACGTCTCCTCCGAGCAATATTAACTGCTCCAGCATTTCTGTCCATCTATGAACATCAGCCTCATAACTTACATAATGTACAGGAGTGCGAAGCATTTTGTCAACAGAATTCAAAGATGCTCCATGCTTGAGTAGGACCTCCACGGATGATGCAACCTCAACTTTTGACGTTAAGGAGCTGCAGTTATGTAGCATCAGTACATGTAAAGGTGTCATTCCTTGATCGTCTGATATCGCAGGATCTGCACCATACTCCAACAGAAGTACTAAGGTAACCAAGAGCGCATTCTCGCTGCGGAGTTGAGACGTTTTCTTGGAACAAGCCATCATCAAAGGTGTCTGATGTTTTTTGTTCAGGGTATTAACAATGACACCAAGCTTCAACAGGACTTCAGCTATTTCGTAAGCGCGATATGAGCTGCAGATGTGCAATCCGTTTTCGCCCTTTGAATTGGTGTGATGAACATCTGCGCCATGTTCAATCAAAATGTTTATTTTTGGCAGATTTTCTGCATATTCTTCTTCATCTATACACCCGTAGGCCATGCCACAAGCATACAAGAAAGGCGTGTCACCAAAGTTGTCTTCAGCATTAACTCGTGCACCAGATTGCAAGAGTACTTTCACTGCCTCAGGGGAGGCATTTGATATGCAAGCATGTTGTAAAGGTGTCTTACCTAAAATGCTGCGGTAATTTACCTCAGCACCGGCGTTAAGAAGCATTTTTGCAGCCTCCTCAGATCGGCAATAATATAAAGGCGACTTACCCTCCTTGTCAAGAGCATTTACATCGTTTCCCATACTTATGAGGTATTCAGTTATATCTGGTCTGTTCTGAGCCGATGCCACATGAAGTAAGGTCCACTTGTCGTGCCTGATAATGGCGTTAACCCCGATGTCCTGGCAAACCGTTGTTATATTTTCCAGTGGTTCACGAAACAATTTAGCTATTTCTCGATAGGAATATTTCTCCATATCTCTCACCACTGGATATTCCGTTGTAGTACCTCAATTATCATTTATCACCGACTACTATCCGTCAAGCGATCGATATACTTCCATGAAAGGTCGCAACGTAATGTCTGGTTGCTTACGAAAGTTAGGTCAGCATTAAGTTATCGGTATCCTAGGACGCTGTACAATTACGTTTCACAAGAATAAATTCCAGGATGAAGGTGAAATAACATACGTAGACGCAAAATATCTTAACCTGGAAGGCAAAATATGGCTTCACTCTAACAACTTCCGGCTTCTTAAAGCGAAAGAGACTAACGTCATAAATGCCGATCTATAAGTTCCAAGCCCTTTTCGGCTTTCAGCATCCCAACGATGCGAGACAAAGGACGTCTTCCGGTTCATAACAAACTCAAGGTCGAGTCAGTACCAGGCCTGAGTCGGTACAGCGGAACCTCGATTTGACGAAGTGCTAAGGGACTGGGGAAATTGGTTCCCTATATCGAGGGTTTGTTCTATCGAAATTTGCGGAGAAACAACCAAAATGTTCGTTAAATCGAGGGATGGTTAATTGTTTTTTTCGTTTTTTGTGGTGTGACGTCGCACTACCCAGCGTTTTGGGATCGGAACGATTACTGTAAAAGCGTTTGTGCTTTAATGTCTACATGACGCCGTACAGGTCTGTACATAGCTACAGCACCCTGTTTTTAAAGCAAGGAGCACAAATTTCGGAGCAACTGCAGAATACCCTACCACTCTGGTCAACCTCATTTACATGTGTCGGGAGACTTTGAAGATCGAGGCATGACACAATAAACGTTATTCTTATTCAGCGACATGTAAATGAGTGGCAGGGTATTCTGTGGCGTAGTCGTGGGTTTCATGATAATCACAAATCTCGTTGTTTTGTCATTGCGTTACTGGCTATCTTGGAATTTCCTACTATACTGACGCAAGTGTAGTAGCCATTAAGTCATTACGTTACTGGCTTTAATTTTTTATGGTCGGTAATAATATATACCATCCGACAAACTTAGTGGCTTCAAGAAATGCTCGTATGTATAGACGAACAAAATTACGAATGTCGCCGTTATCTCAATACCGTCGATATTTATAATGAGCTGTGAAGTTCTTCAGATTGAAGGCTTTTGATTCTTGTTGGTCGGTTTCGCGTTTGTCTTTTGTCACGTGTTGACATTTGTTCGTTATATTGGGGTATAATATGCGTTTGGGCTTCTGGATTGTTTGTTTTAGCGAGGATTTCGTTAAATCGAGGTTCGTTTTACCGACGTTTTCCCATACATTTTATTGTAACTTTGGTCGGGCTGATCAGCATCGTTCGTTATACCGAGGACCCCGTTATCAAGAGGTTCGTTAAATCGAGGTTCCACTGTAGTTTGATCTGTTTTCTGATCTGGGTTTTTTTTTTTACGATTTTGTTTTAGTTTAAACCTTCAAAATCTTTCCTTTCTTATTTTCAATAAACTTAATTATAAACTGACTTAATATCGATAAAAGAATGCATCTTGTTTTCTATGTTACTAGTATGTTTAGCCCAACAAAGAAAAGTCTGACTTCTACAAATGAATAATGTTGGCCAGGCGTTGATATACAAACCCTATATTGGTCATACAACAAGAAATAATCCATCAATAAACAAGTGCTTATTAAGTGTATCCACTTATAAAAATTCTTAATATTTCTTAAATAGCCAGCTATAGGCTTACAATTCTTGATGTTACTCTTAAACAAAAGAGACGAGGGAAGCCATTGTGAAGGCAATACCTCTTTCATTGTGCTTCTGATTACCTTAGAAATCCATTACTGATGTCTCTAAACTGAAAAGCTATCATCATTCTAATCAAAACTATAACAAAATTCTTGAAATGTGGTTGGTCATCACCAGCCCAATTTGAGCACTAATAAGACAGGGTACATGTCATGCTTGTAATTGGACAGTGTAATAGGATAGTTACAGGGACAGTTAACAAGTCATGCTGTGTTAGTGGGCAAAACACATTATGCGTGTGCGCTGTTGTCTCACAATTTCCAAGTTAATTGTTTTTTTTTTTTTTTTAAGAAAATGTATAAATGATGTTTACTTTCTTTCTCAAATTTTGTTATAGTTTTGATTAATTGACAGGACCAATTCTGTCTGTAATCATACTTGTGATTAACAAATCAGACTCCCATTTCCAGTTGTCTGATTTTGTTAATCACTTGTATGATTTACAGACTGAGTTGGACTCCACTCAGTGGTCTTATTACCATTATCAATAATCAGAGAATTCCAAGTAGACACTTCCTGTACTAGTCAGTACACTGTTGACTGACCCTTTCAATTAATCATTTTTCTTCATAAGGCACCAGGATCCCCAAAAGAGGAGACCCTTCCATAGCTGTCTAATGTTTGACTGGCAACTTTCCTCTTTCCATCAAAATAACACTCCATGAAAGGGGTTGCCAAAAAATAACCAATGCCGCAACCAATGACAACAGTTAGAAACAACCAAACATTGTATGTCATAGCCACCAGCATAAGGAAATATCCAACAAGAAATTGTACTAAATATAGAAAAGTCCTCCTGAGGTGATCCATCAAATTGAACCTAACAATAAAACTCAGAGTCAAAAGGAAATTGCGACAATGTTCATACACCTTACATCCAAAGCAGAAATGTTTAACCCAAGAGTTAAGTGAAACAAAGAGTGAATACAAGTGCAGTCTGAGCTACAGGATTCCATTCTATCTTGGCTCAAACCTTTACACCCTTATATCAGTATTCATATTCTCCACACTGTTCTCTCTATATTTCCTATGGTTCTGACAAGAAGAATTTGTTTGAAAGTCATGTGCTTCTTTAATTGGTGATCATATCCTTTATTCTCATGACCTTCTACTTGATTCAGGGGTGATATTGTAAGGAGAAATTAGATGCCAGTCACTTATAGGGGTAAAAGGGTTTAAGTTCATTGAAATTTGCCTCTTACTATAGAACTGGTGTGGTGTAAATGAAACTAGGCAGACCATGAATTTTGAGATAAGGGGATGATAAATTTGTATCAAGCTTGGGACCAAAAGATATCAGATTCCTTACAAGGAATTTAACCTCTGATGCTCTAGTTCAGCACACCAATTTTCTACTACCAAACAGCAGAGAACTCAGTGGGTGAGTTTAGCAGTAACTAGTTTCATAAGTAACAAGTTTACACAGATCATGTAATGACACTCTCTCTCTCTCTCTCTGGCAGATCTACAAAGGGAGTGAAAGGTTTGAGGTGTGTTGAGGGGTACAGGGGTTTAAAGTGGAAGTTACATATTACCATTTCTGAAACATAAAATACTACATAAATTTCACCAGAACAAAGAATGAACACCAAGCAAATAAAAAAAATTTTGCTTGCAGTTCTAAAAGCTCTTGGGGAAAGTGTTTGTTAAGAAAAGGCAGTTAATTTAGTTACAAAAAAAACTTGCCGAAGAGACTACAATAGTTTCATAAAATTGCATTTAAATATTAGAAAAATGTAATAAGCAACTCATTCTGCAGTAGTCTCTTTTGAAAGTACCCTGACCAGTTTGTAACTAACTAATAAGAATAAGCACCCTTTAAGTCTAATTTTACCTGCTTTCATAGGTATGTAGGTGTCCTAAGAGAGGCATAGTTTCAGAAGTTTTCTTTTCTGGTTTCTTGTTTGATAGGCCTTTATAAGACTTAAGACTCTCGAAGAAAACAGCAATCACAATTATGATAATGCATGATCCAACCAAACCTGAAGAAAATGGAAATACAAGAATTCAGTGAATGCCGTTAATAATCCTTTATACTCAAACATCAGTGAGCATATTCTTCTTACAGCTCTCTATACATTTCCTAAGGTGCTGAAAAGGAGAATTTGTTTAACAATCAAGAACTTCTTTGGTTGATAATCATTTCCTTTATTCTTGTGACCCTAATGTGTGATTCAGGGTGATATTGTGAGGAGAAAAATTAGTTGCTAGTCACTCTGAGGGTCAAAGGGTTTGGGGAGCAGTAAAGTTCTCCTAATTAGAAGCATGTTTTTCACAAGGGGCAGTTTTTAAATATTAATGATTATATAATAAGCTCAGTTAAATGCACGCATTCTGATTGGTTCTCACTTATGATCTAATGGAGGACAGACATATAGATGACATCATCATTAAAATTTTTTTTTCCGTATTTTTTAATTCTTTATTATATAAAACAGATTCCAAGTTGCCATGCATCTGTTCAGTAACAGATCACAGAGGATGTCAAAATGTGGTAAGAACATCAGTGATACACTCGGCTGTGCCACATGTGCCACTTTTTTGTTCTTACCACATTTTGACGTCATCTGTGATCTATTACTGGACAGACGCACAGCAACTTGGAATCTATTTGTTAATTAGATATTAGAATTTTTCCATCAATATCAAGTAACACCATTCTGTAACAATAACACAGACATTAACCCTCTAACTCCCAAGATCTCCTTTGCAATTCTCCTTACTTCTTTCCCAATTATTCTCATTATGTTAGTTTGGAGAATTTGGTATTGGATCAATTAGTAATCCCATAATTGATATTTTTAATTCTCATCACTTGTCTACATGATATGGTACAGATATAGTAAGGTGAAATTCTGTCTTAGTCACTCACGGAAGTTAAAGGGTTAAAGTGAAACCAACCTCCAACACTTGACACACTCCAATCTTTGAACAAAATATGTGAAATATCCCGTGAAGTAGTGAACCACATCTAGAAAACATTAAATTAAACAACTTAGTTATCCACAGTTTAATCATGATTTAACATTTTCTTACACTGAAGTAGAACCCAAATATTATAAGTGTTTTCAAATGTTGGGTTACTGGTTCGTCTTTCATGGCCTTGATTTTTTTCATAAAATAACATACCAATTAACGTCAACAAAATTAATCTGGAAAATATGATAGTTTCTTGGGGAAAGAGATAAAGAAAGATGTCTTTCGTCTTGACACGAGCGTGGGACAAAGGAAATTTCTGAGTTCCCATGAGGGATCGAGTCTCAGTCCTTCGGATTCCGCGCTCCAATGCTCTACTATTGCGCCACAGAGACTACGGGAAGTGGGGTCTATTACGAAGTTCACATGACACGCGTTCTGCATAATGCTAGGATCAAAATGTCGATAACGTCATGTTTGTAAATGGAATAATGGTAAGTTTTAAGCTCAGCAAAGAAATATAAAAAGATGTTTTCCGTCTTGTCACGAGCGTGGGACAAAAGAAAAATTCTGAGTCCCCATAAGGAATTGAATCTCCGACCATCGGATTCCTCGCTCCGATGTTCTAACACTGAGCCACAGAGACTCTACGGTGGGCGAGGTGCAGCGCACTCTTATGCAATCTTCTTTCTTACGTCGAAAACCTATCTTTCTTGCACGAGTTTACAATGAGGAAATGTGAAGGACATTAAAATCTATTAAATTTCCATCGAAATCATAGATGAAATGAAAAACATAAATTTGGAGTCAACATATAAATTTTGAACAGACTCGAATAAGGCGAGCTACAGAGTACACTATTTCGGGAAAACATTTACATTCTATCTTTCTTGCACGAGTTTACAATGAGGAAATGCGAAGGAAATTAAAATCTATTGAATTTCCATCGAAATCATATATGAAATGAAAAACATAAATTCAGAGTCAACATATAAATTTTGGAACAGACTCGAATAGGGCGAGCTACAGAGTATACTATTTCGGGAAAACATTGACGTTCAAATTCGAAGAAAAATTCACTTACTTGCATGGTGATGCTAGTCCCAGATTTTGATTGGGAGGTAATCGTTAATTTCTAGACTGAATATGAGTTGTTTAGATATTCAAGAAAACTGCTGCATCTCAGTCACAATTTAATTTGGGAGGTTTTATTAGGCAACTATTCCGTCTCACACCGATCTTCAGTCACGAGATGAGCACAAGCTCAAAGTTGCCAGGCGTTCAAAGTATTCCTTTCCAGTCTCCTGTCGGAAAAGATTATTCGCTTCCCTTATCCCTGATGCGCCGACATCATAAACATTTCGAAACGGTGTTCTGCAAAATTTCCAGAGAATCATGGGAGGTGGTCTGATAATCTGGTAATAAGTCGATCGTGGCCATCTATCTTCAAATAATGATTTCATCAAAGCGTGCGTTTTTTAATCTATCCACACGAAAATGAAAGAGTCAATGGAGCCTACGTGTAGCCGTACCCTCCCCCCCAAGGTGAAACGGAAGCGTTATCTCGCCTCCCTTTCGCCTTGGGAGGGGGGGGGAGGGTACATCTGCACGTAGGCTAGTGTCAATAGGAAAATTTATCCGGATGGGTTGATTAAAGTCCACAAGGAAAGTTATGCGGACATGTTGGGCGGAAGGCGAAGTTTTAGAAATGGAGTCGACTTTTCAAATGTATTCAGTTACTCTAAGGCCTAATAGCTTTCTGATAAGACCGTTTAGTTTGGGAAGTTTAATGAACGTTTGATAGTTTCACATTCGTATCAATCGTGATTGAAGAAAGGGGCGTTTCAATCAGCTATGTTACAACACTTTGATGTTTATCGAAAGACTTTTTAAATTAAAATTCGAGTTATCAGGATAAATTTAGGCTAAGGGTAAGTGGAATTAGTTCGACTCAACAGGGAGTTCGAGTTATTAGAATTAGTTGATAGTAAATAAATGAAAACTTAAACGAGGTCAAATCCAAGGATAAATCGGATCATTTTCTAATTAGAGGACAAAATTAATTCTCCCGATAGCGCAGCTCAACCTTTAATAAACTGGTCAAAAAATATATTAGAAGACGAAAAACCAGAAAAACAAGACAATACTGTCAAATATGTGAACAACAAAAAAGTAGCCTTCATTTCATAAATATATATACACTTTTTTTAAAAATGGATTAACTTTGGAATTATTTCACAAAAAGCGGCATATTTCTGAGGTTATTAAAAAAACACTGGCATGGCATCTTGAAAAACATCGTTGCGTTTCTACAATTTGTTCAGGAAAATTCGGGGTTTACAGGTGATTTTTAACCACATTTATCAAGGCATTAGGCAGACTAAAGACCATGCTCAGGGCGAACGCAAACGAGAAAACCACTGAAAAGAATCAAGAAAAAATGTGAAAAAGTTCTCCTCTTCAAAACATATTCAAATAATTTTACATCACTCGTGCACGACCCGCTAAAAGGCAGACAGCAATAGATCATGATCGATACGTTTTCCGTTCGAGTATAAGTGATTCTAACCTTGCTCTCGTTCAACTCCTTAACTCCCAAGATCTGATTGTTTATTCTTCCCTCTTGCTGCTACACATATCGTTGTAAATTAGTTGTGAGAATTTGGCGCAAGATCAAGGTAGCAACTTTACCTGATAAGTTTGAGTATTCTCATTACCTGTTTGCTGGATAATATAAGAATATTATAGGGAGAAGTTTCATGTTGATCACTTCTAGGAGTTTAAGGGTTAAGAGATGATCGTACTCTTTTTTTCTGTTTTTCATATACATTTATAAGTTACAGTTGAGATAAATAGTCTGTTCGCTGCAGCCATGTATAGAAAAAAAATCTTACAAACAATTAAAGCAGATTGTAATGTAGTTTTCGAAAGGAGCCAACTTTTATTCGCTTTAACACAGAGGTTAGGGTTTAATGGAACGTCTAACAATAAAAACTTTGGGTTAATGATCAAACCAAGTCAGATAACTATCTGTAACCAAACTGCGTGTCTTCATAGCTTGATCTCATTCTTGACACAGGCCTCCCATACATATCAGTTTCAGGCTCCATTACCTCAGCCCCATAAGCTTCAGAATAACCTGGTGACACAGGCCGACCATACCGACTGCTAGGCCGGGAAATTTGACCTTGTGGAGGACCATAAGGTGCCTTGCCAGGCTCGTCGTCTATCAAATGTCCCCAGCTCCCCATGGCCCCTTCCCCTGCATTAAAATACCCTACTCCGTCATCGGGGTATCCCTCATATTGCCCCATGGCATACTGGCTCACGGGATGACCCGCGGGATTCAAGTACGATTCTCCGTTGAACATTCCGAACTCGCCCGGATCCTCCATCATGTACTCCGGAGTCATGGCTCCTTCACGCGACATTAGCGTGACAGGGTCGTCGTATCCCGGATGACCATAGAAGAGATCGGGTCTGTCGAGTGGATCACCGTCCATGAAGGAATCATCACCATACATCAGGCTGTCATTGTCTTCCATGACAACTTTGTTTTCTATCATTTCCAGCCACTGAGAGTTGTGCCAGCGAAATTTCTCTGCTTGGATCTTCTTTGCCCACTCCTCGTCGTATTCCTAAAACATTAACATGGACTTACTCAACAACTGTGTTCGATCAATGACACGTGTATGCTTCCGGGTTTCTGCATTTTCGACTTCAAACTAAAACTGTGTAGCAAGCACAGAAAAAAGCCACACGCACATTGGTTAGTTTTTGCATCAATGTCAGTATCTGAAGAAATGCACACCTTCCCCTCCCCTGCCCCTTAGTCGACTGTTGTTGGGCTAAGGGAGGGGTAGGTGCGCAGCTCCTCGGATACTGACACTGATCCTAGTTTTTTTTTTGAAAAATGGGTTTTTTATGATTATTTTCTAAGGCTGGAAGTTAGCATGAAACCTTTGCAATTTCCTCGGCGAGTGTCCTTCACTGATACCAGCCAATTTCGTCCTTAACAAAACTCCTTGTTCAAAACCTGGCCGGTCAGTTATTGGAGAAGGGGTCGTGCTACGTAAACACCCCACATTTATCCATCTGTACTGCACACCCTTCCTAATGGGAAGTTAATGAAAAAACAAACAAACAAAAAACGACTTAATAAAAAGAAGTCAACAACAGTACCATGATAATGTCGAGAGTCTGGTCACAGACTTTGCGGATTTCTGTGTTCTTGTCGTGCATCAGATCAATAAGATAAGCAGGGGCCTCTGAGATGCAATGTTAAGGTTTTTAAAACCCTTTCAGTTAAACTAAATGAAAATTGACGGGAAAGAAGGTACATCATAAAAAGACAGAATTGATTTAGTATCGAATTCTTACAAGAGTATTAAGTAAAATTACAGGAGAACTTAAAGTCTACTTCCCCGAATATTTCTGCAAGTGGGATTCAACTAATTCATTCTCATTCACGTAACAACATGGACAGCTAAACATCTAGCAGGATAGAACAGACACCCGCTTCATACTAGTATGAATCCATGTCCTTTGTAACAAAAAATTGTTATGAATACCCTCTAACTCTTTTTGTCCACATTAACTTTTTTTCCCCCAAGCAAGTTTATTTAAAGGATACGCGTTTGCTTCACAATGACCTCCCTTGTCGCCTTGTGAAAAATCATTTGGTAGAAAACGTAAACTATTTGTAACACAACCTCATCGTCTTCTTGTTTAGCTGTTACAACAAAAAGACAACAAAATAATCAATTCGAAGCCTCTTTCGACCTTAGATAAAAAAGACAACTGTTACTTAATATCATAACTTTTCGCTTATTTACATCCTTACACTTCATCACTACTTATTTGCTCTTTGAATTTCCACTGATTTTGTATTTAAGTTTGCCAAGATCTCTGATGAGGCCCAGATGCAGAACAAATGAATACGTAAATTGCAATCTATGTCAATTTTCTCCATCTGTAGCCAACAGTGTTACTTCCTTTTTTATCATTTTACCTCTTTGATTTTCATTTTAAGTCTCCTTCAAGTTGAGGTTGTTTCTTCCCGGAACATAAAATGACTAAAAAATTTACAACTGACCCTGAAGTGAAGGGTCTTTTCTTACGACAGAGAAGACTTACCATTCAACAAGTCTATAAGCATTTGAATGATGCCCTCCCTAGCGAACACAGTGGCGCACTCATCGTCTAATGATACAGTGCCAATTAAGATCACTACTTCTAGAACAAGGTCATCCTCTGCTACACCTGTAACGAGGAGGTATTTCACATGATTGAATCAGTCACGAAAAAGTCGACAGTAAAAAGGAAATAACTACAGCGTGCAAACAGGACGTATTTCACGAAATAAAACTGGCCAAGGTTAAACTGGTTTGTCATTTGGGTTCCCAAGGCTTTCAAAAGCAAAGAGAAGGACTTAAGAGAGCGGCTGAAATTCTTTGAGCCAAGAGAAGTGATATTATTTCTGTTCTAATCATAACCATTACAGTTTCCTAAAATAAGATTGGTGCATTGGTTTGTTACTAATTTTTCATTCCTTGTAATCGAACAATACAATCGAACAGATAAAGCAGCCAATCACAATAAGTCCATTCAGCTAAATCCATCAATCATACCTAGGTTTGAACAACCCACCCCAATACATAGTGACTCTACTCGCCTGGATTCAGCTTTGTTTTAATGTAATTCAGCATGTCATAATCTGTTAGCAACTGCTGAAAATTCACATCTGCCACTGTCAAGTTTCCTAAAATTCCCAAAGACTCCAAGACGAACTCTTCATCGGGGCATTTCTGTACAGCGTTGGCAAGGTCACCGATATATTCCTAAACAGACACAGTCGTGTTTATTATTACAAGAGTGGTCTTCACGAGTATCACCTGATTAACCAGTAGATTCGATGTTGCCGTGCGTCTGTTAAGTAATAGATTCCACACAGTGTATGGCGTCAAAATGTGGCAAGATCGAAAAAAAGCACACGAGGCGTAGAAAAATGTTGTAATAGAGTAATTAAGTATCAGCTGAGTTGATAACGTAAATTTGCCACCGTAAAGAATTTTAAAGCTGACGTTTCGAGCGTTAGCCCTTCGTGAGAGCGAACGGAGAAATTGTGGGTTGTGTGTGTAGAAAAATGTTGTTAACGGTGACGTCATCTATGTGTCTGTCCTCCAGTGGATCATAAGTAAGACCCAATCAAAATGCTTGGCCTTATCATAGTATATAAAAGATATGCATCACCAAGTTGGTCTTCACTGGTTAGTATCACTTACCACAAACTGGGCCTTGGTAGGTCCCTCATGCTGTGAGATATTCCTAATCATCTTTAGCAACAAAGGATCGTTAAACTTAAATGCTCTCCTCATGAGCAGCTTCAAGCCTGGCCCTTCACAAATCAACTGAGCATTCCTCTTGTTAGCTGCCAGGTTAATGGCCAGCGCGATAAGCTCCAGGTCAATACGATCTCCTGGACACTCCAGCATCATCTGCATCATCTAAGGCACAACCATAGTGTCAACAAAACAAGTTTGCCAAAGGAATAAAGGGGTTAAATTCCTAAAAAAAACTATAGAGCTGCATTAGTGGGGGGTATTACATGATAATTTGGATTTACTGTACTTCGTATCGTTGTTCAAACTCAGGATTTTTCTTTGTTTCATACCTATGGAAAATGTATTTCATTTACTTTTATTTTCTTTTCTTTTTAATCTTCAGCATCATTCATGTTTTTCTAATCAATGAATTAAAAAAAGAGGGAAAACTACACTGTGCTTACACAGAGTAATAAACTAAAAATGTATTACAACAATATTTCAAAGTAAATTTGAAAATCATTTGCTCAAATTGACAGCAGTACCTCCCAAAAATGTGAAACAAATCTAAATGACTATAAGGTTGAATAACTATGCTCCACTTGTTAAAACATGATGAAGTCAAATACTTCACAAAAAAGTTAAATTGGTTTTGCTTTTCAAAAAGTATCAAATCATGGTTTTAAATCAATAAGGAATGAACATGTAGTTCAAAAATTTTCCATGGTTGTCACCAGATCTGAGACAAAAGAAACAAATCACAAGGGGTATGAAAAATCTTACACAACAGAAAACTTTGAGGCACATTCTAAATTATGTACAGAGTTCTCATGCAGTTAGGAAAAAAAAACTTACAATAGGTATACAGTCTGTGTAGGTAAACATGGACTTGAATCTGTCATCCATGCTGATGTGGTACAGAATGCAAAGTACCACTACACTGTGAATCTCATTGGCTAGATCAACAAAAAACAACAACATCAAGATATGAAAATTTTTGTTTGATGCTCTTAGTGTGATGGATCCTTTGGATGTAGCCAAAAAAGTAATTTTTTTGTGCTGATGCTTCTGTTCATATAAAAGATAATTTTTCTGCATACAATTTTTTTCCAGAGTGATTTCATGATGGAAAAAGTAAATCAAGTATGATGAAGACACTTCATTTCATCAAAAATCACATCTTAGCCATACTAATCCTCACTTGTCGTGATATTTATTCCATGCTACAAGAGTGCAGTGGGGAAAAAAACAGCCCTTACCCAACCCAAGATAACTAGGAGAAAGTCAGCATATCAACAAAACAATATATCTGAGCCTCTTATGTAACTTAACTTTCCACTTGTTTAATCAAATATTCCAAAGGTTATATAGATGAGGACTTACAAACAAGTTGCACAAGTTTTGGAAGAATTCCTGCTTTCACTGCTTTTGCTCGCAGGTCGGTGTCAAATGAGAGATTAAGAAGCAGGCGAAGTGCGATGTTAAGAAGATCCTTAAAAGTAAGATGACATGAAACAAATTATCACATGGCTGATGTTTTTGGAAGAAATACTTTTGTTGCTTTTTTTTAGAAACAAGATCATATAGCGTTTTCTTTAACTATTCTCATTCTCTAGTTTAGAAAATGCATTTACATCTTTGTTGCTCACCACAACAAATTTTGTGGAAATTAAGAGGTTGTTGCTCAGTATTGCCACTTGTGTTACATGTGAAAAATATGCCACTTAGTTCCCAGATGAAGTGGTCATAATGAATCTACAAGTGTTTTAGTTCTCAATAAAACACTGACATCCATACAATAATATATTTCCATACTTTATTTCAGTATTAAATACCTCATTTGAATGTGGAATCAAGTTGGCCAGCTTCTCTAATATGCCACATTCTGCCTGAAAGAAAAATAAAACATTTTAATGATGACAATTCCTAATCCTCAACTCCAAAGACTTAGCACAGTACTTTTCAACCCACTAAATAGTGACTCACCATTTCAGCTTTGTTCTCCATGAAAATACTCAACTTTTTAAGAAATGAGACAACCAGAATCAGTAAATCTACATTGTCTCTTTCCAAAAGCTGCACTAACATGGAAACAATCCCTTTGTTTTTCATCTTCATCTCAACCTTTGCATCTTCAGCCAGATTTAGAAGCAAGTAAGATAACACTAGAAGAGTGAAATATACAGCAATTATACATGTTATAAAAACACCCTTGACTTAATTATGACTGACTATTGCTATATTAATTAAAGGTAACTATAAAAATCAAATCAATTAACCCCTCTGACCCCTAAGAGTGACCAGAATCTCATTTCTCCCTACAATATCGGCTCTGAATAACATGTTAAGGTCACAAGAATAAAGGGAATGATCAAAAACTAAAGACACTCTTGATAGAAAAACAAATTCTCCTTGCCAGCACCTTAGGAAATGTATAGAGAACAGTATGGAGAATATGCATAATGACATCGGGATGTAGAGGGTTAAACTTTGGGGTAAAAGTGGACTTGAGCTATACTCCATGAGAATGACATTCTGCTCTCTTGCTGGATTTCCTTTCAGGATTCTCTTTCAGGATTCCCAATGATTGCCCAATCACTTTTGCAGTAGAGGATTATTTCTCACTGGTACTCCACAAAGTAGCCTTCTAAATAGACAAGACTGTGCCCTGCATGTTATTTAGTGTACCATTTTAAGAGCCACCAGAATCACCCAAGATATCTAAGGTTTAAAATCACAAATGAAATACCCCTGGAAGTGATGTCTAAGGTTTACCTCTGAGAAGCTGCTCTTGCTTTTTAACAAGACCAAGAAATTTCTTGAAGCTCCTTTCATAGTCCTTTCTATTATCACGTTATCATGTTAAGTGAAAAACCAGAGCTTTAGGCTCATAGTCAATTAAGGATAAGAAAACTTGAAGTGACTACCAATCCATTGCAAAAAGAAAAAAGGGTAATAATTTAATTATAGGTAGGGCAGGACTAGTGTGTTAGAATTTACTCCTAACATGTGAAGTCTTGAAGAGAATGAAAAATCCCGCACATCAACAGTTCCTCTTACTGCAGTAATTTAAATGCAATTTCTGAACAATGTGTTCCATGAAAGCATGACTGGAAATAAAAAACCAGCAAACCATCCAGGAGAAGAAGATTTTCATCAACTTCATTTTTGTCACATAAATTTTCCTTCCCACCTGCATAGTGAGAATATATGGTCTAAAGAAATTCCCTCTTGTAAAAACTGTGGTAAGAACAAGGCTGAGCACCATTTTGAAAAAAGTTACCATATGGAAGACATTTTAAGGATATTATTTTTCTTCTTTTCCAGTTCAGCAGACCACTGCTCATATCTCTTAATTTCACTATCCATGACTTGCATACACATGGCCCCAATCTTGTAATGGATAATAATGGAATGGAACTGGGAGAAGCTGGAGAAACAGAAGAACACATACACAATGTTGGTGGTAAGTTCTGTGCTTTTCTTCCAATCCTCCCGCAGCACTCTAGACAAGGCACCCAAAACAGGTTCTACAAATAAGACAAGTAAACTGATCACTTTTATGGCATTATTAAGAATTTTTCAGCTACTTTTAGGGTTGCGTAAAACTTGCAAGTACTATACATTCAAGTGAAAAAAACACTTTCCAAGAGGGACCTGACATAAGTAATTATGTTGTAAGCCATAAATACAAGAGAATACCAGAGAGAAGCATGACTCTCCAACAAACCATATGTTGGTTAAAAGTTCCAGAGGATTTTTTTAAAAAAAGTTTTTTTTTCAATAAAGTGACAAAAGTGGTCCCAGATTGTATGGTTTTACTACTTTTTTATACATACCATTTCCAGCAAGCTCCTCTAAGTTATCAGGATTTCTTGAAAGCTGTAGTATAAGTGCAGTTCCTCGTATTTTTTCAGGAAGTTCTTCATAAAGTAACTCTACATACTCCTCTATGTCATTTATGTTGGCTTGTTCATCTAGCTAGATTCAGTAAAGAAAAAGCTCTAATTATTCACTGAACCCTAGAAATCCCAATAATAACATGAACTTCAGGGCTTCTGCAGCATAAAATCTCTGGAAATTCAAGTAGAACTCATGACTAATAATTAAAAAAAAAAAAAAAAAAAAAAAAAAAAAAAAATTCAGGTCTCACTTGATAAAATGAAACCTTTACTGTACATACACCCAAAATTAAACTAACACTTTATTTAATCCTTTAACTGCCATGAGTGACCAAGACAGAAATTCTCCTAACAATATCCATACAATATCAACCAGAAAAATGATGATAATAAAGAAAACTATCAATTTGCAGATAATTAGTTGATCCAGTAATAAGTTCTCTGAACAAACATTATAAGAATTGTATGGTTGACAGTAAGGAGAATTTCAAATTTGGTGTGGAAGTTAAAGCGTTAAGTGGACACTAGCCCAAGCCTACAGTTTTCCCTCTCATATGAGCGCAGAGCACAATAACTTTGATCATTTTCAAAGCATTTATTCCGACAATCAAGAGTTACTTTGGCTGCTTGAAATGATCAGATTTAAGACACTTGGTTGTAAACAATTAGTTCCAAGGTTTAAGTCTACAGTCACAGCTCAGATGTCTATGTGGCACTATTTGCCAAAGAAAGTCTTCCTACAGCAGTTTCTTTCAAGAAATTAAGAAAGGCCTATGAATATTCAATACATGTGCTTGTGAATTTTTAGAAACAAATGATTTAAATTTAAATTACTCTATTTCCAATTGCATGTGCCAAAAAGAAAAAAATACCTCAGTCCCCTCAAAGTCAGCTGCTGCATTTCTTAGACTGTCTCCTTTCTCTTTACCTGGAAGAGATTGTAAGCATGAAAGAAAAACTCAAAACAACATAGTACAGTCACCTCAGGTTACAAGTTACTCTCTAATCACTGATTCAAAAGTATATGGTACAATATCACTTCCATTATAGGCTTAAATGAATTCATAGGTATTAGAAAAAATTTCTTCCAACTGCTATTACACATCATTCCTCTCATCTACTTTATTCTGAGAAAAATCTGGTTGCTATAAGATCACCTTTTGTTTTTCCTGTATCTTTCCTGTTTTGTAGATAGTACAGTAACTGTTCCACTTCAGGAAGTTTGGAAGGATGGATAAGCTTGCACTTTTCAATAACTTCTGCAGCCAGCTTTGCTATATTGGTTGTGGAATTTAGACTCTGAAGACGAATTCTGTTGATAAGTAACACATAATGTTCTTTATTTCCTGATTAAACACACTTTTTATTTGGGCTACCATGTAGTTTTCTTGATTGCTTTTAATTCACACTAATCACAACAACAAAAGAAGTTATTTAATTTAAATTTAGAAAATGTGTATTCCATATCAAACTTCTATTTTAAAGATTCCTCAGAGGTAGTACACCAGATTGAAAATTGATTAACATCGTCAAAAATTCTTCTGCAACATAAGTTGTAGTAAAAGTGCTTTAATAGTTCACAGTAATCACAATAATAATGAATGCCATTTATTTTAAATTTAGAAATTGTACATTGCATATAAAACTTCTACTTTACTGATTTCTCAGTGTTAGTAAACCGGATTGAAAAAATTATTGATATCATCCATAATTGTTCTGCAACATATGGAGATAGTACCGTGCTTTAATTCACACCAATCACAACAATAGATGTTATATTTTACTTTAAATTTATTTCATATTAAACTTATATTTCAGAGATTTCTCGCAGGTAGTATACTGGATTGAAAGAATCGAATGATTATATAAAAAATTCTTCAGAGACATATGAAGATAGTACATGTGATAAACAGAGTAAGCAGCGTAACTAGGAAACGAATGAAGCGCCTGAACCGCCCACTACAACAGGAAAACAATTTGAAGTTGTAAAGAAATCCCAAGACCAAAGTCTAAGACTAGGCTAGCTCATTACACGAGTCGTCATTTTAACCTGCCCATCGGCCTATGAAAACTGTTCCAAGCCAAGAACCTAACAGAACGATTACACATGGTGATAACTTACACTTTCTGACACTCTTTCCGCTCCCCCAACATAGGCTCTCCCAACGGGCCAAGTATAACAGCTTCCAGTTCATAATTAACCACAATAGCCTTCTCTGTGGGATGAGCATCGATGCTTCCTCCCTTCACTCTCCTAAAGGAAGTTAAAACTCGATCAGTGAACGAAATTAAAACTGACAAAAATTGAAGGAGGCGCCCGCCGACCGCGGACAACGACCTTGTCAAACGAAACTTTCACTAATAGTTCACACGGTTCACAGCTTACCGTTTCAGATATCTTGCCTCCTCTTGCATCTCGTCCTTAAAACAAGACTAGAAAGCGTCCAAATTTCCAAAATAAGGCAATTTTAACGCTGTCAAAGGTAATTGTGTAGTTTCTTCAGCTGCCATTTTACATGACCCTTGCTCCCCGTTGAATGATGGGAAATATAATATTTGCTGGAACGGACTTGTGGAAAATGGATAAGCAGGGCGGAGAAAGGTTCCGAGCAAAAAGGTGGTGTCGACTATAACTGCCTTCAACCAAACATTGGCTTTTTCTGAAAATGACGGCAATTTCGGCAATTTTGAATGCCGGGCTGGAATAATTGTTTGGCCAGGATCTAGCGGATGACCATTTCATTTCCACCATTGTCAATATGTCGTCGCTGAAGTTTGTTGTGCCAGTTAGAGGGGTGAATGAACTGAATGATTGAAAATAGTTAAAAAGCTTCCGGGCAAACTTTGAAACATTTGTTTTATAAGTTCCTGTCACAAGCTGACACCTGTCACTTAGCGAGCGCAAGAAAAAGGCCATGTACTCTTTTGAATGAGCAACAGCAAAATGGCTATACCGACGGTTTTCTTTTAACAGTCAGTGATCTTAAGGAAAGTATAATTCACTTCCATGGGTGATTGATGTACGAGGATTTACCTCTGCTCAGTCAGTTGTGAATGACAAGGAAGAGCGAGTGTTCGTTTTCCGTCGTGGCTTATTAAACACATTTATTAAACACCTCTGCTCAATCAGTTTTGAATGGCAAGGAAAGTCATTGTAAATAAATTAAGAACGTATGTTTTGAGGCGGCGAGAGTGTTCGTTTGTTTGCTGCAATGACGTGAGCAAATCTTATCTTTCTTCGTGGCTTATTAAACACACGTGTTAAACAAAATTACTTGGCTTATTAAACAAAGGAAGCTTTCTAAAATGTTGAGAATCTCTGCTGTTATTATGGAACATAATACTTAATTGCGCGTTTTTTGTATATCAACGTAGATGTGCGAGACATTTTTAGTTGAATCGTGAGGTTTATGGTCAATACATCACAGTTTTGATTATACTTTCTCGCACATTTGAGAACTCTCCAAATTTTAAGTAAACATTTAAAAATTTGTTCGCCAATCTTTCAAATGTAGCTGTTAACTGCCGTAAAAGGAACCTGATTTGATTAATGACAGAAAGCCATACTAATTCTCTATTCTATTCGCAAAGAATGGTCCCATTTAACATTTGCTGGGGAAAAAATTGTTCCTCGCACCTGACTCCGGCTTTTTCTTTGTAAAGACCTCAAATTTTGCATGTGCGTGGTAGAATTTTCCGTTCATCAAATGAAAAGAAAGACCAAAGGTCGAGATGAGCACAAATAAATCAGACTTCCGCGCTGAATGACCGGGAGAAAAGCAGGAGAAAAGAGCGCTTTCTCTATTTCTCAAAACGAAATAACAACTTCAAACAACAATCAAGTGAGTAACTTCACCTGGCAAAATGAAAGTAAACGAATCAGAAACTGTCACTGGTAAGGCGTACACTCCTAGATCACTGTTTTTTTGTTTGCATCTTCCAAGTTTCACCTGGGAGTTGGAGGAGAACACCATTCCCTGGGCTGTGTTTGGCATCACAGTTTTTTCTTCTCCCTTCATCGTCCTGCTGAACGTTTTAGAGATCATAGCCGTGAGCAGGAAGTACTGCTGCGTAGTATGGCGGTGGCAGACGTACTGGTTGGTGCTTTATCCATGCCGTTAACCGCTACTGTTGATTTATTGACTGCTCATCAAACGCTTCTGGATCATGTCTGTATATTTCACCTCGTTGGCTTAGCTGCGATGTATTGTGCTGGTGGGACAGTCGTGCTTCACTCGGCATTCATAGCCTGGGAACGATTCTTGGCTGTCAAGAAATGGAGGGTATACAAAGTGATTGTGACACAACGCCTTATGAAAAAACTTGTCGTGGTCGCTTGGATGCCTGCGGCAATCATAGCAACACCATACGTAATGATTGGGGCTGGTGTAGATCTTAAAGTATATGAAAACTTAGCTCTGATACGGGGTATTGGTTATGTTTTCTTCATCGTGTTAATCACATATTTTAACACTATGGTGTACCTTGAGTTACGTAAGCGAAAAAGAATCAAAACCCTTAAGGTTAACTCTCTAATCAAAGAAAAGTTGGACTCTAAAGTTGCTAAGATGACTGTTTTGATGACTTGTGCAATGCTTTTCTCGTTTCTTCTTCCAGAGGCGTGTCTCTGGTTGGGATATTTGTTCCCAGTCTTTCGGAAAAACTCGGCTTTTCGATGGTACGAGATATTGATGCAGTTACACTCATTGGTAAATCCATTGATTAACTGCTTTAAAGAACGCTGTTTAAGAAATACTGTCCTCAAGCTGTTGCGATTTAAAAAATCCGAGCTAATTCGGCCCACACTTCGTTTTGTTAAACAAATGAAACCTCTCAGCCCACAAGAGGATGTCTTGGAGAACCAGATAGACAAAAAAGGAATTACCTTCAGGAGAACTACACCTATACCTGATTCAGTATTTGTTATAGAATCTGTTTATGATTCCTGCAATCGAATTAGGGAGCGAAGATCTATGTCAGTTCCATCGCTTGAGATAAACAGCACCAGATTTAGAGGTCTACACACTCACCAACGATTCACCTCATGCAATTTAACATCAACAATAACTGTCAATGCTCATGACGACGCACGACAAATTTTCAAGAACAGGGATCCTAGATTTCCACCTTGTGACGTCCAATTAAAACAAGTCCCGAGAGCGGAGTCTAAAGATGTTACTGCGTCAATAGATTTGGTCTGCTGCTGCCAAGACTTACAACATAATTTAGTGTCCACAAAAGCGGTATATCTGTTTTAATCAACCATGACAATCGGTAAGAAGCAGGGACAAAAACACATTTGTCCTACACATTTGTAGGACAAAAATATGTTAAACTGAATATCTATTCTCTTCTAACGCACTTTCGTATGCTCTCTTGACTTCAACATCCTTGTACCTAGGAGAAATAAATCAGTTGTCGGTTTGGTGACATGCATGATATGGAAAAGGTTGTGGTTATTCATCGTGGTGAATAACAATAAATAAGCTAAGTTTTTCGTTTGTCTCACGATGTAGTCACGTGTGATGCAGATCACGACGTTTCGACTGCATACTGAATCCTTAATTCTGTCTTGACCTATGCAAGACAGAATTAAGGAGCACGATCGAGACATTCGACTCGCCCGTACCGAGACCTCCGCCGTTTCAGAACATGCCCACAACACCGGACACAAGCCACTCTGGAACGAAGTAGAGTTTATTGATCGTGACCCTTATTACTACACGCGCAGGGTTAAAGAGGCTATTCATATAAGACTTCACCCTAACAACATCAACAGGGATAGTGGAATAGAAATTCCAGAAGCGTGGATGCCCACGATCAAGAAACACAACAACAGGAGAGCCGTGCGACAGCGGACCACAGAGGGAGCAAATCACTGAGTGAACAGCAAGGATCGAAATGCACCAATCAGAGCTGTTGAAAAACAATCAATCACAGCAGAGCATCATGCTTTATAAGATCACGCATGACCAGTCGACCCCATCGCCTGAAGAAGACTAGCAGTATGCAATCGAAACGTCGCGATCTACATCACACGTGACTACATCGTGAGACAAACGAAAAACTTAGCTTATTTATTTATGCATGATATGTTTTAAGTTCGATATCGAATGGATCAAGGCACAAAGAAACGCTGAATTAAGAGTTGGCTCGGGAATAAATTCAGTGTTCTTACTTTTGCAATTTTCTAAGAATCTAAAACATCTACGATATAGAACTTTGGTCATAATGTTGTCATAATGATGATTACATCATCATTGTAGTTTGGTGATTTTTTTTATGACTTTCCTTGAACTATACTCCAATACTGTGATTCTCCAGACTTGACAGATAATGTTGGCTTCCCAGGTTTTGTGACTTGTAGGAATCCAGAAATCTACTTTAATAGAACGAAGCACTCTCTACAGAGATCAACAACGGAAGCAAAGCAGACACACAGACAGATGTTCTCTTTTATTTTTTTAATTTTTCACATACGGTTCCAAAACTTTCTACGTGGTTTTCAATAAATAAAATTTCCTCCCTATTCATTTGCTATCGAATTATTTAACATAGGCTGTTCAGTAAGTCGTGATTTTTGAGGACGATAAAAACATTCCTCTTTCATAATCTCTCCTCATTCCCCTCTCTGCCTTTATAATTACAAGTGTCTCTAAGGGTGATCCTGTTACAAATTGATCTTGGCATTTTAGCTCTGAGGCGTGATTTTCTCTTCTGGCTGCTACACATTTCCTTATAGAGTGTAAATAGATTATAATCTTTCATTGAGGTACAATCTCGCCGATTGCTGGGTATAAATGCCAGGATTGCAATCAGTGGATGCTTCTTATTCCAGCTATTGCCATGGTGATTCGATCCTCCACACCCAGTTCATGAGCAACCTCGTGAAACCTGAGAGGTAGAGAAATGAAATCATTAATAAACGACGAAAAATTCGTTCATTAGCAGAGTAAATGTTAGCCTTATAGGAACATTCTTCTCTTTTCAAATGTTGTCAGCTGTAAGTTCCCGCGCAAGCGACCCCTTAACAAGTGTGTGGGAGGCTAAACGCCACAAACCATCTCCTTTATCTAACAACTAGATTAGAAACAAAAGTTATTTTACAATGACAGAAGCAGCCTGCCACAAGCAACCAATACAGTAGGGGATTTAAGCCCGGTTGAATAGTTAGCTGGGTTATACACACAGACAACAGACAGGTTGACAGACATGTAGACGGGAGGACTGAAGGGCAGTCGGACAGAGGATAGAGAGAGAGAGAGAGAGAGATAGACAAGGGGACGACAGAAAATTAACTAGAAATTACTTTGCTAAACAACCTGATCGACTTACTTGTCACTAGTTGCTTTGAGTAACTCATTAATGTGCGTCAGAGTTTGACTTGGTGTTACTTCTAAAGCTTCCAATACGTTGCAGAAGTAATCTGTGTCGAAAATATCATCTTAGTTAATACTGTGGCATAGATATGTCAGTTACAGGTCCTCTGAGGCGTGTGTTTGGTGTAACACAAAATTAATTTTTTTTGTCATTTCCCGCCCTACTAGGGCTATCAGAAGTCAGTTTAAGCTCCTTAATCAGCTAATAAATGCAAAAAGAATCATGCAAGAGCAACTTCTTGCACCTTAACGCATGAAGAAGTAGAAGTTTATTAAGTACATTAAGTACCTATATCAGCCAATAGCTGTTGAGTGGAGTATGGTGTCAGCTCATGGATTTTCAGGATACTCTCTGTGTAAGCGTGCATGGTGCCACGAGCAATAGATCCCAACCAGAAGGTCCCAGGATGATGTTCATCTTCATATGCAGCTAAATAACACAGAAATTAACATTAATGCAATGCTTACTCGTTCAATTCTATCCCTATGTGAGGCAAGTGAATAGGTTTGTGGGTCAACAGATTTGGCCAACAAAAGCTCAAGAAGTTGGGATTTTTGTAAAAAGTGGATTCGAATATTAGACTGTGGATCGTGGACCAGCTGGAATTTTGTCCAGATTCGGGATTTTATTTGTTTAGAGTTTCAGATGGTGAATCATATTCATTTGCTAGTCTCGTGTCGGACTGGATCAGTATGTTTGTTTTTCATCTTTTAGAATTTAAAAGAGACTTGAGAAACTTTCCGGTGGTACAATCCCTTATGAATTCACAATTCCATCTTTTCTGTGATGTAACGCTTTCACGCAACCTCTCAAACACCAGCAAATAACGGAAAACGTCGAGGAAAATCTAAGTGCAGTAGAAAAAGAGCACAACATCCATAGATACACTCATATGCTATGCACCATGGGTACTATTAAGGGAATCATTTTACATAGACAGACGTGAATTGTGAATGCTACCATTAACCACTCTTGCACATTTTCTCTTTTCTGTTATCAGTTCCCTGCAACTCACCGTGCACATGAAGCGTACTTTCTCGCTCATGTGCTTAAACTTTTATGTAATGTTACTCAGTAGCGATCCAAAGACCTCAAGGATTGAAATGAAATACTAAACTTTCACTTAAAGCCACTAATTTTTGCGGGAAACAAATGTTTTTTCAAGTTGACTTTCAAAATTTGGATTGCATTAACCAGTATCTGTTTCACTCCAAACAAAAATAATTAACGCTTTCGACACCTCTCGCTATTATTTCCTATGTAAGGTAAAACGGTTCACAAGCCGATAACCGAGATTGCGTGATCCAATCATAACATTAAAAATTAAAAATCCGAGGCTAAGAATTAAGTAGTGTCTAGCAACGCACTTTTACATATGATGGCTCTATAGTCACACAACCAGTGCATCCAATCAGAACACGCCCTATCGTTCGAGAGCGCGCGCGTTTCCATCGCCTTTGATGACGTGACGATAGACATAACTGAAACTTCAGTTGAAGTCTCTGATTCGGACGTTGCGCAGACAATCTACTCTTTCTGAGAACTTACTATGACAAACTTAAACGCTGATAGACCAGCTAAATTTGACATCATAAAACTGTTAGGAAAGTGGCCTTAATCTGGAAAAGAACAAATCTGTACACTGGCGGGTAAGCGCTTACAAAAACTATCTCAACCTTGCCGATTCATCAGAATGCGTCGCCTGATAAGTTTTTAAGTTTTAATTTTATTTCAGGCATAATTTCAAAATCCTTGAAGTAGCGCTCAGAGAGAAATCATCCATTAGAGAACAAACAATTCACTGATTATGTCGGTTTGTGGAAATCTGACACTTTTTTTTTTACTTATTCTTATCCGCTTAGGGATACTTCATAGCTTTACCTTGAAGATCCGGGAATGGAAGATTTCCCGCCTTCATGGCAGTTTCCAGAGCGGGGTTTTCTTGTGTTATGAACGGCTCTAGTTGCTGAGGAAGAGTGAGGAGGTAATCTCCAATCTGTAAACGACAAAGAGAAATTATCAGGCGACAAACAACGGTCAGGCTATCAACACTACGGTACGTGAGGCGTTTTCTCAAAACCTACTATTAGAGTTCATGTATTAAACTCATAACTCAGTGAGGACATAGGTGGCTTACAAAAAGCGCCTTCCATATCAGCTAGTCTCTTTAGTTTCTATTGAACTTTCTAAAACTGTTCATTGTACTGATCAGTCATTCCTGTATGATCTATCTGACTGTAGATGAATATGGAACCACGCTTGCGAGAACGGCAAGACTATTTTTTCGCTTTGTCCCTATTTTAGTACTGAATTTTTTTGAAGGATAAGACTAGACGTGAGCAAAATCAGGGGGGGAATTCAACCTTTCGCACTCGCAACTACCTTGAATTCATTCACATCCAGCAGAGTTGGAGAGAAAAGGCAATTTCTATAGGTTTCGTTGATGACACTTTTAAAGGAAAATTAGCAAAAGTAACATAAAAGGACAGTTTCTAAAACATAAGGGAAGTAGTTACGGCAAATGAACCCTTCGCTACGCTTGATAGCGGCTATGATCATCCCTATCACCAGAATGAAGGTCCTTCAAGTGGAAGGAGTTTAATTCACTCGGAGGAAAGTTAGATTTTGGTAAAGTGGGCGACAACAGAAAACACTCTAAAAAGAAGTGAAGACCTCGGAAAATCAAGACATATTAATGAATATGTTGCGGTTTGAGTTCAGACATCTCTATACCGTTTGTTTGTCTCCCGAGATCTGATTCTTAATTCTCCCCTCTAGCTGCTGCGCATTCCTTGCAAGTTAGATACGGAAATTTGGTGTTAGATCAAGAGCTTTGACGAGGGGCTAACGCTCGAAACGTCAGCTTTGAAACCCCTTACAGTGGCCAATTTACATTATCAACTCGGTTGATAGAACCAAATTATTTTGTTACACTCCCCCACAGACGCAGCACCATAGTTTCTTTAGAAACCTACCCCCTTTATATCTCATAACCTGTTTACTGGATAATGTATGGATATTGTACGGATAAATTACATGTTAATTACTCCGGGGAGTTAAAATTTTTAACTTCTTTCACACTAAATCCCAGTACTGGCTACAGCATGTAAAACTGACGATATGGACAGAAGGTGTGAACATCGTTCGTGGCTCCGTAATGTTTCTGGTCATGCTCTGTTAGTTGATACTCACGTGAGTAATGTATCCTAGCGGAGATAAACTGAACGCGGGAAGCTCATCACTCAGTGCAGCCCCAGATTCAGGGGACTTGGCAGACCAAACCTGGTTAACAGGGAACACTAGTTAGAGATACAGTAAATGGCTGAATCTGGTGGTAACATGTGAACGTGTAGTCTGATCGTCCGGTTGACGGTAGTATTAAGAAGGACTGTTGTCGGTAGAAGTGACTGTAGAAATCGATTTCCTTTCCAAATTTAGTTTAAAATTTTCCTCTACCTCTCCCCCTGGGTATTCTTTATGTACACACGCGCACCGCGCGTGATTTTCACAAATAAGCCAATCATGTCAAAGAACCCTAACCTTAACACTGAAAACTGACGTGTACATTTTTCGCGTACTTTTGCTGTTTTGTTTTACGGAGTTAAATTTAGTTGTTGTTTTGAGCTTTCGTTCAAGCAAATTTGTTACCCCTTTGTTTAGAATTTAAGACATGAAGGATTTTTTATTGAAGCTAAATGCTGTAGTTAATTTAACAAGGTTATTATATATATTTCTTCGGAGTTTGGACTCTAGCCCCATTTTTCGTAAATGGATTTTTTACAGTGGCTGTAAATGATCATGCTCACATGATCGGAAGTCATCATCAGAGTCAAGTGACGAGTTATTGTCAGTCGAGTGTATTGAGTCCGGTTCGTGTGAACTGATTGGTCAGTTTAGTCGTGATGATACTAGCTGTAAGATTCAAGTGGCCTATATCGGTCGTGATTGGTCAGTTTTGATCTGTCGGTAATGTTAGGTCGTTCTGTTTTGTTTGGTTGGTCTGTGGTGTCAATGTTGCGAATAAGTCGTTCGTACGGTGCTGCTAATAGTTAACACCTGTTTAGAGGAGTTTGTTCTAAGTTAGTGAGCCTGCTTTAATGAGTCATTTGATAAAAAGAACTAGTGTTGTAGGTTAGGCATTACGCAGAGTCCCACTCAATAACGTGGTTTGAGAGTCTATGATTGCCAGCAGTGTGATCGTTGATATCACTTTTCCTCGTCGCTCGCTTGTGTTTGGTAAGTCTTCTTGTGAGGTATCTGCCAGTTTCTCCGAAGTAGGAGGCTTGGCAGTCGCAATACTGGATCTCGTAAACTGCCGCCTGTTTGTTTTTCGGTTCGTTCTTCTCTCTGACGTTGGTAGTAACTAACGTAGTGTAGTGATGGGTTGTGAGCAACGCGGATATTGAAGGGTAGGATGCACGAGATAGTTTCAGACATGCCCTTTATGTACGGTAGAGTCGCTGTAGTCGCAAGAGTCGCGTTGTCGTTTGTTTCAGTTTGTTGCTCTCGACCTAATAGAGTCCTAATAGTCGTGGCTGTGTGATATCGGGTTGTAGGATGACTCGTTTGTTAATCAGTCGTTGTTTTTCGGTATTCTGTAAACTGTTATCCATAGCAAGCTGCCGTCACGGCTTTCTAGGAAGTCTGGAAAAGAAGTTTACCATGATCTTCGATTTCTTTGATAGACTGTATGTCAGTGCTTTGTGCGTTAAGGTGATGGCGGAATGCGTCGATTTCGTTCTGTCGCACAGCGGTTAATCGTATCGTCGATGTAGCGTAGCCAAAGTGGTATTGTTTGTCGTCAAGTCGAAAGAGAGCGTTACTCGATGCTCTACATCACAATTTCTACGACGACAACAGAAACTTACGATCCCACAGCTGTACCGCGTAACTGTTTTAGGGTTTACTGTTGTACTGAAAGTAAGTTGATGCAAGACGCAGGTGCAGTTAGGTTATAATGTCTTCTCTCGATAGCGGTAGGTCGAGCGAACTCATGGTCGCATCGGGAAAACAGGTTTGTGTAGCTTCGGCAGACCGTAAAGTTTCGGTGGCTGTGGAACTGAACAGCTTAGTCGATAGTAGCGTTGGATGTCAATGGCGTTAGTCGTCTTAAGCGTCAGTAGTTTAGGGTTGAGTTTGCGTTGAGGCGTAAGAGTCGGGTCACGTTTGAGTTCTTCGTAGGGTTTGTTTGTCGTTGACTTGTACGTCCATTTTGTCGTGATAGTCAGTTTTGCCCTCAACAACGGTAATTTGTCCTTTTCGGCTGGTAGTAAAACTATATTCTCGTCGTTTTTCAATCGTGCTTGTTACTCGTCTTGAGTCAAGTCCACGACACTGACACTAGACTATACAATCAGCACCACTTCATGACGGTATTTAACTAAAGACGAATAACAATAGCTAAGACGACTGAAAAACGGCACGCAACGGAACAGACAGCTTGTCCGACGAGAACAAATACCTTCACCATGTTTTTTATTAAAAAAAAACAACTGTAACGGTGACCTCATTCGACCTACCCCACTGAGACAAACGGCAGCGCAACTCTTACGACTAAAACGACTATACCATACGTAAAGGGCACGTCTGAAACCATCTCGTGCATCCCACAAGCCTTAAATGTCTATGTCACCCACAAACTCACAACACTGTAAGTTACTAACCAACGAGAAAGACAAGGACGAACTGGAGAACAGACAGGGGCGGTTTTGAAGATCAAGTGCTAAGCCTTCTACTACGGAGAGAATGGCAGAAACCTCCCAAAACATGAGCGAGCGACTGGAAAAGGTGATGTCAACAATCACATTGCAGAAGATCATGGACGTACAAACCACACTATTGACTGGGACTCTGCGCAACGCCTAACCTACAACACTAGCTACTTTTAACGATTGACTCTAGAAAGCTGGTTCACTTACGAAGACCAGACTCCCTTCAATAGGTGTCAACTACTTCTAGTACCACAAAAACGACTTATTTGCGACATTTACGCCACAAATGAAACGAACAGACCGACCTAACGTAACCGACAGATCAAAACTGACCAATCACGACAGACCTACGCCACTTGAGTCTTACAGCCAATAACATCAATAAACTGACCGATCAGTTCACACGAACTGGACTCAATACACTCGACTGACGACAACTTTTCGCTTGACTCTTATGGTGACTTCTACTAAGGTTATCGAAACGTCAGTTACTACAACAGACGACGGTCCTTACGACTACACTCACCCCTACGATCATACTACCCGATCACAATAATTAGAGGATTGCAAGGTATTTTAAAAGTAGTATTTTAAACAGGGCCCTTTTCGAACGGGTGACTGAAGACCGAGGACGAAATAGAGACTGAACTACTACACCCATACAATAGAACTAGGAGCAGTTTAGTGTATTGTGGTGTACTTCGGTGTAGTTTAGTGTAATTCAGTGTAGTGGATGTATTGTGGTCTAGCGAGTTGTAGTTTCTTTCGTGGGTATAGTTTGGTGTAGTGTGGTGTAGTTTGTTGTAGTTTGGTGATGGACAATGGAGAAGCAAGAACTGAAAAAAGAACAAGGTTAAATCTTAACGTTACCTCCAGTTTAGGTGTCCGCCCAAGCTGTTGTTTTATTTGGATGAAAACAATGTCAAAAGCAAAACTGTGCACTCGCTCATTCAAAGCTTGAAATTGATCAGAAACGGATGAAAGGACAGTGGCCGAGTCACCGGCTAAGATATAAACAAACAAAAACAAAAGGCGTCGCTACATCTAATATATGGGAATGTGGAGCAATAACAAAACAAGGATGGAACATTAAGATACAGGGGTAAGTAAACTAATATATGGGAATGTGGAGCAATAACAAAAGAAGGATGGAACATTAAGATACAGGGGTAAGTAAACTAATATATGGGAATGTGGAGCAATAACAAAAGGAGGCTGGAACAATAACATACAGGGGTAAGTAATCTAATATATGGGAATGCAGAGCAATAACAAAAGGAGGATGGAACAATAACATACAGGGGTAAGTGAACTAATATATAAGTGAGTGTGGAGCAATAACAAAAGGAGGATGGAACAATAACATACAGGGGTAAGTAAACTAATATATGTGAGTGTGGAGCAATGACAAAAGGAGGACGGAACAATAACATACAGGGGTAAGTAAACTAATATATGGAAATGTGGAGCAGTAACAAAAGGAGGATGGAACAATAACATACAGGGGTAAGTAAACTAATATATGTGAATGCGGAGCAATAACAAAAGGAGGACGGAACAATAACATACAGGGGTGAGTAAACTAATAAATGGGAATGTGGAGCAATGACAAAAGGAGGACGGAACAATAACATACAGGGGTGAGAAACTAATATATGTGAATGAGGAGCAATGACAAAAGGAGGATAGAACAATAACATACAAGGGTAAGTAAACTTTATATGGGAATGTGGAGCAATAACAAAAGGAGGACGGAACAATAACATACAAGGGTAAGTAAACTAATATATGGGAATGTGGAGCAATGACAAAAGGAGGATGGAACAATAACATACAGGGGTGAGTAAACTAATAAATGGGAATGTGGAGCAATGACAAAAGGAGGATGGAACAATAATATACAGGGGTAAGTAGACTAATATATGTGAATGAGGAGCAATGACAAAAGGAGGACAGAACAATAACATACAGGGGTGAGTAAACTAATAAATGGGAATGTGGAGCAATGACAAAAGGAGGATGGAACAATAATATACAGGGGTAAGTAGACTAATATATGTGAATGAGGAGCAATGACAAAAGGAGGACAGAACAATAACATACAGGGGTGAGTAAACTAATAAATGGGAATGTGGAACAATGACAAAAGGAGGACAGAACAATAACATACAGGTGTGAGTAAACTAATATATGTGAATATGGAGCAATAACAAAAGGAGGACGGAACAATAACATACAGGGGTGAGTAAACTAATAAATGGGAATGTGGAGCAATAACAAAAGGAGGACGGAACAATAACATACAGGTGTGAGTAAACTAATATATGTGAATATGGAGCAATAACAAAAGGAGGACGGAACAATAACATACAGGGGTGAGTAAACTAATATATGTGAATATGGAGCAATAACAAAAGGAGGACGGAACAATAACATACAGGGGTGAGTAAACTAATATATGTGAATGTGGAGCAATAACAAAAGGAGGACGGAACAATAACATACAGGGGTGAGTAAACTAATATATGTGAATGTGGAGTAATAACAAAAGGAGGACGGAACAATAACATACAGGGGTGAGTAAACTAATATATGCGAATATGGAGCAATAACAAAAGGAGGATGGAACAATAACATACAGGGTTGAGTAAACTAATAAATGTGAGTGTGGAGCAATAACAAAAGGAGGATGGAACAATAACATACAGGGGTAAGTAAACTAATATATGTGAATGAGGAGCAATAACAAAAAAAGGATGGAACAAAAACATAAAGGGATAAGTACACAAATATATGTGAATATGGAGCAATAACAAAAGGAGGATGGAACAATAAGATAAAAGGGTGAGTAAACTAATATACGTGAAAACTAGGCAATACGAGGGGAAGATGGAACAATACATACAGGGGTAAGTTAACTAATATATGTGAATATGGAGCAATGACAAAAGGAAGATGGAACAATAAGATACAGGGGTAAGTAAACTACTATATGTGAGTTTGGAGCAATAACAAAAGGAGGATGGAACAATAACATACAGGGGTGAGTAAAGTAATATATGTGAGTGTGGAACAATAACAAAAGGAGGATGGAACAATAACATACAGGGGCAAGTAAACTAATATATGCGAGTGTGGAGCAATAACAAAAGGAGGATGGAACAATAACATAAAGGGGTAAGTAAACTAATATATGTGAATGAGGAGCAGTAACAAAAGGAGGACAGAACAATAACATACAGGGGTAAGTAAACTAATAAATGTGAATGTGGAGCAATAACAAAAGGAGGATGGAACAATAACATACAGGGGCAAGTAAACTAATATATGTGAAAAAGGAGCAATAACAAAGGGAGGATGAGACAATAACATAAAGGGGTAAGTAAACTAATATATGTGAAAACTAGGCAATAAGAGGGGAAGATGAAACAATAACATACAGGGGTGAGTAAACTAATATATGTGAGTGTGGAGCAGTAAGAAAAGGAGGAACAATAAGATACAGGGGTAAGCATACATATATATGTGAATATAAAGCAATAACAAAAGGAGTGAGGAGCAGTATATATCAAGAGGGAGTGGATATGGTATATATCAAGGATGAGTGGAGAGTAGTATTTATCAAGAGAGAGTGGGGAGCAGCTATATATATTAAGGAGGAGTGGGATCAGTTTATATCAAGAGGGAGTGGGAGAAGAATATATCAAGAGGGCATGAGGGATGGTATATATCAAGGAGTGGGGAGCAGCATATATCAAGAGAGAGTGGGAGCAGTATATATCAAGGAGGAGAGGGGAGCAATACATATCAAGAGGGAGTGGGGAGCATTATATATCTAGGAGGAGTGGGGGGGCATTTAATTTCAAGCAGTGGGGAGCAGTATATATCAAGGAGGAGTGAGGGACATTAAATATCAAGCAGTGGGGAGCAGTATATATCAAGGAGGAGTGGGGAGCAGTATATATCAAGGAGTGGGTAGCAATATATATTAAGAGGGAGTGAGAAGCAGTATATATCAAGGAGGAGTGGGGAGCAGTATATATCAAGTAAGAGTGGGGAACAATGTATATCAAGGAGGAGTGGGAAACAATTTATATCAAGGAGGAGTGGGGAGCAGTATATATTAAAAGGGGGTGTGGAACAGTATATAGCAAGGAGGAGTGGGGAGCAGTATATATCAAGGAGGAGTGGGGAGCAGTATATATCAAGTGGGAGTGGGGAGCATTATATATTATGGAGGAGTGGGGAGCAGTATATATTATGGAGGAGTGGGGAGCAGTATATATCAAGAGGGAGTGGGGAGCAGTATATATCAAGGAGGAGTGGGGAGCAGTATATATCAAGAGGGAGTGGGGAGCAGTATATATTACGGAGGAGTGGGGAGCAGTATATATTATGGAGGAGTGGGGAGCAGTATATATCAAGGGAGAGTGGAGAGCAGTATATACCAGGGGGGAGTGGGGAGCAGCATATATCAAGGAGGAGTGGGAAGCATTAAATATCAAGGAGGAGTGGGGAGCAGTATATATCAAGGAGGAGTGGGTAGTAGTATACATCAAGAGGCAGTGGGGAACAGAATATATCTAAGAGGAGTGGAGAGTAATATATATCTAGAGGGAGTGGGGAGCAATATATGTCAAGGAGAAGTGGTGATCAGTACATATCAAGAGGGAGTGGGGAGCAGTATATATCAAGGGGGAGTGGGCAGCATTCATTATCAAGGAGGAATGGGGAGTAGTGTATATCAAGGAGGAGTGGGGAGCAGTACATATCAAGCGGGAGTGAGGAGTAGTATATAGCAAGAAGGAGTGGAGAGCAGTTTATATTAAGGAGGAATGGGGAGCAGTATATATCAAGAGGGAGTAGGATTAATTGATATCAAGGAGGAGTGGGGAGCATTTAATATCAAGGAGGAGTGAGGTATCAGTATCAAGGAGGTAGCGGTTGTACCACATATCAAGGAGGAGTATAAAGCAGTATTCATCAAGGAGGAGTGGGGAGCAGTATCTATCAAGGAGGAGTAGGGAGCAGTATCTATCAAGGAGGAGTAGGAAGCAGTATCTATCAAGGAGGAGTGGGGAGCAGTATCTATCAAGGAGGAGTGGGGAGCAGTATCTATCAAGGAGGAGTGGGGAGCAGTATCTATCAAGGAGGAGTGGGGAGCAGTCTCTATCAAGGAGGAGTGGGGAGCAGTATCTATCAAGGAGGAGTGGGGAGCAGTATCTATCAAGGAGGAGTGGGGAGCAGTATCTATCAAGGAAGAGTGGGGAGCAGTATCTATCAAGGAGGAGTGGGGAGCAGTATCTATCAAGGAGCAGTAGGGAGTTGTATATCTTAAGAAGGATAGCAACATAATAAATGTCTTGCCACCGGGTCACAGATGCTGGTACACAAAGTTAAAATAGCAGCAATAGCTGTGAAGAAGAGAATTTGTGCTGGTTTTCTACATAGTTGGTTTAAGATTATAAAAAATATGATAGAGTTAAGAGTTAACATTTTTCCTCTTAAATTTTCAAGTTTAAAATCACCAGTGTTGGGAAAAATTGGGGGAAACAACTTGTATTTTGAAATTACCTGAATGAAGCTTTTGGATAAATTCATTGAAAGTACTATATTCAATGGGCCTCTCCTGTTGCAAATAATTGTACCACTGAAATGGTCTCTGTGGAGTAGCAGTCTTTTCACCAATAGCATCATCAACTTTGCTGTCAAAATCTTGCACAGTACTAAGAATTGATACAAGTAATCTTTTGTCCAAGTTTTCAATTTTTATCAACAAATCACCTGGAAAATAAATCAAGGGAAATAGGAATATCAAGACTAAATTTAAAAAAAAAAAAACTAGTAGAGGAAAGATCACAGAGATTGTCATTAGATTTGATCTGTATGTAGCTAAGTTGCTTAACAGGGCTTTGAAAAAAAATTGTTTTTCTATATACCCTGGATAGAGAAGTTTGCATGCAATAAATGCTTATGGTTTCCTTTTAACAATTTCAGGCTTTCTGATAAGTGATGAAAAATGGACTGAGCTAAACATGATCTTTCCTTGAAGTAACAATTACATACTTTCCTGACCCCAATGGAATGCAACCAACATTGTGAGGGCACATTGAAGGTACAATAAATATTAAGTGGAGTGAATATAATAGTTATTTACCACAAATCTGAATTAGACGAAATGCATTTTGAAACGTTGTCCAGTCCTCACTGATTCCCTCATTGGATGTGGCATCCACTTTAGGATCAACATCTAAGGAACATTCTTTTCTTAGAATTGAGACACATTCATCCATTCGTCCAGTATATGCCCCAAAGAACTCCTACAAAGAAACATGTCTAATTATGTAAATTACTGCTTTGTTTACAAATAGCATTACAAAGAATATGGGGTATTAAGTTTAGGAAAAGAGGATAGCAACAACCATAGTTCATTTTATAATTATATAGTACTGTAGAGAAGACAAATGAACTGGAATGGTATACACAATCTTAGTATGTGCATGAATCAGACATTTTTAAAAGTCTAGGCTAGCTAGTAAATGGTACAGACTGGTATTTAATGTGCAAGTAGCAGTGTTTAGATGGGGGTAGTATTTTAAGGATTATGGTGGACAAGTTACTAAAGCTGTTAGTTTGAATTATCCTAGTTGTGGAATTTGGCCAATCATTTTTCTAGGCTTTTTTAAAATTATTTGTCACCTCTAAAACACCAAACTTTTGGCCGTTCTTACCTCTAAAACATGGCATAGACCACGGACAGCATAACCATCAGTAAGATCAGTGCAATACTCAACAGCCTGTAAAAGAAAAAATCAAAATATTATTATAATAAAACTTACAAATAAAACAGAACTTAATTAAGAAATAGCAGCCCTGCAGACTTGAAAAGCTAGTGACCAAGAACACTAATCATAACAAGGAAGGGATGTCAGTGTCTTTAGACTAACTCAAATATATCTTCTTAATGATAAACGCAAATGAGGACACAGCCTTCCTAAGCATAAAGTCATTGCATCTACCTTTTTCTAATCATATCTTGATCTATGATAAAATTTACTTGATTTTTAAAATTTATTTCATCAAATTTCATTTTATTTCATTAAAAATCAAACAATACAAATCATAAATGATCTGTGTCTTTTCACACATGTAGCATCTAAGCTCAGTTGGTAATAGTGCCTATGACAACAAGTATCTGATGGACAGGGAGTTGAATCCTGTCAAAGCCTTCACAGGCTTCTTTTCAGACATTTCTTAACTTGAAGTTCTAGACATCACTATTTTTTTATCATATACAGATTGAAAAATAATTGGTTTTACTTCAGTTTGATAAGACCTCTTTCATAGTGTATCATACAGGCCTAGTATCACAGTAAGTACCTGTTCAGCCAGGTGAAATATTTTCTCAACAGATTCAGCCATAAAACCAGCCGTTTCCATAAACCCATCACCCTGCTGTGTGGAGTGAAACAATAAACAAACTTTAAGACAACACAGTAATATAATATATAGATTTAGTCAAGCCTAAAAGCAAAGCTCACATTTTATTTTTCCTGCATGTCTAAGCCCCAGCCAGGACTAGAACCCAGGTTGTCCGACTCAGAGCCCAGTGCACTGACCACTGGACTACTGGACAAAGCCGTGGCATTGGTGTGCCTGCAGTACAGTTGACCACACATGTTAAAAGTAGCACCTTGTACGGTCATACGGTCGTACAGTTGTACATCCAAATTTTTTGGCTTGATGGGTTACTACTATTTTGTATAATTATGGGGCTACGCAAGCTCCACTATAAAGTGTATCTTCTTCAATCTGGTATGTGTTGTTTTACTGTACTGTTCCAAAATTTGAACTAAGAGTCTTAAAGTCAAAGTTGCTCTTCTTTTTTATGCAACCATTATTTATTATTACTGTAACAGTACCTACAACCATCTTTAGGTATAAATAATCAATATGGATTAAAATCTTCCAATCACAACCTAGGAACATGACCATTTCCACCCTTTCTTTTTGAAAAGTTTAAATTATCACTTGAAATATGATTCACCTGTTGGCCTAATATCAGGACGCAAGTAATTATTGATAGTTGCTAAATTTTTTGTGGGTAAAATTTAAAAAATTAAAAATTACTGTAACTTGTAGTAAATCCTGGTAATTAACTCCAAAAAGTTGATTAACATGTAAATTCACCCTATGATATTCATACCTTGACCAGCAAAAAGCAAAAGAAAATACTCAAACTTATTAAGTAGAAGTTATTTTCTCAATTGGAGAAGTAATACCAAATTCTCATAAAAGCCAAACAGATGGAAACCATGATTCTTGAGTATCAAAGGAGATGAAAAGGGCTAGCAAGTGCATGATTTGATGTTTACCAGCCGTGTTGCTTGTAATTGCTCCACAAGGAAGGTCTGCTGTAATGTTGGATAATCCAACAGGTAAGGAATATAAGGAGAGTATACCACATCAACCAGTTGATTTGCCGCATGGGTGCTGCATTTGTCTGAAGTGAAAAAGAAGATAACAGGTTAACTTTCCCTTCTCATCTGAGAACCTTTTTCAAGTCTTAAAGGCTACAAAACAGAAAAGCAATATCACCATGGGCTTTAATTACTCTACTGCACCTTGCTGTAGTGAGACTGCCTTTTCTAAGCCATGACCAAATCGTAAAGTGACCTGTAAGAAACATTGAATAAAAAAAGTGGAGTTTTAATGAAGCTGCCAGCTAATAGTTACCAAAATGTGTGCTGATATCAACAGAAAATCTTGCCATTTTTTGTATTCAGTTTCTATATTAAAGGCCTTAAGCTATATGTTATAAATATTCACACCCACCTGTCGCAACTCAATCAACTTTGCAATGATGTTTGACTCATTCTTTATAAACTCTGTGATGCATGACGACAACGATGGGTCTAAATGAGCTAGTGTTTGACTGATGAGTGTGCACAGTACAGTTCCAGGCTCAACAAAAACTTGACCACACCAAGTCACCTTAGAATAAGATACAAGAATTTTTTTAACTGCAATTTATTGCTTTTTCAGGTTATTTCTAGTACAGGTTAAAGGAAAAGTAGTCAATCCAGGTGAGCAGTTCACCTACATGTAGCCAGGCTTTATTCTCTGATTTCCTTTGCTTTATGAACTTTCACTCTCCCTAGATAGTACACTAGCTCAACGCAAGTCCCCCCTCCACCCACACATCCAGCATTTTGTCAGGTTTCCTTGATAAAAACTAGTACCCATTTACACTCCTATGAGGAGAAAGGCACTTGGACAGAAAAAATGTCCATTTTGCTAACTGCTAGGTTACTGAGTCTCCCACCTGATATTAACCCTTAAATTAACACCCTAACATCAGTATTCACATTCTCCATACTGTTCTCTGGACATTTTCTAATTTAAAGGTGCTGACAAGGAGAATTTATCTAACATTCAAGAGTTTCTTTAGTTGGTGATCATTTCCTTTATTCTCATGACATTAATGTGCGATTCAGCAGTGATATTGTAAGGAGAAATTAGATGCTAGTCACTCTTAGGGGTTAAAGGGTTGAGCAGAACATGGTGAAAAACTCTTACAAGCTGAATGGCCCCTTACTACCTTAGGATTATCCCTGTTTTATCTGTATAAAGCTATAAGCAGCATTGCTTATCCTCCAAGATGGGAAGAAACCCTGTTACTTACAACACAAGTCTGCAAACAGTCAGTTAGGATAACTAAATAACCGTGCATTAGGGTAATGTTAATCTTCAAACAGTGCTAAACTTTAAGTATGATCTACTACTTATTATGTTAAACTATACATTTATCCTGTGGATAATTTTAGCAGAATCGCATTAACCTCTGTATGCCAGGTTGAAAGGATAACATCATAGAATGTTGAAAGCCACTCCAGCATTGACCTATTTGGATCCTCAACACGCACTTCATTCCAAGTCTTTTGCAATTTTGTCTATGAATTTAAAGAGAAAAAGACATCTTTTATCACGATTATAATTTATAGTTATTGTATAGTTAAAGGTATATTACTAGCTATCAATGTCACTGCCTTCATTATCATTGGTTCCTTGTTCCCCAAGCAGTTCATGAAAGGCCTCCATGTATTTCAATCACAGATACAGTATAAGCTAAATATTAGCCATTTAAAATTGTATCATTATCACTACATGAATTAAAAAGAACCAAGAGTGATCAGTTTTTCATTCCTCCTCACAATATCAACATGCTATCATGAGTGAGAGTCAAGAGAATCAGGAATCTGATCAGCAAAGGAATCTTGCAGATCTTTATCAAATTCTCACAGTCAGACCAGTGATAAGAATTTACATTTTGACTACGAGACTCAAATGGTTGACTGGTTTCCTATACCTTCACTGTAGCAATAAATTAGCACTCTTATTTCCTTAACCCATCAGTATGCATATTCTCTATACTGTTTTCAGTACATTTCCTAAGGCACTGGAGAATATGTTTAACAATCAAGAGCTTGATGATCATCTCCTTTATTCCTGTGACCTGAATATGTGATTCAGAGGTGATCATGTAAGGAGAAATTAGATTCTTGTCACTTTTAGGGGTTAAGGGGTTAATAACAATAACTTTGATGCCCAATGCCTCTTGATTTCGGGATGAAACATTACATGTGTACAACACAGATTGTACACAGATTGTAATTGGTACATGTATATTGTAAGAAATGGTTGATTTTCTGGGACTATTAATAACAATAACTTTCAATTGATGCCCAATGCCTCTTGATTTCCAGATAAAACACATGCATGTGTCCTACACAGATTGTAATTAGTACATGTAGGAGACGGTTAATTTTAGGGATTATTGAAGCAGACCACCATACAAACCTTATGACACCTAATGTAATAACTTTGAAGCTGGTCCAGTCTTTCAATGTTTGTAAATATTTTGACATATTCTTTAGTGTCATCTGTAACAAAAACAACCATGTTATGAGCTGCATTCATGGAACCACTATGATATAAAGGTGCAAATTAAGAACAAAAAATATATACCTATCAATCAATTTAGATATACTGTACATATTTGAAAAGGAAAGTTGAAAACTATTTGTGCCTGTGAAATCTGACCAGGCTACTTTCAAGCCAGACTTTGCATGACAGTTGTATTTTCCTGATTTTACCTATTTATCTTCTAAACAGCATGCATTTATTTTATTGACTTTCAGTTTGTGAAGAGAACTGGGGCAAAATTATCAATAAACACATTTGAGGGGTAGGGGTGTAATTCAAAATCAAACATCTCTGAATTCAAGTTTTCCAGGGGATGGCATACCTGCCCAATAGCTTCCACTTAAAAACTTAATTAACATTTCTCTGTCACAAAGAAGCTCTAACCAAGAGAATGATTATTGAATGCAGCCACAATTTTAGGACTCAGGAGTGCCTCCAATCTGTTTTTAAGCCCTTCAAGTCGTCTACGTCTCTGTGCATAGTCTGGGACATCTTGTAGGACAGTCTTTAGAATGGAAACATGAACAGCAAAGTGAGTTGCTAAATTAAATGCACTGGTAGATTTCACTTAGCCATTTACATTTTTCGGTGAAAGGACGATAAAGTTTCATCTATTTTTTAAAGCCGCCCATCATTTTTGAGTCAGAGATATGACATTTTTATTCTGAATTTTTTTCAGTGGACCTTATTCACAACTGCTGGTGTTGTAAATGTAACAGACACATGCAATACAAGTGCATGAATTATCATCATTAACAACTTACGGAAAAAGAAAAAAAAATGAACTTACTAAACTTTTGTGCATTCCTTCCAGTTTTGCTGCTATCTGAAATTGAAACCAATTTTATCACTTCATATGTGTGTTCATGATTCCAAACAACATCTCACTTTTTATATTGCTGGTGAGTTTTAAGGGACAGCTTCTGTGCAAAAGCATCAAGAGCATTTTTTTTAATTTGAGAAAATACTACTACCTAGTGAATGAATAAAGGTGTGTTTAAATTGATATACTTACAGCACTAACATCCCCAGATTCAAAAACTTTATCCACATCAGACGACAGTACTGTCCAGTTATCTGCTTCCTATAAAACCAGATACAACACTGCTTGGAAATATTACTATATAGAGGATGTGAGATCTTACAGGGTAGGTATCTACAAGATATAGTACATTTAAGTGCTATAATTGATGTTAACATTTACCTTAAGAGCTCTTGATGCATCCTGCATTCTTGATTTAACTGTATCAATCTCCATCAGCATCTTCATAGATTGAGCTGTATTTTCCTCCACCTCAACAAGAATGATATACTTTTATTTATATCATATACACTTTTTGGTGTGCATGCCTAATACAATAAAAGGTAAATGAAAGAGAGATGTTCATAAAACATCTTCCTTGATGAATTTGAAGTGATTTTGAGATAACATTCATTTAATCTCTAAAGAATCTTGTTCATTAGAATTTATTTATTGATTTCTCATAATTGAGCCATTATGTACAGGAGAATATTGGTACATTACAGTTTATTGACAGAAGCTGTTCCTGCGACAGAAACATCAAGAAAATGGCAGAGGCCACAAAAAGAAGTACCTCAGCATTAACTGCTCAAGGTAATTATAACAGAAATTGACCAGTTGCAGTTAATGAATCTCTCTAAATTCAAGAATATCATGTTTACCACTCTAATGTCCTCCTTTACAAGATTCATTTGTTCCTTCAGAAGGGAAGCATCATGACGAATGTTCTCTATCTCCCTTAGAACTCTAAGGAAGGAATGGTGTTGACTATAACTTTCACAATATTATAAAAAGCAATACTATACAATTTTATTGCAACCATAGATACCAAGACTCTAGGATTTGTGAAACATTTGTCAATTACATGGTGAAATATTGTCCATAGCAAAGAAGCCATAATTATTGTACAGAACTAAATGTTAGCCTAAACAAGACAGAAGATTCAAAGCCTGAAATTTGCGCAGAAGTAAACAAAGATAACATTAAACGCAAATGATTGTGACCAAATGTCAAAATTAGATTGTACCGTGGAATATTATTCACTGATTGAGTGCTGGTTTCCTCTAAAGCATTATTAACCTCCTGGAAACAGAATAATATTTTAGTGTTAGTAGAGCATGTGAGAGATTTAATAAATACAACATTATCAATCCTGGGGGCAAATTTTCAGAGAAATAAATTAATACAACCAAGCACTTCCAAAAATGTGTTCATAACACAAATATAGTGTTTGAGTAAAGAAAAAGTAAAGCTGTAGAAGGTTTGTGTGTCAGTATCTCTACTGCATCACTCAGTCTGAACAACTGAATCAAAAACATACATTTTCAACAGCAGATTATATTTTTGATTTGCTCAAACTTTGCAGTTTTAATGGGAGGCTTCAACATTACTAGTAATAAAAATAAATTATTTTAATTGAGCAATTTTCAATTCAATGTTAATAGATTACCTTAATTTTTCTTCACTACCCTGAGCATTAAGCAGCTTGCTATTATTTCTTTTATGTTCTCACAGACTATTATTGAAATTTCCTTTGTTTCAACTGGCCGTAATAATCACTATGGCTTGGGTTTTAAGACTCTTAATTGAAATGTGCTCTATTGAAATGATTATATAAACAAACCTGTATAAATAACTGCAACTTCATGACCAAGTTTGATGCATGAGCCTTCAAAGATAAGTTTGGATATAGTTAGGAAAGATGACATGAGAAAAATTTCTTCAATAATACTGTAGATGAACTGAATCAGAGTTGGTGCCTTAGGACACTGGAACAGAGCAGCAACAGACAGAAGACACCCAATTGCAACAATACATGGAGATGGGCTAGATTTTCTCATTTTTTTTCTCTTAAAGAGCCAGTAATTATCTATATATGTGAGTCATCAACTTCAAAGTCTTTTCTATGCTAAAACTTTCAACCAGGAGAATATACAGGAAGTCAATTAAAAGATAAATTCACATAACACATCCATGTGCAGATAATACATGTTTATGAATGTTAACATAGTAAACTACATGCACCGGTATGTAACTGGCCTAATAGACACAAAGTTGAAATTTGTTCTAAAAAAACTGCACCGGTAATTAGATATTGACATGCTAAATATCAAGATTGTAAGCTAGACAATTAAATACATTATATGTCACGATTTTATAATGATCAGAACAGAATTTTAAAAAAGGATCATGCAGGGGAAATTTTTCTTCTAGTCATATTCATCAAAACGAATCGAGTACTACAGACTTCAATACATTTCACGACGATTATCTGGATGGCACAAACTTTGTACACAGATACGTCGCAAACTCAAACTATCTACACATCCTTCAAACTCACGTCAATAGGCGTTCGATCATCACGGATTCTTAGCGCCGAGTTCACCCACTCTTTAACATCAAAGTTATCATCAGAGAATTTGGAAAAGTCCATATTGTGAGAGAATATAAAACAGAATACAAACGAGGACAACAGTGCCACCTCACAGCTCATTTGCCGCCATTTTGAATTTGACTCATAAAGACGTGGTGTAATGTTCATATAGTGGCTCAACAGGCCACTGTATGATTGCGGACTCCGTCCCCAGCTAGAGGGTGCAGCAGAGAAAAATTCCACCAAATTTAGCACCACAACATTTATTTTCTCATTTCATATAAAGTTAAAAAAAAACAAACAAACCAATGAACAAAGAGCAAATTTTCGATACATTGCAAAGTCTTTAATCACCACGCGAGGAGAACGCGTCCTTTTGTATGAAGGCGCGAGACGTGGGTGTCTTACTCTGACGTCATTAGTTTCCAGTCCCAAATTCCTCTTTGCCACGAAAGCAGAAAGTTAAAAAATGGCTGTGTCTGTTTCTTGTATAGGACGCGTCTAGTCATTAAACACCTGAAACCATGTAATTTGGTCAACGAACTCTTCGTTTTACCCGTAGACTGGACTTTTGTCCACTCAGCTCGTCGTGATGAGTTGGTGTCGGTTGTTATCGTTGGTTGCATGTCTTAACCTTGTTTATGCCGGTGGCGAATCCAGTCATTCCTCGATGACACCCGAGGAGAAAGGCGCGATGAGGTTTGTTTGCCTCTTAAAGCCGCCAGTTTTGTAAGCCAGCCTTTTTGAAGGAAATTAGAGTAATATTTCACTGTATTTTTACAGGGATAAAGTGTTGGAAATGTTTCACCATGCCTACAACTCTTACATGGTTAGTAGTTATTTCGAACACAACTACCTTTTGTTAGGCCTTAAAGATCTATGACGCAAACGGTCTCACACATGTTACGATTGCTATACTACTTTATTGCCCGACTATATTTCTTCGGGGGCTTCAATCAAACGAGAGACTTGTTGTACAATATACCTATTATGCATTGTTCGAGTTGTGCGTGTTATTTTATTCATGACGTTTACTCTGAAACTTGCCTTCGTGCCTCTTAGAGTCGTTTTTAAATGTTTGAGTAATCGGGCGGCATCAGCAGCGAAATTCAATATGTCTTCGGCTTTTGTTACGAAAACCATAGCGATATGGTAGATAAGAATCTAAAAGCGTCATCTTATATAGTTAGATATTGGTAAACTGTTGTGACGGAAGTGAAATTAAGTCGGTAGGTATATTGTTTAAAATATTTTGTTTTTTGGTCGTTTATTAGTGAACATGATTTTAAACAGGTTAAGCATCTAGAGTTGAGCTTAATTCGAGAGTCAGCGCCTGAATTCTATTTTGAATAATTAATTAACAGCTGGGCACATATTTATTTTATATCCAAGGTATTGTTGTTTTACGTTCATTAATGCTACAGTACAGTAACATTTATCTCATTTTGAATGTAGCAACATGCAGAGTAAGTTGAGAACTGCACAAGATCATTCTGTTAAAATTATGTGAATTTCGGATATATTATATCAGTATCTAATTTGATATTTGTTTCAGAAATGTTCCGATTTCCCACATCTCTGGTAGTTGAATACTATTTTTTGAATGTACCAATATCCTACCAAGATGTGGGCAAAATCTTGATGTGATATGAAAAATATCTTCAATTATGAAAGTTTCAATGGAGAAAATCCTTATTGACATTTTTTGGGAGGAGAAAACTCTAAGTTATGGCAAATTCACCGTGCTCATCAGAAAAAAAAAGTGCTGCTGGCTGTATTTATGTGGCAAGAACTTTCACCTGTTCTGCTTAGATGTCCTAGCTATGTTATATTACTCTTGGTGGGCTCAGGGTTGTACTAATTATACCACTGATTACCATTAAGCTAAATTTAAGTTATATAAGAGATGGATACTGCTGGTGTGGTCACCAACATGGAACAATTGCAATCAAAAGATGAAATTAAATGAGATGGAATAAACAACTATGCAAATATAGATAAAAAACAAGAAATATTTTCTGTTTGATGCACATGCAGCACTATTTCCTTGAAAAAATTATTGTACTATGGGACAATATGTCAAATTTAAAATGAATTCAGATTTAAATGAATTCACACAGGTTTCATTTACGTTTTACTTTGGTCAAAGATCATGGTGATGTATCTGGATCAGAAGGAAATGAAATTACTTTAAACCTACAACATATACTTGTAAACTTATAGTGTTTGAGGATTGAAAGTCCTCCAAAAGAGTTTTGTTGCCATGCTGTCTTGACAGCAAGGTGTTTGTTCAGTGGTAAATGTTTGTTACTTCACTAAAAAACTAACCTCAAGAGATCAGCTGTTAACAAGAAATTAATCCTAGCTTTGTTGTTTATACATTGGCAGTTGAAAAGTTTTTAAACCACCGTTTTATTGTGTATTATAATTTTCTGTAAAGTTTTTCCAAAAACTGACGGCTTTGTTTATAGGACACAGCTTTTTAGATGAGGTTTGGTGATGTTCTCTATCATAAAGAAATTATGAGATTATAAGTCCATATAAATGTGTATTTGAAAGTAATCAACATGCAATCAATTCATATGCTTTGGCAGAATTTGCTAATTTTAATATGGGTTACTTGTTCATAATGGGAAATGATTACTGCCCTTTGGTTGTAAGTGTTACATGTGTTGTAATGTAGAATCCTGCTTTGTTATTGCTCTTAGAACCATGCATATCCTGCTGATGAGCTTATGCCACTTAGCTGCAAAGGTCGTATAAGAGGTGTAGATGCCAGTCGTGGGGATGTTGACGATGCTCTTGGAAAGTGAGTTCCTCTTTACAGTGTTTATGTACTTCTTTTTTATGTTGTGTTTTTTAAAATTTTCAAGAAGTAAATGCTAATTTAAATGTGTTGATAAGATAAATTTGTTAAGAAATCATCAGAAAAATTACCTTGAATGACAAGCAAGGTGCTTTTCTAGCCTTGTCATTCATAAGATCCCTCTAGATCAGCCCAGTGGAAAACAAATCTGCCATTCATTTATAAATAAAGGCAGGCTAGCTTTGTCACCAAGACCTTGTTAAATTAATGAGATGCCTTTTCAGATGAACACTCTAGCCTTGAAAGTGGGATGAAAGTTATTTCGTTATACTATCCTGGCTGGAATTTCCTACATTACAGTAGTTGGGGGTATATCTTAGCTAAATAATCACATTGAAATTTTTAGATGAACAGGCAGAATTTGTATCACAAAGTGGAAGACAAATATGAAAAGGCAATGAGATGTTATTTTCTAATAAAACATTTTGCCCTGTGAATGTAGTTGATATTTTCCAGACAGCAGTTTATTGAGTGGATAGCATTGTGTAGTGGTACGAAAAACATTTTAGGTCAGCTAGAGCAAGGATTAATTACTGGTAGCTATAACTATGATCAATACATTCTGTTACCTAACAGCCAGCCGAAAAAGTTATATTATGTTTTCATTATTGTTTTGTCTTTAAGGTTTTCCTTGACATTGATTGACACTTTGGACACGTTAGCAGTAAGTTTCTTGTTCCATTATTTGTCTCCTTTAATCTAATTTTTTTCTGAATTCTTTATTTTTAAATTTTTGTACAGTTGTTTCACCTCAAATTTCTCTCTTTTTCAAGGTTTTAGGAGAAGTAGAGGAGTTTGAAAAGGCTGTAAGGCTTGTGGTCCAAGATGTTTCATTTGATAATGATGTAGTAGTTTCAGTGTTTGAAACAAACATAAGAGTTCTAGGGTAAGAAAGATACTGTACATATATATATGTTGATCATATTCTTTCATGATTGGTAAATCATCATTTCCTGAATGAGTTGATCAAAACAGAAATGTGAGCTGTTAACCCTTTAATTAAGTATAAACATTTGTCTCCACCTACACCTGTAGTAGACGAAGTCTTCCCTTACTCAAGTTTTTTACAGCCAAACATCAGTGTTTATATTCCCTTTACTGTTCTCTGTACATCTGGTTTGGTATTGACAAGGAAAAAGGAAAAGAGAAATAAGATGCTTTGCACAATTACAGGCACTTTGAGTCAGTCCCTCAAATTTGACCTTCTTACTGCAAATAAGATAACTCTAGCAAACAGGGAGCTTGCCAATTAATTGTGTTTATTTTTGTGCAGGGGTCTCCTTGGAGGTCACTTTGCTGCAATGGCATTGCAGAATTCAGGAAAAGGCATGTTGTGGTATAACAATGAACTGGTGGATATGGCAAAGGAAATTGGCTATCGGCTACTTCCAGCTTTCAATACCTCAACTGGAATACCTTATCCACGAGTAAGTTACATTCCAATCATTATTCAAAGTAATTTGTGTCCATGAGATAGTGTTATTACAATCCAAAAAACTTAATGAGAATCTTTTAAAGATAAAATTGCTACAGCTGTAAATAACAATAGAAGGTATGATAATTGGTACTACAGAGGATTCCATTGATCTTGAAGCTTTTAGGATGGGGTTTAGTGAAGGGCAAATAAGCAATACATGTTGCTTACATTAATATGTAAACAATAGCCTCTTTTTGGCATGAAATCATGCATGGATGTTTGCCTGCAGACATTATCTGTTCCTAGATGTGAAAAATTTTCCAAGAGTAAAGCTCAAGGAAAACTGTGAGCTTTGAGGAGCAGATGATGTCTAAGGACAGAGATACAAGCATATTTTTGTGCAAAATAAGGGCTATTGAGTTTATTATCATTCAAATATTTTGCAACACGCATGTCTGTTGATTTCTTGTTACATATCTACAGGTAAACCTGAGGTATGGCATCCATCATCCATCATCAGGGACAGGCAGTGAGTCAGACACTTGCACAGCCTGTGCTGGAACAATGATCATGGAGTTTGGTGCTCTGTCTAGAGTCACAGGGGATCCAATATTTGAGGTGTGAATTTAATATATCCCTTTTAAGTTTGGCTTGATGAAATTGTGTTGAACAAAATAATCTGAAATTCATATAGAAAGAAAATCAGTTCTCAAATAAATTTGATGAAGTTAATTTGTAAGAATTTAAATCAGTTTTAAGAAACATCAACCTAAAAATGAAATGAAAAAAATTGGTTCTTTCAAATTGAAGATACACACACACCTCTTCATCTAGATGAAGATGTAGCATGTGATTTTAGGAACAGCTGTTTTGTATTGATAAGTGACACTTGAGTCTCCATTTTCTGGTTCAACAGCAAAAGGCCCAGAAAGCTATGGAAGCAATCTGGATCCATCGCAGTCGAGCAAGTGATCTAGTGGGTACTGTTATCAACATTCATAATGGCGACTGGGTTCGAAGAGGTAACTTTCAATTCATGTGCTGTAAATAAAATTATGACTCAACAGTGCCGAAAAGATCTTTTGTAAGGTAATTTTTCAGGTATGTCTAGAAGCAACATAAATTATCCACACATCACCTTTTTTTAATATGTTTTAAAACTAATCTAGCAAACCAATCTCTTCCTGTTGCACCATTGCCCTTGGTTTTTTTACTTGTAGTGATATAGTCCAGCCCTTTCAATTTGTTTAACTGTTGATAAAATTTTGAAACCATCTTGTTTCTCATACTGCACATGGTGTTATTTTTTCTTTACAGCCAGTTACTTTGTTCTTATTTTCTACTTGATTTTTTTTTCTTCACAAACAGACAGTAGTGTTGGTGCTGGTATTGACTCATATTATGAGTACTGTTTGAAAGCTTACATACTCCTGGGAGATGACAGATACCTGGAGAGGTTTAACAGGGTTTGTGAGACACATTTGAATAGTTCTTTTTTTTCTTCTTTTTTTTACCTACTGATAACAAAAGTTTAGGTCAATGGAAAGTATTGAAAGAGTGATGATTTTGGATTGTTAAATAAGTCAATATTAGGGTTAGGAAGAAATTGCAGTGCTACATTGGTGGGGGAAGGGGGGTGTTACAAGCTGAATTGGTTTTATCAACTGATTTGATGTAAATTGGCCACAGTTAAGACTATCTAAAGCTTATGTTTTAAGCATTAGCCCTTTGTCAGATTGGTAAAGTCAATATTTAGTCCTGCTGTGATGAGGTAAACTGCATTATTGTTCCAAATTTTGAACTGGTATGTTTGGATTTGATTTGAAAGAGCATGCTGTTATATTTATTTTAATTACCTGTGTGTACATATTGTCGTGTGTAAAATAGTTTAGATGATCAAAGCCTTTGACAATATCTTTCAATTAAACAAAATGACTTTAAAAAGTGAGAGATTCTTTTTGAGTGACTTGTGCTTTTTAATTTTTTTTCCAACAGCATTACAAGTCAATAATGCAATACATCAATCAAGGGCCACTGTTCTTAAGTGTTCAGATGCATCAACCTGACAGAACAGCACATGCTTACATGGATGCATTGCAAGCATTCTGGCCTGGACTTCAGGTAACCTTTCACCCAATAAGACTGATTGTTACTTTAGGTTAATTGTTTGCAATGATCATTTCAAGGAAATCTGCTTCCTGTGAAGTTGTTTTTTCACTAGAAATATGATTATTGAATTGTAATTTCAAGGTTTAGTGGGGCTGTAACAATTTTTTTTGTCTAAAATCTTCTTTCAGGTACTAAAAGGTGACCTTAAGAAGGCCATTGAAACACATCAGATGTTGTATGAAGTCTCAAAGAAGCACACCTTTCTACCAGAGGTACATATACATGCACAAACAAAGATATAAACACACTGAATCTTATTTCAGGTTTGTTGTAATTTTGTTCCCCCATCATACATTTTCTTTGCCAGGCATTTACGACAGATTTTGAGGTTCACTGGGGGCAGCATCCTCTCAGACCTGAGCTTGTAGAAAGCACCTACTTCTTGTATGAGGTAAGACACTGTTGGTATAAAGGAGAAACAAACGTTTGGTTTCTTTTCTTAAAATTCTTCTTTCACTAAGTTCAAGGGGAAATGGAAGAGAGGGAAGGTTGTATTGTGATGTTTCATATTAGTTGCGTTCTTCTGGATCAGTGAGGCCATTGAAAAAAAATATTAAACAAAAAAAGCATGTACTATGATTAATGCAATAACAAGTTAACAAATATAAGATAGAAAAAATGTATTGTAACGTTTAAACTTTGCTATAGGCCACAGGAGACCCATATTACCTTGAGGTTGGAAAGAATATAGTGGGGAAGATCAATGAACATGCCAGGGTTCCCTGTGGTTTTGCTGCTCTTCGAGATGTCAGGACATTGAGCCATGAAGACAGGTGAATTGAATGTGCTTGATAAATGGCTCTTAAATCATGTTATGTGTGTCCTTGGAGCGCTTTCAATAACTACTTAGAACTCTTAGGAACAGGGCCTGAGGCTTGAAGATAAAAGTGCATGTTCCAGCATTAAAAATCCTATTGCCCTATTCAGGACCCACCATCCTCTTACTGGAGAATCCTGTTACACTCATATCTTACCAGTTTATTGTATTGAAATAATTTAAACAAGCAAACATTTCAAATAACACAATAATTTTGCCATGTTTTTTTCTCTAGGATGGACTCGTTTGTTCTTGCAGAGACGTTCAAATACTTGTTCTTATTGTTCAGTGAAAAAGAAGATCTTGTTTTCAATATGAACCAGTTCATTTTTACAACCGAGGCACATATCTTGCCTCTTAGTTTGTCCACTATGGCTGTGAATACATCAGCATCGCAGGTAAACGCAACTTGTAGTTAGAAAGAAGGAAATACCAATGAGAGGCGATGAGAACTCAAAAGTGCCTAAAGGGAAAACGTGTGAAAATGCGAGAAAACGCGAGCGCCAAGTCGTGATTGATTTTAATTTTGCATCTGGTTGGGAGAGTGGTGCGATTTTTCTGGACCAATCACAGTACGAAGTAAAGCAAAAACACGCAATCTCGTATCATCTTCGACGCATAATTGAAAATTGTTCCGAGAGTGATGATCTTAGGTTGCTCAGAAGGCTGTTCTGAATCAAAGTGAAAGAGGGGCTTTTGATAGTGTAGGCTCCTTTGATGATTTAATGAAAAGCGACCTTTGCAATCCCTTTAAAAAAAGCACAAACACAAGTTAAAATCAAGCACGGAGGAGTAGTTTTATTGTTAAGATTTCTGTTGCTTCAAGTTGGTAGTCTACAGTCAAGCTTACATGTGTTGGTGTCACAATAAAAGCTAACAGAGCTAATGTTAGCTAACGTTTGCCTTGAGGCAGAGGTGACCTCCTGTTAGGCTGTACCATTAGATAGCCTTCCTTACAAAGTAACTTACTCTGGAACTTACTCCTGGAGTAACTTACTCTTGCAAGGCTTTCAACTTGATGTCGAAAGTTATGTTGGATTGCGGTAGCTCTGCTTTGCTAAACGATGTAATTGGTCTAGAAAAAGTGCACCACCCTTTCAATCAATCAGATGAAAAAACCAAAACAAGTCATGACGCTTGAGCTTGGTCCCTTTGAGTTCTCACTTGCTTCATTCTTTGATATGATTTTGCGACTTTCAAAGTAGAAAAATGTTTGTGAAAAAAGTGCAAGCCTTTCATGAGGCGAATCCTTCTCCTAATTTTTTTTGCAGGCTCTGAAATGAAACTGGTTTGTCGACCGGCTTTTTGTTTTGTGACCTGAAGATTTTTGTCTTCTTTCGCAGGAACTGAAGTACAATCTTACCATCAGCTCAGACAATGAGCATGAGTACACATGTCCTGCTACGCAACACAAGCAAGGTTCAAATGTTAAGTTTGCCGAGGAGGTGCGACGCAACAGCAGGGCTCAAGCGCAGGGAAGCTGCCCAAATAGGAAACCGCAGCAGGCTTTTGCTTTCAGCTCGAACAAGTAAGTGATTTGGTTTTTAAAACCGTTGCATTCATGGCTCTTTTTTACATCAGTTGGGAGTGGAAGACACAGCTCCACAGCAGTTGGCGCACCGGGCCCAGTTTTTTTAACCCTTAAACCCCTAAGAGTGACTAGCATCTAATTTCTCCTTACAATATCACTCCCAAAATCACACATTAAGGTTACAAGAAAAAAGGAAATGATCAGCAATGATAGGAGCTCTAGATTGTTAAACAAATTCTCCTTGTCAGCGCTTTAGCTTTAGCTGTCTACTGATGTTAGGGAGTAAAGGATTAAAGGACGGATAACGCTATGCAACGGTTAAATCGCTTTCTAGCAGATAGATGTTAACAAAACGTTCTTCGCCATCCATCGGATAAAAATTGAATCAGTTGATAGCGATCCACCCTTTGAACAACCGGGGCCTGGACTTCAGATTAAGAGGGCTGGGTTCGAGTCCTGGTTGGGTAGTTGTGTTTTGACCTTGAGCCTAGCGCATCACTCTCTCAGTGTCTATCTACGCCCAAGGGTGACAATACTCCTGTTCTGTTTATGCCACAGAAAATGAGATATGCTCTGTTAGTTATTGCTCTCTTGGTCCGTAAGACTGAACCATGCAACAGTTGTCGTCACTTGTCTCGGGACAGTACAGGCAGAGTGTAAAAAGTGAAATGTCTCTCATATCGCAAGACAATTTACTATATTTACATACCTTTATTATCACCGTCCGTAATTCGTGGGCATGCATAACATCTTCTTTTCTACTACTGGGTTTTTGTTAGAAACAAATTAAAGGAAGTTTGAACTCTTGAAGTTTGAATGTGTTCTTGTTTTTCATCCTATTTGATATCATAATGGAATCTTTCTGTTTTGTTTTTGTTTTTTTTTTCAGGCCTCCAAGGTTGAGAGCCGAACAATTTGTTCCAGGAAATCAAGAGCACATTAACGTACTCAAGGCCATGGGTATCACTGTAATTCAAACCAAAGATGGCAGAATAAAACTTATGCAAACTGCTTCAACGGTAAGATTTGAAGTCTAGTTGCGCCACTAACGTTGAAATCGAACTGCTCCAAAGGTCAGTGACCTAATGTATCACAACGTGGTCGCGAAGTCACAGAGTCAAATCCTTCGGAAATTCACCCAAATTTTTGTCAGACTTCTTTAAGTCTTCCTTACTAAGTTACTGACAGGGAGAATTTGTTTAACAATCAAGAGCCTCCTTAGTTGATAATCTTTCCCTTTATTCTCATGACCTTAATATGTGATTCAGGAGTTATATTGTAGAGAGAAATTAGATTCTAGTCACTCTTTCTTAGGGTTTAAAGGATGAACACTGGACAAGATTGCGTAATAATTCACTGCGAAGATCAATCAATCTTTTTAACAAGTCGTGTTGACGCTAAGACCTAAGGCCTGCGACAGTCTTAAGCAAACAACGTAGCATACTAATCGGCCACGGGGAGCACTCAAATATGTTTCATATTGCCGCTTGTCGTAAAGTAATCGCGTGTTGTTTCTCTTTTCTCTGTGGCCAGGCTGAGTCAGATCGTGATGCAGAAGATGGCATCAAGTTCATGCAAGAGATGATTGAATTGGCAAAACAACGAAATGATGAGTCAGGTATTACCAATTATTTACTAATTTTTTTTGTGTGTATGTGTGTTTGTGTGAATCTATGAAAGGGGGTGTGTAGGAAAATGGAAACAGTATCCTAGGGTCATTAGGAAATTAGCGCTGTGCAAGTTGATATGAAATAGCCAATGAGTAAAAACTTACCTACCACCAATAAATCGCTGTACAAAGAGTTCCTGAAATGTACACGGTGTTACAACTCTAAGTCCTGAGTGTTTACTACTTGTGACTCAATTCAATTTAGGTATTTTTCAATAATTTCGGCTATCGTTCATCTTTAGCTGTTCAAGAAAAGCCTCGTGTGGTTCAGCTTATGTCTGCTCCTTACAAAGGAGATGTTGTTCTCAACGCTTGTCCAGCGCACTTTGGTCTGGATCTGAGCAAAGGAGATGTAGGGGTGAGTACCCGGCACGTCTGTGATGTTACTGTTCTTTTTTCCTCAGTCTTGAGGGCTTCGTAAATTCCAGTTACTTTGCTGAAAGAGTGGATAACTTTTGGCGGATTAAGAGAGGGGAGGGCACGGGGAAAAGGGACAAGAGATGGTGGGGGACCACTGGGGGGACAGAGGGATTCCCCACTAATAATGGAATTTTTTTAAGTGAAGAAAAAAAGTGACTTAGTGGAGCCCCGCTTCTGGGTTTGGCTATATCTTTTATGAGAGTTTTTCTCTGGCAACCTTCTTTTGAGTTGTTGTTAGGGTTTCGTTTGTTAGAGGAAGGCTGTGCTTTATTTTGGCGCCTCTTTTCTTAATTCTTTGGACCCAATTGTGTAATGTTCACTTGCCAACATATCCCTACAGAAAATAGTGTGTCCGTAGTTTAGTAAGAATTGAACGGTTCAAACTTCCTTTTCCATGGTTAAATCACCAGTAGGCGAAGATTGTTCTATAGGAACAAACCGCCGCCAGGGTGTTTTTTGGAGTACGCCTCATGAATGAAATATATGTACATTGTTGAAACTTTTCCTTGTATTCCAGAAACTAATCCTACAACTCAGTCCATACACTAACAACAAAGCTGATAGATACGGTTTATAAACTATCCCTATGGAATTAAGGTAGCATTGTTTCTATTTTGTTTCAGATGGGTGCAGAGGTTTCTATAGCTGAGCCTATCAAGGCATGTTCTTCTGTTTCAAATGCAGAGGAACTGAAGCATAGAATTGCTATTATGGAAAGGGGCGAATGCATGTTCATCGATAAGGTACGAGGCAAATAAACGTGAACGAGCAGTGGCTGTTTTGCTACTGATTTCCCCAGCTATGTAGGCAGATGTCTCCTTCTTTGTCGTCACGTAACATTTTTTTTTTCTTTTCACAAACGAAATTCCGTTGCGTGATGCACATGTCTATAGCCACCGGGCCCAACGAACAGGGATGATGATTGTTTCTTGTGAGTAGTTCCTCGAGCTTCTTCTCCAGTCACGATAGTCAGGCATGCGTGTGAGAGGGCGTGAACAGAAACTACGGGGACAGAGAGGGAAAATCCAAGCTTTGCCTGGGACATATTGAGATCACCAATATTACTTTTAGCTTTAAAGAGGAACAGAATTCCTTTTCCTTAGATGTCCTCACTGTGAATTGTTGATTTCCCAAGTCGTTTTCTGTTTTCATTGTCTTTTCTCCTGAAAAGGAGGAGCTATAAACCATGGAAAACGCCTTCTAAGGTTTCACGCTGTTAATTATTGTTACTTTTCTTGTTTTGTTGGCAGGCTCGGCATGCTGAGGCCGCCGGGGCAGTTGGTGTGATCATCGTTGGTAAGATCTGTCCCCAAAAGACTTAAAAGATCACTGTAACTTTAATGAAATCGTCTCGAATTGAACAAACAGATAAGATAAAAACCCGGAGCACTATGTTGTCTTGTTAATCGATATTTTTCTATGAAATGAAGGCAAGTCATTAGATTCTTTTGATCACATATATTTATTCCAGAGTACACCTTTAATAAAGCTTCTAGACTGGAATCAAGATGACATAGTTCCAGGACACAGTACCATGTAGTTTTGTTTCCATTGGTAGATCGATTCTTAACCCTTCAACTCCCAGATTAGATTTGTAACTTTCCATACTGTCAGCCTTACAATTCTTTTAATGTTAGTTCAGAGAATTAAGTATTGGATCAATTAATAACCCCCCAAATTGATCTTTTTTTCTTAATTCTCATCACTTATCTGGTTGATATTGTACAGTTATTACAAGGAGAAATTATTTGTTGGTCACTCATGGGAGTTAAAGGGTTAATGTAACCTTCGAAATCAGTTAGTTTGAGGGTGTTACATTTCGAGCTCGGCCAGACGTTTGAGCTACACGAAGAACAAATATCAAGAGGGCTAAACGAGATAGACAGGGGAGAGTTTCTTTTCTGTATCGTGCTTTCGTGGCTCGAGAGCATGGATTCATTCGTATCTTTTCGTTAGACCCCTCAAACCTTGTGCGTCATTGGCAACGGCCCAATCCTTGTGATTGAACTAACCAGTAACTTTTTGCCACAGATAATAACGAAGGTAGCTCGAGTGATACACAACCAATATTTGCCATGGCTGGTGATGGTTCCGACAATGACGTGAAAATACCAGCCGTGCTTCTGTTCAGCGAGGAAGGACGCATACTAAAGAACGCCATAGCTGCAATGGAGGACTTAAATCAACGGCTTACGGTCCGTTTGGCTTCTAAAGCCACTGGAAAACCAGGTATGACGCTGTTGATCTTTTTTTTCTTCGTTTCACTTGTTCAGGAGTTTTTATAAAAGCGACCACCGATGGTCTACAGCTGCCTATAAGTACCTCTTACCGTCGTCTGTTTAGCTTGCGAGCAGGATCTCGTGTTTGGGTAAAAGGGTTAAATTTCTAAAGAAACTGTGGTGCTGCGTCGATGGGGGGTGTTACAAGATAATTTGGTTGGATCAATATCAGTATCTGGGCAACTGCCCACCTACCCCTCCCCTAACCCAACATTAATCCTAACTTGTTATCAATAGGCTGTTGTTGGGTTAGGGGAGGGGTAGATGGGCAGTTGCCCAGATACTGATATTGATCCATTTGGTTTTTATCAACTGAGTTGAGGATCTAAATTGGCTAACGTAAAGAGTTTCTAAAGCTATTATTTCGTGCGTTAGCCCATTGTTAGAGCTAATAGAGGAATTGTAGGTTGTATGTGGTTTATATACAAAAAAAGATTGAGTCACGCTATTGGTAGGTAACGTGAAAAGCCTATATTAGAACTGGTTCCAAATTTTATTTTATTTTGTTCTTGATCACAGCTAAGGAAGAGGCTCTAACTGCCGGACAAGCTGACGTGCCGTCAACTACACAAGAAAAATCAGAGAGCACAGAGTCTGTCAGTGAGGAAGAAAGTCCACCTCCAAGTGACGATATTAAAATTCAATTATCTGAGGAAAGTAAAGAAGTTCACGGTAGTAATACAGAACAAATCGAGGCCTCACAAGGTATGGAATCACATCAGAAAGCTGAAGACGGCAAGGAATCGACAACATCAGAAAATTCTGACCCGCCCAATAGCGAGACACCGCAAAATCCGGCTGTTGTGTCAGTGGGACAAGACGAAGTGTTTTGTGCCGCTACCGGCAAACCTTGTGCCATACCAAACCAAACTCACGAACCAAGCGTTGATTCAGCAATTCTGGCTGAAACTTCAAATAGCGACAGTTCAAATTCTGAAACAAGCACGCTTTCTGAGAATACTGACGTCGACAGTGGAGGTGAAACAAATAGCGAGGCAATTCAATCGAGTAAAAACACAGACGCTGAACTAAAAAATGAGCCAAGCGCAGATGTAGCAGAAAATACGAGCGATGAAAACGTTCTTGACGCTGCTTCCAAAAGGACTTGAATCTCAAAATTACTTTTATTAATCAATAATAATATACTCAGGTGCTTCAGTCTGACGTCATATAAGAACCCTTGGGTTGTCCAGGGGTGAGAAGAAACAGCTGACTCTGGTGCAGACTTGCATCCAAATTAATCAGGAATTTTTTGTGGTTTTGCCGCAACTTTTTATTCCTCTTATTCAAGTACCAAACTCTTCTTGGTTTGAGCCAGCATTCAGTCTTAGAAAGTAAGCAAAGTGGAAATGACGTCATAGTGCAAGCCCTGCTATAGCAGAGCAAATGATGGGTCGATGTGAAACTAGACTAGAACTATCGGGGAAATATTCGTATCTGAGAAGTTTCCGTTATTTATTGTCCAGTCGACAAACCTTTTCTAGCTAAATGCGTAAGTATCGCCCTATTCGCGCTGTGATCAGGCGTTGTAGCGGATCGCAGGTGTCTACCTGTCACCTCCAATCCAATACCATTTACTCGAGCTAAAAAACGCACCAAAAAAGCCAGATTGCAGGTCTCTTAAAAACATCCTCAGCCTTACGTTAATTTTAGGGACAGTCTTGACCCTGGCGGTTACGAAACTGAAATAATTACACTCACGAAGATCCTATTTTGAATGTACAGAACGGTACGATAACAGGGAAGGGGTTGGGGTACATAGCGACTGTTAACATTTTGTTATCGCTGGGGTTGTAGAAGGAGTTGGTTATATGCTAGCAAAACAAACGACTCTGAGGGACAAATTTATAGTTTCAACGTTCTAACATTCAATAAGACAGGATCATATCTTGCTTTTAACATTTTCGCTCCAGAAATGACTGTAAAGGAATTTTCCCTCACAGTATTCATACATTTTAAAGGGGAAAGTTGATGAGAAGAAAGGAGAATATTCACAGGGCTGAAATGTTTGGAAATGTAAAGTAGACAGGGTGGGGAATTAAAACTTAGTCCTTGGGAGTGAAAGGGTGACATTTTAACTGCTCTTAAAGCCACATGTGATGTAATTGTAAATATTTATATAGATAGCTTTAATTTTCGAATTTAGTACCTTGGCATAATATACAGTTGAGAGGCTAACTGAAATGTTTATTTACCTATGATTTAGGAATTGTTTTAACCATTAAAATCAGTCAATGTTTTTTGCCAATCAAATGGCTTTGACGACCGTCTGTTTTATTTCGCCTAAATTTTAAAGACTGATTTTGGTTTCAATTGTTGCAGACATCGGTAGGCAGTGTGGCTTGGCGCGCGCGCGGGGGTGGGGAATATTGTATTGTTAAGTTGTAGAACCCTACAGCGCCTGATGTGGGTAAGTGTTGCGAAATCTTTAATATTTTAGCAGTTTAGCCAGGAGATTAATCACTGTAAATATGGATATTAGCAGTGGAACTGTATGGAAGATAGATAGAAAATATTGCGTGGACTGACTGGCCAACACCATCACTTACACAAGGTTCAATGCATTAAGGATCAAAAAGAGGACGTAATTATATTTTATTGGTGAATCCTCAGGAGAAGTAAGAGGATGTGACCAACGCGATGGACTAAGCTGGACCCAAGGGGCTATCAGAGTGTATCACAACGAATCAATAAATTGATTTATACTTTCCATCTTGAGATCACTGGTGCTGTTCGCAATCTAATTAGCTCACAGCAGAGCGACTCCTTCACAAAACGCGTTGGCTTTTGCTCCAAGTTGTATCTTTTTCCCAGCCCATGAGAATGAAACAGTAATAAAACAACCATTCAGATTTTAACTTTGCAAGGCTTGTCTGAGGTTACAGACCAATTCTAGGAAAATAAGGGGCAAAAAAGGTCGTAAAGTGGCGAATTCTGTGGGAACACTTTGTGTTAAAAAATGGCCGAAAACTGACTTACACTTAGGTTTTCAGACTGTTCTTTTAAATTAGAAATCACACCAACGACATCTGGCTAAATAACATTCAACCCTTGCCAACTTTGCACTCGTGTTACATGACAAGGCACTCGTTTTCAGCCAATCAGAAGTGCGTAATTTTTTTCATATACATTATTACGAATATTTTTCATGCGCGCAGAGATTGCACCTCATGAATATTTTCCACGAGAAGTGTTCTTGGCAAGCTAAGAGGACTTCTTCTTCAGTTACTGGAACAAAAACTTGTTAAGATTAGCCTATTCTGGGTAGTGCGTTTCAATGAAGTAGTGGAGAAGCGGGGCGAGCTAGAGAAAAAAAAAACGAGGGGGGAATGAGGAGAGGGAATAAAGGAGCGGCCCCATCGCCCTTTCTTCGTCGCTCGTACCAGAACCCGCCGAATGTCGCTCCCGCGATTTTCGCTCGACCCTACTGAGCGAGGGCCAGGGGCAAACTAACTTGAATAACCGGAGTAGTATTTCACTTAGAAAACCCCGTTTACAATTACTCAGGCCTTGTAAAATCATTTACTCTGGTGAAGATCGTCCTTGAAAAATGTTATCTTCCGTTTTGTGAAAAAGACTGGCATAGGAGCCTAGACAGGACAGCTTGTCGAGAAAAATTTGCATGTCTGCCTTTTGGCTTGTTATCCCCAGGAGCCGAACAAGGCTAAATATGGAAGTATCTTTTAAAAGCCTTTCGCACCTGTCATATTGACTACGGACTCGTTATCGAGCACATCTATTTTCTATTGACCCCTTTGCGATAAACATTAGATGGTGGTCGTGACTTTCGAGCCTTGCCATGTTACGTTGGCTTAAAGTTAACTGTCGAGTTTGTGGGTTGAGTCAGAGTAATTTTATCAGCCTATTCAAAGACCAGTACTATTATCTCTTCTCGCGCATAGTGCGCGAACAAAATAAGGGTCGCGTGGGAGTAAACAAACGCAAACGTAAAAAGGTGGCACTTTCGCTTATGCGCTCCTCGCATCTTCCTCGTTTCTGTGGACAGACTAATTTGAGACCACTTCGTGCAAATACTTTCCACCATTCTCATTTAAAATGATCAATACTTCTTAAAAGAAAAGCAAAACTTTGTCGCCATATTTCAAGTTTTTGATACGGATGATGGGAGGGGCACCACAATTCCTTTATTCTGGAAAAAAAAAATTGACGCCATTAATTCATTACTGTACTGCAATATTGGAATTTGAATTTCTTGCTTTATCATTCTTATTCACCCACAAATTAAGTTCTTAATTAAAAGATGAATTCTTCTCGATCCATTTGGAGGTTTCCACTGTCAAGACGAAAACTTTGAGAAGTTTCAGTTAGGCTCCTTGTTCACTGCAACTTGCCTTTGGACTTCCCACTTTTTTGATATGATAAAAACTAACGCATTTTACAATTTGGAATAGGCTGTACGTCTCTATGCAAATCAATCATGGATGATAAATGGACATATCTACCCGTAATATTTACGTCTTTGACATCTTAGAGTCCTTTGGAGGTGCTCAATTATAAGTTTAATTTTGGAAGCTTATTTTGGGTAAGTGTGTTGAATAATTTAGCTAAAAGAACGGAAACGACGGTAAATTATTCATGAAATTTTTATTAACTTCCCGTCTTGAAACCTGGATTTTGATGACAAAGAAGCAGTTCTTCGTTTTTAACGAATAGATCCTGTGGAAACATGGAGGTCTCCTGGACGAGATCGACAATAAGGCAATTGCTCAAAAGTTTCCACGTGATAGAAGTTTAATTCCAGTGAGAAAATTCGCATTGGCCCACGTTGGCAGCGTACGAAGGGAGGGAAAGAATGCGATAACGATCGCAATTTGCGCTCGCTGTAACTTCTGTTTCCTCTGCCTTGTTTACCTCACTCCACGCGCTAAATTCAACCAAACGTCATGGCAATGCTAGTTACGTGACCTCTTCATTTTGGAAACGAATTTACTTCTGACGGCATATCACAGTTGTGATATTAACCGGTTCTGTATGGGCGTGGATAATAGAAAGGTTGAGGCTTATCTCGTACCCAGATCCTACCGCGCAACTGTAACTTAAATCGCCGATAGAAGGAATTGCTCGCTCTCACTTATTGCCTAGTTCTTCGAAGTTAGCACTACAACCCCAGCCCAGCTTTTCAACTAGTTACAATATAGAGAGAACTGGAATGATTCACATGATTGCATGTCCTCAATTCAAAAGCTAAACCAGATCGATTCTTCACGCGAAGTTTTAAACAAGGCAAAACAAATCATGGCACTGGTCTCAATACTTTAACTAAAGCTCGCTTCAAAGTATTAATTATCACTAAACCCATCTCCATAGATGCCAACCTGTGTTGCAACTACAGCAAACTCGCGCAAGTTCAAGGTTCAAATGCTATCAAAGTGAACTAATTATAAGCTATATTTATGAATAAGAGTGCGAACATTACTTTAGCAGCAGTGAAATAAGGCCTGAAAAAATTCAGGCCAGTACAGCATTTGAACCCATGATCTCTGCCTATGATCTCATATGTTCACAGTCATTTACTCATCATTTCACGGGTTTATTACGAACCAAATAAATGCACAGCTATCAGTTGGCTTGTTAGCGCAGTTGGTAGAACACTGCACCGTTATTGCAGAAGTCACGGGTTCAAAACTGCGAAGATCGTTCGCGCATTCACTACTTAATCCGCAGTTCACATGCCTGATTTTCATATATTCACGGTTACTTAAAAGAATTAAGTTAAAAAACTATTGTAAAAATGCATCGAGTCATACCAAAAAAAGATAGTAACGAGAATTTTATTGTATAACATCTTTAATGAAACAGTTTGCAAAATACGAATTCCTTCCTAAGTGACCATCCCCCTCCACTACATGTCCTACAAGAATGATCGACCGATTCCCATCAGCTTGTTGCAAAGACCCTGATCCATTTCATTCGTTCCTGCCGTGGATAAAGAAAGACTGTTTTTTTCCGTGAGGAAAATATCTGGCTGAGGGAGGTAAACGGCTAGTAGAGCTGGTAATAACCTAATGGAAACAAACAGTCGAAACGTTATCATCACAAATAGCGCACGCAGAGTACGAACAAGTTATTTGAAATTGCGCTGTTAGGGCGATAACTCGAGGGCAAGAAGTAAAAGACTTAGTTTAGATCTAATAGGCCCGAGGAGATATGCATTACATCGTTCGCCTTCGTGCACGTCACCTACGTACCTTTAGCGTAATTTCCGAAAAGAGAGCTTGATCGTAAGCAGGAGGGAATAGAATGCCCCGACTGCTGGATTACTAAAACACAGAGAGAAAAAGTAATTGGAGCTTTGAACACTACGTTGAGTTGTTTAATACCCGATTAATAATGATTCTTCGTTAGCTTCATACAATTGAGCATTTAAAACGATACCAGAGGCAATTTTACTTCTTCTGCCATGTGCCGTGGTTCATTCACATTGGCTGACTGATCCGAACACAGATGCTAATCAACGAGTAATTTTAACTCTGCTATAATTACTCACTGAACAAGGCCAGTCGTGGCTCTATTAAATTCAAATTAAAATAGATCTATTCGAAGCTGCACAAACGTGGAAGGCAAACGGAGTAATGACAGGAAAATAACTAAACATCAAGGAACGAACGTAAACTTATAGAATAACTGAGAAAAAAGAAAAGAAAAGAAAAAAAACACTAAGATGAGATCACGAAATTTATTTTCCGCATTACTGTTATTTTCCTTAAAAAATCCCTCTGTTATTAACAATGGACCTTTGTCAGACCTTGAAAAATGGCTAACGTCAGAGACATTAGAGGTGACAATACGCAAAAAATATTCAATTGTTAATAACTAGGCAACTACATTTAGCACCGGTTACAATTCCAGACAGGTACGCCTCATATTGGTCTCCTTTTCGTCTCTCTTGTCACAATTCCAAAACAAATATCTTAAGCGGGTTGATTGCTGGCACAAGGAGAGGAAAAGAAGAGAATAGATATCGTATTATATGCATAATGACTCAAAACACCTGCTGAAACATAATAATGAATATCTGGCGTGCGCCGACAATTTTTACCAACAAGGCGCCAATGAACACTTATCCGGAGCCGTAAAAGATGTAAAAATTGTTAAAAACGATAGCTATTTTTCAAGAGAGCAAAATGACTGACGACAGAGACATCTGCCATCATGGCGCCCTGAGCCTCTAAACCAGGGCTTCTTCGATTGCCTGGTTTGACACTCGCTCAAGAACAATCTTGAAATCGACTCTCAAATTCTCTTGAAGACGCTTAATACCTCAGGGTTTTAACCAGCTAATGAAGTAAAATTAAAAATGCAAACTATCGAAGGAAGAAAAATTAAAGTTGAGGAGAATTTCTTGGGCAAAAGGTACCTGAAGTAAGGGGGGCTTTTATATTCGCGCGGAACCAAACTTTCTTCTCGTTTCACCAAATATGATTGAATTTTGCGCGAGTCAGAAAGGTACGAAGAAGCGCATTTTATTTTCATTTTCATTTAAATCCACCTGAAAAGAAAGAAATACGCCGCAATGCTGATCACTCTAAAAATTCCTTTGTTGAAGCCACCAGAAAGAATCACGGATCTAGTTTAAAGGAAACAAATTCTACATTCAACAAGATAACATCTGATACAGAATTCTAACAAAGGTCAAACGAATAAATTTACCGTATCAGGCTACAGTGATACCTGTATTAAGCGAATTTCACACCAAGCGGACTCCTGCCTTTTCATACTTACGGTAAAACAAACCAACACCCAAAAAACACCTTCAACGAGTAGACATGAACCCTAAAATTGAGACGTTCTTTGACGCAAAACCCGTTCTGAGCGGAAACTTCAAGAAGTTTTCAAACAACTCCTTTCACATAAAAGAAAAAAAAAACATAACAGAGACGATACAAACAGGAAAAAAGCTCAAAACATTTGATTTAATAGATAGACAACCACGTATACGGTTGAAGCTTGTTATTGTTGGGCAATTTTCCCAGAAAAACTCACAAGTTCACCCACAATTTCCATAAGGTCAGGATCCAGCGAACTGTAGAGAACAGCGGAAAAAAAACAAACCTATCAGCTGGCAGCGTTATCCTGACCAAACATCAAATTCTCTTAACTATAATAGAGCGAAACACAGACAAGCTAAAAAGGAGAATAAACAACTGAATCGTGGGAGCTAACGGTACACTAATAGGAGGCATACTGAAATTATGTCGGTGAATTGGAACTTAAAACTCCATTGCTGGAACATACAGAGGTTTTCCATACAATTATATATTTCAAGTTCCTTTTATCACTAGAAAATCAAATTCATGAGTACGGTACACGCTTGCTTTCCGTCCACAAAAAATAGGATTCTGTCATAATAATAAGATTGCGTTCCTCTGATACGAAAGATGTGAAAATGACCGCAATCAAAAGTGTTACCCACAAAACAAGAAAATAGAATTAAATACAGTTCCAGACCGCAAGAATGCACTAGAACATTTCCAATTAGTCCTTCTGTCAAACCACTCTTTGAGTTTCAAATGCCATGACTACATCGTTTCCAGAAATTTCAAAATCACATCCAAAGTGATCTTGCTAATTGGAGTTAAATTTTCCCTGAGGGAATTTAGAGCTAAAGTTTTCAATGATTTCTTTTAGTGACTTGTTCATTTAGTTTTGTTTTGATTACAGTTTGAGGTTATGTACTCTCAGGTGGGGAAAATACGAGAGACTGGCGATGGTAAAAAGAAAAACAAAGTCGTGAAATGCATTGTCATGGCTAAGCTCTAAGATGAAACCAATTCCCGTTTGTTACACATCTCCATGTTACAGCCAATTTCTTTCACGATCTATTTATCAAAATATCAAAATATTAAAATAAAAAAAAAAAACACGCCACAAAGAACTATTATAAAAGCAATTTACAGCACGTTCAGAGTGAGAGGTCAAAGAAATAAATATATATTTTCCCCTATTGGCTGAAGCGCATCAAACATTTCACTTGCAGCGAAGAATATGAGTTAACAGCTCACGAAATAAATCGCGCAGCGAGTAAAAAGTTAAATAAATGCGCCCATCAAATAACAAATAATTGTTGAAATACCAATTCAAGCTGCGTAATGAAATCGAGAGGAGAATAAAGGCCATCAAAAGTATCTAGTCTAATTTAAACTTGGCAGTATGACACTCACGAAGCAACGAGAACACGATGTCATGGCAAAGAGCGTTCGCTTCATCAAAAATCAGCCTAGCGACAATCTATTTTTGTTATACTCAGCGGTTACCATGAATCTATTTCTTGCGCGTCGCGTTTTTGATAAACGCTCATTGTTTCCAGTTCGGATTGAATAATGATGCCGAGAAGACAGCGTTTGTAATTGAGTATCCGGTTCCCATTCTCGATAAGACTCACCCGCGAAGAGCGTTCGGAAGTGAAGGCGCAAGTTAACCATAAGAATTTCGCTTGTAAGTTAGTAGAATAACAGCTGTCAAGATGCGTATTCATAATTCATATCGGTTAAATTAAAGTAATACAGGAGAGAGATGAATTAAACAGAGACATCCTAATGCAGAGTTGTCACTTCAATTATGACCGGACGTAGATCCTTGGACTCAAAAAAAAAAGAGCGCGCATCGACAGAAAAATTGCCTAATTCTCCAAACACGTAGAACTGCCTCGAGGATTCCCAAAGTAATTCGATTAAAACAACCAAGCCTTATCATGTGGTGAAAGCATAAATATTGCACGACTTGGAGAGACGCTTCACTCAGTTAAGTCGAACAAAATATATCAGTGCGGCGATGGAAATCCTCATCGCTAAACAATCTTGTTTCTTTTTCTACGATTCTCGGCACAGTTTTGATCAGGCCAGGCTCCGCGGAAGAATTTTTGATCAGTTTTGCCATAGTAAAATTTAGCGCTGGCGTGAAGTTCTCGCCGCATCACCTGCTTGCCGAGTATAATGAGGAGGAATTAAGAATCAAGGGACTTGTTGATGTTTTTTTTTAAGTCAATATGAGTAGCATATCTTTCTCCTATCCTACTCCAGCCTTAGCTAGAATACCTTAAGTTACTAAGCACCAGCATCGAACAAAAAACACGAGCATCGGCAGGAATCACTCTGGGTTGAAATACGAACACTGTACCACCAGGGGAAGATCTTTCAAGAGAAAAATATTCAATATGCATCATTGAAAAATTGTTGAAGAAAGGTACTTATAAATCGAACGGTAGTATTTGTTTTTCCGTATTTTGCAACAGTATCCACAAAGAGAAAAAAAAAACTTTCAAGAGCGAGGCAAGCGAATGATCTTTGAGGAGTTTTAAAAACGTTTAAAAGAATCGTTGATGTGTATATCCCTGATGATAAACAAACTCCTCTTAAACGCAATGTACTTAACACTTGTAGTTTGATGCCGATGGGCTGAAAATGTGACCAGAATAAAAATATAAAAGAAAAGAAAAAGGGTACGTGTAGATTCGTTGAAATTCCACCCACTGTAACAAGCACGGGACGTCATTTTATGCAGGGTTGCCCATTCTCCTGGAAACAGTATTTATAATGCATACAAAAGATTATTTCATCAAAGGAAGTCTAACAGACCGAAACAAAAGGACTCTTTTCGTGGCTGCTGCTACGAAACATGGTACTTGGCAGAGATTTGGAAACTTGTAGCAGGTGTGTTCGAGTTGGATTTGCAATGAGAGCTTTTTTTCTTTTTTCACACCCAAACCAGTACCAGTAAAGTCACGTGACCTGCCTGAGTCGGCCTCATTTGATAGGCCACTTGATTATAGACTCGGCTTCTAATTAGCATATGGTGTCAAGGCAAGAAGGAAACCCAAAAGCCCGTGTATGATTGAGTCGCTTCAAGGCGGCTAGTAATTCAATGGCTAGGAACGATTTTTCGTGTCGCGCGAGCGCACCAAAACAGTCATGAATGACGCTTGAAAACAGCCTAAATCAAGAAAAATGGCAGATAATCGAAGGCCGTCCTCAGTGCCGTCAGAGGACTTCTACAAAACGCGTATGGCCAACTCGGCGAACGCTTCGCGTAAGTCTTCGATGCAAGCTGGTACTGAAGCGACGAATATCGTATGTGCAAACCGATCACTCTTTATCTTCTCAAAGGACAATATCATTCGAAAAGTTTGCCGCACGATCGTCGAGAGCAAAGTATCCTTTGATGCGTGAAAGCGTTCTTTGTACAAAATCTTTTCTAGGTCTTGGCGTTGTCTGTTAGTTTGTTGTCGTCTATTGCACGAGAGGAGCGTGCGTGTTGGCTGTGGCCCTGTCAATGTCTAGTGTTGCGAAATTTTCTTGAAATTTTTCCTGGACAATTTTCACTGTGTTGGTGGTATAGCTCCGTGTGAATTGATTTTTTTATGTTCATTTTAGCGTTTCTGTGAGTTTATGTTCGTATCATATATTCCTTAACTGAAGACAAGCCTTTTGAATATTTCATTTTATTGACCATCTTTGTCAATTGCATCCTCCTCGCCGCTAACACTCCACTGCCGAAGGAAGACAAGTCCGATCTTGACAGAAATTTAGTAAGTACACATCTTTACCGATATCTTCTCTAAATAACAGCAGAACTCAGAACTGTTCGCCGCTGCTGCTCTTGTCGTACGAAAGTTATTCAGTCATTCTCTCACTTTATTATTTTTCCTGTTCTTCCCTAGGAACAAGCCGAAATATATTTATTGGCAATATTTTGCTTAGAAGCTCTATTAAAAGTTATAGCTCTTGGGTTTATATTACACACTGACTCGTATCTACGGAACGGATGGAATATCTTGGATTTTGTCGTCGTTGTAACAGGGTATGTCATGATGATGTATACAAGGGTAAACGTGTTTATACCTATGCTGAATAATGCTAGGATTTTTTATTCAGCCATGTATGTAGATGCAATTTTCACTCGTGAATTTCAATATTTAACCAAGCTTTTGCTGCTGTACTGTAAATCTGTGGTGAGAAAATAGTCGTCTATTTTTTAGGAAAGAAGTTTCCCAGCCCGCAATATATCAGGTTTCGCGGAAAGAGTGAGCTTGAAATATACACTGTGGGTTAACGGAAGCGAAATTCGCATCGGCATATTTCAACTTGACGACTGAACGTGGACTAGGACAATTCTAGGAACTATACACACGAAAACTAAACATGCTAAGCGGATCGTTACTTTATACACTTCATACCGATTGGTTGCGCTTAAAGTTACACTAAACTAGGGGATTGAACTCGGACAACTTGCGCGAGTTGGCGAAACGTAAAATGGTCGAATTTTAACTGAACAGAATACTCGCTCAAGCGAATCACACTAACAAAAGCAGCCCCCAGTTTGGTCACGCTAGCGGTCCTGTCTATTTCAGACGACCTCATGGCAACACTTTCGTAAAAAGTTGCTTCTATTCTTTTTAGCTTTGATTGTCTGCGTCAGACAACTTTTACAGGAGGAAATTGTGTTTCCATTAGGCGATTATCGTTTCGCCGCTCGTCCTAGCGGGTAATAGATTTCGATATTTCAATACTTCACGCGATCTTAAATCCTGCTAAAATGTATCTACGATTAAAAGCGGAATTTCTTTAATTGCCCTATTCGCTATTATCCTCGACAGATCCTTTTTTTACTGCTGGATTTCAAATGACACGGACTAACGCTGGCATTCCGCAGCGCAACAATTCCTCCACGCCAAAACTCATCGCCGTTAAATTATTTAGCGTCGCTAGAGTAAATAGTCATGTTATAAAAAGTCAAAACACAAGTGCTAGCACATCCATTACACGAAGAACCGGCTATTTGCTCAAAATCGAAATAAATTGTTAAATCACGTATTAAAACGCTCTGTACACAACTCCGACCCGGTGCAGGTATTGAGTAGACCCTCAATTAAACAGCAATATCAAATAAAGCAAGGAATAACTCTACGCGGGATTTGAAAATAAAATTCAAATCAGAAAGTATCGAAGAGCTAAGCTCACAGTTGTCATCTCGTGCGAGAAGATAGCGCGCAGTTTTCACAAAGTTTTCCGTGCACTGCAGTCAAATTATCACCAAATATCATTTCAACCCGGAATTTCTCGTTAACAGGTACAATGACTTAAGTTTAACATGACATAACTCCTCGCCTACGCATTCAACATGACTCATACGAGAATAATTTTCGACAAGTGAAATTTCCCACGTAGTATCTATGGTAACAAAGGTCGAAAGACAAGAAAATGAGAGGGAGATGTTGAGTACAAATAACCGGATAGTTTTGCAAACTTTTGCGGAGTAAATAAAGCGTCGGATAAAGCGCAATTGAAATTAGAAAATTAAGACTTTGGTCAGAATCTCGCTCTAAATGGAACTACTTCCTCTATATATTTTTACTAGTCGGTTAAGCTGGCAGTCAAACGTGAACTTTTAATTGAAGCTTCCTTTCAAAAGCCAAGAGGCAAACTGATATTTCCGTTTCCTGCGGCCAAAGACTTCATGTTTCTCTGTTCTCTCCTTCCCAAACCAATTGTTTGCAGAACGGGTAATAAATTATTCAAAGCTGCGGGGAACTTGCCAGGGACGCAGTTTCGGCACTACACCTGTCAAAATCTCCTTGGGTTACCCCGAAAAATTGCCATTTTATCGCCAAACTACGCCTTTCTCTGGTAATTCACTAAACGAGACTGAGAAGCGAATGCAAATAAAAACTATGTTTTACAAACATTATGGCAGAAGGTCGACTGTTTCTATATTTACATAACAAAACTATTTTACGCGGAGATATGTCACATCGACTTAATAAGACCCTTCACAAAGACGCGTACTTTTCTTATTTTGCATTTGCATGCTAATAATTGAGGTTACAGAAAAGACAATAAACAAATAACTGCTAGTTTTCCGTCTTAAGGAAAATGCCAACATCTCCGAAGTTGTAATTGTTTCGGCGAATAATGAAGGCTTACGAATCAAAGTGATTTAACTTTTCCCTCGATTAACACATTCTAAATAATCGTTTCAAGAAAGATGATTCTATCACCTAAAATATCTGCGTTACAGTGTTCAAGGTCTTGAACAAGTTTTTGTTTGTTAAACTTACTTGAAAGGTGAAAGAAACACGATAACATACTGCAATTTGCTTAAACAAGTGTTGTCTGTTATTTTCACAGGCGAAAGTAAGGTGTTTGTGGTAATGATGATCGCTCATGCAAGGAAATGAAACATTCATACATGCAAATCATGCCATCATTTTTTCTTCTTGGCTCTGCTGAAGAATGCGAGTTCACATCTCAATCCAGTTTTACACTTGATACAAGATAAGAAAACATCTCTGATGTGATGAGGGAAATATTGGACATTTCTTTTTACAAAGACAAATGCTGATATAAATTGGAAATCTGTGTTTTCTTTCCTCGAAAAAAAGTTTCCGCTCGGTGCCAAAGCTTGCTTAGACAAACAATCAGCTAAATTGTAAAATTCAACCTACCATCAAATTGAGAGCAAGAAACAAATAAGATCCATAAATTTTCTTCCTGCACTCTTGAAAGCAAGTGAAAACCTATATTTTTAATTTCAGGTTGTTATAGCAACTTCCAGTTAAGTTGGTAATTCACCAGCAATAGTTTTAATAGCCATAATTTTTTTTTAAACATCATCAACAAATATGCAATAATTATGAAGAATGTCTCATAAAGTTGCTAAATGCAGTTTTGGTCTTTGAATATTGTGAGTGAAAGAAAATTGTTACACAAGGTTCCCCGCAACAGTCCACTTTTTTTTAGAAGGACTATCAAGGCTGACACTTAACAATCGGTTTTAAGCTGAGCGATAAATTAGCAGTGAATCCAAAATGAGCCATCAAAAAATAGTTATTGACAGTCTCTGACAATATATCAATTTGATCACAATACATGTGTTGCAATTAAAATCCTTTTACATGCTAGATAGAGGATGGCAACAAGAAAAGGAGAGAAAAAAAAGGAAAAATCATATGGAAAGCTGCTAAATGAACTGTTCTGCAGCATTATAGTAATAACGACACATCTTGTTATCACCACACATTCTGTACTGAAGGCAAGCAAGCATTTTGTAATAGGGGCTGCAGCATTTTGTTACAACAGTTAGTCTACACAATTTGTAACAACATCTTGATGTGAACCAACATAATGACCACACTCCAGTTGGCTGGTTAGCTCAGTTGGTAGAGCACCGCACCTGTACTGCAAAGGTCATGGGTTCAAATCCCCTACAGGCCTGAATTGTTTCATTATGGCGAACATCACTTTTATTCATTTCTTAAACCACAGTTCACATGATTTTCTATTTTATGATTTTCATATATAGTGTATTATAGTGACTGATTTAGAATTCTTCTAAAAAAACTTAGAATACTTGCTAACTTTTTAACCCTTTAACTCCCAAGACCTGATTGTTTATTATCTCCTCTTGTTGCTACACAATTCCTTGTAAATTAGATATGAGAATTTGGTGTAAGATCAAGATAAAAACTTCTTCCTGATAAGTTTTAGTATTCTCATCAACTGTTGGCTAGAAAATTTATGGATATCATAGGGATAAGTTACATGTTAGTCACTTCTAGGATTTTAAGGGTAAGGTAGATAAGCAGTAGTCCAATAGTCAGTACACTGAACTCTAGGTCCAGAGATCTAGGTTCAAGACCTTGCTGGGGCAATGTGTTGGAGTAACTGTCCAGAAAGCCTGATGAAATGCTGGGGGATAACCTTGCGATGGACTAACATCCCATCCTGGGGGGAGTTGTAATACTCCTAATTGTTTCACGCTGAGGGAACTGGGATAGGTTCCGGCTGGGTAGACTACTAGGCTAGAGTACAAAATCAAATTAACAAGACAATAAATAGCTCTTCAACGACTGTTGGAGGCAATCAGTGTTCGGCTCTTTGTACTGATTTTTCCTTAAACAATTTCTTCTGTTAAGTGACCACTTTGGGGCTGTCTTAAGATTGTGCTCAGTCAATAACACCAGTTATTGTGACTGTGAAAATATGAAAATCATATATAATTGAACTGCAGTTTAAGAAATAAATATGAAAGCGATCTTTGCAGTACTGAATACTGCTTAAGCAGTAGTGTGTAAATAAGGCTTGAAAAGAAGGTCTTATTTTCACCGTACAAAATCATTAACAGTCACATGCAAAATTGCTTCATTATACCTTACAAAGAGAGGGGTTTGCCAGTTACAGATTGGTGGATGTGATCTATAAAAGACACAAGTGACTGATTGCAGATACAATAAGTTCAAACTATGTTCAGGCAACATGTAGAGAATGTTTGACAAAGAGATAATCTGTAATTAAATTCCCTAGGAAATGTGCAGCTTCAGAGAAAGACTTGAAAATTTTCTCTAAATTCCTAGCAATTACCTTGAAACCATGATGTGATAGATGATTCTCTTCGCTAGCTCCTAAACATTTCCCTGTAAATCAATTACAATAATTTGGTGCTAGATCAAGATAAAAACTTCTACCTGATAAGTGTCAGTATTCTCATTACATGTTTCCTGGATATGGTATAGATATTATAGGGAGAAATAACATGTTTATCACTGCTTGGAGGTAAAAACTTCAAGGAAATTGTAGTGCTTTGAGCCAACAACAGTTTTTTAAGTGATTCCTATGATTCAAAACATGTTTTTAAATAAAACTAGTCACATACCTTATCTACTGTGTAATTTTGAGAAAATGATCAGTCACCTAAGTAGTTAAAGCAAGTTAGAATGGCTAATGTAACATCATTCATCAGTGCCTCTAACTCAGATTGCTTTGCACTGTATATTCTACCTTTATTCATTCAATTTCTATTTTCAGCCTTTTGAGCTTGCCACAACTAAGAGTGTTCGAAGCTGGAATGCTGAAGGCCCTGAGAGCTGCCAGAGTGCTGCGGCCACTGAAACTTGTATCAGGCATTCCAAGTAAGTCTAACACAGATTTGTGCCCCTATTACCAAATTTTTCTTATCTTGCTATTGTAGTAAATCAACTCTGAGCTGCATTAGTTCTGTTAATTTTACATTTACTGATGATTCTAGAAGAATCTGTTGGTCACGCAACTTATACCAATTAGCAAATTAAAATAAATTTTCAGCTGAAACATAAATCTTGAAAGTTTAAGAAATTTCTAAAGCTGAAATTTTCGGTAAATTTTATTCGAAAGTTTGCAGTAAACTAACTAATGACGAGAAAATTCAGGACGGCTATTTCTAAGTTACTCTTTGTTTAACACTAATTTTCGGTTGAGAAATTTCACTGGCAAACAGTAAAACGATAACTAAAAACCATTATTAAACTGTGACTCAACCATGTTTTATCCAAGCAATGGTGGGCTAGAAAATATCTCCCCTTTCACCCGACTTTTATTTTTTTTTTCAGTAAAAAATCCCGAGAGAATAGAACTGTCCAAGCGATGAGTTAGCCAATTTGCCGGTCACGTTCATTTAAAATCGCTTCTGTATGGCCTTTGTTATTATCAATACCTTCTTGTTTAGTATCTCTTTCGTCTTTTGACCCTTAAGTTATTTTCATACACGAATAACTTAAAAACTGATTACTATCCCGAAAATGTTTAAAATTTCAGTTCCAATATGGCTTTCAAAGATAACAGTCTAACTGCATTAGCGCACCTTCCATGTATGCACAAGCGTGACAGGGAAATTTTGTTGAATCATATGTGCAAAAGCTATGAATTAAGGTTAAATAGATAAACATATGCCTTTTATTGATTTAAATTGAAGCAGACAAGATGGCATATTCACCAAAATTGCTTTTAACGGCTAGAAATGAACAACACATTACCCAAAACAAAAAGTACAACAGAAGTACTTACCACGGTTATTCGCAGCGGGATATTAAATCTCTTTTCGAGTTTTTACCAAGCTTTTCCAATTCCATTGAAGTAAAATTGAATTCATAGTGTCGACATTCCTTGTTCGATGCCTTGGATCGAGAAACAAATGGCGAAAATATCGACGCAAAGTCCTGTAAAACCTCCCACAGTGTGATGGCATGCAAGCGATGTAAGCATTATTTAAAAAAAACGCGAAAGACCCTGGGGCTGATCAGAAACAGCACTTGTACAGCGGAGATTCACATCGCACTAACATGGCTACCAAACTTTCACTGAAAATGTAGCGATTGTATACATTACTTACAATTTTTTGGGGTATTTTTTTAAAACGTTGCAATATGTGGGAGATGAATACACAGTTCTTTTTATCTACTGTTATGGACTTTCGGTTGTTCGACTTTACAATAGACAATTCAATAAGTTGTTGTGAGTGTATACCCTATGACAGGTTAGTACTGATTTTTCCAAAGGTGATTTTTTTTTAGTTATGCTGTTTTTCTGTTTAGTTGTTTTTCTAAAATTTTGTTTTAACTTGTTCACAAGCGAACATTGACGTTCAAAAGGTTTAACACCGGAAAAAAACATACGTTGTGTGAATATCGGAAAATACCAGACAGAATTGGAAACTGTTGCAGCCATTTATTATTTGGTAGAATTCTTCGAAGGATCTTTTTAAATCAAGCTGTTTGAGAAGAGGGAATGACTCTGTTTGTTTTGTGACTGAGAATTTTTCAGCTTTCATAAAATTATTGAACACTGTATTGTTTCATTTTCAACAGGATGTATCAATATTTCTACCAAAAGTAAATTGTTCACAGCTTTGAGTAGAAGTGTATTAAACTAACACTTATTGTAACAGAACAAAAGGCAGGAAAAACATTCATGAATATCAAGCTTGTAAAGAAGCAGTCATTCAGTCATGAGGGAGGGTAAAAGGGAGTCCTGCTCACATCTCACACACATCAAAAAGTAAAAATGACACCACAAAAAATCGGATAAAAAATTTTACGGTTCATGTATCACAAAAGCAAAAAAATTTATAGTTCATGAGGTTTTTAATTTCATATTCAAAAACGCTTAATTCCACATCACACAAAAATCCCTTTCATCCTCTATTTTTAAATATTTTATTTGGCTTTATATTAGAAGCACAAATGATAAGTTCCAAAATTTAGATACCCAACAGCTGACACTGATGTAATTATAGTTAAACCTCCATCCTTAACCTAAAGCCATTTCACAAGGGACTAGGAAAGTGTGCTCTTCCAATAAGAGAGGTTAAAATGTAAACTTTCTATATAGTCAGGACTGCAGCTTCCCAGAATTTTACCCAGATTTTGTAGGAGATGGGGTGCCCTAACACTTAATATGCTAGGCTTAAGTCACAGAGGTATAAAATGCAAAACCTGGCCAGGCGATTGTGTTGTGTTTAATTAAGGGCAAGACACTGCCGGTTAACTGCCAGGTAACCTGATATAGTTCTAGCGGGTAACCTTCCATGGACTAGAATCCCCTCAAGGGGTTATGGTCACTTCTTGCCATGCAAACTAGAATAATCTCCAGCCCGATGAGCCACTGAGCTTGATTGCATACTCTGCCAGTAATAGTTTTTACTCCTAAGTGGAGAGGTACTCTCTGAGTTAAGTGTCTTACTTAAAAACTCAATGCAGTGACCTGGCCAGGTCTTCAACTCAGACCTACTAACCTAAAATTCATTGCACTAACCATAAGGCCAGAATATCTATTTCTTATCCACCAATTGATTAAACCTTTAATAACATGAGTGACCAACACAGCATTGCTCCTTATAATGTCAATAAAATATCAAGCAGACAAGTGATGAGACTAAAGAAAAATATCCACAAGGGGAATGTTAGTTGATCCAATACCAAATTCTCAAAGCTAAAATCACAAGAATTGTATGACATACAGTAAGGAGAGGTACTAATGAGATCTTGGGAGTGAGGGGGTAAATATTCATCAAAGCATCACAATACATGGTAATGATATGTTTCTTGTTCTCAACAGGCCTTCAAGTAGTTATGAAGTCCATCATGTGTGCAATGGCACCACTTCTGCAAATTTGTTTACTCGTAGGATTTGTAATCGTAATTTATGCAATCATAGGATTAGAATTTCTTGTTGGAAAATTTCACTATGTGTGCCATAAAAATGTTTCAGGTGAGCAAGGTGGTTTATCCTTCATGTTTTTGTCAAGTTGATCAAATATTGCTGTCCCACTGCTATCAAATACCTCTTTGCTGTTGCTTACTATAGGATCAATCAGTTTTATTTCAATGTTTTGTGCTTTATTTCAGCTCTTTAAACTTTCTGGGATATTTAACATGCTCTCTCATAAGCATGCTGAAATTTTTGCATGTCTATGTTTATTAATTTTTCCTCACAAGGTCACCCCTGAATTACACATTAAGGTCATGAGGGCAAAGAAAATGATCACCAACTTGACATTTTTGATTGTTACTAAGTAGACAAATTCTCCTAGGCAGCACCTTAGGAAATGAAAGGAGAATAGTATGAAGAATAAGGGTACTGATGATAGGGTGGAAACAGTTAAAGGAAAAAAATTATAACTAGGGTATAGTGTTTGACTCAATACCAAAGTCTCAAAACTAATGTTATTAGAAATGTAAGGCCAGCAGTAAGGAGAATTACCATTGAGATCTTGGGATGGAAAGGGTTACAAAAATTGTTGCAGTTTTAATGTAGTGCACTTGGTTTTGATATTTAATGAATTCAAGATTTCAACTCTGTGATTTCTTGGCAATTACATGCAGATGCACTCACACTTGTCACCTTTTTAAAAAATGCAGGTGTCTGGCAGATGGCTGATGACCCACAAATTTGTGATGTAGATGGCAAGGGAGTAATTTGTCCTGATTCTCAAAAGTGTCAAGAATACTGGGAAGGACCAAATAATGGAATCACGTCATTTGACAACATATTTGCTGGATGTCTAACAGTGTTTCAAGTAATTACCAATGAGGGTTGGACAGATGTAATGTATTGGGTATGTTAGTTTTTTTTATTGGTTCTAGTGCTTTATTTATCAGATCTCATGATATGACCTGAACATGTCAATTCAGGGCTTCGAGGTTAAGCTGTCTTAAAAGCTGGAAAAGAAGAAATAAATTACAGGGTTAAAAGCTTTAGAAACTCTTTGGGAAGGCAAATTTACATTATCAATTCAATTCAACTTAATAAAACCAAATCATCATACATGAGGCTAGCCACATGGTTTGTCTTTGAAATGAGCACTTTGGCTGAAAGTCATTCTGGAGGGTTCGTGCAACATCGGCAGGCTTAACCTTTTACACCTTAAGAGTGATAGGCATCTAATTTCTCCCAACAGTATCATTCCCTGAATCAACTATTAAGGTCATGAGAATAAAAGAAATGATTGCAAACTCAAGAAGCTATTGATTGTTACACAAATTCTCCTTGTAAGTCAACCATAGGAGATGTCTTGAGAACAGTGGGAATAACTTGCATTGTGATGTTAGGGCGTGAAGGATTAAACCTTTATCCCCTAAGAGTGACTGGCATCTAATTTCTCTTTACAATGTCACCCCTGAATCAAACATCAAAGTCATGAGAAAAGAGGAGATGATCACCAACTAAAGCAGCTCTTGATTGTGAAACAAATTCTCCTTGTCAGCTCTTTGGGAAATATATGGAGAATAGTATGAAGAATTTGTATACTGATGTTAGGGTGTGAAGGGCTTATGGTCTGATGAGCATGGGGAAAAGGCTCTTGTTTTTGTGCACAGTGGCAAGAAAGAGCAAGTCAAATCAAGAATAAAACAGGTTGTAGGAGGTTGGTGGGTTTAGTTGGAGATGTCAAAGGGTGTTAAATTTCATAAATATTAAGTAGAAATAATTATTGAAGATAGAGAGAAACAAATTGTGCATAATCATATTCTTACTGTTTGAATGTTATTGATCCGCTCCTTTTGTTTGTTTATTTTATTCTTTTTTACAGACATTCTATGCCTATGATAGACATGGTTACGCATTTTGGATATATTATTATTCCCTTGTTATAATAGGATCTTTTTTTATGCTCAACTTGGTTCTTGGTGTTCTTAGCGGGTAAGTGTCTTTTATTCTTAAGTAATAACTTTGTTTTCGACAGTCCTTCAACAATACATCTGTCTATCATGCCTTGACCCCTGTTTGAATGTTCCATACTAAAACAGCCTTTGCTAGAGAATTCCCATTATTGATAATTACTAGTTATTGATTATTACTTATTTCGGGGTATTGCAAATGTTAGGAAATGTTTCTTGAGTTATTCTAGTTTGCAATATTCTTAAGCGATAGAAGTATTATACACAGACTTTTATCACTCACAGACTAAAAAGATTAAATTCCAGTTATAAAGATTTTGAAAGAAATGCACATCTTAGAGCTTGAAATAAAATCCTTTGTAAATGAGATTTTAAAACTCATTACAAAGACTGACAATATTTTGAGATCAGATGATAAGTTTGCTAGACACATGATTTCACTAGGTACTTGCACCATACACCTTGCTTACTTTAGTTTACTTGTTTTGCTTCTCTCCCTCCTCTCCGCCTCTTACTTTTTGGGTAAGTTTCCATTCCACACACTGGCTTCTCTGTGTTGAATTGTCAGATGCCTAGAGGTGGGCTGTGGCTTGGTTGCCATGGTGACCTCCTTGTAAAGCTCTTGCCTGTAGGTTCCTTAAATTTATGGCTCTCACCCTTCTATACAATTGATGTAACTTGTTTAAGCGACAGTTAACATGGGGTTGTACAGTTGGTGGTCTATAACTGTCAAAAGAAAACATCAAATAATCAAGATTTTTATTCTGTTTTCCCTGATGCTTTTCAGTGAATTTGCTAAAGAGAGAGAAAGAGTTGAAAATCGTAGGGCTTTTCTCAAAGTGCGTAGAACACAAAAGATGGAGAGGCATCTGCACGGTTATATAGATTGGATTAGTAAAGCAGGTAAAATCTCTTTCGTATTTTTATAATTTTGTATACTTAGGAAAATATGTCAGCTGAATTAGAGTCCTTGATCATTCACTTTCTCCTTGCAATAAACATCATCTTTTAAACATTTTTTATCAATTTAGTAATTTAGCTAACATTACAGTGATCAGATCATTCTTGCTTTAACTTCAGTTCAAGTGTTGTGTCATATTTCCATGTAAAATCTTCTCTACATCCATCTAGAAATTAAATTCATTCTACAAAAGTAATTATTGTTTTATTAAAAGTACTTTTTTCTGTGGAAACCCTTTTTTCTCATCAGAGGATCTAATGTTAGAGGAAGAAGAGGAAGAAGATGGAAATGTAGACTTGTCAAGAAGAAGAAATCTTGATAGAGTGGAGGATGGAGATGTAGCAATGACTTCTGTTGTGCTTACAGGACAGTCAGGAAGAAGGCACAGATTGAACACGGGAAAAAAGTTAGTGCTTGTGGCAAATTCCTTGGGTACTGAAATTGGGAGATTTTTATCCACACCCATATGTGTGGGCACCTGAGTTTGTAGAGACAGTATAACTTAACCCTCTCTCTCCCAGGATCTAATCTAAATGTCAATTCTCAGTAATGTTCTCCATGTGTTGCTTATGAATCAAGTTCTGAGAATTTGATGTTAAATCAAGCAGTATTCCCTTGCTGATATTTTCTCTCTTCTTATTACCTTTCTGCTTGAAAACATATGGATTTTATAAGGAGAAATTCCTTATTGGTCACTCCTGGGAGTGAAGGCTTGATGATTACTGTGCTAGCCTCTAGTCTGAGGGATCTGGGTTTAAGTCCTGGGCCCTGGCCTTGCCTTTGTGTTATGTGTATGGGTGACATTGTTCTCACAGAGATGCCAACAAGAGCTGGCAGCTGGCCAAAACGTCTTGCTAGTTCACCCTTTTTTTAGCAGGCTTCTGCTCAAAGTAAAGGAATGCAATAGATTAAATAAAGGCGAAGAAAAATAGTCAACAACACATGATATTATGCATGCTCACCCATCTAAGAAGTAACCACAGCTGACAGGGCTAAAGCTCAGCAAGAAGCACAAGTATGTGCTGCTACAACAACACTCAAGCAACTTTTTAACATGGTCTGTCACAGCCATCCCACATAAAAAAAGTTAACTACCTTTGTCCGATGTAAACACTCCTAAATGGAACAGATCCTAATTATTATTTTGTTTTTATATTACCTTGCACAGGAAAAGTTTATGGCAGAGATTTCTCAGGAAAAACAAACGGTGGAAAATCCGTGTTAGACAAGTGGTTAAACATCAGGCTTTTTACTGGACTGTACTTATATGTGTTTTCCTCAACACAGTAATCACTGCATTACAACATTACAATCAACCTAAGTGGCTTACAAAGTTTCAAGGTAATTGTAACTACTTGAAATTTGATGTCCACCTTACTAAAGAGTTGATCGCCAACTTTAAGTTGTTGTGTTTTTGTGGTTATGAGTGAAACCAATTAAATTGGAATTGTTTTTCTCACACACTACTGCTGGGGTTATTAATGGACAATTTGTATACTGATGTAGGGTGTATTGGGTTGTGTGGCCTTTAATAAGTAGTTGCTCCTATTGGATTAAATTGGCTTTTCTACAGATCTTTTCCAACTTCCTCACCAACTCAAAAGATTTCAGTGTAAGTGCTTTATCTAGAAAAATTCTGACAATCTGAAAAGCACCTTTCAGAAATTTGTGACAGCAGTTTGAGACAATTTATTCATTTCTATTTTTCATCGACTTTAAGGAAATAATCAGTTAAGTGCTTCATCTGCGTGCTGATACAGAATGACAGTTCAGTAATAAAGTTAACTTATCGTTGTGATAAACTTATTGTTGTGATATTAGCAGAGCTCTCGACATTATTTTCTGCCAAAGAGTGTGATTTTTTACTGCATAGCATTGATTCCCTGGAAAGTAGTGAAAAAAATTGAAGTAGCTAAGATGTGTGTTCCTTTATGCTGAGCATTTGTGGTGAGAGTCAACATTAGCAGTCCACAATCAGAGTGTGAGGATGTGCAATAGTCAATGCACTGACTAGTTGAAATCAAGAGATCCTCGCAGCTAAGAACCGGTATCGCAGAGGTCATGGGTTCAAATCCTGTACGGGCCTGAATTTTTTTCAGGTCCTATTTACAACTACTCGTTTCAGTAGTGCAAATATATGAATTTTCATATATCTAAAATCTGCACTGACTAGTGTTAGTAATGGTGGCTCTGCAAGAGACTTTCCACTGTTAGAAAGTGTTCAAAGCAGGTGCAAAGGGAATAAGGAGTAAATTTGTATCAAGAAGATAATTGATTTAATATGCACTGAAATAAAGCAGCAGTTTGCTATCTCAAAATCAACAGTTAAAATTAGAAACCGTAAATGAGTTTTTTGGCATAAGTCTCACACTCAATGCACAAGACTTGAGAGCTCTGTGTTGGGTATCATTTTGAATACTGTATCAGCATCCACTGTCAGAGGCAAACCATTACTCTTTTTTCTTTTCTCTATAGTATACAATTACATACAAGTTATTGCTTTGTTCAAATTTACTTCCATACTAGATGTTGCAGAGATTGTGTTCATCACTTTCTTCTTCTTTGAGATGATGCTGAAGCTTTATGGTCTTGGTCCTCAGCTGTACTTCAAATCTCAGTTCAACACATTTGATTGTGTGGTAAGAAAAGGGTTTCTTTGTTAAATGTCAGCTTATCAAGAAGTCGGGATATTTGCATGTACAAACAGTGAGCTGAATGTTAATGATACCTTATTTTCTCAAATAAGTGCCCACACTTTAATTTGACATGCATGCACAAACAGTGAGCTGAATGTTAATGATACCTTATTTTCTCAAATAAGTGCCCACACTTTAATAAGTACCATCCCCCGAATATGTACTGACCACTGTGGCCATTGTATCAAACAATTGCACCTCTTGAATAAGTGCCCCCCTCCTCCCTCACTTTCTTGAATAACAAGGTTGTAAGAAAAATCTGTTTCTACTGCCATTTTATTTATAACTTTTCAAGCTTCAACTACAGCAGAATCAGTTAAGGAGAATAAGAAGCCCCCCCTCAATTAAGTGCCCTCCTTCCAGCAAACATCCTTCCTTTTAGCTGAAATTTTAAATAATAGCCTTAAACAGCCATACTTTCATTTATTTCAGGTTGTGTGCTGTGGTATTATTGAACTAATTATTTCAAAAGCAGAAGGAACAAGCTTGGGTATATCTGTACTTCGACTCTTGAGGCTTTTAAGACTTTTTAAATTTACCAGGTAAAAATTTAGGCTTGTCCTTTTGTTTTTCAAGTGATGCCGTATTTCATGTCTAAGACAGATAGCAAAGTGTTGGGATACTTTCTCTCTCACAACCAAATTGGTTTCACAAGTTTAAAGTTTGATTTTTAATGCTAGATTATCCTTCATGTTGTTTCTTTTGGCAAACAAGCTAGAACACTGATTTTTTTTACTGCACCAGGTATTGGTCCTCTTTGCGCAACTTGGTGACATCCCTGTTAAGCAGTGTCCGATCCATCCTCAGTTTGCTGTTCCTTCTCTTCCTGTTCATTGTAATTTTTGCTTTACTGGGAATGCAGATCTTTGGTGCAGGGTAAGTTTATGATAGATCATATTCCAATATTTTGATTTTCTTTTATTTGTTTTAATCTTTCCAGTTTCCTTGTTGCACTTCTCTGAATGGTCTTGAGGTTCATTAGCATTTGCACCATCAGTGATCTTAAGTAAAAGCATAAACTGAAGAATAACTGGCAACTCATATTAGCTCAAAGAACAAGCATGATTTCATACATTTTCAGTCGAGGGGTGGCAATTATGTGTGAGGCAAGGGACTCCTCTCCTCTGGCTTGTTGCGTACCTTGCACTTGCCTCTTCTTGCATGAATACGCCCAACAAAATTGTGTTTTGCAGGCTAAATTTCAAACGACTTAAGAGTTGAAATGTATAATGGTTCAATTGTGGGTTTAAAAAGGCTTTTTAAAAAAACAAACAAACAAACAAACAGCATAAAAATCGTGACAGTTATCAACTAGGGTTTTAACGTGAATTTTGACCTACAGTCTGTAGTCAAAAATGATGGTCAATTTTCATTCTTGTCATCATCTAACAGCTTCAGGGATCTTCCTGGAAGAGATGCTAATCCTAGAACGAATTTTGACAATTTCTGGAATGCTGCATTAGCTGTTTTTCAGGTAAGATGTTAAATCAAGTACAGTTTTTTTTCCTAAATCATAATCTGGCAATTCTAGACACAAGTCCCCTTTTGAGGTTTAACATATTTTAAGTTCAGATTTAAAGACAATGAAATAACTCTCAAATGTAAAACATTAAAGTTATTGTAACTGATTGAAAAGGTTAATTTTCATCTCTGCCAGTGGAAAGTGACCTTCACTATGTGGAAATTTCATTTGATTGTAACAAATTACAGCTCTGATCAGGAAGAGTAACTGATAGAGTTTGTAAAAGGCCTTTTGTTCTTTTTACTTCGACCCATTGTGTCGTTCTTTTAAACTCAACGTTAAAAGTATCATCCATTCGATATTTTCTTTCTTCCCAATGCCTGTCTGCTTGATATCGTATTGCATCTAATTTCTCTCTACATTTATTATATCACTCTTGAATCAAACACTAACGTCATGAATACGGAGGAAATAATCACCAACTGAAGCAGCTCTTGATTGTTTAACAAATTCTCTCAGTCAGCACCCTAGGAAATGTATAGGGAACAGTGTGAGGAATAATCGTACTGGAGTTAGTCTGTAAAGGGTCAAAACGGGGTCTACTTTATTTAAGTTTTACTGAATATCGTTTTCTGTTCATATTTAGATCTTAACTGGGGAAGACTGGAATGCCGTAATGTATGATGGCGTCTTGTCACAAGGATACCCTGAGAAACCTCTTGCTCTGGCTTCGGCGTTGTATTTTGTTTTACTCGTTGTACTTGGAAATTGTATCCAATGATACCATAATATTTAAATTAATTTTCATATTATGAGCAATGATAAGTGTAACATGACGGCAGAGCGAGTTTTGACTGAGTGTCAAAAGTAACCCGGAATTTTTTTTTTTTTTTTTTCACCAAACGAAGCTCCGTTATTGGTCAGAAATTACACCCACTATCTTAACCGATCAAATGCAAAACTAAAACCGATTGCGTTTTCCTGCGCTTCAGAAAGTTAGTTTGTTTTTCGACTTTGAGTTCTGGTAAGCTCTGTGTGGTCTTTCATTGCTGTTCTGGGTGCTCTGATTACTACGTTTCACGACACTCAGCCGTAAAGCGCTCTTATACCATGTTTCGATGGAGATTCCAATCAGTTCTGACCATCTTGTTATCAAGACCAACATTTCATGACCCCGAGTTGGACTGGTCCTCCGTCTAAGCCAAATGGGTTGACGGAAAGATCAGTAGATCGTTACAACATTTGTACTACGGAGTAACAAAGCGCCAGAAAACAGTCGATGTGTGTCTTCCTGCCAAGTTTTTCTTTTGAATTGGAGCCAGTAATATGCCGGTAAAACTTGGCAAAATGCAAGAGGAAGTAACGTGAGATGAACTACGAGTGCCATTGAATCTAGGAATGGGGGAGGGGGGGGGGGGGGGGGGGAAGGGAAGATTGTTCTCTTAATATGCAGTCAATTCAAGATACGACATTGGTTGGCAACAGGGGTGATTTTGTTATATATAACGCCATTTAAAATAACTGTTTAGTGAGAATTTTATATGCACCTTAACAAAATGACCAGATACTCTTCTTAATGTATTCTTGGCCATTGCTGTGGACAACTTGGCAAATGCTCAGCAACTGAGTCAGGACGAGGAAGCAGAAGAAACTGCAAGAGAAGAAAGGAAAAAAGAAATCGTTGATCAGTACCGAGATTATGGCTCTCCCGGGCCGAGCCCAGGGTGAGACGCATAATAAATTTTATGATTTAAATGTGGAGTCTTGTAACTGTTTTTCCATCTTTAAGCGCTAAGCCTAACTTTTTTTTAAACTCGATATGTTTGGTTGATGTAGTTCTAATATGTTTCTACTTGTTCCCTCAGACGCAACGGAGATGCGAGAAGGGTGAGACTTCTTTGAAAGTTCTTTTTTTGTTTTATTCAATATCTTGGAATTATTATTGTTACCTTCTTTTTATTTGCTCCATCTTTAATTCAGAAGCAATTAATGCAATCACGTGTATTCAATACTAACGTTTTGATGCTCTATGTGTAGGGTTTTGATGAAGCTGGACCTACTGAAGATGAATTCGAGTCAGAAGCTGATGATGGTATGTTTAGCAACCGTTCCCTTTTTATTGTGGTTATTTTGCCAAAAGTTCCCTCTTCTGTTCGGTTGTGTCGCCATTCAGAGTTCAGTGGTAATGCACCTTACGGAGAGGGGTTAGGGTGGGGCAAACAATGATAGAGAGGTATTTAGGGTCACCTGACGGCTATCAATCAATCATGTCGCAGGGGTGGTCTTAAAAGTGGCCACGAAAGGTAAATGCTATGATTGATTCTTTTTTACGCGTTGGTGATTGGTCAATTCTAGTCATGTGTAAGTGATTATGCTCTCTCATTAACCAGTGAGTTGCGTGTGATACTACTGTTCAGGTTTGGAGATCTCCATCACAGAATGTACATCTTGGAAAAGAGTAAATCTTCTCAATCCTGGCCTTCTACTTCATTTATTTCACTTAGGGACAAGTCATTGTTTATCGCCGGAGGGGGAAGGGGGGGGGGGGGGGGGGGAGGGGATGTTGTATTCTTATAAAGCCCCTTTCCCTTGTACTATATTAACTCCCTCCATTCACCCTGAAAAATCCTCCCTACCCTCTCCACTCTTTGTCTATCCTGTAAGCAGTTATTTACTGTGAACGTTTCCTTCAAATGGACAACAATTTCCTGTTTACTTTCAGGCCGACCATCATTTCTGAGCAATCTTAGAAACCCTGGCAGAATGGTTCCCCAACAAAAGCCAGGAGATACTGTACCGATCATAAACACTTGGTCCTTATTTCTCTTCCCACCTGGAAATCCGTGAGTGAAAGCACGATAAGTAATGTTGATAGGACTGAGAGGAGTCCAATTCGGTCTGTAATCACATGAGTGATCAACAAAATAGGACGACCGCAAAGTGGGAGTCCGATTTTTAAACTACGGGTATGATTACAGATAAAATTGGACGATACGAAGTCCTATTACCAATTGATTAAAACTATGACGAAATTTGAGAAACACACCGGCCATCGGTTTTCATAAACGAAACAATAGTCAACTCGGCGAAACCAGCGTCAAAAGTGCATAGTCTCCAGTTATACAAGCAGAACGCATACGCTTCCTATGAGTGCTCAAATTGGGCCGGTGATAACCAATTACGTTCAAATATTTTGTCATAGTTTTGATTAGATTCAAAATATTTTGTAGTAGTCTTCATTTTGTGAGAAAGCCATTACAATGAAGTACGAGTGAGATACTGTTAAAGTTTAGTGACAGGTTGCCCAAGTTTTTTTTTCTTGTAAAAAAGGCATTGAAGCTGCACAATCTGCTGTCTTAAGTGTGCTACAAGGTTACCCATGCCTATGTCTGCCCATTTTTCAGTTTTGTATTTACTCTGTTTGAAATATTTCACCAACTTCTGTATGACGTTTACTGAGTTTTAAGTGCGCAAGAATGAGTAGTGTAGGGATTTTGCAACGACACCTCTTTATATTATTGGGGAGTTTTTCTGTCGAGGGTCGTAGAAAAAAAGCAAAGTAATCAAAACTCACAATCAGAACAAAGGAAATTATCCTTAGGAACCAATCAGAACAAAGGTTTTTGTCACAAGGAACCAATTAGAATAAAGAAAATTATCCTTAGGAACCAATCAGAACAACTGAAATTGTCACAAGGAACCAATCAGAACAAATGAAATTGTCACAAGGAACCAATCAGAACAAATGAAATTGTCACAAGGAACCAATCAGAACAAATGAAATTGTCACAAGGAACCAATCAGAACAAATGAAATTGTCACAAGGAACCAATTAGAACAAATGAAATTGTCACAAGGAACCAATCAGATCGTAAGTGCTAATGTCCTGTAGCGCGTGAAAACGCTGTAAGCTTTTGACACCCCATTGAAAATTGCTTCCTTACCTCTGACAATGCAGTAAATCCATGTCATGATATATTGTTTGTCTTTTCTGAAGGGTACGGAAAGCATGTCACTGGCTGGTGAATTTAAGACATTTTGACAACTTCATCCTGGTCATCATCCTCATCAGTAGCGTCTTATTGGCTCTTGAAGATCCAGTTTACGAAAATTCCAAACGAAACCAGGTAAGAAGCCGCGCAGTTTTAGTTGCCGTTGTGAAGAGATTAAGATAACTGTGTGAGTATGGACCACTGTGTGGCTCCAAGGTTAGTGCACTGGACTCCGGGTTGAGGGGTCTGGGTTCGAGACCTGGCCGGGTCACTGTGTTGTGTTCTCGGCCACAAAAGACTTGACTCCCACGGTGCCTCTCTACACCCAAGAGTATAAATGGGTGCCGGCGAGTTGTCAGGAAAGCCTGACTAACATGACTAGTCGCCTCATGTCAAGGAAACCGGGATAAGCTCCGGCTGGGTGGTCACTTGGAACGAGTACAGACTTCTACTTTATGAACAACTGTCGAGAACTGACTGTTTGGAGAGGTTCACCTGAAGTTTTCTTCAATCACCTCTTATTCGACCCATTGTCACTTTTCCCTAGCCTCATGACATTGTTTGAACTAAATGATTAGTGGTAAGTGACTAGGTGTAATAACAATGATAACTTTTGAATTTTTTAGGTGCTGACGTATTTTGACTATGTATTTACCACAATATTTGCAATGGAGGTGATTGTCAAGGTAATCTATCTCATTTCCCTGTATTTGTATGTCCCAGTCAACGCAAACACCATGCAAAAAGATCGTAGAAACGTAAGGGAGCTTAATGAAATATAACAGTTTCAGAAACGCTGGTTTAGTATCGCCCAATGAGTGATCCGCGATTGCACAAGTTTTACTCGGCGCCTGGTAATTGTTTCGAACTTGTAGTTCAAACTTTGGGCCGGTTACCTGTGTTTTCATTAGCTCCTTCTAAAGTTTTCTTTGCTCTGATCGGTTGCTGCTCTAAATCAAGGATTTTTACTCCCTGAGCCAGGCAATTAGAGAATCCGTGATTATTTTTAAGCGTGATGGTTTAAATCTTTGATCTACATTATTATTATTTATTTTAGTTGATATCTTTTACAGTCTAACAATTTTTATATATTTCAGCGTCGAATTTTATCGTTGATTGTGTGTATTTTATGTTTTTCAACCGAACGAGATCCTTTCTCAAAACCATATTTGATTGAAAAAGTTATCTCAATAAAGAATGTCATAAATTATTAAATCCTGATTAAAAAAACTCCCTTATTATAGCTATGGATTGTTTTTTCCTCGCAGCTGATTGACTACGGAGCAATTCTTCATCCTGGCTCGTACTTCAGAGATGCCTGGAATTGTATCGATGCCCTGGTAGTATCCTGTGCCATAGCATCGCTTGTGATGAGGTCAGAAGCATTGTTTTATTGCTTTGTTTAAACCTTTACACTCTTACATCAATATGGATATTCTCCTTGTTATCCCCCGTATATTTCCTAAGGTGCTGGCAAGGAGAATTTGTTTGACAATCAAGAGCTTTTTTAGTTGGTGATCATTTCCTTTATTCTCGGAAACTTAATGTGTAATTCAAGGGTTTTATTGTGAGGAGAAACTTGATGCTTATCACCCACACAAAGGGTTACGAGAAGGGGTAGACACTTTCCTCTCAATGTGCCCTCCTCCACTAAGATGTATCACTGGATGCCAGCGCATCGTCAGGAGAACTTGACGAAATGCTGAGTTTGGGGGGTGGGGGTATTAAGGCCGAGCAGAAATAATCCTAGTTGCTTCAGTCCAAGAAAACCGAGACTAGCTCTGTCAATGTTTGTCACTTGTATCGTGGGATTGACCTTAACCTTTAACCGTAAAAGACAATATGCTTCAAAGCAGCAATATTTTCTTACCGATGAAAGGCCAGAAGTTGAAAGGTTTTGGCTCTTAGACAGTTTTTCTTTCATACGCTAATAGAATAACTGTTTATTTTGTTTGTTTGTTTCGTGCAGCAATCAGGATCAATCCACTATAAACCCACAGTCTAAGAAGACAGTGAAAGTTTTGCGAGTTCTCAGGGTTCTTCGGCCTCTCAAAGCGATAAACAAAGCCAAGAAATTGAAGGTGCACTTGATTATGATTTTAGACTCTACTTTTGAGAATTTTACTCGGTTCGTTCATGGAAACAAGACTTGTTAAAAAACGAGACTTAAATTGTACTTGTGGAGGCAAAAACTCCATTATTACTCCGATGAATGAAAATTACGCTCATCCTATTGGCGGTATTAGAGAAAGACACAAAAGCTTATTGGATCAATGTCAGTATCTAAGCAACTGCTCACCTACCCCTCCCATAACCTAACAATAACAATATTGACTGTTTTTGGGTTAGGGGAGGAGTTGATGCGTAGTTGCTTAGATACTGACATTAATTCAGCCTATTCCTTGCAATTTGAAACTACGTCAAAGCAAACAGTGCACTTTAAAAGGTTTCCAGGTCATATATACATTTAAACATAAAACGGTAAAAACGAACGATAAAATCCGACGTTTCGGAGTAGTCATGACTCCATTATCAAGGTAAAATATACAAGATCATGCAAATTACAGCATTTAAACGATTTTGGCGCGAAAAATTAACATCAGAGGGTTAACTTCAAAGGGTGCGAAGATTATGAAAATACTCTCGTCCGAATACTTTCGCCCGTCAATATTTATGTAATGAAATGCTTTGCAAAGTAATTTCAAAGCCTAGGGTTAACACTATGTTCAGTCTGAGCCTTAAAGTTAGATATTGTTTTTAAAAAGAGTAAATGTTACAAAAGTGTACAACGCTAACCTACTGGGGATACAATCTGACAATATTTTTGCGCCATTTCAGGCCGTCTTCCAGTGTATGGTGTACTCGCTGAAGAACGTTCTCAACATTTTAATCATCACTTTATTGTTTCTGTTCATCTTCTCTGTTATTGGAGTTCAGCTTTTTCAGGTAACTTACGTTACTAGTAGATGATATCTTTATTACAGGCATGATTTCTCGAGCATTAAATTAGCCTGGTGCAGGCTCTCGGTCAGCGGAGAAGGACAAAAGAGCGGGTGATCCAAATAGTGCGCTAGTCAAGGAGACGCCTTCCAAATTTTTTTCTTTACCTGAGCTCTTGCCCCTTTTTGAAATCCCGCCTTTTCGTTCCTTTCCCCAGACTAAGGAGCTTGGAAAACGGCAGGCCAGCATTAGGCATAACAATCCGTCAAATAATTGAATGAAAACAAAAACTAAAACAGCCTGGCATGCCCAAAAATGCCTGTTCAACCCTCGTATTGGAATCCCCCCCTCCCCCGCCCCCACCACATTGAGCCCGTTCTTGTCTTATGGCTGTGTCATAAACCCACAAGGAAATAAGAAACAGCAACGAAAATTCAAGAAGTAAACAGCCCGTAATGTACTTTGTGTTTTTTCAGGGAAAATTTTTCATGTGTGATGATCCCTCGAAGATGACTAAAGAGGAGTGCCAGTAAGTTTTCCTTATCTCTCCACCATTTTACACAGTTTCTCGTGGTAGTTAGACCAGTTAGCCTCTTCACGCCTCTTTATCAAGGATTGGAATCGATGACATATGAGCTTGATCTTGATGTCTTAAACATTTTTTGAGTCCGTCATATTCATCTTCCAATTGAATGAGTTTGAGGGCCTGCTCAAAGACGTCTGTGAAGCAGTTCATACCCAACAGAATAACCTTACCTATAGGTGTATGGTAATTGTCTTTTATTCTTTTCATAGAGGAAAATACTTAAGTTACCCCGATTTGACAGACATGTCCAACGTTGAGGTAAGTAGCTCTGGAGACTTCAACACTATCGCTCTGTTTTGTACCCAGACCTTCCACGGCCAAGTGATCGTGAGGTCCCCACGTTTCAGTTACGCTGTGGGATATGGGTACGAGATTAACTTCAACATGCCCCCGGGAAAATGTTTGTAGCTAATTTTTTTAATCGCTTCACATCGACAAGTAACTTTGTCCTTTAAAAATTGGAGAGACATGAAACGAGAATGGTTATCACATAATGTATTTTTAGAAGCGTCAAGCGACATTAATCGTGGCAGCTACGAAGAATTGTATCTGACCTGGAATGCGAAAGTGCATTGTTGAAATGGGACTTTGTGGCGGCAATGGAAATGGCCATAAAAAGGCAGAAATCTCCGAATGATAGCATCAAAGTGCTAACGATAGATCGGAAGGAAGCAAGGGCGTTTGAAAACAGAGAGGATCTGAACAGATTCGAAACGACGATGTTGAGACGTAGAGAAGGATGTCTTGTCATGGGTGTGTGACAAAGCAAAAATTTCGCGCTCCGATGTACTACCACTGTACTACTACAGTTAGGCCATAACTAGTTGGATCAATGTCAATATCTGGGCAACTGCCCACCTACCTCCCCTAACCCAACATTAACCCTAACTTGTTATCAATTGACTGTTGTTGGGTTAGGGGAGGGTAGGTGGGCAGTTGCCCAGATACTGATATTGATAGTTTCATACGTGACACGCTCTCGCATGCTGCAAAGGTCAGCAATGTCAGAAGCGTCATATGGGAGATTAGATTATCAAAGATGGTAGATTTGGTGCTTAGTAATGAAGTAGAGAAAGATGTTTTAAGACGCGTTCATAAAACCATAGTGTCTACGTGATTGGTTTCATCTAACACAAACCCTTTTTATGAATTTTTGTCATCCTACTAGGTCCAAGATCGAACATGGGAGTTACAAGATTACAATTTTGACAATGTAATCAATGCAATGTTAGCGCTGTTTACGTCATCTACAGGAGAGGGCTGGCCAGCGTAAGTTCCCCCAACAAGTGAATAGCTTGTTACTTTTCGTCTCAGTATCATCACATGAGCCAGCAATATGCTGATTAGATTAGACAAAGAACCCAACAGGAGGTTGTTATCTTGATGTGACAGGATTTCTCATAACTGATTTCCAAGATAACTAGGAACAATTTGAAGAAAGAATCTAGGGGTTTAGGGGTATATCAGTGGATTTCAGGTCAGTTTAAGTGAGCTTTTGCACAGTAAAGAAATTGTGTGCCCATTTTTCAGGCTCGAAACCCAAAAACCCATTCCTTGTCGATTGGCGCGTACCTTTTCAAGCTAGATAAGAGACCCCACCCCTCCCCCCGAGAAAATTTTGACTCATTAACCGCTGAACGGAATTTTACGTTGCCCCCTTGCAGACTCATGCAGGCCTCTATCGATACAACAGAAGTCGATCGTGGACCGATCGTGGATAACAATGTTCAGATTTTGCTCTTCTATATTTTCTTTGTGGTGGTTTTTTCGTTTTTCTTCTTAAACATTTTCGTGGCTCTTATCATCCTCACTTTTCAAGAACAAGGCGAAAAGGATCAGGGAGAATGTGAACTGGACCGGAATCAGGTGAGTTGTTGATCCCAGCTAAAATAAAGTTTGTACTGATATGTAAAATCGATTAAACCTTTAACCCATAAGAGTGACTAGCGTTTAAGTTCTTCTTACAATATCACCCCTGAATGAAAGAGTAAGGTCATGAGAATATAGGAAATGGTCAGCAACAAGAAAAGCCCTGGATTATGAAACAAATTCTCCTCATCAGCACCTTTGGGAATGTATAAGGAACAGTATGGAGAATATGCATATTGATGTTAGAGTGGAAAGGGTTCATACGCACGGGTGTGAAGCCAGACTCGGATCAAGGGGGAAAAGAAAAAAAAAAGAAAGAAGTCAATAATTACTTGTTAGAAAGTTTTTTAAATTTATTCTTAAGGACGCTAGTATTGGAGTGTTTTCAATTTTGCAACTAAGGGTGTTGAAAAACTTAAGGCCTTGAAAGGAGACGGAGAATTGCCTTCTGTGTGTGACAAGCTTGTCTGCATAACAGCAATCAGAAGGTTATGAAAAAGAGATACCGCTTTGAATTTTTAGTTTTAAACGTAAGAGCTCGAAGCCAATTGGTGGATGAATTCAACGAACATGAATTACAATGCGGAAGTGAAAATCCATCCCACAAGTTTACTGGAAAGGGTTTCTTACAAAACGTCTTATCTTTCCTTCATTAGAGAGACTGTCTTCATTTCGCTATTGTGGCCAAACCTTCCGAGAGATTCATGCCGGAAGATCCTAACACGTGGCAGTACCGCATATGGACGATCGTGGATTCTAGACCGTTTGAGTATTTTATCATGTTACTCATTGCTCTCAATACGCTCATCCTAACTATGAAGGTGAGTATAGAACGCAGGCTTTTGTCAACACTCAAAACCCGGTTGACGCACCGGAGTTCCAACGCAGGATGGAGGGGGATTCCTTTTACAATCTAAGCGCTGTCCAGAAGTAATCATGGTAACACTCTAATAGGCCGTATATATTCCATGAACCACTCGCCAAGACCTTCTCATAAGTTCCTTGCTTCTCCTATAAGTTAGCTCTTCCCCTGCCTCTAAAAGAGTACTAAAAATTACCTAGATATAGCTTATCCTTTTGGGTCAATTGACGTTACAATACTTGTACGAGCGTCTCAATGGGGTTAACCTTTAGCCGTGAAACGGCCAACACATTTATCCGTCACGCGTAAAAATTGACAAATTTTAACCGTTAGTAATGAAAAAAGTTAACCGTTAAAATTTTTCTTTAAATTGCAAAGTAAGGATGTTCTAACCGTACGTGTAAACATTGACAAACTTTCTTTAAATTGCAAAGGAAGGATGTTTTAATCGTAGCCGTAAAATGGCCAAAATTTTAACCGTTAGCCGTAAGAACCATCACCCCATTGGGACCCGATTGTACTTGACGCCTTGCAATAGTCTTCTAGTTAGATATTGTAAGTTTTTGTTTCATTAACCAAAAAAGTGCATTTGGCTCACTAGTGATTGTAACAGGGCGATAGTCAGAAGGAAAGAAATGATTATCATTTGATAGCATTTGAGAGCCTTGGGAGTGAATGAATAAGTCCTTTGAGTCTTCATCAACTGACCACGCTTGGTTTGATGATTAGTTTTGGATCACAATTTAGAATGCTTGGCGTGATTGATTTTAGTGTTGCATTTGATTGTTGGAAAGAGTGGTGCGAGTTTTTTGGACCAATCACAGAGCGAATTAAAGCAAAACCATCAATCTCAGATTACTTTCGACGCACGATTGAAATCTGCTCTCTAGTGATCGGCGACGGAAGAAATTTGTCTGTGCATTTAATTTAATTCAATACGCTCTACGCATACCAACTGTGCTTTCCTTCTACTTACCAGTTTCATAATGAGCCTCCAGAGTATCGATACGTTCTAAACACGTTCAACACAGTCTTTACCTTCATGTTTACTGGAGAGGCTATCTTGAAATTGTTTGCCTTCCGAACGGTAAGTGGTGTCTTAGTTTTTCCTAGGACTTTATATTTAAGTTGATGTTTCACATTGACCAGGTCGTAATGCTGTATGTCGATGGCATATAAATCGGATATCCACAGTCTTCCTTGACTTTCAGGAAGAAGTGCTTTAATCGAGATTAATTTTTTAAACGGCGTTTTCCGAAAACACTATCATTTCACCGACGGCACATCTCTATCTGAATAAGTTTGAAAAGGAAGTGCTGCCTTGGTATCATATGGATAACAGAGCGTGCGCTAATACTGATTGAGAGGTGACTGTTACCGAAACATGCTGGACGTCAGCTTTATGAAATCCTTGGATTCCATGATAATGACCGAAACTTGGTTTTCTGCAAATGTAAAAGAAAGGCCAAACCGGGCAGAAACAGTTATTGTATTACTTCTGTGTTCTCATAGTTCATTAAAAAGAGTACTTTTTGGACGGTGGTTAAAAGTATTATTCAGAGCTTATTTATAATGTTTTTTTCTTTTTCGTTTTACAAGAATTACTTCCGAGACAACTGGAACGTTTTTGACTTCATCATCGTCTTGGGGAGTTTGTTGGACTTTGCTCTGTCGCGGATCCAGGTAATACTAGCATAATTATATTAATCAACAACAAGACACTTTCTGATTTTGGTGATAGTGGAATACTAAAGTTCCGCGCACGCATTTATAGCTATAAAGAGAAATACTGAAAAGTTCAAGGAGAAGAGAGTTATCGGAGGATGGCCTGGGGAAGAAATTACCTAAGAATGGAAGAACAAAACATTGCATGCCTCTATTTTTTTTAAGCGTTGTTCAAACGATTTTTCTTACTTGAAAGAAAACAGTGAATACGGGACTATTTTGCGAGAAAAACGAACAGAAAAGAGCACAGAATTGTACTTGGATCTAGGTGAAAAGGCCCTTTCGAGTTTGCGGCGTTTTCGAAGTATCGATAGTAAAATTATAGTTTATCTATGGAGCGATTCGAAAGGAAATCACTTTCGTTTTTTAATGCGCACCAACAGATGTTTTCAGTTACTGGTAGGTAATGGTACTCTGCTCAGGAGATCTGCGCGTAGTTACCAACGATTGAAGTTGAGGTCTTCTTTGTACATACTTTGCTGCTTTTCATTTCCAATTCACTCCGTCATTCTACTTGCTAACTCTTTGGTCCCTGGGATTATAAGTTAGTCCTAGCCCAGCTCTCTGGTTACATTTTATCTCAATCACATCACTCTGTTTCCTCGCAGTCTGATGAGAACCAGATGCCTTTCGATCCCAGTCTCTTCCGTCTCTTCAGGGCGGCTAGGTTGATCAAGCTGTTAAGACAAGGTTACACAATCAGAATATTGTTGTGGACCTTTCTTCAATCATTCAAGGTAAGCCAAAGCATCTAATAGCGGGGGAATCAGACAAATTTACTTTTAAATTTGATTATAATTCGCTAAAAGAAACGGTTTTTTCTAGTAGAAACGTATAGTTTGGAGCACATTTCTTACAAATATTCGTCTGCGCACTGTACCAAAATAACTTCTGTTTGCTCTTGGTTTCATCCGATCTGCATTGCTTGCAGTCAAATCTATGTCAGTTTACATGCAACTAGTTTTCAGTCTCCCAACGGACACTTGAATTAGGCAAATACCAAAGGGATAGAAGGATATGAACATGACTTCTTGAAGTAATGGCAAGTACTCCGCCATAATAGAACCTAACATCATCATGGTCACCAGCGAAATATTGCTTCCAAAGAGTGCCAAGTAGAGGCATAACATGGATTTTAGTAAATTCGATTTTTTCAACTGTGAATGTTCTTTGTTATAGGCTTTACCTTACGTTGGCATGCTTATTGGTCTTCTGTTCTTCATCTATGCGGTCATCGGCATGCAGGTATGTTAAAACGGGGTAAGTTACTAAAGAAACTGGTACTGCGTCGGTGGGAGAGTATAACAGGGTAAATTGTTGGTTGGCCACCGTAAAGATTTTCAAAGCTGACGTTTCTGACATAGGGCTAACGCTTGAAGGGCTTCTCTGACGATGGATTGACGCTCAAAACGTCAGCTTTGAAACTCTTTACGGTGGCCAAGTTACTTCATCAACTCAGCTGATAATACCAAATTACCTTGTTATGTAGGTATGTTAGTTTAGGTGATGAACTCTTGTGGAAGAACATATTGCCTAGCGGATTAGCGGTTTTTTCTTTGTGTGTTTCCTGGCATAAATGTTTGCTGTTCAAGAAGAAGAAGTGGGTGGAGAATGTGTTCCATTCACATTGTTGCTGGAGGCCTGGTACCGTGGTGCGTGGTGATAGTTTTAAATGGATGTGATTTGACGCTGTGGTCTTTTGCAGATGTTTGGCCAAATCAGCATTGAGAATGACGATCGTGGTGGTATGTGGGGAGAGATTAACTCCAATAATAACTTCCAGTCATTCCCAGCAGCCCTTCAAGTACTCTTCAGGTAGAAACAATACATTTACACTTGAGTCTTTTTTTCCTGAAAGCGTTGTGTGAGATTTTAAGGTTATACCGCTGATATACAACTCGTACTGTTTAGTGCGGGCTCATCTGATTAGAAATTTACTTCTGAAAACTGAAATGATGGGCGACCGTATGCTTATGTACGTGCAGTAACACCTGGGGCCAAAATAATCCAAAGACATTTCATCATGGTTGCGTTTACATAAACAGCCTCGTTCACATTTTGAACGATCGTCTCTTGTCCTGCACTGGGAAATGATATATATTTAATTTGCGGAAAGAAGTCACTGCTCGATTTACTTAAAGAAATGAAGTTAGGGAATTATTCTCATTAGAGTGTTTTCGGTGATTGGCTTAAAACCGCATCTAAAGTAACTATAACAGCCAATCATAGCAAGGAAAATATCACGGGCAAAACGCGGGAAAACGCGATTGACCAAGTTGCGATTGGTTTTAGTGTGAATCTGGTTGATTGAGAAAACGGCACGAGTTTTGAGGACCAATCACATAACGAATTAAGGCAAAACCAAAGCAATTCTGGACAATTTTCGACATTTAATTTAAAATTGCTCAAACGTGGTAATAACGACTCACGTTTTTTAGAGAAAAAACGTCGCAAATTTGTTGACGTGCACACGATATACAACACTACGACCTCATACCTTACTGAATGGCCCAAATCTAAATTCAATATTTTCTCTCCCACCACATTTTGCGCTTTTGTGCTCAGCTCCAAGATCTTACAATTCTTGCGTCACTTACGTGTTAATGTTGATTGGCTGGCTGAAAAGATTGTCACGCTTCTTGCGTTACTGTTTATACAGGTCCGCAACAGGTGAAAACTGGCACGTCATCATGAAGGCTTGTACAAGTGATGCAAACTGTCAACTGACCGACAAGAAATGTGGCAGCCCGTTCGCGTATTTGTACTTCATCTCCTTTATTTTCTTTTGTTCTTTTCTGGTTAGTAGTGTTTTCTGGCTGTATACTTTTTAACTTTTACCGATTTTATTTCGTGAAAGTGACCAACTTTTGCCCAACTGACTGACGATAATTAATCGGTCACGCAGGTGGTTGATAATATGATTGGTTCATAAGGTGAAAGTGTTTGATAAAGTTATTTATGGTTGATTAGTTCATTTATAAGCAAGACCTCTTTTCTAACTACAGCTTTTGAATCTCTTCGTGGCTGTCATCATGGACAATTTCGAGTACTTGACACGTGATGAATCTATTCTTGGTCCACACCACCTGGACGAGTTTGTCCGCGTGTGGTCTGAGTTCGACCCAGGAGCCACGTAAGTTTCTCCACTGAGTCTTGTGTGTTCCTTAAAATTGTAAAGAAGAGGGCGTTTTGATTGAGTTTCGTGGACAAAACTAGAGTAATCACCACGGCCGATCAGAACCTGAGAAAAATACCTTAAAGAGCCAATGAGAATTCAAAGGTAAAACAACCAAACTGTAATTGGTTTAAGTTTTGCATCTGATTGGTTGAGAGAGTGGCGCGAGTTTTTTGGACCAATCACAGAGAGAAGTAAAGCAAATGAGAACTCAAAGTAAATGAATGTCCTTTACAGGCAGATCTTACGCAAGAACGAACAAACGAATGAACAAGGTAATAGACCAGCGAAGGTACAAACGAACAAACAAACAGATAAATGATGCAAAGAAACGACAACAGAACAAGGGAAATAATGCATTGATGAATCAATATTTTATTTATTCCTTTATTTGTGTGTTTGCTTTTCCTCAGAGGCCGCATCAAACACACAGAAGTATGTCAGTTGTTACGACAAATGTCTCCTCCAGTCGGAATCGGGAAGAAGTGTCCTAAGATAGTTGCTTACAAAGTAAGTCAAAAGCAAATTTGAACTTAATATATTTATACGTCAAAGGTGAAAACTCTGAGCGTCAAGTCTTTTAGTATGCTCCCTTTCTGCGTCATACGACACGGCGATCAAGCGTCTGCGCATGTGCAAATGTTTTAAAGCTAAAATTAACATGAAACCTTAAGTTGAATAAGCTCTGTGCACAAAAAGTCTCGACTTTTCCTTTTCCCAATTGTTGTAGCTTTTCATAAATTTCTGTGAAAGTGTCAATATTTCTGTCTATATTTAGTGCAGAAGAGTAGCTTAACTTTGCGCGGGAAATTGGCTTGAGGCAGCTGGCTAAAAATTGATCTTCTTTTCGCATGCCCTTCGTTTGACCGCTGTGTTGCGCCGTAGAAGCATGGTGTAAGCATCTTAGATTTTTCAGATGTGGTTACACTTATCACTTACTTTTATCGGTTTCTTTTTCAGCGCCTGATCAAAATGAACATGCCGCTGCATTCTGACAACACGGTCACCTTTACTGCTACCCTGTTTTCCCTAGTGCGAACGTCCCTCAAAATTATGACAGAGAAAAGTAAGAAATGACATTGTTATGTTTGCAAGTTGAGAACAAATGATTTTTTCGTTTGACTTTCTTAAATTACCAAAGGCGGGTTTTGTAGGGGATACTTCGACCCAATGTTAGGAGGCCTATGGGACCACGCCGGTATTGGAAAGGTCTGTGCTTGTACCCTGGTTAAGATTATCTTGTTCTTTACTCACGTGCGTAGACTGGATCGAGGACGAGGAGAACAGGAAAACTTCAGGCGAAATAATATGAATCAATATTCTGGTCTTGTCGTGCGGCACAACTGAACAACGTTTGCATTAAAAGAAATAAAAGCCAAACAGAACAGGTCGAAACAAAAATGAAAATTGCGTTTGCTTTTATAAAATATTTTTCGCCCAAGCACTCGACTCGGTTTTTTTTTTTTTAGCTTTCCTCCAAATATTTCGCTAGTGGGTTTTTATCAATTTTACTTCGCTAAACCTTTACACTCTAACATTAGTATGCATCTTCTCCATACTGTTCACTATACATTTCTCAAGGAGAGTTTATTTAATAATCAAGAGCGTCTTCAGTCGGTGATCAATTCTTATATTCTCGTGACTTTAATGAGTGATTCGAGGTGAGGAGAAAGGGTTAGGAGTAATAATTAGTGGTCAAAGGGCTAATGGGGATACGGTCGTCTGCATTCCACTTGTCTCCTACAGCTATCTTCATCCGAGAAACTTAAAAATTGCTGATAAATCCCAGCGTTCCATCCGGGAGTTTTAGCATTGGTCTTTGTTTCCTTTTCCAGATAATCTAAAGGAGAACGATAAGGAATTGCGAGCCATGTTGAAACGTGTTTGGCCCAAACTTACCAAGAAGACACTGGACAGAGTGGTGCCCAAACCTCCAAGTCTCATCAACAATGGTATGCATACTCTGTGCAGTATTTAGGTCTTGTAGTGGTGATTATTTTTCACATTTATTTTTGCCATCGATTGTGGAGTTCCATGGGGATGATAATAGTTTACAGATTTCTTCGCGGTTCTTTTCCTTAGCGAATCAAGTGAACCAGCAGCCACAGATGACAGTGGGTAAGATCTACTGCGCCAAACTCATCTACGAAAACTATAAGTTCATGAGACGGAAAGGACAAGCTCAATCAAGGGTGAGTGAATGAGGCAGGGAGCTGAGCAACAGTAGTAGATAGACAAACATTTTTTAACTACAGTAGTTTTTTTCAAAAGATACCAGAAGCTTTTGTAAATGGCCATTTTGTAAGGATGTTTTAGTGGCGGAATTGCCCCACTCGTTTCTGCAGCCTTATCATTTCCATCGAACACCCGAGAAAGGCTAAGGGACCAGAAGAGGTGTTAATTTCAATGCTTTCTGGATATGTCACGTGACAAGTTTGCTTACCCCATGTGAACAGTTACTTCATATTTTCGTCGAATCACGCTCTGGGGAAAGTTCTCGAAAAAGTTTTGCATTGGAACGGTTTGCTCAAAATATTTAAATTTTCTGTTCCAATTTATTACAAGGTGAGTTTTTTTGTTACACTTTTAATTCCTAACTGAAAATTCAAGTCACAAGAGCAGGTTTTTTTGTCCCTGTGAAATTGAGCTGAATACCTGTGGCTCCTAACTCTGGACAGTGTCTTGTGTAACCTCTGGCTTCTCTCTTTTGCACTTCATCGCTCACGGATTCTTCGTTGTCAAACACTGTGCATTGTTCGCGTATACTTTGTTCTTAACTTGTTTGTTGTTTTCTCACCAGCAAAGCTCAAGAGTTCTGTTTTAATTCTGTTTGCACATTGCTTACAATTCTCATACTAACTTAAAGAGTATTTAAACCATACTGAAATTCTACATAGCATCTCGCAATAACACTTTTAAAGAAGCGACAAATAAGCCTAAACTTGTTTAAGGAAATTGTGGATAATACTTATGCTCTCCTGACGAGTTTTTTTCTTAACCGAGAACGATTAATATTTCTTTAAATGACGTGTTCATAAACTTTAAAAGATATTTTAACCTAAAATCTTTTCAACCATAAACTTTATTTGTCAAAAATAACTTTAAAGGAACAAAGCTATCCAGGCTCTTTCCTCGACCCGTCCCTAAGAAAGAGGGAGTCTGGCGACGAGACAGAAAGTCACTACTTTTATTTAAAGTTTTTAGTAAGAAGCATCAACGGAATTAGCAACAACTTATAAAGACGATTATCTTAAAACCTTTCACTGATTATAATAATATTAATAATAATGATAACAATGAAAACAATAACTATAGTAGTGATAATAGTAGTGATGACGATGAAAGTAATCTTATCAATGATAACAATTTTATTTGAAGAATTGCTACTCATCTTCATCTTCATCTCTCTTTTTCCCTCTACTCTTTCGTGGAGCAGGATTCTGACCAGGTGGGTTTCACTTCATATTCTTAACTTTGTCTCTATCTCTCTTCTTTGTTTATTTCTCTTTTTTTATTTACTATTTCTCTTTTTTTATTTGTCAAAACGTTCATCAAAAAACACCAAGTGGAAGAAATGTTTGGCATATGATCGACTGACTGACTGATTGATTAATTGACGGCTCCGTAGATTCCTTCGTTCATTCATTAGCTGCTCATGGTTTTTAACAGTTTTTGTTTGTTTGTTTGTTTGTTTGTTTTTTGGAAGCAATCAGACAAGCTGTTTCTTTTGCCAGTTTTGTTTTTTCTTCCTCTATTTTTCCTTTTTCCTTATCTCTGTTTTTCCTCACCATCGACTGGTGTTGATTTCCCAGGGAACTGTTCTCAGTCGATTTGTCGGAGGACCAATGTTCCAGAAATTCCGACGAGATAACGACCCCGAGCTAGGAGAGGTACAGATACGTTGATATCTCACACATGCGCTTCATCGTTTGTCTCCTCCACTTACTGTTAATCAATGGCTGTAAGGATTGATCCACGTGATTAAGAAGCTGTATATCACGTGCTTATGTTGTGTGTTACTTGCCCTTACATACATACAAACGATTGCGACGCATTTTCTTATCTTTTTTTTCTTCGCTCATTACATGTAAACTTAACATCAGCCGAATATTCTGTCATAATGCAAACTATGAACGAGGGATTTTTAAACTTAACTTTGTAACCATATTCCATAACTTTTATAACATAAAATTACCGTCCCCTGAAGACGTTTTTCGTAAAAAGTCTTGTTTGTATGAGCAGCATGTTTACGTCTTGAGTCCGGCACTACTTGTGCGACCAATAAAGCTCTTGTAACGAAACGTGAATTAAGCTGTTTAGACGAAGATTATTCTTTTTGCTGTGAAAACGTTTGCATGGGACGGTACTAACATATATTTGCTAAACTTAACACTAAAAGAGTCAGTTCAACTGACGTAAAAAAAAATTATTACTCGTCGCAAATCCCTTCCATGTCTCCATTTTAAAATTTCCTATCACGTGTTCTTGTTTGCACCGCTATACTTGGCCCTGTCTTGTCTTCCTTTGGGCCACTGCTGTTCATATATAACTCATTAGTTCTTATCCTTTTACCTTTGACATTTTTTTATCTCTTGACCATAAAGCATGCTCTTTACGTGCCTTCCACTCCCTCTAAATAGTACACCTAAAACACAGAGTGGTCTGCCAAATGTTCCATGTTTTAGTTATTCTTTATGTTAAATAACTTGCTGGAAGAATCAGCTCTTTGACTAGTGAAAGGTACGTGGAGATGCAAATATGATTGAATTTTTGAAGTGAAAACTTGATATGTTTTAAAATTTGTGTGAAACAGGGAGTTCCGATGAACGACATAGCTATTAGCTTAGCTGATGGACCATATCACTCGGGTTCGGCACAAGCTTTGTACCATCCCAATCATCAGGTAATGCAGCTTTGTAACCCAGCTTATGTTGCCTATTGGACGACTGTCTGAAGTTTCGTTCCTTATAAGACCTTTATAGCTTGTGTCCAACTAGGTCCATTATAAATGTTTTGTCTTCATGGCAATGTGCATTTAATTATGTGGTAAAGTGTACTTGAGTCTGTTCCAGACTCATCTTACCTCCCAATTTTAAGGGAAGTGCTTGCCTTATGGCTACCGCGCGCTGGACCTCGGAGGGAAGGGTCTGGGTTCGAGCGCTGGCCAGGTCATCGTGTTGAGTTGTTGAGTAAGATACTTTACTCTCTCACCATGCCTCTCTCAAGGAAACCTGACGAAATGCTGGGGAATTACCATCCTTGGATAAGCATCCATTAGCAGGAGAATTAGCAACACTGCTAGTGGCTTTATCCTAGCGTAACCGTAATCTGGCTCAAGTGCAGACTTCACCTTTTTTTTTTCCTTGTTAATTTTCAGCCTAATGATAGCCCATCCCGCCGTTACCGTCAAAACACTCCAATTGCTCATCGATCTACGACTTCGTTGAACGAAGGACGCGGTCCGGGTGTAACGACGGCTTTAGTCGGCCCCCACCGTCGACAATTGCCTCAGACTCCCGGCTCTCGAAATGGCTCGCAGCTCTCCTTGACTGGGAAGGCACCAGCGTTGCCAGAAAACCGGGGCGACAGTGTACTGGAAAATGGCTATCATCCCAATATGAACCAGCACATTGCCATGGCGATACGAAGTGGGCAAAGTCCTTATGCAATTTACGGTTTAGAAGAAGTGGGCGACGAAGACGACTGGTGCTAGCAGTTAAAATCACGTGTGAACCACGTGCTAATAATTTGAAGGACATAAACTACCTCCATTAATTTCTGTGGCTTGGAACATTCACATGCTGGTGTTTTGTGCTGGTCGCATGATTTTCACGTGATCATTTTGGTACTTCGAGCTTACTTTTGAAGTTTAAAACATTCAACGTGGCTAGAAATTTATTCAGAGTAAAAACAGAAGGAGAAGACACCTCCTTTCCGTCAGCCTTACTTCAGAGGGAAGGAAAAATTATTGGTGCCTTTTTAATAACCAAGTTTTGTAAGCCTCACTGTGCCGAGATGTATCAGACTTCAGCCAAGAAGTGGAGGAAAATATACACTCTTTGTTGAAGCCAATTTAAAATATAACAGGGAGATATGGAACTCCAGACAGAATAATTAAGTGTAGGTACTCCACTACACAAAAACCACGCAAATTTGTTTGCTTTTGATAACAAATTTTGCAGCTTTTTCTTGAATTTTTTGTTGTTGTTTACCTATTTATTCGATAATGGTGACAGTTCAGATGCATTAAGGCGTAATGAACAGGCCAAAGTATATCTTGATTTGCAGAAAAAGCGATAGATTACTGAATGTTAGCATAACAAGTGAAGCCCGCTAAAAAAGAAGGCGTTTCCCTCGATATTTTCCGATACAGTTAACACTCCCTTGAGTGTTATCTAATATTTTCAGGTAGACAAGGGCTTTTAACCTGTTTAAACTTATTCTCAACCGCTGATGAGTTTGTTTTGAAACGGTTGCAATTTGAGCCTCGGTCGTGTTATTCTTGCACACTTTGAAAGACGCCGTTGAACGCATAAGGTGGTTTGTAAACGTGGCTACGTGGGGCCAAACTGATTGACAACAGAAACAGTAAAAGGCTCCAAAGAAAAACAACGCAAGCTTTATGGAGCACGGATACACTCACAATGTAACGCGACTCGCTGATTGGTCAAAAGGAAGAAACTTGTTTACTCTGATTGGTGGTCAGTCTGTGCCCATCAGAGGGCTCAGAATTCGAGACTTAGAAAACAGAGTCAGGTGACACGGTCAGCCAAAAATTGGCTCAATTTTGAATTAGGAATGTGTCTGTGAAGTTTGTAAGTGGTAGCGATGTACAAAGGGAAACGAGAATCGTTTTAGCGGCTGTTTTCCCGCACTTTATTGGCACATATAAATCGAATGGAATTTTCAACACTTGTTGAAAACAGAATTGGAGGATACAGGTCTTTTCGCGCTTTGAAGCACAATTTTAGTTCAGGAATATCGCTACAGAATCTTCCCACTAATAGCGAAAGTTGTCATTTAATGCCTTTTTGATGTAGCTATAAAGTTAAAAAATAATAATAATAAATCAAAAATGAATTGAAAGTAATGAATCATCGCTTTTGGCAAAGTTTTCAGTACGCTAGCGATTTGTTTCTTGCATTGCTGTTGGCATTTTTTGAGTTAGAGTCTTTTTTTTAATGAGTTATTCCACTTTTAGAGAAATAAATCACACAGAGCCGTGACGAATATTAATTTTTTAACTGTTATTGTCATTATTATAATTACCTTTGATAGAAGAAATTACTCGTCCTAATATATTAAAAATCAGTTATAGAAGATTCTTATTCTGTACTCAGTGCAGTTTATTTATAATAATATTATTGTAAAAATGACTTATTTATGGCTACATTGCTTTTGAAGCACACACTTCATAGTTTCAAATAATGTTCTTATTGTACATAAAGCAAATATGTAATGATTCTTTCAGACACGAGTAAATTCAGATTTGTTTTGGAGAAAGAATAAATTGCTACATTGTGACACTACTGGGTTTTGTGATTTTGTTTCCGCATGTACGGGAGAGTCTGTGGAGTTCTTGGAATGGACAGCTGGAGCGAATATCTCTATACGATTTCGTGGTGTAATCTAGACAGACTACCCCCCTGCCACGTTCCATGGATATTCGCAGGAGAATAAAAAATAACTCGTAATTCGTTCACGATTGGAAACCAGCCATTAGTGTTTGCCTGTGGTTGGGGTCGGAGAATTTGGGGGATCAAATGGTTTTCAGGTAAAACAGGGGAAAAAACTTCTTCAGGAAACGTAGGGGGGTGGGAGTTGGTCGTCGCTAAAAGAGTACAACGGCGGTACTATAAAAAATTGACTGCCAATTAAGGGGGATCGTTAGAAAACTACAGAGCTTAAGGGGAGATCAGGTGAATGTTATTGTAACAAAACCAAAATTCCCTCCCCCCCGGCGATATATAATTATCGGTCTCAAATTCATTTTCGTTTAAAAGCGAAATGAACTAATGAAAACGGAGACTTTCGAAATCTGTTTCAAAATTGGAGTTTTAAACGCTCTGTTTCTCAAGTGGACTAGTGAGAGGCAGTAAATATGCGTTCCATACAGTCTCTTCCAAAGGCGTTTTCGGTTGTTTTACAAAAACGCAACACAAATTTATGCATTTTAAAATTAAAATAGTAAAGCGGACATTTGAGAGCAAAATGAAAGCGCGATCTAAAGGAATATATTATATTGCGCTTTGTTTTGTTTGGGACGAAGACGGACTCTTTGAGAAACGCCGTGGTGTAGTGACCTTGGGAGATGACACCGACTGATGGCACAGTTCGAAAGAATAGCGTCAGAAGGTAGACTTAGACACAAAAAGTCGTGTATATTTTAAGATATTTAGAGCGTTTTGGGATATAAAGAAAATTTTATAATATTGTGATACGAATATTTAGGATTTTTTCCCTTAAGTCATGATTCGGTAGTCTTGTGATGGTTTCAATCCCAATTTCCTTGTCAATAATCCAGTTCATCAGTTACTTCAATCAATAATATATCCCTTCACCCTGTAACCCCTGAGAGTGATTGGTATCTAATTTCTCCTTGCGGTATCACCACTGAATCACACATTAATGTCATGAGATTAAAGGAAATAATCATCAACTAAAGAAACTCTTCATTGTTAAACAAATTCTCCTTGTCAGCACTTTGGTAAATGTACAGAGACTAGTATGGAGAATATCTTAGGCTTAAGTGAAAAGTTTATGAGCGTTATCCAGCCAGAGACTGCTAAACCACAGTCTTGTTTTTATTTGCCTGTTTGCTGATGTACAACATTTAACTTTGCACAACGTTAGATCATTTTGGGACATTTCAAAAATTTATTTTCAAATAATTTCTTAGATATTTAGAACAGTTTCAAGACATGAAGAAGAAAAATTTGATATATTAAGAAAATAATCAAGAATTTCCTGAATCATCATTTTACGTAATATTTGTGTCTAGGTCCACCTGAGGGGCGCGCGCGCGGGCGGACCAAAACATAACTTCCCAAGGGAAAGAATGTACACGATAACGGGGGAACCTAGGGCAAAGTTATCAGGATAACTCATGTGACTTTTTTGGCACGTGTGATTGGTTTTCGGCAAGTTTAAATCGACGCGCCGTTCCGCGCCTAATTTTGAATGAACTTGTGTCTGGCTACACGTGAAAATCAACCACATGAAGTGCGTGAGTAAAAGGTGAGCTGACAGAACAAAAGCTTTCATCTTGGCTACCGTTTACAACGAAAATTGTCTCCTTTTAAACGACAGCTGGGAAGGACAGAATTAGGAATTTGCCGTCGAATTTTCCGCTATGAGCGTCGTGAGAAGAAAACTATTTGAGGAAGGATCGAATTCTTGGACCTCGGATCAAACAATCGCTGAAAGGCCAAATAACGAAGCAGTTGAAAATGAGCGCACAGAAATTGTTGAATACACTGTTGTAAACGAAGGAGATGTAGCTCTAAAGGAGCCAAGTGTAGAGACTCCAAATGGATTAAAAACGCCCCAAGAAAATATGTTTCGACCGACAACTACTTCGTGCTTTGAGAAGGTAAACATTTGATTAAAATTTGTTACAACTTATTTCTCTTTATTCGAGTCACTTTTTTCACGTTCGTTCAACTCAATGTCTAATTTTCAAAGAAATTTTGAACAAATTGTGATTCGTAAACTATTCTTACAAGAAAAAATTACGTGAAGCTTTAAACAATCTATTCCATGGAATATTCGAGCGGGACTCAAAAACCTATTCTAAGATTTAAAAACTTCACCGTAATTCGATAAACTTCTTCGAGTTAAAATCTTCCAGTAGTTATTTTGGGCTTGCTTATATATTTAACTGTTTGTAGAGACATTCCAAAAAATAGTTTTGACGAGAATCATTGAGTTTTTTCCTAGGATCGTGAAAAGAAACTTCTGATTATTGACGAGGCAGAAGATGAAACTGTTCGCAAAGGATGGGCAGAAAAACAGACACTTAAAGGGATACAAGTTGTAACATGTCATTGTACAAACCTGATCTCGGTCTGTACAAAAGAAACATTTCTACTTATTTTCCTCGATATATCCTCAGTGGCAGGAAACGCTAAAAAGATAGTTTCTACGATAAGGTAAGTACTCTCAAAATGTCGAGAAAGCAGTTTTAATCTATTTAGAGTACACCTTGTATTACACGCAGCGTGCCGCCAAACAATGACAGAAAAGTGTGATCTAATTAACGAATACGATTTTGTGATACCAGGAACTTCTTCTTTGAGGATAAGAATATATCAAAACTTGCAGAGAAAGCTGTTAAGAAATAATAGGAAAAGTTGTGTTCTACGATTCAAGAAACTTAATTTAATTAAAATAGCAATGGAGAATTTTAATAGCTACATTGGATCCCTTCCGTGGACTCGCTACTGCCTACAATTTTCTTTGCCTTTGACGTATTTATCCTTTTCTTCTCATGTTAATTCTTTATAACTTTGCAACATCTTATCATAATCATACAATTCAATCAACAATACTAATCATGATACATATGCATTCCAGCATGTTCTTTGCCCGAAAACAAGTCGAACAATCGTATGTTATTCAAAATTAAAATTTAGTGCAGGAAGCTGAGATTTAATTGAATGTTTTTCATCATCAAGTAAATCAAATAATTTCAAAAGCAAGTGAAACTGAATGAGCACAAATAGATGCTTTTCACAACTAAAAACTTCATCTCCCTGCATAGCAGTATGTAATTTAAATTTAACAGAAGATCACTTGATTACCTTTACAAATCACTCTAGGTACAATCCCAATTCTCTGAACCGTTCAACAGCAATAATTGGATTAACACAGGAAGGAGATAAAGGTATGTTCCAGAATCAAATACATCATCAAGAGGCTGCCCTTTTGTTTACTTTTTTTTTCAAACTCAATCCACAACTTTCTTTTTTTATATCTCAAAGAGGACTTCAGTTACCATGAAATAAATGATGTCATTCAGCTTCCGGTGACAGATGAAAGGGTGAATCAGGTTTTGTTGAAGTGGGCTGGGCACAAGTCATGTGAAGGTCAGTACTAAAACCACCAACATGGACAATGTGGTGTCCACCCTCAAAGGAAGAAGTTCTTTACCTCTTCTTTACCTCTTCTTTACCTCTTCAAAGGAACTATTGTCAATTGTTCCATTGGATGAGATATGAACTAGATAGGCTTGCTAATACTCAAAAGTTTTCCATGTGTTGATTTATGAAACCTATTTCCTAAATAGTGTACAAAAAGGCACTTCTGAGCACCTGAAAATGAAAATTTTCAGGAAAGAGGCATGCTTCTTTGACCCCCTTGCTGGTTTTTGGTGCACACTCCATAGAGGAAAACTCCTAATGCTTCTGAGGGCTTGTATGAATTTATAGTTTCACATTATTTTAGGCATGCCATTGACACCAGAGAGTCCAGAAGGAAACATTCATTCAGCTGGACCAAAGTCTTTAGGAACAACCAAAGAAAACACAGAGGAGAATTTGTCATCAATTATAAAATATTCGACATCACAACCAATTCAGTAAGTGGGTTACCTTAATTATGTATGTAGCATGGGTAGGCATGGTCATTATATATAAGTTGGTATATTGACTGATAGTCTACCAGTGGATAATAATCTGGGCCAGTTACTGACCTTTGCTTAACCAGGATGTTAAAATCACTGCTGATTGTTTAAACATTAGCAAACAGTGCCTTGTTATAGTAAACATGATCGAGCATGTCTAAAATTAATCACTGATTTAAAACTGTTATCATTCTCTTTTCAGACAGAATTGTAGTAGTAGAGTGTCCCAGGCAGACAACTCTAATGGAACATTGGAATCCTTTTGCAAAGTCTCCACACTCCATAACAACCAGTCAGGGCCAACCTATCAACAGCTATGTCACAATGGCCAATATATTCCTGTCAGTAGAAGTGGCTTTGCTGATCCATCACAGAACAATCAAGTCACAGATGACAACAGGTTACATCTTCAAAACAGCAATGTTGCTGCTCCACAGAACTTTCTCCTTGGGGGAAACCAGATCCAAAGTCAACCTCACTCATCACTGATTCTCCAACGATCAGCAGCAGATCACATGCTCACCCAGGAAGATCATGTTTCTGTTCATATTCCCCCAAATGCAGTCAACACAGTGTATCCTGAGCATTATAATCACATTTATTACAACATACCACCTACAAATCAAAACAGACCAAATACCATTCCACCACATTTTGTAGCTATCAATTCTTCCACATGTGTCCAAAACCCTGCAGGCTTGACATCACAGGCAGCTCCTAAGGCAGATCACTCTGTAGTGACCACCCAATCATCACCTGACAGAGAAGGTGGAAAGATAGTTGGCAGTCCTGCATATATGATCAGTGGACAACTGGGAAGCAAAGATATGAAAATCACATTACTTCATGATGACCTGTCCAAACACAGCTCCAAAGAGAGGATTAGAAGGTAACAAAGACAAAGTTTTACTTCTTAACTACTAAGTTCAACACAAAAGGGATAATCTGTTTGTTTAATTTGCATAAACAGTATTTGGTGTCTGATCCCTGGAGAGAGAAAGAGAGATTGTCACAATTTAACCAACTCATTTGACTTTTTCTTTGGCTAATAATTTCAATGATAATGCAACTGGGAGTATCACAGCTTCACTGGATTGAAAGTAATCAGGGACTGTAAGGAAAACACCATTATGGAGTCAAATATTAAGTAAAGTCATTTCTCCAAAGAAACCAGGTGACGATATCCTTCTACAGAGCAAGCAATGCAAAAAGCATACTTCTTTTTTTGATGGGTATTCCTTGTATAGCCAGAATAAATAAAAAAGGATCTTTCCAGGTCTGTGTTTAATTAACCAATTACCTTATGTATAAAACATCCAGCCTGTTGAAGTACTGTGCATTTTTAGTCATCAGTAGCAGGTTAGATTTACATTATTTGTCTACACTATAGGGAAACGTGATGCAGAAAAAATGAGAAAAGTACCAGTAGTAGCCCCACACATCATTTTAAATTACCTCAGTCTGTTCTTCTAATGAAATCCTCACATTGATTCATTTTCTTCTAGAGAACGAATTAAGGAAAGCTGCGATCAACTCCGCTTTTTGCTACCTAGTGTTGCTGGGAAAAAATCTGACATGGCTTCCGTAAGTAACTTGAAGCAAATTTGATTCATTTTAATTTGTAAAATATATTTGTGGTAAAACAAAGTGTATCCCTATGTTAATGTTTATACCTCAAATGAGAAGATGATGGTTGATTAATAATCATACTTTGATACAATTACAACAATAAATAAATTTTCATTACTGATCAGATTCTTGAAATGACTGTAAAATATGTGAGAATGATCAAGGAGAGGCTTCCACCAGCTGTCCTTCAAGAGGTAATAATTGTTCATTAGATAGGACTTGGCTGTCTTCCAGGAGGAACAGACTATTTGAAAAGTTTAAGGAAATCAAGAAAATAACCAACAAAAATCCACCAGATGGAGAAAATATGCAAAAGAAAAATTGCACTCCTCCACCAATGCAGCACCACAGTTTCTTTAGAAACTTACCCTCAATACCCTTAAGACTCTTCCATTAAAATTTGTCTTACACTGGAAAGGCTTGACATTTCTGATTCAAATTCCCATGCCCTTAGGTACAGATGACAGTGTAAATAATTGGCACGCAAGTCTGAAATTTATTTAATAATGGCTCGGTTGACTTGACCCTGTTCACTTGAGTAATTCTCAATTACCATTTGTTGGAACTATCAGCTCATGCAGCTATATGTAATTTAAGCAAGACATTTTTTGCAGCTGATTTAAGAGTTGTTCAAAGTACAGCCTCTGATTATATGTAAACTTCATACTTATTCTTTCAGATCTCTCAGAATATTGCTGACACAACTGCTACACTTCCCAGAAAAAGAACCAGGGACTTATCAGCAAACATTAAACAAACACGTCCAAGGTAGTGAATGGAAACATTCATAATCTATCAACAACTTCAAACAAGGATATTCAATCTACTTTTCAAATACACTTTTAGTTCAGATGAAAACTTTAAGGTATTTGTAGGATGCTTTTTGGCAAAGGTAAACCTTGTACCTGGTACATGACAATATTTAATAGAGTAGGTGTAAGTTTTCATGCAATTCATCTTATCCACCTGACTCTGATAACCACCTTTTATTTCATACATACTGAGATTTACACTGTGAAGTACTATCATTCATGTTCTATAGGGAGAGCAGTGTATTTTCAGTCTGTAGTTCTCTCCCAATCTCTGAATTTAAAGGTGAAAAAATCTTTGTGTGTTTGAAATAAAAACATCATACCATGGAAAGTGATTGGAAGATTTTTTTTCACTTGCTACAATGCATCAAAAAAACTCACTCGTTCACTGTAATCACAAGTTCATTTTTCTGGTGCATCGCAACTCATGAATAAAAATTGTTTGTGTGATTGTTGCCATGGAAATAATACTCTTTCTAATTACTTAGTTTTGGGGTAATTTTCCTGCAGAGGATTAGAGGGTAGGCTTAATTAAGACTGGTTCTGGTCAGTTTTCTTCTCTATTTAAGACAAAAAATTACTGTAGATTGAGGTATATTGACTTTATGACACTACTGTAAACAGTACCAGCATATTTGAAACATTTTGAAAAGGTATGACAGATTGTAGGGGTGAATCATGCACCACCAGCATACAAACCTTATTCAAGACCTTGTGTTTAGGAAGATGGTAACAGGTGTAATTTCATACCTTGCTTAATATTTAGACCCTAAAAACTATACACTGCCAGGAGGTATAGCCTGTCAAGGCACAGTAAAAACATGTCCCCTCCCCCTTGCAATTTAACATTCTGTATTGGTAACAAATGTAAATTTAAAAAATGAACTTAATGTAGTTAATTTTCATTGCAGACTTACACCACCTGCTAATATTCGTGAGGGACCACCAAGATTACCACACCCTTTACCACCATTCTATATGACGCCTGCACCATTTCAAGGCAAGGCTCCTACAATAGTAACCACAACAGGTCCTATGTATGTGCCCCACCTACATATCAGGCCTGGTCATGAACACACCCAGATTCCTTTACAACAACATCAAATTCATCAAGCAGACCCAGCCAGCTTCAGACTGGCAACATCACCTCCTTCTGCATTCAACAGCTGCCACAATGAGAATTCAACCAGAGGTGCAAATACATTTCAGCATCAACCAGGGCATGAACATGTCATGATTAATCCACACCAAGATTACAATGCAACCCACTCATCATTCCACTCTAAACACATTTTTCATGGAAACCACCCTCCCATTCCTCCTGTGCCTGGCCACAGTTATGACATGCCACAGCAATGGAGCTTTTTAAAGTTACCCCCTATTGGAAACATTTTTCATTCTTTAAGTTCAAGTAATTTAAGCCAAGAAAGTGGTAAACATGATCCTTGTGAGTCTGGGAGATCTACACCAACAGATTCTTCATCAATGACACCCCCACTTTGGGAGAGCAGTGGAAATCTCGTAAGTGCAGGAAGACAAGATCATACTCATATTGACAGTCCTGTAATGTTCAAAGGTACATCAATGTAACTCCTGAAAAGGAAAGCTCCACTTGAAGCCAAGTGCAAACTTCGTTCTGCATGAAGGTCTAGGAGAACATAGGTTAGCTGAGAAAGACAGCCAAACATATAATTATAAAATTATACACAGATCAATTTAAGATTTTTTGGAACCTCTCCTCATACAAAGGGATAAAAATAGGAGCATATAAAGCCTTTGATAAATGTATGGCAGATGCAATTGATATCTGGGAAAACCTCCTAGTGTTCAGTTGATTTAGAGAAGGGTTGGGTTCTCTAGAAATTAAGGTCACAACAGAGACAAAAAAGGTGCTATCATCAGTGTGTAGAAGGCTAAAGAACTCTGCATTTGATATGTTGACCTACACAGGGTTTTCTCTGTAAGCAAAAGGAAACCTCAACAGATATAAACCATTACCTGAATAGAAAGCACAATTTTCACTTTTCCATTGTTGTTAATAATTTTGTACATCAGATCAAAGTCAAAATAAGAGATAGTTCTAGCGTGAACATGGATGCTACAAGCTCCTATGAAGAGTCACACATTTGCAATGCTTAAAATAATGATCTATGCCATGAATTATCACTATAAATATTTATTACAGTTCATAATTTACTGGCAAGTTCTACAAGCTGCTTTTAAACTAGAAAAAGGGAAATAGATCACTTTGACAATGTAATATGTTTATCATTTGTCAATCAAAGAGAGAAAATCATTATTAATTTAGGGTTAAATTATGCAGCACTTGCTCACAAAAGACCACTAAATTTATTTGAGTGAAGTGGCTAGTTTTGGGACCATAGTTTCCTGATCTTGAGTTTTCAACAGACTTCTATAGAAACCTTACAGATGGACAAGATTTACTACACCTGAGCATCATAACTTGATGTAAAGACTGAGATTTTTTTTTTCCCCTGATGAAAAAGTTGATGATATTTCATAACATTGTCAAAGAGGTAAATTTCCTGAAGCAAAAGTTTTAAAATAGGGATTAGGTCATAAAAAAAATTACATTGGATCCATTTTCTTAAGTTTCAATAATAGCAATTTATCAGGTGGTAAGACTTCATCACTCACATTTTAAAATATTCTAAGCCATAAGTTGTGTTTATAGATTGCCTTGAGTTATTCCTTTACCATAAGTTACTTCTTTAATGTGTATCTGAATATACAGGCATATTTTGATGTACAAAGTGCATTAAAAAAAGTTTCTTTGCTATGTTTTAGCCAAACCAAAAATACAAAAACAAATTGGAAATTTGATGTTATTAGTGGACGTTTGACACATTTTCACGGTTAATATTATTACAACTTACAGACTTGATGAATAAATTGTCATGAAATCAACCAGCTTAATTTATGTCTCAAAATTGGTCACTATTATGTTAAAAATATCTCTTACTAGCATATACCACACAAATGAATAGCGCTTTTCATGCACTTACTAGCTAATTTGGAGGCAAATAGCAAGTACTATTCACCTCTGAACAGCCCATGAGATGAGTGTCAAGAGTATAATTTCTGAACATTTTTCGGAATACTGAGAGAAATAAACTTATTTTTTAGAATCTGTGTGGTTTATACTAAACCAATAATTATTATTCACTTCAGGGGTGGATAATTACCTCAATTTTAGTGAATTGATTTTGTTGTCCAACTGCACAAGAATAACTCGTGAACAGAGTACAGGTATCTTGCAATATTTTACAGTTAGTTACCTTACACTGTGAAAAAAGCCCATTTAACTGGCTGACTGTGCATGCTCTTCTTCTCTATCTGCTTTGTTTTCCCTGCCTCATGAAAATTGAGCAGACACACTTGGCAGAAAAAAAAAGTAGTATCGCTTAGTACTTTAAAAATACTCACAAATACTACTCAAAAATACTCATACTATACACCAAAATGTATAATATATATACTGTTAAGAAATACTCTATTATAATATGCGATTATTGACAGCTTCATCAGGGAAGGTGGGGAAAGGGTGTACTCCTAGCAGGCAGTGCTGCATGAGTTTGAGTTTATTAGCCATGTTTTGTGCAGGGCATGACACTAAATTGGCTCTGCACAAACAATATTTCATCAGCTAATGATAATAAGGTAGTACACATGTACAATTAAATTGTCTACCAGATATTTTCTCTTACCCAGAATTGCGTTAAACTCTTCACATGCACTAATATCTCCCAATTAAACCTGAGGAATCTTTGGTGGTAATCTATTCAAGATTTTTGCTTTAACCTATCAACCCTCATATCCTGTGCAATGAAAAAATGACTTTGAAGTTGTTACATAAGATAAAAGATACTTTAGTTCACATATTTGCTATGAAAAGTTAAGTCTGTTTTCAAAGGTTAGCAGATTGTATGTGGTTTTTTTTTGTGCACTGTGAAGAATATTTAAAGGATAAGGATGACAAAAGTATATTTTTCTAGAAAATAAGCTTGTCATTTGTCTGTGGATATTATCTGTTCCACAAAGCTCATGGTTTTCCCTGAGTTTGTTCTCTAGCAAACGTGTCTGGACCTTGAGCCATTTATAGCAGGTTGCACCATAAGTATTTCTTTATACTATAGTTACAATACAAGGCTTTCTTTGCAATATGTAAGATTTAAAAAACCTTTTCTCAGTGGTTACTGTTGTTGGGAGAGGTACCTGTCACAAAGAAGACCAGTGGTACAAATCTTTAAGGAGGTTTAAACTGGAACTGCTGAATCAGGGTAGGGTTTGGAAATATCTACACTACTATTACAATATGTAACAAATAGAGAAGCCTTGACTGTGCTCTGTTCTGTTGTAAAGCATGCCGGGAGCTGCTAGAACACAAAAGAAGTGTAAAGAGTAACACAAGACATAGTTCGAGTTTGCCTGGTTCTTTTTTTGCCAATTTGCTAACTCGCTTGTTCCAAAGTATGGGAAAAGATGGGACATTAGCAGATGATGTGACAGCTTTAACTCAGCTTTATGCCTTGTACTCTGATAGAGCACGCTATTTTAACCGATGATAGCGCGCATTATATCTGAACTTTATCATAAAAGTTAATAAATATTATCACTATTAATAATATCCTTGTCAAAATTCAGTCGCTTGTAGTAACAATGTCCTCATACCATTAACTCCTGAATCTTGACAGAGATCCAAAAGTTTCTTCGAATATTTTTTCAATAGCAACTTTTCCATTCTCTGGTAAAGCCCTTGTTCCGATGCCTGTAAAATTTAAAGTCAGCCTTGGAGCTTCACAATACACAAATTTCCTCTTGCGATCCTCGAACTGTTGCCACAAACTATTCACGATGTCGAACACATACACGGGTTTTTTGGAATCGACTGCCATTTGCACGGCCCATCCTGTGCCACCCTCGACTCTGCTTCGACTCGCACTAAGTTTGCCAATGGCAAACACACCGTTTGAATCTTTCACTTGGTACCAATTACGACGAAGTAAATTATTTACAAAGTTGTTGCTTGTCGGGAAATGCCTCTTTAAAGTTTTGTTCGCTTTAAGCAAGAATTCATCAGCCTGTTTCAATTGTTCGTTGCTTAGAACAACTCTAGCAGTATTTTTTCCTCCATGTGCCTCAAAGGAAAACGCTTTTATGCGAACACCGTACTTTGCTCCCAAATTTTGCCAGAACATGTCACTGCCACTAGCAGCACCGGTGAATAGAGTGTAATGTCTAGGATTTCCCATGAAGTCGTCTTCTATCCTTTGTAAAGTTTCTTCAAGGAAACTTTCTCCCACCTCGTCCTCATCGAAATCATCAAATTCAACGAATGCATCCTCGAATTTGTGCGCGCAAACAATTAACGACATCTCAACAAGTTCAGGGTATCTTCTTCACGGCTGACTGGATGGCTTAACAGGCGTGATTAATCACGTGGTTTGAATTTCATAATAGCGGCTCATATGTGTGCTGCAGACGACATTTTATGACCCTTAAAGATGAAATCGCTTCCTCTCTTGCCGAAGTTTTCATATTCACAGAAATATCATGGCAGTTACAGGCGCAGAGATGGTTGACCATTCCTCACAGTTAATTTGTTATGGCCTCGACTGTTGTTCACTCATTTCGGACCGCGTCATTTAGAACGTCATGTGACCACTTAATCTATTAAAATCCCGTCTTCTTATTGGTTTAATGTTTTCCCGCTTCGTTTCCCATTATAAGACCCGAAGATTCTTGGTAGGAGAATATAAAGTCTTCCGTGTCTCTATTGTCTCGACGGCCGTAACTTCACGAAATACTTATAAATTATCAGGTAGTTGATTCTGTGTTAGAAACAACAAATCATGGCATCGGGTGGAAATATAAGTGGGAAACATTCGGTAATCTTTAGCAAAAGGTGTGTTATTTTGAAAGATAAACGGACACAAGCAGAGCTCAACAATGAGATTGAAAATCTGATGAAAAGGCCTGAATTTGATTTGTACTTTACGTCGCATGAAGAAATTCCGCAAGAACAATTAGACGCACTTCCAGAAGAGTAAGTGAGGCCTTCTGTTCGTTCTTATTGTCATAATTATGTTACTTAAGAAATCGTCTGACACGCTTACAAATCAATGCTCGTCGTATCGTGGCAAGTTCCATCACTCCCGCTTGTACCGAAGAAATGTCGTTTCTTTCACCACTAGTACACTCATCATTCTGCCAGTGGTTATTTACTCTCTCAGAGTTACGCTTAATCCTATAATTTCACGAAGAGTCTGCTAATTACAGAAATCGTTGTTATTTCTAACTCCTGTTCCCAATTTGATATTTGGAATATCTACAGTGACACCACGGTTTAAAGACTTTAATTCTAGTTCCGTCAACCCACTACGTTATTTTAAAATGTCAAAATGTAGTAACGGGTGCTGCTACCTTAATTAACAAATAGAGAAGCCTTGACTGTGCTCTGTTCTGTTATAAAGCACGAAGGAAGCGGCTAGAGCACGAAAAAAGTGTAGGGAGAAACACGAGACGTAGCCGAGTGTTTCTTCCCACTTCTTGAATGGAAGTGGGAAGAAACACTCGACTACGTCTCGTGTTTCTCCCTACACTTCTTTCGTGCTCTAGCCGCTTCCTAAGTGCTTTATAACAGAACAGAGCACAGTCAAGGCTTCTCTATTTGTTTTATAATAAAGAATCCGTTAAATTCCCCATGTATTACTTTCAATTTTAAAAACAAACTTTATTTCCAAAGCGAAGAACAGTGTCGTCAGCATGCTCTATACTCTCATAGAGCACGCTACAATTAGCCAATGAGAATCCCTGTTAGAATGGTTCAAATAATCTGATTGGCTGTACAAGACAAAAGCTGTCAAAAGTGTCAAACCATCAAAGTTCAAAAACCATCAAAGTTCACACTCTGCGATAGTTTACAAACTAAAATAGTTCGGCAGGTCGAATTTAACTCTTTTGCCTGAAGTTTTTAATTCAGAATCTTGAAGTGAAATGTTCAGTGAACTTCAGTCGAATTATGGCTCATAAAAACACGCGGGTTTTTTCACATGACAAGGTAGAAAACAAACTGTTCAAGGCGAGTGTTTTTTAAATGAACGACAGCCGAATTCACCGGAACATGAAGATCGCTCGGGATGACAGCGCCGCAAAACTCGGCTGCAGTGACTGAAGTGACTTTCCACTCAACACATTGGAAAGGATATCAGAGCGAGCTCTTATTTTTTCACTCGAAGGGCGGCATGATAAGTGAACCGCGATGGACTTCGGCATGATCATATTTGCTCAGACACCGTCATGATTAGTATGAATTTTTACAATTATGCCAGTTTGGCTATATTTTTCATCATTTCTGTTTTGTTCTGTTTTGTTTTTAACTCTAAACTTTATATACTATACGAGTGTTGGCTGTGTTTGATTTTCATCACCGTACGTAAGCTTGCAATCTAACAGAGCGTGAAAATCTTTAAAACTCGGAATGTCTATTTTGTTTTTCCTTTGAGGATTTTCGTATCTGCCCACGTTTTAATAACGTAAATAACGGCGCCTGGTATGTTTACAAACCTTTCTTTGGTTCTTCTGTTGCTACTTGCCGGCTCGCTTGTTCCGAAATTTCACTTTCAATTATCGGAAAAAAGCTAAAAAGAAGTCCCGGAAAAGGTCGAACATGGTACAATTTGGCAGATGGCGTGACAGCTTTAGCTCAGTTCTATGCTCTATACTCTCATAAAGCACGCTCTTTCAACCAATGACAGCGCGCGTTATATCCGAACTTTATTATAAACTCTCATAGAGCACGCTACCAATCGCTCTGACGGAGGGCTAACGCTCGAAACGTCAGCTTTTTTACCCTTTACGGTGGCTAATTTACGTTTTCAACCTAGTTGTTAACACTAAATTACCTGCTATACTCTCCCACCGACGCAGCACCACAGTTTCTTTACTGAAACTTACCCCTTCATTCAAGCTACAATAAGCCAATCAGGATCCCTGTTAGAATGGTTCAAATAATCTGATTGGCTCCACAAGACAAAAGCTGTCAAAAGTGTCAAACCATCAAAGTTCAAAAACCATCAAAGTTCACAATCTGCGATAGTTTACAAACTAAAATAGTTCGGCAGGTCGATTTTAACGCTTTTGCCTGAAGTTTTTAATAGAGAATCTTCAAGTGAAATGTTCAGTGAACTTCAGCCGAATTATGGCTCATAAAAAACACGCGAGTTTTTTCACATGACAAGGTAGAAAACAAACTGTTCAAGGCAAGTGCTTTTTAAATGAACGACAGCCGAATTCACCGGAACATGAAGATCGCTCGGGATGACAGCGCCGCAAAACTCGGCTGCAGTGACTGAAGTGACTTTCTACTCAACGTATCGGAAAGGATATCAGAGCAAGCTCTTATTTTTTCACTCGAAGGCCGGCCGATGTAGTTTCTGAGGCTTGCTTTACTGTAATGACCGGAGATCGCCATGCTAAGCGAGCCGCGATGGACTTCAGCATGATCATATTTGCTCAGCCACCGTCATGATTAGTATGAATTTTAACAGTTATGTCTGTTTGATTATATTTTTCATAATTTCTGTTTTATTCTGTTTTGTTTTTGAACTCTGAACTTTATTTACTATACGAGTGTTAGCTGTGTTTGATTTTTATTACCGTTGATTCGTAAGCTTGCAATCTAACTGAGCGTGAAAATCTTTAAAACTCGGAATGTCTATTTTGTTTTTCCTTTGAGGATTTTCGTATCTGCTCACGTTTTAATAATGTAAATTACGGCGCCTGATATATTTACAAACCTTTGTTTGGTTCTTCTGTTGCTACTTGCCGGCTCGCTTGTTCCGAAATTTCACTTTCAATTATCGGAAAAAAGCTAAAAAGAAGTCCCGGAAAAGGTCGAACATGGTACAATTTGGCAGATGGCGTGACAGCTTTAGCTCAATTCTATGCTCTATACTCTCATAAAGCACGCTCTTTCAACCAATGACAGCGCGCGTTATATCCGAACTTTATTATAATTTGTAATAAGTAGGTGCGTGCGAATGAGTAAAGCACGGACCGTTTGTTACCTCCAAGAGTTTCGCGTGCCTAAGCATTCCGCTTCAAATGTAATAAGCAGCGGTGGAGTATGCGGAATAATTTGGACAAAAGATGTAAATACATTACGGGAAAGATCTGTAGGGAAGGGTTTAAGGGAAATGATGACGCCTGTTCCTTAAGATCAGTGAATTCTCTTTGGTCATGGATGCATATTTCATTTTGGAACATATTAACTGCTCCATACAGAGGTCAGAAAGGCCACGCTTGAGGACAACACTGTAAACAAAAGGTCAACTCAGGTTGAATATAGGTGATCAGTTTTGACTCGATTCGGTCGAAGTATTTACAAGAAGAGGAAATGCCGACTCATTGTTGTGTTCCAGAATGTACAAAGAAATACTACCGGAAAGACAATGGGACAAAAGTGTCTTATCTTTAATTTCTGACCGAGAACCCGTTAAGAAGAAATACCTCCACGCGATAAGAAGAGACGAAGGAAAGCACTTCAAGGTAACTGAAAATACAAAGATATGCTCCCAGCATTTCAGGAAAAGTTATATTAGAAATGTCTCGCGGTCAAAAATGAATTAAGAGATGGAGTTGTCCCCTCTGTGTTTTAATGGATTCGAACATCGCCACGCAAAGGAAAAGAGCTGGCGGAAAGAAACTTCGAACTGACAGCTTCGAAAAGTGCATCACGAAAATTGTCTACCCCAGCTATTGTTCTTGAAGAATTATCAAATGAATCGTCGAACGAAATGGTCCCAGATCTACCAGATTGTGGCTTAAAAGTCGAAGACGAAACACAAACTGATTTTACCGACCAGGAGGCCTACTTGAGAGAAATTATTGACAACAATAACAAGAAGATACATAAACTCGAACTCATTTCCTACTGGCGGTCAAAAACTGACAACAACACTGAGTCTGATTACAGTGAGGGCAGACTACTAACAAAAACGGGGAGAGCTAGATCTTTAAGGCCCCTTGATGAATTTTTTATAGTCATGTGTAGACTAAGGCAAGGATTCCCAGTGGACCATCTAGCTCAATTATTTAATGTATTAGCATCCACAGTAAGTAGAATATTTATCACATGGGTCAATTTTATGTTCTTTAAGTTTGGACAGATAAACAATTGGCCCAGCAGAAAAGTAATCGATACAATGCCCGAATCTTTTAAGGGAAGGTAAAAATCTACTAGAGTCATAATTGACTGTACTGAGGTTAGATGTCAAATGCCAAGCATCTTGCAGTTGAATTGAGAACTTTTCAGTGCTTACAAAAATCACACAACTTTGAAAGGTTTGGTTGGTATTTCTCCCAGTGGAGCAGTGACATTCAGAATTCTACAGTATACAGGTTCTATCTCCAATTGGGAAATTGTCAGATGGAGTGGATTCTTAAATCTATCATTTGATGACAAAGACTCCATTATGGCAGATAAGGGATTCATAGTTTAGGATTTGTTGCCTTTGGGAGTCAGTTTAAATTTGCCACCCTTTCCTGGAGCATCTTCTCAGATGGCTGCAGAAGACGTGGTAAAAACACAGGAAATTGCAAGTTTACGGATTTATGTTGAACCTGCCTTTAACAAGATTAAGAATTTTCACATCTGGGACAGAGTTGTTCCACTACATCAAATGGGAATTGTAAACCAGATGTGGGAAGTGTGTGCATTCTGTTGTAATGCACAACCTAACCTAATATCAATGTGAATATCACATTCATGTGAGGCATGAATGAATTACTTAACCCATAAATTGCCTACAAATCTCTTCTCTCCCTAGATTATAAGGGGCTACAAATTGGGCATTAAGATAAAGACAACATTTTCCCCTCTGTTCTGACTATTTATCGTAAGGTATACATGATGATCATAATTGAGCAACTTCTTTTCTGTCTGCAAAGACCATGTTGTCTATGTTGTGTTTAAATTATCTTTGGTGCAAAATGTTTAAACCAGTTTGGCTTTAATTTTCCTTTGTATTCTTTAGCATACTTTAGAACAAAGGAGATTAAAAATCAAACTGGTTGGAAAAATTTCAACCCATGACAAATTAAAATTACAAAACAGTAAGAATTCATTCATGTAAGGTATTAATTCCCAGTCAACAAGTAAATTCACGACAATTAAGAATATTTGAATGTAGAAGCATGGTATTACCAGTTCTGTTGAAAAAAACAGATGTCATAACAAAATAGCTTTAGCAGGAAAACTGTAGATTACAGGGTCAATCAGATGTAGCTGTTCACAAGACTTCACAATCACTGTTGTTATTTGCCAGACAATTTCAATTGAAAAGCTTTGCATAAGCAAACTTAATAAAATGTTCAAAGTAATAAGAAAGCAGTTTCTGCCCTTGTTCGGCCCAGAAACCAGGGTCGTATGTAGTCATGCACTCGCTTCACCGCGTCTCCACAACATTTAAGCCAAAATTTAATATCTGAGATTTTTAACTCCTCAGGTTTTCTTCCAAGAAGAGAAGCGCCAGGTATATCGTTTTCCGTAAGAAATGTCGGATTTAAAATATTCGAACTACTCGCCTTAACAATCGAAGAGGGACGCGACGCGATAGTTTGGCCTTTCTGACCTCGTTTTCATGCAACTCGATCCAGGACTCTCGCGATGTCCGCCATTATGAAAGTCGTATATCGGATAGAAAGCGTGGACATCATTAATTATTCATAACCGATATAGCGTGCCTCGACCAGCAAGCTGTTAGTAATTGGGAGCTCTTTTCGCAGCTCACTGAATCCCCGATCGCTTTGCAATCTGTATGCGATCGGGAGCTGATGATCAGTTCCATTCCAGGGATAGCACTAGCATAAAACGCTCGATAGAAACTGTGATCCTAAAATAGCGAATTTGTTCATAAGCACTACTTCGTTCGCTTTTTTCATTTTCAATTCGAAAAAACTTACATCAGAGCGATTCAGAGAATTTATTTTGTCCTTCATTTACGATAAAATAAATTTTTCGATGACACAATCGAATCCTAAGCGGGAAGTAATAAGAAACACACGCTGTTTATCAAACTGTCTTAGACTTAATATGAAGCGAAATGTATGTTGATTAAGTCTTAGCGAGATATGAACAAGTAACTTTCCTATGATAAATATCGAACGCATATGGCCCTTACAAATCCACGCTTGAAATAGCAAGGTTCAAATATGCGTGTACCATCAGAAACAATAGTTGAAACAATACGGTTATACGGTCTTTGTGTCTTAGCTCCACCCTGACAATTTAATGAGCTAAGGAAGTAAATTATTCCACACTGCTTCCATTGCCGCAGCGCAATGAGATTGGGAATAAATTTGGCGACCCCACAGTGTGAGAACTGTGGGGGGGGGGGGGGGGAGAAAATAAAATTCAGTGTTGGCCTCCCAGAACTTTCCCGTAAAAAACCTCTCCATCTCGTCTTTGCATGATTCCAGTTTGCACTGCAGTTGAGCAAGGATAATTTACTCATCTGCGGCAATCTTATATTCGCTGCTGTAATATGTGGTGTGAATAGTAAACTATTCCACGCCGCTTCCATTGTCGCACTGCAATGAAATTGACGATAAATTTGGCTCCCATCGCTTAGTATCACTCAGTGTCCTCCTGTTACCACACTAACGATGGGCTCCTCCCCAATACTAATAATTTACTACAGAGTCCATTGCTAGAATGCTTAAGGTCTCTATTATCAAAAAACCTAATCGTAAATTCCCAAAACTACACCAAAATGCAATCCAATAGCCCTGGAAAGAGAAACTGTCCATTTTCATTCACCGATCACCCCTCATTGTAAGGTCTCTTCCCTGGATTGTAGGAAGGAAAGGCACACACAAATCGTTTCAACTGGTTAAAGTCTTGCTAAAACCCGGTCAGTTCCGTAACAATACTCGAAGCCAGTCTTGCCAAGGCTCAAGTGGAATTCAGAACCTTCGCCAATTGCATGTAGTAGAGGGTTGTGTGTCTACGAGTCCAGCCAACATGGTCCATGATCTCGGCTACGGTGTTACGCGCGCCTGTAACTGCTCAGCGGTAACCAGCGTGTATGCACATAATGTTTTCATATATTCCAACTCTCCCGTAGCATCCAGTAGTCTCCCAGACACAGAGCCAATCTCCCGCTCTCCCGTACGGGTGACCAAAACTACCGGATAAAAGGAAGTTTGGGTCAGTTGCTGACAAAAAACTAAGATTTGAGCTCCGTCTGTTCCAAAATTCCAAAATAATCTGGCTTCTTATGCCTGTATTCCGGTTTCTGGCTTCATTTTCTTGCGTGATGCACGTTTTTCGGAGGTTCAAATCAAAAAAGATATTTTCAGGGGAGGGGGGGGGGCCGCATTGGCGAATTCGGTTGGGGGGGTGCTGGTCCTAAATTATATCTCCAGATTTGAGATCTCTAGAAGTTGGCATCTCTGTGTTTTCTATATCGAATTAAACCTTGTCGACACTTTCTACTTTCGTGACTTTCCGTTAATAGGCACATAGAACGGTGGGGGTAAACAGTTAAGCGACAATGGGAAGGTCTTAAGTAAAAAAAAAAGACGAAAAAACACCTGTAGTTTCCTTGAAACTGACCCTTTATTACTTGTATTTGCGTTCACATGAGTTGGTAGACAAATGAGCTTTCGAGCCGCACTTCAGTCTTCATAACCTAAAGCCTTATTTGACTCACAGTTCATACTGATGGTTGATTTTCCTGATACTATTGTTCTTACTGAGAGGATTAAGAGTTCGTAATGAAAGACCAGCATAAAGGCCCATAAGTCACCTGGAATTCCATTTATGACTCTGCTCCACCCTTCTTTTAAGGGTAGTAACAAAGCAGGCGTGTCACCCGCATTAGCTAACTTCTGAGCTCTCCAGGATTTGCGTTGCAAGAGGGGCCACCAACACTTCCTTGGATAAGTATACAAGAAAGACATTTTGGTTGTACCCTTCAGTTCTGTCTTCCATGTAAAGGTCCCCCTATTTCACCTACCTAAACCATTAATATAATGACTATTATCATTATAGTCATTATCAGTATCATCATAGTTGCCATCATCATTATCATCATCATCATCTTCAACGTGGGTAACAAAACAACATTTACATTGACTTTAAATTACAAGAATAACTAGCTAGTGGACTTACTGCTTACTACATTACTGTATGCTTAAAGTATACAAAACACCAACACAATTAAGATTGAACATCTTTTCATTATTAAGATACGTAATTAACCTAGGTGGCTTCCATTGCAAAAGAATTTACCTTTTTCCCTTTCAAATATGGTAATGACTTTAATACTATTGGTGTCTTCAACTGTCTTGAGAAACAAAGGAATATCTGGTAATTTTTCTTTCATATTCCTCCAAAATATTTGCCATATATTTGGAGAGAAGAATGAAATAGTTGAATATGAAACAGGGAGGATTTTCAAGATTTTTGCCATGTGTTATTGAAAATTATCTCAGAACATGAATATTTTATCATTTTCAGAATTAATGGCACATAGGCAAATCAATTCAATTTTGTTCTTTTTTCAGATTGACATTTCTATGGCGGGGTAAGGAGCTTCAAGACTTCATCAAGAATACTTCAAGTAAAGATGAAGTTGTAATAATTTGTGGTGCTGTGGATGAGGATATGCATGTGGCAGCAAGCACAAAGTCATTCCTTATTGCTGCTGGCTGGGTGAATCTAGAACCCAAGGTCGTGAAATATGGTATACCAGCACCCACACCATTAAAGATGACTGCACTTATACAAATTGTAGCAAATCAGACCAGCTGGTACTATTTATGTACCTTCAATGATCCTGTACCAACCAAAGTGGTTTCCCTTTGTCGGGCAAACACGCATTTAAGCAATAATGATGCTGATGAGAAAGCCATGGCAGAGGCCTTTCAGGCCATCTTGAAAGACGGTAACAACAACCCAGTGATTAAGCAAGCTCTGATCTGCCACCTTATGGCAGGTGAGGATAGAGTTTTTTCAGTGTTATCATCTTATATTGTAGGACTTGTCTCAAGAAATCTTAAAGACACAAGCAGCACGTGAGTGGTGGTGATTTGGGTGTGAAATTAGAGCTTTCTTCCAATCAGTCACAGCTCACACTTCAATTCAACTAATTTAAAACATGAAGATTAAAATTAAAAAACAATTTAAACTAGACACCTGCAGTTGCGTCAGTAAGTTTAGTGTTCTCACCAGGATTTTTCCATGGGGGGTCCCAGGGCTGCCTCTGCTGAGAGATTGGGGCCATGTAAGAACATTAGGGTGGCATAGTTACTCGCGGTCCACAACTGGTGTGGAAAAATTCTTTGTGAGCACTTTAAATAGTTTGTTACATGAGGTACCATAACCTGATCTAATATGGCGGACAAGGTAGTTAAGATTTGCAGACATTTACCAATCTTTACCACATATGTAGGACTAACAGAAATAAAGGAAATAAAATTAAACAATTTAAATCTTTTGATATCATGTTTTTCATTCATTTTATTCGAACAAGCTAAATACCGGACTGTAGATTAACCATTAAAACTACTTAACATTCTAAAGTCAGTTTGACTCTTAGCTTGCCCCTGCACTGCACCTTAAAGGGTGCATCGTCTTAGCTTTAATGCACCATCTCAGTTTTTCTTGCATGAATGCTGCAAGGCCACGGCCTGGTGAGAACACTAAGTTTATCAACTTTAAATGGAATATAAACCACAAACTCACTAAAAACTGCAAAATGACCAATCTCTTTAATTTTTGGTGCATTTCTTGTTGGCTTGTAACTCTACTAATGAGTGTCCTGTAATTGTCATGTCAGAATTTAAAGCAAAAAATTCCCCATACCAATCTAAGGAGAGCTTCAACTGTATAAATTAATCTTGGGTGGGGTATGATAATACTAGAGTTTTGCATAGAATACTTTGACTCTGCTAATTGCAATTTTATAAATACAATTTTAGGGAAATAACATCATTGTCAGAATGAGATATCTTGCTATTACATAAAACTGCAGCTGCCATATTTGCCTCTATTGAGTTATTAAGTAAATCCTGTTTCAAACATTTTCTAGGTATACCATAATTGTGTATATTTTCACTTACTCTAACAGCTATTGCTCACGATCCTGAGTTCAAAGATGTTCAAGATTGGGCAGTGGCCCCATCCTCTTCAACAAACCCACCACAGATTATGGAGGAATTGAAAGAGCATGTAAGATGCATGATGAATGGGAAAAAGCCCGAAGCAATATTTTTGAGACATAAAACAACAAACAAATCACGGTTTGAAAGTAAGGACTTCAGACAAAGTAATGACTACTGCCAAAAGCACTTTAAATCTATCCTTGTAAGTGAAAATTATCACAAAAACTAAAAGATAGGGTTGTCTGTGTGTTTGATGACTATCTCAGACATGGTAATACTTTTGAGGCATTGCGGAATCTCCTAGTTGAATGCAAAGTGAAAAAGATCATATTTGTTTCAATAGGAAAGTTCATGAGTAAATATGAAAACATGTACAGGCAGAAGTCCTTTTCAATAAGTGGTGATGTGAGCACAAAGCACTACACAGCAGAATTCGAATCTGCTGCTCAACACAATTTTTATATTGATAATGATGCTCGGCGAAGCTTGCAGCATCTCAGAGAGCTAGCCAACTATTTAAAGTAAAGCTGTAAAGAACTCTTTCAACTGACTTCCGAACCACCTTGCGCATTTTTATCTAGAGGGTCTCTTAAACTTCTTTATGTGAAAGAATTAATGACCAAAAAAATTTTAAACAAGAGAAAAAATTCCCCTTTTCCTTAATAACTAATTCAGAGTTGAACAGTATGTTAAAAGAGCCAAAAAAATTGACTCAGGAGAAGGGTCCACTTATATTAATTCTTGAAAGAGTAGAATATCACATCTAAGAACCTTAACTGTCTTTGTGCTGGACAACTTTGACACCCATAATTGTCATGTAGAAAAGCTAGTAATGGGGAATTCAGACTTCCATTAAAGAGGAACTTGTTATTTCAATTCAAACTTGGTTTTTCCCAAGTATTCAACAAAAAACCATTTACCAAATGGAATGGTATAGATGCTTTAATGCTTTCATGGTGATTTAAGATGATAAATTCCGTTTTCTTTTCCATGTTAATAATTTTTCTATTTGTAAGTGACTGGTGATTGAAAAGCTGAAATAAAGATGATTGTGAACATTTTTGTTTTGCTTGATGAATTTCTAACTATTTCACATTGTACACATTGTTCTTGAATGGCTGTGGTCAGGTAATACCGGCAGAAAGTGGACTTCATATGCATTGATAAAAGTCATGAAACAGACCACTAATGGTTCTTGAACTGAATAGGATACCATTTTAAACAGGTTAGAAAAAGTGAAAATATCAATTTGAGAATTTGTTTTTCTATCTTTATGCAAATTTTATGTGAACATGAAAAAAAATTTTTATATAATTATGCTTGATGCATGAAAAAGGTAAATATTTTAACATGACTAGGTGCAGTTCATAGGAAATTATAAAGCCTCCACTTGCTTTAAGACAAGACTTGGCTATTATCTCAGGCATCTTATGAGTTAAAAACGTTTATTAGTAATATTGTACAATAAATTGTGTTATTTTAATGTATCTTTATGCAGCTTTTCTATTAAATCCCTCATATCATTTTAATTTTAGTTTGTAGAAATAAAATTTTTTAACAGTGTTTTTTAGGTGTTTTATGACGTAAAGAGGTTTATCACTGTTTCTAATATTGTCAAGTGTTACCTTCTATTAGGAAAGTCTACTATTACATTTATTATAAATGAACAATAGCCCCCATTACATGCAAAGATATCCACCGATATTTTTCTGCCGATATTAAACATTCCAGGATGTGAACAATTTTCTGAGAGCAAAGCTTGAGGAAAACTGTGAGTTCCAAGGAACAGATAATGTCCAAGGAAAAACATATGAGCATCCTTTGGCACCGGTTGAAGGCTATCTTGTTTTTTATCCTTCAAATATTTTAACGAAGTTTGGGGAAATTGTAAACATTCAGCGTGCTGTTTCCTGGGTAGGATGTTTACTTTTCAGAGTTCTCTGGTACCACTTAATGAAAAAAAAATTTCCCTTCTTCTGTATACATAAGGTTTGAAGATTGGGGAATATCACCAGGGGTATATCCTGGGAGATTCCCTTGTTTTAGCTGGGGCATATATTCAATCATGTGATGTGTTTAGACCAATTGTACGCAAACAAAAATATTTGATGGATTATAAATTGAACTATAAGTCTAACATTCATGAAACTGTTGGAAAAATTAAGGAGATAAAATAACCTTTCAGTTAACATATTATTCAATGGGTAGCAAAAAGAGACATTTCCACTTTATCTGAAATAAAATCAGGCCAACTTATTTTTATGGTCTATTACCACTGCTGTCTGAATAATTGTTAGCAAAAATAAAATGCATTGTGCCAAGCTTCCTGAATTCTCCTTCACAGCCCTTGTTAGGTCTCATCACACAATGCACTCTTTCCCTCGTTTGTAGTCTCTGAAAAATTTACTTGGGCTTACAACACTAAACTGCACATGAAATCATGTTGCTACCTTTACTAATTTCAAGACATTCGATATGAGGGACGACACTCTGACACTCTTATTGGTGCAAGCATATCCCAATTCTGTTATCTGACTGGTGCAAGGTACCCTAATGCCGTGAACTAATTAGTGCAAGATACATAACCTTATGCAGCGATCTGACTGGTACTAGCAACATACCACTCCATACACTAAGATTGTTATTTTGCTTTTGAAAAAAATTTTTCCAAATAACTCAGCAATAAAGTATTTTTTTAAGCATTTTTTTAAACTCACACCCAGACGATCAGACTATATGACCAAACGAGACTGTAACTGTATGACTTTATATGAAATTTTATGAACAGCACAATATTTATTTTTTTTCTTAAGAGGCTGGTTATGGTGGGTGGAATAGGCAGCTACGACCAAGAAAGTAGCCATACAAAACCTTGCAAACGAAAATCTTGACACGCAGTAGTAAGGGCTCCTCTAAGCAGCAATGTTGTAGATAGCACCCAAATTTTGTCAGTACGCATCACTCCCATATTTTGCGTTAATAGAGAATGGTGTGTAATGTCTCAGATCTCCCAGATAGCTTTTTGAGCCTTTGTGAGTTTACCTCTGACAAAGCCACAGCTTTCTCGTCAAGCTGCAGATCGACGTGGCCTACATCATCACTTCCCTTCTAAACAAAGATCATAATAAAATTAACTAATCATAGTAACCAGTTCTTTTGGCCGAGCATTGGAAAACTCGTCCCAGGGAACATCATGGCCCAAAACTGCTGCGTTCAACTATGATACCGAAATGGCCGCTACGTTTGGTTCAATCCAAATTTGCGTTAATGTGTTGCATAACTGAGCCATTTATGCGATCAATGGCTGAAGGAAGCAGTGTGCATTCAGATGGAATCAAAGAAGTCCATCAGGTACCGATGAATGTCATCAATCGACCAATACCTTCTGTGCTTGAAGAAGAAAAAGTGCAGTCTCTAATGAAAACAATCCAGGTAAGAGTGTTTTAATTTATAGCCTGGAAAGTTCAGATTTTCTCTCGATACCTTTCCTATGCTTCTATTAAAAGCATTTCTTAATCTAAAGTAGTGCTGGAGATGTTTTGCCCCTCAAACGTACAGTACAATAATTGTTTGAAATCATCAAAGAATATGACAAAAAAATTTTGTCAAGCCTAACACCAGTTTAGGTTGGTATCTTGGGAGTCTTCAGACGGAATATCAACTAGTTTATGTAACTTTATGTATTGATTTGTTCAAAGAAGGCACATTATCACTAAAACGTTGTAGATTTTCTTTTTGCTTCCAAAGTTTTCCCAACAATTTAAATTTCAAGTTATGTCTACACTTTGAAAAATTTCAAATGCTGACACAAATAGAATCACAGAAGTTTCCTGAAGAGTCTCAGGAGACTCTCAGGAAAAACATATTTTGTGGGTAACTATCTAACAGTTATCTGTGACAGACCTGTTTTCTCCCAACCTTAAAGAGTGATTGAGAGATTCAAGGGATTTGAAATGTCCATCAACATCGGTTTGTGAAAGGAAAACTTCCAAGTAAAGGAACATTTTCCGGCAGATGTAAGATAAGATGTCCTATCTGATGGTTGTTTATAAAATTCAAGTTGCTGTTTTATTCCTCCAGAGGGTTTTCTCACAGCACTAAATGATAAATGTAAACGAGACCCCCATCGTTCAATTGATGGATAACACTGTCCACTGGACAAATCTCTATCTGGTGGATAGTACAGTGTGTTTTGAATGGTGTCTGACATGTAAAATACAGTAATTCTGAAATTATATTAAAACTGACCACAAGGTTGATGGGAAATTTTTGCTCTGACCCCTTCATTCCATAACATTGGCAATAAATTGTCTCTTCAACTTTAGGATGAGAATGCAAGATATTCTGTACCTCCAATTGATGTGTTATGGATCAAAGGAAGATTAGGTGGCGACTATTTCTACTCCTTTGGGGGATGCCATAGGTTTGAAGCTTACAAAAGACTTAATAAGAACACAATTCCCTGCAAGCTAGTTAAATCAACAGTTGAAGGCCTTAAGGTTTATTTAGGATCTTCTTTGCCAGACCTGAAATAAGAATCAGTCTGTAGTGTGTTTTTGTGAACATGTGTGACTCCACAATTCTCAGTCATCTACAATAATAGGGCTGGCAAATAGTGAAATGTGACATCCTAGTTTGAATATTTACCCTTAAATCTTAATCACACTTCAGTAGAAAATAAAATTATGTACATGAAAGGCATATAGTCATAAACTGTATAGAAATGGTATTTTCAAAATTGTACATATTATTAAGAATTGTCTTATAATTGAATGACAATATTTCATTATTCTCAGTTATCGCTCTATTCTTTAATTTTCTCTAAAACACTCCATACTCTTACTCCTGACCAGACATGATACACAGGTCCAGTTGGTTTGGTTGAGCACAGACTCTTTTTCTCCTTCCTTTAATCCCTTCGACTCCCAGAGGTGATTATCATATAACTACTCCTTATAATATCAATACATTATACAGCAAACAGGTAGTGAGAATACGCAAACTCATCAGGTACAATTTGTAACCTTGATTGAACACCAAGTTCTCGTAATCAATTTACTAGGAAATGTGTTGAAGCTAGAGGGGAGGATTGACAATCAGATCTTGGGAGTTAAAGGGCCAGTCCCTTTAAATAACCCGTCCCACCACCTCTGAATTCATTGTAATGCAAGGGATATTAATTTGAGAAATTAAATGGATTGGGTATGCTTACAGGTATTTGTTTTCACAATCATTGAGTGTGTCTATAGGGAAAGGGACTGATTAATTACAGTGTTCGCACATGTAGAACTTGTGTATGTTTTTCTGTCCACTCTCTCATGACTCCACCACTCAAGAATATTCTGATGTCTTGTGTACACTGGCCAGTTTCTCTTATATTTCTTTGCTCTTTGGCTGGAATTTGCTCCTGTGACAAATACAAGCCACAGGTTGGGTTCAACTATATGTTGCTACATATTTTTGAGTCTCTTGCCTGCAGATCAGATTGACTTATTTTGGACATATCATTCCTGTCTCAAGTCTGGAGAATAACTTGGTCATTCATTCAGGAAAAAATTTTGGCATTCTTATTACTTATATTAGCATTTTCTTATTTCTTTGTAAATAAATGTGCATGTTCTGCAATCCTCTCTAGTTTATTGTGCTTGAAGTTGTCAGATTGTCCTTGAAAAATCTGTGGAAAAAGTCTTTCCATGAGCCACATATCATGGGGAAAGAGATCCCATACATTACTCTTACAAATAGGGTTGGAATAGTTTATTTCTATTTGTGGGTTGGTAAACTGTCCAAATTAACGAAGCCTTACATATGAGCTCCAAGAAGAACCTCCAGGTCCCAGGTGATGAACTTCCTTGTTACAAAAGTGTTCTGAGAGGTAGGATGTGGTATTTAGGTGGAAACTTTACTTTGATGTGAATTGTAGAGTGGCAACATAACCAATTGGACAGTTTTAACCCGTTAATACCCAAGATCTCATTAGTGATTCTCCTTACTATCTGCCACATAGTTCTTGTTAATTTAGAGAATTTGGTATTGGATCAACTAATAATCCCCTAATTAATATTTTTCTGTATTCTCATCACTCGTCTGCTTGATATTGTAAAGAGAAATTCTGTCTTGGTCACTCATGAGAGTTAAAGAATTAAACAGCAAAATGTATATATTCAAGTGACAAATAATTTTTACAATGAAATTAGGGGTTGAAGTCTGTCCAAATGAAATTGTAAAATGTGGTGATAATCATAATTTACCAAAGAAAATCTTGCTCATGAAGCAGGTAGGTAAAACTACTAGTATGTTTGGTGTCAACAGTTTACAATATTACTGATAATTGCATAAAGTATTAGCCACTGGCCATTGGATTTCTCAGGTCACAATTCAAGGAATTTTTTTTCTGTGGCTGGGATATGTGTTTGAAGTAAATCAATATCAATCCAAAGTTTTGTAAAGTAAAGGTAGCTACTTTGAAAACTTTTTTTTTTTTTTCTTAAAGGATACAATGAAATTTTGAGGAGTGTAGGAATTTTCAAAAGGCACAAAAGTGAGATTTTTAACACATGGAGACCCTTACAAAGTTCACAATAGGAGTACTAGTACACAAAGATTCCAATTTTTTTTAAAACAATACTACTAGAATCTTTAATCACAAACCTCTTTATTTTTCCTTTTTATATACAAAATGCTTGAACAGTTCACTTGATATAATAAACTCTGTTCTCCCTGTGTTCTTGCTCTTGCTGCTTATGTCAGCTCCACACAAGCCTCTTCTGCAAAATGTACTGTGAAAGCAAAATTATGTTTACTTTATAAAAGGTAAGGAAATCAAATACTACATAGAGTTTATTGGACAACAGCTTCTTCTATGTGCATTTGCCATTTGTCAGATGTTTCTTGTTTTATACAATAATTTAATCTTTTTCTTGTCTAACTGTAAAGTAGATTCCATTTTCTAGACAGCTTCTTCAACTCTCTTTCTTTGGGGTGGGTTTCTTGCTCTTAATCATCACCACAGCGACAAATACTCCTAAAAAAATAAAAATTATCATAAGTAGGTGAAACTTGTAAATATACATCATCATGATATTCTGTCACATAATTTTCTAATCTCACATAGAACAAGGTTCAAGTCAACAAAAGAATTAGTGAAACTTGTTTGCCAATTCAAATGCAGCTGGAGATGTTACAAGAAATATTATTCTGAAAATCTGAACAAAACAACATTGAAGAAAAGGGCAGTCCCAGATTTGCTTCAAGTTGGTTGCTCATCCAACCATGGAATTTCTATCTTAAAATTTAGTAACAGTAAAAAAAACCCTGATCCACTGCTGTATGGATAATTTTTGCTGCTTCTCTCATTCAGAGGTCCTCTTACTCTGTTCTAAAAAATTGATGTATTTGTGGAAGGGGTATAAAAAAAAGAGCAGTTACCTATTACTCCTAACAAAAGCACACCGGCAATGACTGGAATTATAACAGCATATATTCTGGGTAGAAATAATCTCTGAATTGGATGGCCTTTCTCCACAAATGGCTAGAAAGAAAATGCATGAGTACATGAAGTCTGCAGAATACTCTGTTATTGCATGTAAAAGGGGTTTGTAATTTAAAATCTCAAAACTATTAACCAAAATACAACTTTTCTATGACACAAGCACGCATTTTAAATGCAATTTGCGATTCAGTGCATTAAAAAAAATTACCTTTACTTCTCCCTTAACAATCAACCCCAGACTGCAACTCTAGCAAACAGAGACAACCATGACAACGAGAGTCACGTAAAAAAAATGTGAAAAGATTCACAAAGACATCCTTCGTGGCTATTTCAGGTTAAAACTGATCAGAATCCGGTAGAATTAAATATTTTTAGTACTAGTAGAAGATTTCATGTGAGTAAATAAAACCAGAGGGCAATCCTAATGACTGTTCCGATCATTGGGGTACAAGAGAACATACACCGCCATGGTACTTACCAGTAAGACAACCCATATCGTGTAATACACAAAAATTACAGCACTGACTAACATCATCCCATACCCAGCCGCACGATCCGTTCCTGTAGCCTAGAATTCAAATAGTAAAGTCAGGCGAGCTTTCATATCTATGTGGCACGAGACCAGAGGTGTACCCATTCTCGTGCACTGAAACAATCGAAGCCTTCAGAGCTCGAGAAAAACGAGTAGTTGAGGTACAATTTCAGCGGATGACGCACCAAGACCATATTGAACCCTCAAACACAAAACTTACCATTTTATAAAGGAAAAATAACGCTAAACTATCGAGTTGAACTAAAAGCAGACAGAAAACGCTGTGAGAAGTTGAATCTTCAAAACAGTTGGTCAGCGGAGTAATAACCGGAAGTTGAGTTGCAGACAAGGAAACAAAGTTCACTTAGCTAACTTTTGTGAAAATGTCAAAGTTAACAAAGGGATTGTAAAAATTGTCAACAAAATAATAATAAATGCGAACAAGAATATTCCCGTCGCATGAGAAAGGTAGTCGTGTCCTTTACCAGGGAAGAAACCATGCTTTTATCTCTTACAACTCACAATCTCGTGTTAGCCGCGGTAACAGTAACGGATCCTTATCGAAGAAATTTAAAGTTGTTCCTAGATTACGGAACCGATTGTTTTCAAAATGAAGCTGTTGATTCTTTGCCTTTTGGTGTTCACCTCTGCGGGCTTCGTTTTCGGTGACGAAGAAGAAAGCAAGCCGAATTTTATCGACTTGGATGAGAACGATGATCAAGTCTACGAGGATTCACCAGAAGACTTCGTCGAGGACGAAGGAGACGACGTAAGTAAATATCAGGACGCAGCTAAGTCCGACGTTAAATGAGATCTGTTATATTTTATTAAATTTTTTATCTCAACTTTAAAATCTATTGTCGAGGATATCATCGAATTTTAACTGTATCATGGGTTTCGCGTCAAGTTATTGAGAAGAATAGACCAAAATACACTATGATTCCGTCAAATATTCCACTTTCGCGCAATGATCATTATTTCATTTGATAACTCTGAAAATTTGAGTTCATCGCGATCTAAATGCCATAGTTACCTGAAATATTTATTTCCCAGGAGTTGATTCCTTTGTGGAGAGATTTTTCATTCGTACAAACGAAAATTAAGTGCCTCCTACTCTCGCTCATTAAAAAATGCCGTATGGCTTGTCTATTTACAAATGGTTGAATTCTAATTTAAGAGAGAGAGCCAAAAATAATTCCGGTAACTTACGTGTGAATGGATCAATTGCGAGATTCAGCGCAAATTTTCTACCAACTTTCGCGGCATTAATGGAGAAACCGTCTAGAATGAGCTCTTGAACCAAAATATTTGAAAAAGACGAGGGTAAATGGTTACAGATCTCATTATCTTGAAAATAATTTCGTGCCTTTTTTACTTCTTCTCAAGCAGTATATGTTGGATGAGGAAGACCTTGATGAGGTAAGTAAAAACTACAGATCTGACCAACATCACACAAGTCCCTCAGACTCATTAATTTCTTTCAATAAAAGAGAACGTCACTTCAAAAAGCTTCGCCTTCGACAAATTAACTCATCCCGCAACCGTTTCAGTGCTAATAAAGTACTCTCCCATTCCGTGAAATGGTAAAAATCACCAAAAGAAATAACGAACATCCTAAATAGTATCCGAAATCTCTGTTGCTGATTATGCTATTGGTAAAAAACTAATATTTCTCGAGTCGGCGCCAGTGATTTGCAAGCCATTCTAGATTCAGTGAAAAAACTAATTTTTCAACAGGAAGATGACAGTGAACCCAAAGATCCTGATGGCTTTAAGGCAATTATCATCTTTTTTGTTCTTCTTCCAGTTGGATACCAAAGCTTTTCATGTCTGATTTCACAAACTGTTTTGTCTGTTTTAAATGTAGGACGATGAAAACGACCCAAATTCAACAAAACCTAGAGGAGGAAAACCCGTCAAAGTAAGTACAACTGTAGTTCCGATATATTTTAGAATGTTTCGTCTAATCTTCAAAAATCATTTTAAGTTTTTTACGATTTCCACGATAATTCTGATTGTATGAATTTCAAAAAACTCTTGGAGGAACGAGAAACGAGAAAAGAAGATGAACTATCTACAACAGCTGCCCACGTCCCCCCATCAATGGACATAACGAGTTTTAACTTGCTTGGGACATCTGTTACGTCATCGACGATAAAATGTCCACGTTCATCTACTGGATTGGTTAACGGGGATATCACGTGATAACAACCTTGAATTCTTCTATCACGAATAGGGACATCCATGAATATAACTCTGAAAAATATTTGTTTTTTTAAAAAATCTTGATCGACGATTTACCCTCATACCTTACAGTTCATGCTCAACAATCTTCTGTTTACGTAAAAAGATGGGTAATAACGAATGTGGAAATAATTGGCTTTATAGATCAGTGAAATAAAAAAACCAGGAGTTGAGGAAGCAAGCAGCGGCATGCCGGAGCCGACAGACAAAGAGGAAAACCAGAATACGAAGAGAAAGGAAGTAAGTGCGGAATGAATCTTTCTCTTCAATCGTGTCGCTCTTACCAAAAAATCCTTTAGTGTGTCAAAGTTTCCAATATGAAAAAAATACGGAAGAAATTATATGAGCGTACACTTCATTTTAATAAGACGGGGACCGACATATGAATTGTCTTACAAAACCGCTAAGATGAATATACAGAATGAAAATTAACCCTTAATTCAACCCTCAGACGTGGTTCGCATCTCATCTCTCTACAATAACGAAAATTGATCAGTTGGAGTCGGGTTTTCTTCTTATCATAACATCACAGTATCTAATTTACAGATCAATTTGAAGCCGCGACAAGTTAAAATTTAAAATCAAATCTTGAGAGTTAAAAATTCCAGCCACAGGTACTAACTAACTTGCCAGTGCTATACTAAAAACAATTTAACATGAAATTTCCATGTACCCAAGGTTTTACACTTCCTGCCAACAATTTTCTTTAACAGGACGGGAATCTGCAAGACGCTTTGGTGGATAAGCTAGGATTGAATTTCGCAGGAGAGTCGGACGATCCAGACTTCGTCACCAAGAAATAAACTCCAAATAATCTAAACTACCAGTGATGATGCCACTGGCGAGAGGCGTAACTTAAGCTTTCATGGTGCACAGTTATACGTTTTATTTTGGGCAATCTTAAAGGGGAACATTTTTGATGAAATAACTAAGTTTTTTTGTGGTTTAATTTTAATACAGTTTGGCTTTTATCAGACAAACATTTATATTCATATTTTTTGTTTCATTTACTACAAAAATTAACTTGTCAATCGATTTTCAAATTTCAAACTTTATTAAAGAGTAATGCGCCTCTACGCAAAGTGTGTTCTAAGTTTTGTTTGATATCTTTAATCTTCCAAAAAAGTTAAAAGGAAGAGATAGCCATTGGCACTCTCACTTTTGCAACCAAGGAAGGGAACTCAGATTGGTGCAAACATCTTGAAACAGTGTCAGGCAACTTTTGTAACATGAAGAATTTCTACTGCAGCCCGATAATGAAGAGCCAGCAAAAAGTCTACGACAATTTCCCCAGTAAAAATGTTTTACTTTTCTCTCCTGGATATTGTCTCGCCGTGAAAAACGCGCTTGTTTTCTTCCTTTTTCTTTTTCTTTTTTTTTCTTTTCGTAACAAAAGTGCAAGTGAGCAGCCATGTAACTCGAATCTCATTTTTTTCGTACTCAAGCTTCGTTCTCCGATCATCGCTTTCGTCAGTTCACCACAAAGATCTAGTGGTCTTGAGCAAAAGTAAATTTGAAGGCTAATTCCATCTTCCGGGCGCGTTTTTCAAAACGGGCTTCCTTTGATATTCGTGAGTTTTACCCCCACCCACCCCGTGCAATGTTGAGTAACTGATTTCATGTCACAAAAGTCTGCAATCCTGTGTCGTCCTGCGCTTAAATAAAATGGAGGTCCTATGAGTATAAACCAGACATTTTCATGAATTTTTGACGCAATTCGTCTGAGATAGTCGCTAAAAGTTTAAAATAGTATTTCTTGGCCTTAAAACTTCGTGAACTGGAAAAAGTTTTGACTATTTGGGTACAGAAGTCTATGAAACATAGAAAATGATCGCTTATCGTTTTTGTTCCTCGTCGCCTTAGCTACTGAGAAAGTAATGTGTGAAAAATTGTGTGCGAGAGAATGGAAAAGAAACGACAGGAAATGATGAAATCTTATTCAAAATTGGTACTCCACAGAAGGGGTAGGCTCGATTACTAGCCGCTCTAAGGGAATATGAGCCCATGCTCCTCTCCCCCCCGAACTCTTCTCGAGGAGGAGTGAAGACCGGACACGAGAGAGCTGCGGAAATCGAGCCTTCCAAAAGGGTAACCGTCACTGTTTAAGTCAATTTAGCTGCTATGGTCACTAATAGAACAATTGTTAGGCAAAGCTTGAAGCATATGATGCAAAATCTGAGAGACTTGTAATGGACTTTGAAAATTAGAGGGATATCATGTGTGATCAGCAGTTTTGATAGGGTGCAGTAAGACCACCACAGACCACCCTCAGTATTCCGCTGGGATTGGTCTCCTGGCTTGAATTATCTTTATCTATTATCAATGATGTGCCCCATTACAAAACATAAGTTTGGCCGGAACACAAAAAACAAAAAAAAGGCGACAATTAATCACCTAGGAACAATGATAGCTTTGGATAGAAAAGATTGACAGGATTAAATAGAAATGACAAACTTAAAAAATTCCAGTTACGTTTTTCAAAATGCAACGAGAGTGCTTTAGATGTACTGTCCCTTTATTCCTATTACTGACCAAAATGGCATTTATTTCTCCTCATCGATATTCACATATTTTCAATCAGAAAGGTGACAGGAGGATAGAAAAATATCGGGGGGATATTGTTCGATCTAACACCAAATTCTCAGAGCTATCATAATACGAAATGTATGAAAGACAGTGCGGAGAATTGACAGTTTGATCTGGGGAGTGAAAGTGTTAAATTACAGTGACACTCCTCGGTTGTACACTCCTCGGTCGCACACTGAACTCTATCTGACTTTCAAATGATGAGTTCTTTGTGGTAGGTGGAATCTCAAACGAAAAGTCTTCCTCAGCAAATGTCACGGTCCTTCTCCAGTCTTCGAAAGAGTCGGAAGAATCATCATCTGAGATCTGAAGCTTTTCTGAGGTCAAAAGTTTCTCGATTTTGACTTTTTCTTGGACGCTGTTGAACTTGGAGCCTATGATTGGCAACAGAGGGGTGATGATGATCACTCCAAATACCACACACAAGGCACTATTTATTTTGCCAGCTGAAATAAAAGTTTCAAAAAATAATTCAGGGTAAATTTGGTTAGAAATTCGTCTGTCTGAAGCAGAGGAATGAAAGAAAATGAAGATGATAATTTTAATTCTATTTTAGATCGATAGAGATTATCACCCTTTGAGTAATAGACAAGGTGCTGACAAGGAGAATTTGTTTAATAATCAAGAGTTTTTCTGAGCTGGTGCCGGACCATTTTCTTTATTCTCATGACCTTAATGTGTGATTCAGGGGTGATATTGTGAGGAGAAATTCGATACTAGTCATTCTTAGTGGTTAAAGCGTTATGGCTGTTAGCGATGTTCTCCTGCTGTTATCTATTTTGTATCAGGGGCTCGTCGCTGGTGAAGATAAAGGAGACAGATAGAGTACATGCATAAGTAGCATCCCTGTATTAATAGAGAGAGATACAAGCTAGAGTACCATAAACCTCAAATTTGTACAACGTAGCAAAGACGTACCTAGCTACTTAACTTATTTAAACCTACCAAGAGTTACAGGAACCATATCTCCATATCCCACACTGGTCAGTGTTATTATGGCCCACCAAAACGCCGCGGGAATGCTCACAAAATCAGTCCCTTCATGTTCCTGCTCGAAATAGTAACAGGTGCTTGCAAACACAATCGTAGTCATCAGAATAAGAAAGTAGAGCAACAGGAAATCCTTGACGCATTCTCGAATTGTTTTAACAAAGATCTGCACGGAGGAACTGTAGCGATATATTTTCGCGAGTCTCAAGAGACGCACGAGACGCAAAACCCTCAGAGTATACGCGGATTGTGTTGCGCTAACAGAATGCCAAGACATAACGAGAGAGAGGTAGAAAGGTAAAACTGAGAGGAGGTCGAAAAGGTTGAGAAGATTCCAGAAGAAACGCCGTTTTTCAGCGGAGGCTAGAAAGCGGATTATCAGCTCTAGTGAAAAACAGGCAACGCAAAATGTCTCGATGACAAACAAAGTCCGAAGTTTATTAGATAAACTTTGACTTTCATGTATCACCGTGGGAATGTCTCCTGTAATATTGGTCGGTTTTTTTCCATTTGTTTGTTTCCGAATGTGTGCTGAAACACCGCCATTTGCTTCATCAAAGTCAGGGAGAGTTTCAATGCACAACATGATGATAGACAAAATAATCACCAGAAGCATAAACACGTTGATAAGTCGGGCAGTAATGCTAGAGCTTGGATTTTCAAAGAATTCCCACATCATTCTTTGATACTTGTTGGCTGGAAGAATTACCTTAGAGGGGCCTACAGACAGTGAAACATTTCCCGGCAGCGAAAGATATTGTAATAGACCAAAAAACTGCAATTCCTTCATAAGTAGGTCGTCCGGAATATGTTCAGGACGGAAAAACTCTCCAGCAGTTTGGTAAAAATGATAGACGCTTTCAAACGCCATTCGATTCCTATCGAAGAAATACTCGTCCCTTTCGGCGTCGTAAAATTCTTCTCTTCGGGCAGAGCGGGCGAGCAGACTCTTAGGGAACCTAAACAACCGACTGTAAGTCAATTCATACTTCTTTCCACTCACGTTTATCTTGATTCTTTCGACGCACTTTCCTGGGATCGCGACAGAACTTATGCGCGGTCGTCGGTAACGCGTGACGTCTCCAAGTCTGTGTCCCAAACGAGGAGTTTTAATTCTTGAGTCCGACCAAGACTTTCTGCTGGCGCCTACCGGCGGCAGAATCATGAAGTCAGCTGTTTATGAACCTACTGCAAAATCCGATAGAATTCGGCATGTCAAAGGCACGTGACAATAACAGAACTACAAACTGCATTTGCGAATCACTACTTTCCTCTATCAATTCTGGCTCGCCAAACAAGTCCTGCTCCGATCTGAGAGTATAATCAGCGAGTATGCCGACTAATGAGTTACAACTTTTCCCAATCTTTAGACATGAGGTGAAGGCCGAACCAGATAGTTCAGATAATTTATCATTATCTTCAGTCAGCAAATTTATTCAGAGCGACAACTATAGATTTGCTTTTTAATGGCATCGCGTTTTGATAAACTCCCGCAGTCATGTATCAGTAGATTACACTTAAGGCTGACGCTGTTAACACAGTAAGACTCTTGATTTTGACAACATAAAACCAAAATTATTGATGTTAAGTTTACTTTTATTGAGGTGCGGGAGCATGATGTTAACGAGGTCGTTTATAATTGCATAACTCAGATCTAAGGTCCAGACATCTGCCCCACGATTTTGTTTTTGATAAAGTGAACTTTAAGCATATGAGATAAGACTAAAGATAGTGCCGCGCAAGGGAAACATCTTTTGAGTGTCAATTTAATCAGTAATTCAGGATCAGCGAGGCGTTTCATTCGAGGCCTACAGAACAGGTGTTCAGTCAAACGGAGGCAAGCGCGAGGCGACCACGAAGTAAGAGTTACGCACGAGGGGAGGAGTGCAAAAAAATATTGATTATTTATTAATTTTTTTTTTTTTTTCGAACTCCTCCCCTTGCGCCTGACTCGCGCTTCGTGCTCGCTTGGCGCTTGTCTCCGTTCGCTTGAATGTCGCATGTTCGTATGTAGGCTTGACTTCTGCTGTTCGTGGAGCGCGGGCTCATTTTCTGAACATTGGCTCACCTCTCACCGCTACGGCTTGGATTCTATTACCGAACCTTGCTGACGTGCAGTGCTTTTTTTCTACACTTCTTTCAGTAGAGCATTCTGCTGTCGTAATTTTCAAGGTTGAGTCGACGGACATGACGGATCATATCGAAGAACATGCATCAACAGTACTATATACTTGACTATCTGACCACAAGTAACTACCGCTTTCATGATCTTCAGTTTTGTGAGATTTCACGAGAGTTTCTTGGGAATTAAGTTATTTGAGAGAAACTTCAATATCGGTTCCAGTTGGCTTTTCGCATTGTCTGATGTGACTAAAACAAGGTGCTGATTGGTTTGTGTAAATTGTGATTTTTTTATACCTAACGATGAAATTGAGCTCAAGTTTTATAAGAGCGAGATGATACAGTGATGCGCAAAAAGGACCTAAGGGCCTGTTAACATGGAGGTGGGTAACCCCAGGTAGGTGCATGAGGTAATAACCCGCCTAGCCTTGGTCGAAAAATAGCTTGCGTTTAATTTACACACAATCTTACAACCCCGGGATCTATGGGTGAGGTTGTTAGTTCGCTTGCAAATGTAACATGAGTGCGACCCTGGCCAGACGGGTTACCCCACCTTGAAACGTTTACACGGCAATTTGCGACCCCGACTGACAGGGTTGCCCTTCCCTGCAGAATGGGCAACCCGCCTGAGCAGGCTACCCACCTATCATGTTAATGTGATCTAGATGAAATAAGAGATTATACGGACGGGCGGGTTACCTCATGATCACCCACCAGGGTTCCCTGCCTTCATGTTAACAACCCTTAAAAAAGCCTTCCAAAAAGCGCAGATGTCGCTGTTGGGAGGAGCTCAAGTTTTCTTGCTGACGACAAGGTTCTAAAAATAAAAACCTTCATTAAAAAAAATGCAGACGTCGTGTAGATATATCTAGTTTTGATGACAACATCATTGTATGCCCAGATGTAAAATGAAAAAAAGTATCCAAAAAAACACGCGGTGATAATAACTTGTTAAAGAAGCTGGAGAGGTCATGGGTTCAAATCCCGTACAGGCCTTGTTTTTAGTATTGCTTAAGTAGTGTTCATCTCCGCGAAGATCGCTTTCATATTCAATTCTTTCTTCTTATGCTGGCTCTGTAGTGGCAAACTGTTAAAAAAGAAACATAATTCCAGACAAAGTCGGTGTGTTTCGCTTCTTGTAGTTTGTGGTTAACACACTTTATAAGACTTTTAACACACACGGTAGGATATAGGTTCGTCACACGCGAAGGGCCTAGTCCGTGCAAATAGTCGCGTCGCATATATCCTGCAGTGGACTAGTTCCTGAAACCAGACCCTGCTATGTACCAGTCCCCTCGTGTGTGCCGACCTTTATGCTGTGTAATGTTAATTACGGTTACCTGCCTGAAGTGGACATGGTATTAAAACTGTACAGATTCCCTATGTAATCTAAACTCTATGATAAAAACCTCTTGTAATGCCCCATTTCTACTGGCTTTGGGTCTCAAAGGGCTCTGTTTTAGTAATAAATGTGGATGTTGAAAGAGGGGGCCGTAAACGGAAATGTACACAGCGTACGTGGCATTTGTAAAAGATCTTAAGAGAAATAAAAGCGATGTTGTTAAAACTACGGGCCTTTTTTTTATCTCATGTCTGGATTATCAATATTACATTGGCTGGCCAATACAATATGACAAAATCGGAAATTTAGCTGGTGTTCGCTTATACGGGGTCCTTTCACAGGCCAGCTACAACAGTAGAAGGCCTGAATGTATGAAAGTCCTTAATACAATCCAATGCAATCGTTTGTCTCTGCCAATGCATTGTTGTTATAGTAGACATCCACATTGAGATGTTTTAACATCTGGATTGATTGGCTGAAGCGTCTCATGGTAAAGTTAGGCCTGTGTGTGAGGCCTTTATGTAGCGACTGTCCTAAATGTACTAAAGTCCTAAATGTAATAACATTTACTCTTAATCCGCGACAACTGTCACTTTTTAAAGTGACAGTACTAGTTGTCGCACTTAAGAATCCTTTGGCCAAAATCCTTTTAATTTACCTATACTGTCGATTAGTCAGTTGTCACTTTTATATCTCAATGCGGATGCGGATTAAGAGTAAATGTTATAACATTTAGGACTTTAGTACATTTAGGACAGTCACTACATAAAGGCCTCACACACAGGCCTAACTGTTAGTCTATTTACCTTGAGACACTTCAGCCAATCTGGAAGTGACACAGTGATTTACAGAGTGAAGACTGGTACCAATATTATGTCAGTATTAATATTTAGTACGTGACTATCTGCGCATCATCGGTTGATATAGCGTCTGAGCTGTTGGTGTTCTCTTGTCTTGGTCTTTTGATAAAAGTTTTTTGAGAAACGATTTAAACCTTAATATGGGTCATAATCACATGCATGGTAATAATATGCATTCTGGAATGAACATGTCTACAACGCCGCCGATGACTCATGGCGGGCACGGAGGCACTGTCCACCATATGATGCAGGTTTGCATTGGTTGTTTAGTTAGTTTTCTTTACTATTTCATTTTGAAAACGGCATCATTTCAGTCAGAAATTTGCCATTGCTCTCATTTTTAAAGGGCGATCTTGAGGAAAGACTCGTCTTCCCCCGTCGAGTAAAATGACCAAAGAGGAGTAGTGAGGCATATCGTTTATCATCCCGTGACTCTGGTTCAATTTACTTCGATTTCCTTTCATTCCGTCGAAATCTCAAGGAGTAAGGTTATGTCTACAAACATGAGCTATTCGTCCACGATCGTTCAACAAAGTTTATTTCCCATTACTTATACGATTACCATTCACTTGATGTACTTTTTCCTCGTAATAAAATCCCTCTTGACGAGCTTTTGGTTCGATCTCGCCACGGATGTTATACCAACGATCAAACGTTTTGATTGCCGCAATTGCACATGCTAAACAGATTTTATTGAAAGCTCAAAACATGTTTTGGTTTGAGAGTTTGAATGCTCATCGTTTGTCTCTTTTTTTGGCTTTTGAGATCGTAAGAAATTGTTTGAACTTACTTAAACGAGGCAGACTTGACGTTGTGCTTTTTCGGGTAATATTATTATTTTACTTCGGTTTAAACGTAATATTTAGTGGCTTGTAAATCTAAGTTAAGAGATGTTTCATTTACCCATGAGCTAAACTTTTATTAAGGAGTATAGAAAAAATGGTTTTGAGAAAGAAATCGGGGTTCTGGTATTCATCATTTCAATAACATGCCTATGTTTATCATGACGACAAATTTACATCTGTTAACTAATGACGTATTGATCCATACGCCCTCTTCTTTGTTCTTAGAATTGTTTTTTTTGCCACATTTTTCTAAAGGTTTCCTGTGAGACTATGTTAGCTTTACACATCTGTTTAAACACCTCTTTTTATGTCTTGGGAACTTAGCCTGATGTAAAATCCACACAATGTGCCAGTTTACAAATATAACAGACTTGTAACAAATTTCAGAATCTGACATTTGTTGTCTTTGTTTGGTAAGCTTGACACCAAGGAGACAACAGCCTTCATGGATATTTACATTTGACAATATTGGACCCATTTCAAGCACTAGGGTTCTCACACCATGATATTACAACTTTTGTAGTCAACCTTAATTAACTTTTTATCTATTCCACACAACATTTGTGTTTCTTTTTAAAACTACTTGGTGAGGATGTGTTTGGTAACTCCCCTAATTATTAAGAAAGTTTTGCCTTTTGTGTATTGGTAGTAAATGTTAATTTAGTTATAATGTTTTTTACCCGAGGGAAGAAATTTTTGCTTCAGCTCCGACAAGTTGTTGGTAATGATTTGTTATCATGGTGTTCCCTTTTAATAAAATTCTACTTGGATCAAATGGCATCCATCCAACTTTCTATCACAATTGGGCAAATTGTAAGAAATTGCATTGTCAAAATTGTTATAGATATGTAGAAAGTATCTAAGCAAGTTATATAATTTCAACTCTGTTTTGGTTGCCTAAAATGTAGCTTCTGATCCAATGATTTTGCCAGTGCAAAATTGAATTCCAGTGGCAATCTTACTTGTGGGTAGTTTCATATGTGTTTTTCTTCTGCTGCATAATGATGGAAAAGATGAATCCTTAACATGGAATAATTTCTTTGTCCTTCAATTTTACACATCCTCCATTTGGAGATGTAATTTGAATATATTTGGGCAACATGCCAAATTTTATTCATAATTTGGCATCATAAAACCAAATTCAGGGAAAAGAGACTAAAAAAATAAACCATATGTTTCACCATTACTTAGACTGAAAAAAAATATAAATGGTTGGAACTTGTTCTCCCACTTTGGGCATATCATAATTTGAATTTGCTTGCAAGCACTTGTAACGGAAGGTCTGATGTGCAGAGATTTTGTCATAAAACAGGTAAAAATTTGCTTGTGTCCTCTAATTCTTGTGGTATGTTCCATAAATAAGCATTAACAAATGAAATCAGGGTTGCAAGGATCAGAAAAAAACTAAATAGAAAATTGAAACAACTAATTCTTTCTCAAGGTTCTCTCAAAAAATGCTTGTCACTCCAACCAAAAATGTGTAATTGTGCTTTGGTCCAATACTTGTCAAAAGACAGATTTATTTAATGTGTTATGATAACTGTGTAGGTTGCAAGTGTCAGTTTTGCTTTAATATTAATTGTGAAAGATAAAAATAATATGATAATTCTTGTAACTTGAGAATGGAAGTTTCTTATCCAAAAAACATTTCATTATAAAACTAAATAAATCAGGCCAATTCATGCAAAGCAAGTATGGTGTGAAAAAATGGAAAGAGAAATTTTGCTCATGAAATTTTATATTAGGGAAATTAAGAAATGCAGTAAGGACAATTTGTTTCTTTTGCCACATTAAATATTTGATATGTGGTGGTAATTACTGACAGCAGGTAATATAATGTAACACTTGGCTGCTGATGACTGCATTTTTACCATCTTGGCCAATACCCTGGGCTGTATGTTACACTGTGAGGTGTTTACAGGTTTTAGTTTTTCCTTTAAACTTGATTGCTAAAAGGTATTCCAGGATGGGAAAGGTGATCAAAAGTTTTCTTCACTATTTTTCAAATCAGTTGACCATATCCATTACATGATATTTACTTTGAGAAAATCCTGGCATCAGATTTCCAGGCTCAGAGGATGTTAAGTGTGGACCTTCACAAATTTCCTTAGCAGGACTGCAGTTATTGTATAAACTGTAATGGGTGACTTGTCTTAAAAAATAATCTAAATCTTACTATATTGTCTTTCATTTTTGTGTCTAGCCATTTTTAACTTTCCTCTTGTAGAGAACATTCCAGCATGCAGTTTATGGCTTTAAATTGCATCGATATACAAAATTGAAAATGTACGATCATTTTTAAATCTTGATATGTTACAGAAAATTTATGTATAATTCACAGTAATTGTTTCTTTGGATTAAAATTCTTACACAAATTTGAACACAGGACTCTCTAGAGAATCTTCTTTACCATATTTAATTGTCACAGAGAAGTACATGCTGCATTATTCTTTTCATCTATGTGAGACTGTCAAACCTGCACAGCTAAAAACTTAGCCTTATATATAATCTGGAGATATGATGAAATTTTTAATTATTACATTTACTGAAACTGAATGTATCTTAATATAATGCAGCCTTAATTGGTAAAAACTTAAATTCATATTGCATAAATGCATAATTTCACCTTCATTCAAATATTTGCACAACTTTGCCATACTTTTCTGACAATTTTTGCTTGTATCATTTTCAATTGGAAATAAGTACTTTTTTCTCTTACTACAAGGTAGGTGTACAGTTGTAATTATTTATTCTTTACTCTTTTATAGATGTATTTTGTTGTAAGCAAGAGTGCAACTATATTGTTTGAAGACTGGAAAGTAGATACAGCAACAGGTACAGTGTACATGTTAACAACTAGAACTTAATTGGCTGCTATTGTCTGTTTGACTTTGCATTGATATTGTTAGGAATAATTCTGTCATGGTCACTCAGGGGAGTGGAGTTGTTAAGGGCTGTCAGGTTTTCTTGTTAAGAAATGGTAGAGATTTTGACTATTAACTTGTATAACTCTATTTTTGTTGCATTAATCATTTGATGCATTGATTTATTGGTTGATAGAAATGGTTTTCTCCTGCCTCGGTATATTTGTTCTTGCTGCACTCTATGAAGGATTAAAAGTTCTTCGTGAAGTGTTAAAGAGGAAATATAGCTATGTGGTTAGTGTGGATTTAGCAGAGACCAAGGTGTATGGTACAGGACCTACTCAAACAACTGTTGTGACTGAATCAAAGGGAAAGATTCCAAGGTGAGATTTGTTTCCACTTCTAGTGTGGAGCTAATATTAAAATGTAATTTATTGTTTTACGGGGCAAATTTTCTTTATTCTACTCTTTGTTCAAGGAAGCAGACACCTGTCACAGCATCATTTTTAACAACCCTTTCTTTCTTATGACTAAGCAATGTGTGATTTCTCCCAACCACATCAATACATCATTAAGCAGAGAGGGATTGGAAAGAAAGAAAATATTAATTGGGAGATTTTGTTTGCCTTGTCTACACCAAACTTTCAGAGCTGAAATTTTCATAAATGTTTGAAAGGCAGTGTCAGGATCTTGGTAGTTGAAGGGTTGAAAAGTTGTATGTTGCTATGTTGACATTTCTTTCATGTTGGTTTCATTAGCACTTGATGTGTGAGAAATGGTAGCAAGGTCAAATCAATCATGCAAACTAGAATATGTAGTCATATCATGCAGTTTTAGAGTTCCAATAAGCTCAGCTATTATGGCAGTAGGCTTTTTTACAGTTGTGTCCTTTGTTGGGAAGCCTTTGATTTGGAGTAAGGCTGAAGTTGGCCATGTTGTGATAGAGAGCAATATCTAGTTAGCATGGTCACGAAGTAATCTACATTTGAAAAGCAGCAAGGTTTGTTACATCATAACAAGGTAAACCTTAGCCTCACTTCTGTTCAAAGGCTTGGCAACTGTAGAATGGACTAGATATTAATGCTTTACACTGTATCTCATCTGCTTTTTTCTGTAGATTTTTGTTTTGTTTTCAAATAAGTCAGGTTTTATTGCCTTTTTGTTGACAGGTCCAGAATCTGCAATTGGCATCATATACTTCAAACATTCCTTCATGTTGTCCAAGTCACCCTGAGCTATTTCCTCATGTTGATCTTCATGACATACAATGTCTGGCTGTGTCTGGCTGTTGCTCTGGGAGCTGGCTTTGGTTATTTTGCATTTGGATGGAAGCTGAACAAAGTGGTTGATATCTATGAACACTGTCATTGATCGGTACCATTCTCTTACAATAAATTTTTTTGTTTGAAGGAGAGCACCAATATTGATAGTTGGTATCTTTTTTTAATTTCAGTTTTGTCAAGTGGGTTAGTTAGCATACATATTTTTTTATTTAATTGAACCATAAGTTAATTTCACTATGCACACAGTCTGCTTTATACTTCAGAAGTGCTCAGAAGAAAATTCATACACAGTTCCTTTAGAACATCTCCTAAACTTTTTCTACACAACCACAGGGATTTGTTTGGATATGATAGTGACTGATATGAAGAACATGTCCACTGAAAAATACTGAAAAATAGATAGGGAAAAATACACTCATTTTAAAAACAGAGGGTTACAGAAAATACCCAGAAGTATCTCATGTTTTTTTGCAAAATCTAGGTGATCACATCAATGGATTCATTAATTAATATGTCCAGGAAGATTGATAGCACCATTCACATAAAAAGTATAGCTAATTTTTAGACGCAAGCCAAAATTTAAGTAATTTGTGAGACAGGCAACATTGTTCCCATTCTATTTTCTGACTGATTAGGGTTTTTTTTTTTGGTTGGGGGGGGGGGTGTGGAATATTTGTAAGGATCAGTTTTACCAGTGTGGTTGTAGAAAGGTGTGGCAACTTTCCATCTATGAAGATCTTGGAATGAGTAGTTTGAAGTAGCTTTTATCAAAGCAAATTACTTGCAAAGAATCACTGATCAAAGTTTATTAGAGTTAAATTGATTTTCCAAACTGGTGAATGTATGGTTAAATATATTTTTATGGGTAAACAGACAATAAGGATATTTTTGTTTTCATTACGATATTTCTAGGATTATATATTCTCTGCTATAAATTAGATAGACAACTTTTATGGGCATTTGATATCTTTTAAGTTAGTTTTGATTATAGTTGTGGGTACTAAGTGCAGTGCAGTGCAGTGCAGTGTAGTGCATGTGTCTAAGTAGCTTTGAAGATCTGTGCAATGTGCAGTAACAAAAGAGAAAGGTGATATGAGAAGTGCAAAGGAGATGTGGAATAAAAGAGGGAATGGGATCTAGATGAAAGATCATGGAAAGTGCCCATGTCCTTCTTCCTCATTTTTCACTTTGTCACACTGATTGCCCGCCTTGTCTCCATGTTTCTGTTCTCTATGCATGGTGTAGACTAAGACTTGTGCAACTTAGCGTGATTTGATGGAAGTTTTTTTGTTCTGTATTTTGCTAGCATGAGGTAAGATTTTTTATTTATATGTTTGCATCAGTCTGTTGGTTTTTTGTTGTTTTTGGATGCTGTAATAGGCTATTATATACTTTTTGCTACAAACTTTTAGATTGATGTGGTCATTATGTGACTAATCAGTTCACAGGAAATTTATGTCACACAATCATAGCAAAAAGGGTATATAGAGGTGATGATAATTTTGCAAAATATATTTAATTTTGCAGTCTTTTTTTTTTGCATCAGGTGATGTATTCTAAGGGGATAGGGAATGAGGGAAAAGGTTGTTTATAATTCGTTTTTTTTTTTTTTAACATAGTCATCAACTTCCTCATATGAAAGCTAGTGGGTTACAGTTTCAAGAGCCAGAGATAAAAAAAAATGGCTACTGTGATGGGCTGGCTTGTATTTTGTAGACACTGACCTATTCCATAGTATACTATCTCTGACGGGAAAATAATTTGTGATGAGAATTCAAGCCATTATTCATGTGAATATGTTTTGCTTTTTCCATAACTGGGTCAGTAATATTAAGATAACCTTTGTTTCCTTTGTGCAAGAAAAGTATGCTTAGTGATAACTGCTTTTAAGCTTAATTTTATAAAGCCTATTTTGCTATATTTATTGCATAGGAAGGAAATGTATTTTTCAATCAAGTAGGATCATTGATATTAAATCAAATTGAACAATTCATTTTATTGTTTTCCTTTTGTTGGAGTCTTTCAGTGAGGAGGCTGAGTGTTAGTAAAGTGAATGTCAAACGAGTAAGGCGCATTTCCTTTATTACTGTGACAAAAGATTTCTTTGACATGAAAGCTCATTTAGATCTAAAGCTTTTTCATGGTCTTCAATCTTTCGGAGCCTCAAGTCATCGGGGAAAATAGTTGAGAAAGCCATATACCCAACTCCTGCCCCAGCAACCACTGCAACCCCAAGCCAAACATTATACGTCATAACTATTAACATCAGCATATATCCCACTAGCACTTGTAGCGTGTGAAGACACGCCTGCAATGTGTGAATTTTAATTCTCCATCTTTGGCTGCAAAGAAAAAAAAAGGGAAGAAGGTCACTGACGTGAATCAAACGCTCGTAATCGTTAGGACTCAATGATGTTCTCTCATGAGGAGGGAGGAGGAGTGAGGAGGCGCTGCCAGGGGCATGTTTCCGTAGCTATATTTAAGCAAGAGGAAGCGTTAACAACGGCGCGTTCGTTCTGTTTCTGGTTTTTATTTTCTCAATCGGCCAGGTTTAGTCTCGTGCGCTAATCACGTTGTCTGTTCCTGTTTTATGTGTATGTATTTATTTTCAATGAAGGACAGAAACAAAACTTCCGATGACAAGTGATCAAGAAAGAAAGTCATGCTCACCTCCAGTTCGGGAATCTAACAAATAGTTGTTGTAGGGTTTCTTTATTGCTACATGCGTCCTCAAGATCTGTAACATCTAAACTTGTTGACGTTGAATGACAGATGTCTTTGAATAAGAGACGGAGAGGTCTGCAAACCAGCCATTGCCTGAATATTTTGAGGCCCTCGTAAAGAGCAGCAACTAGAACTGTGATGAAAAAAGCTCCTATAAGAACTGAAACAGAAAGGTGAAAACTCATTAACACCGAAAAAACTGTTAGAAACAATATTTCCTGAGACTTTGACTGCGCAGAAGTAATCAACAAGAACGAACAAGGTTTTACTCTCTAACTCGAACTGGGCTCAAGTCTGAGTCTTTTTTCGGCGCATGGCACCCAGTAAGCGTTTGTTTGTTTGTCTGTTAGAGAACTGAGGATTTTATGTGATCATTGATATTTTTTGCAATTGGCCACCTCTGGTCTTTCAAGTAATGTGGTGTTAAAAACTGATTTGAAAACGTTAATTACTCACCGTAAAGGGTAAAAAAGCTGACGTTTCGAGCGTTAGCCCTTCGCAATCGCTCTGAAAAAGGGATAACACTCGAAACGTCAGCTTTTTTACCCTTTACGGTGGCTAATTTACGTTTTCAACTCAGTTGTTAACACTACATTACCTGCTATACTCTCCTACCGACGCAGCACCACAATTTCTTTAGAAACTTACCCCTTTATTCATCTGGTCTTTCAAGGGTCAGTTTGTCACGTGTCATCAAACGCCACGTAATTTAGACATCAAGCGAAAGAATCATATTCAGATCTTTACGGTTTGAGAAGTTAACCACTCAAACATTGTGAAAGAAGACTGCGTAAAAGGCTATCATACCTTCGATTGAAGTAAGTTTCCAGTCTTGAAGTAAGAGTGTTCCTTCGGTCCTCAAATGAAACACATTATCCTAAAGGAAGCGATTGGAGAAAAAATTAAATTTTTGATGACTGAATAAGTCAACGCCTTTATCTTGTTTGCCTAAAACTCATTGAAATCTCATCACGCTTTCTTGGAAGATTGCAGGACAATTCCCGTTTCAACAGGAAGCACGATTAGTCAGAAAACAATTTCGTTCCCGAAGGGCTTTCCCTTCAAATCATTCGTGAGGAAAAACATCATGGGAACATCGGTGTAGATTTTTTTAATGGCGTAATAACTGTAAACGCAACATAAGTTCGTAAGAGGCGCTGTGAAACCTGATAGGCCATGAAAACGTGCTTGTTGCGGGGGGAAGGGAGATAGAGGATGGGGGAGAGAGGGAGCCATGGAGAAAGACTGGGCGATGATTAGCCTATGAAAAATTGCAAGTTTTTACCAGAGGACAGCGATAGTGGCAGTTAAATAAAAAAATGTCTTTTCTATGCTATGCAACAATCTCCTAGCTTATCTTTAACTGTAATGTTTGTACTTTGACACTTGCTTATTTAAGGCGAAAAAGAGCTGATAGGTAATGGTCTTCATGACAACAATCTTGAATAGGGCAACTACGCAAATAAACTGCGATTTAAAGAGATGAAACCATTGTTCCCATAATTTCTTTTAGAATTTTGCATACTAAAAAGTTATTTGTGTCAATAGCTCCCTTTAAATGATTTTCTTTACAATACTGTTGATTAACATACCACTAAAAACTTTTTCTCGAAGACCCTGAGACATTTCTTAACCGCTCCATGGCAGATAAGGCAGTATTTATTCCATAATCAGTTCCTCAATACTGTTACAGTTTCTCTCAGTCTCAATATCAAATGTAAAACTGACGTTCCGCAGTTGTCTTTCGTGAACGTTTTAATGGGCGAATTTGTGGGAGTGATACAATTATATTGTTGCCTGACAATAATATTTCGCCCGAACGAATCGCTATTTTATAAGACTGTTTTCTTAATTTCTCCCTCTGCTTCCTGTAGAATGCGAGAACAGCGGTCTAGTATATCCTCTATCAAGTGCCTGAGCAAATCAAGCAAAACCCGACTAAATCGAAAGGGGTAAAAGTCGTCGTTTCATCGAAGCCTTCGAAAAAGAAAATTAACCAAACTTCGTCTTACAGATTGGTTCTTGATATTTTTGTTCGAGATCAGATTTATTACTGCCAAATTTACATTGAGCCAGGTTATTAATATGAATAAACCTGCTATTATTTCCTGAAAAAAGAAATAAAAAATATTACAACTTTGATTCAGTGTTGATCAAAACAAAATTTTTTATTCTCATTGCCTTCAATCCAGAGTGACTCAGAATCTCTTCAAGTGATTTCGGCACCAAACGAATTTTGATCCTTGAAAGTATGCGTAATTTAAGAAGTAATTTCAGCGCGATTGTTTTTCTTATCAGAGATTTTACTTTAGTTACCGAGACGAACCGACCAAAGTCCTTAAATTATCTTCTATACAACTGGGCCATGATTGGAAGGAAGGAAAGAACGAAATCTGTCAATGATTTTTTTTAATAGCTTTCGGAGGAAAGAGTGAGTAAGGCGAAATCACGTTTAAAAGGTCCCTCACTATACGACAGAAGAAAATATACGCCGACGAAAATCGAAAGCTGCCAGCAGAGGTTGGCTTTGTTTAATTTAAAACCAGTACAGTTTGATCACCAGTTTCTGTACTTACCTGGATTCTACGCTAAAACTTTAGCGATTCTGTCAGTGATCCTTTAGGCTTAAGTAAGAAATAATAAAATTTAGCCGCGACGTGCAGATGCGGCTCAGCTCGTGCTAACGAAGTCTAAACAGAGCGAGTGGCAAAAGCAGAATATTTCACACCGGTAACAGGTGTAGCAACAAAACACGGAAAACCATTGACAGCTGACACAAAAAATAATTTTTATGTCGTGAAACTTAATTGTCAATCAAAGGCAAAGGCGTCAGTCAGAGCAAAGACCCGGCTTTACTCAGTCTCTGACCAGAAAAAGACTTTCACATGTTTACTGTATGAACCGATAAAAGACCAGCGCGATTAGTGAGCCAAAATTATGGACAATTTGAACGGTTTTGATATATTCTTGAAAACTTGCCTCTAATCCTTAATATTCTTTCAAAAAAGATCCCATTAAAGTTTTCCGTATGTGATATTTCACGAGGAAAACGAAAAAAGAGGAAGAAGTAAAAAAAACGAAAAAACAAAGATAATCTTAAATAATAATAAAGATCCCTTTTTGAGGGACAGCGGGTGAGAGAAGGGTAGATTCGTCGGCTAGATCTCGGGTCCTAAATAAATACAAGAAGCCGAGTAAGGGATCTCTTTTTCGAAAACACGATAACTTTTCAGATCCGAAGCTATATCTTAGCGGAGCTCGCGTAGCCCCATAATTATACAAAATAGTAGTACAAAATAGTAGTACAAAATAGTAGTAACCCATCAAGCCGAAAAAATTTGGATGTACGACCGTACGACCGTACAAGGTGCTACTTTTAACATGCGTGGTCAACTGTACCGCGGGCACGCCAACACCACGGCTTTGTCCAGTAGACCAATGGTCAGTGCACTGGGCTCCGAGTCGGACGACCCGGGTTCTAGTCCTGGCCGGGGCAAGGCGTTGTGCCCTTGAGACGTATGGGAAAAAAAATGCGAGCTCCGCTTTTAGGCTTGGCTAAATCTATATATTAATACCCAATTCCACCGATCGAGTAGACTCTATGTTACGGTGCGTTCTTTCAGTAATAGATCACAAATGACGTCAAAACAGGGGGGGGGGTGGCGTAGGGGGAAAGCGTTGCGTGATATCCTTTGGGTAGTCTCTCATATACTGGGTTCTGAAATAACTAATAATTAACTGATAGATATAGCAAAAGGGTAAAGTGAGTGGGTACAGAGGATCAGTGAACAATGGGCACAACGGACCAGTAAGTACAGAGGACCAGAGAAACAGTGGGATCAGAGCAATAGTCTTTATCAAAGGGTAAAGTGAGTGGGTACAGAGGATCAGTGAACAGTGGGCACAGCGGACCAGTGAGTACAGAGGACCAGAGGAACAGTGGGAACAGAGCAATAGTCTTTATCAAAGGATCAAAGGGTAAAGTGAGTGGGAACAGAGGACCAGTGGGTACAGAGGACCAGAGGAACAGTGGGCCCAGAGGATCAGTGGGTACAGAGGACCAGAGGAACAGTGGGAACAGAGGACCAGATGACCAGTGGGCAAAGAGGACCAGTGGGTACAGAGGACCAGAGGATCAGTGGGATCAGAGGACCAGTGGGTACAGAGGACCAGAGAAAAAGTGGGAACAGAGGACATGAAGGCACCAGATGGGACAGTGCTAGAAGACACCCAAAATTGTTGAAATCCTATGGCTGCATTTTGAGTTATTCATATAAGGTAGCAAATCATTTTCCAACTCTGACCCTTGTGTTTCTGTACTGTAAGAATATTATTTAATGTTTTTTCCTTTCAGTCACAAGTCTAAAAGGCTGAGTTTAGGAGTAGGGCAAAATTTTTTTCCTATGCAAAATGCGAAAAATATAAGGCTTTTCTAATTACTGCATCATATTCTCCTAGAGTTTAAGTGTTGAAGTTTTTTCAGACTTGTTGTAAAATATGTTTTATTTTATAATCAATAAGGATGCTACAAACTGCCACCTTTGTTCCAGTCAAAGCAACTTAGCTATACCTTTTCCACTTAACAAGCAATTTATTTGATTACAAACAAAGCTATTCCTCATTAATAACCAAATTATATAATAATCTGTTAATTATTAGTTATTTCAGAACCCAGTATATGAGAGACTACCCAATAGGTGTAACAGGAGGGTAAAGTAAGTGGGTACAGAGGATCAGTGAACAAAGGGCACAGCGAATTAGTAGTACAGTGGAAATATAGGAACAGAGGATCAGTGAACAGTGAGCATAAAGGACCAGAGGAACAGTGGGCACCGTGGACTAGTGGCACAATGGGTGCAGAGGACCAGTGGAACAGTGGGTACAGAGGACCAGTGGAACAGTGGGTACAGAGGACCAGAGGAACAGTGAGTACAGAGGAACAATGGGTACAGAGGACCAGAGGAACAATGGGTACAGAGGACCAGTGGAACAGTGGGAACAGAGGACCAGAGGAACAAAGGACCAGAGGAACAGAGGACTAGAGGAACAGAGGACCAGAGGAACAGTGGGCACAGAGGACCAGTGGAACAGTTAGTACAGAGGACCAGTGGGTAAAAGGGACCAGTGGGTACAAAGGACCAGAGGAACAGTGGGTACAGAGGACCAGTGGGTACAGAGAACCAGAGGAACAGTGGGCACAGAGGACCAGTGGGTACAGAGGAGCAGAGGAACAGTGGGAACAGAGGAACAGTGGAACAGTGGGCACAGAGGACCAGAAGAACAGTGGGTGCAGAGGAACTTTTTAATAAATTCCTAGACAAGCACCCACAGAAGGCTTGACTCTGCCAGGAACACCATATTGATCCAGAGGATGATTATATTGACTTGATCTGATTATATTGATTTGGTTAGACCAGGAACACCATATTGATCCAGAGGATGCTTATATTGATTTGGCTTAGGTGACAGAACACAAAGCTTTTGTCTATTATAAAACTAAACTAACTTAGGATCTAAAAATTTGGTGGCCAATCAAACTCAATCCCTTAGTTGATAATTTGTGTGAATTTTTGAATGCTTTGGTGTTGTGAGCATTCATATTACTCCCACGAGGAGTGAAAGGGTCAAATCATAAGGTTATGGAATACCTACTAGGAAGATTTTTCTGTGAGAGGGAACATTTATTACCCTATGCTACCTTAGACAAAAATTTTCACTGAGAACTTATAGGCTTCTTTTGTAACTTTGAATTCTCTCATGGAAATCCTGGCTACAGATTGCAATGGCACATTCAAAGAATAGAGATGAGTGTCATAAAGTGATTGTTTTATAAGAAGTTACCAGCTGATATTTAACAATTCTAAAGTGTGTCAATTTGAGATAAAGAAAAGTATGTTTAAGTTCATTATTTGAAAAAGATATTCAAATTTGGAGAAAGGAATAGTTTGTTTGTAATTTAAATTCTGATTAGGGAAAAGGTTTATTGCTTTGATGAAAAAGGTGGCAGTTTTTAATTATTATTATAAAATTGGTTTATCTAAAAAACTGAACACTTAAACTCTAGGAGAATATGATGCTTTAGTTTATTTTTCGTAATCAAAAAAAATTTTGCCCTAAAACTCAGCCTTTTTAGACTTGTGGAAAGGAAAAAACATTAAATAATATTCTTACAGTACAGAAACACAAGGGTCAGAGTTGGAAAATGATTTGCTCCTGGTCCAGCCATAGGATTTCAACAATTTTGGGTGTCTTCTAGCACTGTCCCATCTGGTGCCTTCATGTCCTCTGTTCCCACTTTTTCTCTGGTCCTCTGTACCCACTGGTCCTCTGATCCCACTGATCCTCTGGTCCTCTGTACCCACTGGTCCTCTGTACCCACTGGTCCTCAGATCCTCTGTGCCCACTGGTCATCTGGTCCTCTGTTCCCACTGTTCCTCTGGTCCTCTGTACCCACTGGTCCTTTGGTCCTCTGTACCCACTGGTCCTCTGTACCCACTGGTCCTCTGTTCTCACTGTTCCTCTAGTCCTATGTGCCCACTGTTCCACTGGTCCTCTGTTCCCACTATTCCTCTGTTCCCACTATTCCTCTGTTCCCACTATTCCTCTGTTCTCACTATTCCTCTGTTCCCACTATTCCTCTGTTCCCACTATTCCTCTGTTCCCACTATTCCTCTGTTCCCACTGTTCCTCTGGTCCTCTGTATTCACTGGTCCGCTGTGCCCACTGTTCACTGATCCCCTGTACCCACTCACTTTACCCTTCGATAAAGACTATTGCTCTGTTCCCACTGTTCCTCTGGCCCTCTGTACTCACTGGTCCGCTGTGCCCACTGTTCACTGATCCTCTGTACCCACTCACTTTACCCTTCTGCTATATCTATCAGTTAATTATTAGTTATTTCAGAATCCGGTATATGAGAGTTGAACGGCTACGAAAACCTTGGTAGTAACCGCAAGGTATTCTGGTTAGTATAGTTGTGCAATGATGCACGAAACCTAAAAAAAAACATGTCTCGTTTTGTTAGGCAACTTTTTAGGACACCCCTTATCATACGATGTGGGCTATTAAGCCCGATGTCGACGGCAGTTGAAGCTGCGAATACCTCAGCTTCCAGATTTCTTGTCCAGAAACTCGAGAAGAAAGCAGGTGGTATGCTACACGTAACATGGAATAACAACTCCATGAATCGCTATCCTTTTGCGTACCTCCGCGATAACTGCCAGTGCTCGGAGTGCTTCCACGAATCTGCCTTCCAGCGATCATTTGACACTGTGGGCAAGTTAGATCCGAAAATTTTACCGGAGAACTACGACGTGAGGTTAGATGGGAAAGAGATAGTCATTGCGTGGCCTGACGGACACGTCAGTGTATTTGACTCAGACTGGCTGCACTCTCGTCGACTGGTCGACGCGAAGGGTGATCCAAGCAGCGTTATGCTCCCTAATCTTAATAAGGAAGGGGTAAAGTTTTGGAATGCTGAAACAATGCAGGGAAAAGTTCCTAAGCTCGATTTTAAGGACCTCATGGAGGACGATGGTGCACTTTTCGATTGGCTCAAAATCTTACACAGTGTGGGAATTGCTTTGGTGGTTAACACCCCTCTGGAGGAGGAACAAGCAGAAAAACTCTGTGATAGGGTTGGATATTTTAAGACAACTCACTATGGGTATGTAAATATTATTATTTTTCATTATTTTCCTACAGTAGGTTACATGTAACTACCGTATTTACCCGTGTATAATATGCGCCCATGTATAACACGCACCCCGATTTTTGACCAAATTTTTCATAAAAAAAAAGTTTTCACACCAAAAAACACGTCAATTCTTCCTACAACTGATGTTTCGCAGTGGTAAGTTTCGTTGCCATTTCGAGTTTCTGGTCGCTTGTGATTACAGTAATACGGTACGATCGTGATGTTTATCTCGTCAGCCGTTTCTTAAATACTCTACTAAATTTATTCATGGATCGAAATTGAAAATGTTTCATTGGTAGATTATTTAACTCAAGCTAATAAAGACCAATAACTGCGAGGCTTTTTTTACTTTCTTTGTTGTGTCTGGGGATCGAAACTGAAAATGTTTCATTAGTAGATTTTTTTAACTTTCTTTGTTGTGTTTTTAAAGTATGCAAATTAGGACGAAAAAACAATAGAATCTGTGTACAATACGGATCACTTGTTTTTGTCGTTAAAAAAATTCATAACTCAGACATAGTTTGATGCTACTCTGGTTTGCAGATTTAATGAATGTAACCGAAGAAGTTATCCCACCCCATTGAATGGTTAGTTAGGCATGTATGCTCTGATAAAGCCGAATTTCCTCAATTGGGTGGGATAATTCTAAAATTATCACCACTAATCGGCATTACCACCAGTGTCTTTGTTTGGAGGCTTGGCATATTAACTCTGCCCACGCTCCTTTAAATCGTGACGATGGCGGTTTGCCTCCTGACGCCTATTTACATCTCATCAGAAAAAAGGCCGCTAATTAGTGATCATATAAAAGGACCTCTTGTTGCAGCATTTAGATCACCCCTGATGAAGGCACTAGACAGGAGTGTCGAAATGTTGGGTCTATGAATTGTAACTTCTTTGGTTACATTCATTAAATCTGCAAACCAGAGTAGCATCAAAATATGTCTGATTGTCCACCTGGTTGCTGTGTGAACTTTAATATATTTAAATTCATAACTCTTGTCAGCTGTTAAGGAGGGTTAATTCTGTAGAAATCAAGAACATTTTTTCTTTTTACCTGCAGGCATTATTTTGATGTGAAAACAAAATATGAAGCAAATAACTTAGCATATACTTCAAACTTTTTGCCATTGCATATTGACCTGCCTTACTATGATTATATACCAGGGGTAAGTGTACTGAGTTTCTTCATGAAGGTCTGAAGCCTTGGGAACCCCTAGATTATATCTGTTTTAACTACTGCTACATTAATTTTAATCCAAATAGCAAGTCCCTTTATTACTGGCAAGAAATGTGATGTGGTTAGTTTGTGGGTTGTGGCAAGAATTGGCTGTGAGGTAAGTTTGAGGGTAGGGAGGTGCAGCCTGATCTGAAAGAGGGGCATTGGAAATGGGGCAAAGCTAAATGATTGTTTGTTACTCAATTCTCTTTGCTACTATTAAGATTTTAGACTACATTTACGTCCTTTCATCTTGTTTAATGTTTTCTGGCATTTGGCCTTGGCCCTATCATGTGGAGATCCATGGCGTCAGCTTTTTCTTGACAGCTTTCTGCCATGTTGTTTCTTTTCCCTGTGGGTGTTCACATGGGTTGTGCTGAGATATCACTCAGACAAAAACTACCCAATAAAATTGTAAAATGATATTGTTTATGTGTCCCACAGGAAGTGACCTTGTTTTTGTCTTTTTGTTTATAATGTGTGAAAGAGGGTTCCTATTTTTGCTGGATTTGTCTGAAAGCTCCAGACCATTAATTCTGTTAGTAGGTAGGGCCAAAGTACTGTTTGCTGTTAGGGTCACATGTCCAAGTCATGTGACCTGGCTTGTGTCCTGTGCTTCTTCCCCCTCCCTAGACCTTTTTCATGTGACATAGGTCTAAAATATCTGATTGAAGGCTATTATACCCCAGCTGTTGTAGATTTAAGAGCAAGAACCCCTCTGTTCGAGTCCTAACAGACTCCGCTTTTTCTTTTAAGATAAAAGGTATAAAGAGATGTATTGTGTAATCAATGAGAAAAATGTTGCTCTTAGAATTGCGCTTACAGCACCTCTGACAGTAATCTTCTCTGTTTTAGGTTCAGATGTTGCACTGCATTGAACAAGCCACTGGTACAGGCGGAGCAAACCAGTTTGTAGATGGCTTCTTCGTTTCACAGGAGCTGCGAAATAAAGATCACAAAAAGTTTGATATCCTGACAAAGACGCGAATCCAGTTTGTTGACATTGGAAATGACATGTTTGGAGATTTTCACTACAAATTTTCTCGACACATGATTGAGTAAGTCAGTTACTACTCATGAATATTATTGTGGAGTTAAGTTCAGTTGAATGTCCAAAGTAAATCCGAAAGCGTTTTTGATTTGCTCTTCTATTCTCTGTAATTGGTCTACGAAGTTAGAGCCACTTTCTCTCCCAGTCAGATGCAAAAGTGAAACAACTTGTGAATTGTTCCCTCGCGTTTGCTAACGCCTTTCTTTTATACAACCCGGCGGGATCTCAGTTGATTGAGCAAGGACATTTAAGTCGACTATGCAACGGTAGAGTTCATGAAGCGTTTTTCGAGTGAGTATCGCAAAACCAAACCCAAGTAAAACATCCCTACTGCATAAAGAACGGGAAAACGCGGACGACCAAGACGTGATTGGTGTTAGTTTTGCTTCTGTTTGGTTGGAAAAGTGGAGCGAATTTTCTGGACCAATCACAGAGCGAAGTAAAGCATAACTAAAAACAATCCCGGATTACTTTCAACATTCCCTATGGCCCTATGGCCAAGCGCTTTACCCGACAACATACAAGAACTGATTGCTTCTATGTCACCTTTTTGTCTCAGGTTGGACAAGAACGGCCAAATTGTGCGTTTTGCTTACAACAACCACGTGCGAGACTCTGTCGTGCTCAACTCCACCCCTGAGGAGACTGTTCAACTTTACGAAGCTTATCTTACTCTGGGCAAGATGTTAAGAGAACCGGCCAATCAAATAGAGCACAAAATGGTCCCAGGGGATATGATCACCTTCAACAACAGTCGCGTGTTGCATGGGAGATCGGCGTTTACTGTCCAAGGGGGACAAAGTCGGTTCCTTCGCGGCATCTACTTGGATTGGGATATTATGTATTCTCGTATGAGAGTGCTGGCGAAAAAGCTGAATATTCCGCTATCGTACTAAAGCATACTACATATTCTTGGAGGTAAAACACACATGAATGGCCCTTGAAACATGATCGAGGTGAACTAAAACAATAATAAGTCATTATGCAGCCCTTTCCGATAAAAGGAAATAAACTCATTTCGATTATTTACGGGATTTTTAGGTAATAACTCATGTTTCGATGTGAAATATTATTAAGAAATATTTCAACTTACTTCGCTGAAGTCAACACACTGAATGCATGTGGCTTTTCGTGAATTTCGTACAAGAAATATTAGTTGGACCGGAAGCCGTTTTCCTCGTTGCCTTGTCATTTATCTCCAAAAAGATAAAATTGAAACATGTAAGTTCCTATGATATCAATACGTTACCCATCAAATAGATGAAAAAAATAGACAAACTTGTCTGGAGGATGAAATTACCCCAACTGAATATATAATAAAAGGTATGACAGCAAGGAGAGAATTACCTATCGGATTAAACCATAAAGCTTGTTATTATCAGTCACATTCCAGAGGACTATAGAATAATTTTTTTCCGTGTAGAGTTGTAAAATTTTATTTAGTCCTGGTTTGGTTTGTAATGGGGGTAGAATGCATCGTGTCATATATATAGTGGGATCAGAGGTTGTAAGAACTTATGCTTAGCCAGAACATAACCGGTTTGATTGGCTTTAGAATGGGGTAGAATGCATTGTGATATAAATATGGCGAGTCAGAGCTGGAAGAACTGGTGCTGAACGAGGACTTTAATTTTAGTTCTGGTTTGATTTGGTTTATAATGGATTGATTCATATTTTGATATGAAAATAATGAGCTCAGAAGTCGGAAGAACAGATGCCTAATCAGAAGATGCGGAATGACAGATATCTTGTTTTAAGAGACGAAGAGGTTTGGAAAGTAGCCATTGCCTGAACATATTTAAGACCTTCATTTGGAGCAGCAACCGAAAAAAAGATGAAAAACAAACTCGCCTTTACTCTGCGCGAAAAAATTGCTCGTATATTTGTTCTTCGACATTATCTGTTCCTCGAAGCTCACAGAAAAATTGTTTGCATCTTCAAACAAGTAATGTCTGCGGGAAAACAACAGTGCATTGTTTTCGCGGCAAATAGAGGTTATTGTTTATTTAGCCTCTCATAGGGAGTTAAGGTCACCTGTGATGTGGTTTACAGCCTACGGCATGTACTAAAATTAAGAATACTGGGACACAGTAAGAGAGGAACGCTGGAATACCGGAACATCAGAACACACCGGAACATGCCAGAACATCGGAACACACCCTAACACGCCAGAACATCGGAACACGCCGGAACACACCAAATGATAGACACCTATTTGTAGCACAAAAAACAGAAACACAACCGGGGGATCAAGTAATTGCAGTAGATCACAATTGCAAACGACATAGTTGTGTCTGTGACCTTTGAGACAGCAACAGAACAGTGGAGATCGGTTTGTTCAAATCTCTGTTTGCCCGCGGGAAAGCAAACTGTCCGTTCGTATGACATCATCAAGAGTCCGACATAACACTCTTTCTTTAGCGTCTGCTTACGGGAATAATTTCCACAAGCAGATGGTTCAACTAACGAGAGTGTCCAAGAGAGAGAGTTGACTGTATTTTAATGTTGGGAGCTTTAACGCACCCCCTCAGTCCAGCCCCTTATTTCCTCCAAAGCAGGGGTAAAAGTCGTCGTTTCGTCGAAGCGTTCGAAAAAGAGAGAATTAATCAAACTTCGTCTTATAGATTGATTCTTGATATTTTGTTCGAGATCAGGTTTATTACTGCCAAATTTACATTGAGCCAGGTAATTAATATGAATAAACCTGCTATTATTTCCAGAAACGCTCAAGCATACAGACTCACACACCGTTCGCGGTAGACCCACTCTAAAAGATGGCTTGTGTAATGAGCGTATATTTCGAAACGGGTTGTTCCGCGAACTCAAAATAGCAAAAGAATCAAATGATTTAGCGAAGGTCTCACTAAAATCTATAAAAGCGGGAATCTTTAAAACGGGGAATCTTTAAAAGCGGGAATCTTTAAAACGGGAAATCTCTAAAAGCGGGAATCTTCAAAATGGGGAATATTTGAAAGAGGGAATCTTTAAAAACGTAATCATTTTTTCGGCAGATGGCAGTGTCACTCGATTATCATTTCTTTTATCAGTCTGAGAGATAAGTCAGTTATCAGCCCTGTAAGCAATCATAACTGAATACTCTGATCTACATCGATTTCCGGTATTATCTTCAGGATTCAAAATAACAGCCGGCTGCCGTTTTAAAAGCTTTCTGGAAACGTAAACAAGTAAAAAGTTTCGAAATTTCAAACGTGCTACAGGGAGTATTTTTGTTTACAGTATTCAGCTTTTACGTATTTGTTCAAGCATGAAACATGCAAGTTTGTGTCCATACCGTCAATTTACCGTGTCCGTGTTTCTGCACGTACATACTACTTTTAATCAAGATTTATTTTCCACCAAATCCTGTCTAATGTCGTTTGTATAGCCTTCTCACGCGTTCAAATTAAAGTCGGTGCTTGACAGAACGGATTTTCCATAACTGTAAATGATGAAGCGCGACAGTTTGTCTAGACAAAGTTGAATATTTCACGCTTGAACAAACACCGAAAAATTGACCCGTTTTGACTACACTTTGTTAGAAAGGGACTGAGGTGCTCATCAAAGCTTTTAGAGGTTAAAAAGGGCGGGCTTAGTACCTCTTGGGCTGTTCAGCCTCAAAAGGTCCACAGCAGCAGAAGCCTCTGGGACACCTGTCAGGGTATTGCACCAAAAATATGTGACAGTGTGTTGTTATAGAATTGGTGCCTCTCAGGGGTGAAAAAATTTTACACCACGCCCATAAACTAGGACCATGGTACCTCTGCATTTCTTTTAGAACCACTGCGCACCGTGAGTGGTCAACACTTGTAACAGCGCGTCTACCTGTAGCCCGACTTACGATCTTAGATCGTCTTGTCTTCTATACAACTGGGCCATGATTGGAAGGAAGGAAAGAAGGAAATCTTGGTTGAAATTGAAGAGATCTAGCTCGCCTAGAACTTACTGATTTTTTTTTATAGTTTTCGGAGAAAAGAGTGAATAAGGCGAGATCACATTAAAAGGGTTCCTCCCTATACGACAGAAGAAAATATACGCCGACGAAAATCGAAAGCTGCCAGCAGAGGTTGACTTTGTTTAATTTAAAACCAGTACAGTTTAATCACCAGTTTCTGTACTTACCTGCATTCTACGCTAAAACTTTAGCGATCCTGTCAGTGATCCTTTAGGCTTTAGTAGGAAATAATAAAATTTAGCCGCGACGTGCAGATGCGGCTTAGCTCGCGCTAACGAAGTCTAAACAGAGCGAGTGGCAAAAGCAGAATATTTCACACCGGTAATTGATATAGCAACAAAACACGGAAAACCATTGACAGCTGACACAAAAAATAATTTCCATGTCGTGAAACTTAATTGTCAATCAAAGGCAAAGGCGTCAGTCAGAGCATGGACCCGGCTTTGCTCAGTCTCTGTTAAAAGACTTTCACATGTTTACTATATAAGCGCGATTAGTGAGCCAAACTTATGGAAAATTTGAACGGTTTTAATATATTCTTAAATATTAGCCTCTAATCTCTTCTTGTTGTCCCTCTTGCAAAAAAAATCTCATTTAAGTTTTTCCGTATGTGATATTTCACGTGGAAAATAAAAGAAGAGGAAGAAGTTAAAAAAAACGAACAAACAAAAAATAATTATTAAGGTCCCTTTTTGAGGGACAGCGGGTGGGAGAAGGGTAGATTCGCCGGCTAGATCTCAGGTCCTAAATGAATACAAAAAACCGAGTAAGTCCCTTTCTCGAAAACAAGATGACTTTCCGGGTCCGAAGCTATATCTTAATACCCAGTTCCACTCATCGAATAGGTTACGGTGCGTTTTTCAGTAGTAGATCACAAATGACGTCAAAACAGGGGGGGGGGCGTAGGAGGAAAGCGTTGCGTGACATCCTTATGAACGGCCACGAAGACCTTTCGTCCCATGTAAGGTAATCCAGGACAATATTAGATTCTGGATTCTACGCCGTGGATTCCGGATTCCAGGTGCTGGATTCCGGATTCTACCCCAGCAGATTCCGGATTCCAAAACGCAAAAGATTTCAGATTTTAGTTTCTGGTTTGCTCCTAATTTTCGCATTTCGTTTTCTAAGAATGGCTTCAATGACGGATTTAGTTATTGAAGGACATGTTTGTGAATGCATGTTTGTCTATTCATATTTCCATAACAACATTTGATAATTACAAGAAATACATTACAGCAAATTAAGGGATAAATTTTTCTTCTAGGAATACCTGTTGAGACTGTCCGTCTCTTAAGTCCAACGTCCATTCATTCCTCATCTTTTAAGCAAATCTGAAGAGGCGAGGCCATATTCTTTCATTCAGGTTCCTCGAGGTTCTTCAAGTGATTTAACGGTATCAAAAGAACTAATAGTTCAAATTATTGCCTATCATTTCTAATTTGTAAATAACTGTTGGACTAAAAAGTTGTTTTAGCACAGCATAACATTGTTCCGACTGGGAAAAGGTGGCCAATTTTTGCTATCCAAAATTGACTTTATGGAGAATTGTCAACAAAACAGCTCGAAAATATTTCCCTATCATCTCAAATTACTTTTTTAACTTTCCTTTCAAACAAAAACCATAGTATTGACGAAAAATTGAAATTGAAATATAATTTTAATAACACCCCGTGTATTTCGCAACTAAATCGCAGACTATGACTAAGAAAGGCTTGTTTTCCTATATGTAATTGGCGATGATGTTCGACGTTATGAGATTGCGCACAAAACGGCGTTCAACCCACTCAAGTATACTTAAACCTTTGCAAAATCTCAAAAGATCTGCATTTACACGGTAATTTTCCATGAATAAGAGATTCTCTTTTCTTTACTTCTTTTTTCTTGATAAGGTTAGCCAAGTCAAGTCACATTACTTCGGCTATGAATTCTCCAGAGCAATGATTCTAAAGGTTTAAGGTGGCCCGCCGATATTTTCCTGTTTTACCCTAAAATCTGGTTATATCGTAGTTTATTTGCACTGAGATATGATGCCTTATGAAATCTTAACTTTTGTTACTCCTAATGCCAAATATCAAAGAGAGCGGTTTACGTTTAAATGCCGAAATTTTGACTTAGAAATAGACCTCTCCGCCTTCATCAATATTCATATATATATTAATTCAAAGTTTATCGTACTTGGAAACGTTTGGTACGTCGCCATGTTGGAATCCAAGCAAATCCGGTGGGATTTGAATGCTGTTGTTATGTAAGCAATCTATTAAGTCCTTCTAAATTTACACACCCATCGACCACGTGAGTGGCCTGCACTCTACAGTGGTTGCATCGGTCATGATAAAACGCAGACTGTAGACAATGCGGACTGTGCAGACCGTGCGGACCGTGCAACTTTTTTGTTTGCTTTTCTTAAAACTGTGATTTACATATAACCAAAGTGTGTACACAGTTTTCTTACTCTTTTGGTAGCATTGGAACTGTTTCCAATTTTTGGACACCACATGAGGAAATTTTACTCTCTCGCGTTGGTAAGACAAAATCGCGGGGTCAAGTTTCTCGAGCTCATGCAGATTAGCCCCACGCGGCAAGATGTGATTTGTGTGGACCGTGACGCTGACTTAAAGGTAAGAAATGTGTTGTGTGAACGATGCAAATGATTACCTGGATTTTCACAAGACAGCCCAAAGAACTTTACAGTAAAGAAAGTGCTGCAAGCTAAAATCGAACTTTACTAGGAAGGGTTTTGAATCGGAGTGGAAGACTGATCGATAGTTACTGAGTAAGGAACTTTGGCCATGTCAGTATTGAAGTCGATTGAATGATAGGTCATAAATGAATTTGTCTGGCTGTAACAGTCGAAATTCTCCAGCGAACAAAGCGCGCTCTGCACGGTCTGCAGTCTGCATCTTAGCATGACTGTGGATGCATGGATGCGCTTGAAAGCTGTTTATACGATTTTAAATGGATTCTGAATTCATTCTTTAGCGGGATTCTGGATTCCAATGCCTAATATTCCGGATTCCACGAACAAAAATATCCTGGATTCTGGAATCCGGATTAACTTACATGGGTCGAGACCTTGATAGTAACCGCAAGGTATTCTGGTTAGTATAGTTATGCAAGGATGCAAGAAACCTAAAAAAACATGTCTTCTTTGGTTAGGCAACTTTTTAGGGCACCCCTCATCATACGATGTGGACTATTAAGCCCGATGTCGACGTCAGTCGAAGCTGCAATTACCTCAGCTTCCGGATTTCTTGTCCAGAAACTCGAGAAGAAAGCAGAAGGTGGTATGCTACATGTAACGTGGAATAACAACTCTATGAATCGCTATCCTTTTGCGTACCTCCGCGATAACTGCCAATGCTCGGAGTGCTTCCACGAATCAGCCTACCAGCGATCATTTGACACTGTGGACAAGTTAGATCTAAAACTTTTACCAGAGAACTACGACGTGAGGTTAGATGGGAAGGAGATAGTCATTGTGTGGCCCGACGGACACGTTAGTGTGTTTGACTCAGACTGGCTGCACTCTCGTCGACTAGTCGACGCGAAGGATGATCCAAGCAGCGTAATGCTCCCTTATCTTAATAAGGAGGGGGTAGAGTTTTGGAATGCTGAAACAATGCAGGGAAAAGTTCCTAAGCTCGATTTTAAGGATCTCATGGAGGATGATGGTGCACTTTTTGATTGGCTCAAAATCTTACATAGTGTAGGAATTGCTTTGGTGGTTAACACCCCTCTGGAGGTGGAACAAGCAGAAAAACTCCGTGATAGGGTTGGATATTTTAAGACAACTCACTATGGGTATGTAAATATTATTATATTTCATTCTTTTCCTGCAGTAGGTTACATGTAACTATGTTGCAATAGGTCTCTAACTAGTTACGTGACCACCTTAACCCAAGCAAGAGAAGGCTCTTTCTATCCTGTTTTGGAGGTAGTATGGTATAACATTTAGCATCTTGGACTCATTAAAGCAACCTTTGGGGGATGAGCGGATAACCTGCAATGATCCAGTATCCCATACACTGGGAGTAGCAGAGTTTCAATGTTTCTTGAGATGAATTTGAGAGAAATGTAGAAGTTTGATGAAATGCTGTGTTACTTGAGGATAATATTTCAGTTGATAGTGGTTTGATTGATCCTGCACTGTATGGTTTTCATTGTATCACTAGTGGTTCTATTTTTTCCACTAAACTATGTAATTGAGGTTTTAAGTGCTTCTATTAAGTAATAAGTCCTTGTCCTTGGTTTAGGAAGAGAAAATTTTTGTGTTATTCTTGTAGGAATGGATAAATGAGACAACAGAATCCTTACATTCATTATGTGCACCACATCTCATGGAAATTTATTTTCAGAGCACAGACCCTTTTACCTAGTTGTGTGTGATATGCATATGATTGAAAAAAGATAGCCCTATAACTTTTTTGATTCATGTACTGTGACCAATCCTGTTTAGATCACTTGTTTTTGTTGTTAAAAAAATTCATAACTCTTGTTAGAAATCAAGAACCTTTTTTCTTTTTGACTTGCAGGCATTATTTTGATGTGAAAGCAAAATATGAAGCAAGTAACTTGGCATATACTTCAAACTTTTTGCCACTGCATACTGACATGCCTTACTATGACTATATACCAGGGGTAAGTGTACTCAGTTTCTTCATGAAGGTCTGGAGCCTCGGGAACCCCTAGATTATATCTGTTTTAACTACTGGTACATTAATTTTAATCCAAATAGCAAGTCCCTTTATTAATGGAAAGAAATGTGATGTGGTTAGTTTGTGGGTTGTGGCAAGAATTGGCTGTGAGATAAGTTTGAGGGTAGGGAAGTGCAGCCTGATCTGAAAGAGGGGCTTTGGATGGGGCAAAGCTAATGATCATTTGTTACTCAATCCTCTTTGCTACTATTGAGATGTTAGACTGCATTTAAGTCCTTTCATCCTGTTTAATGTTTTTCTGGCATTTGGCCTTGGCCATACCATGTGGAGATCTATGGCCTCAGCTCTTTCTTGACAGCTTTCTGCCATGTTGTTTCTTTTCCCTGAGGGTGTTCATTAAATCTACCAGGATTTTTCCTTTCCTATTTTCCTTTCTTTTCTTTCTGCAACTGTTGGTTAGCTATAGTTAGTTTGCTCTGATCAAGTTTGCAGAAGTGGGAAGTGGGAGGGGAGGTTCTCCTATACATGGGTTGTGCTGAGATATCACTCAGACAAAAACTATGCAATGAAATTGTAAAATGATATTGTCTATGTGTCCCATGGGAATTAACTTTGTTTTTGTCTTTTTGTTTACAATGTGCGGAAGAGGGTTCCCATTTTTGCTGGATTTGTCTGAAAGCTCCAGACCATTACTTTTTTTAGTAGGTCCTCTGGGAGGCATGGTGGCCTCATGGTTAGTGCGCTCGACTCCGGACTGGGTGGTCCGGGTTTGAGCCCTGGCCGGGGTCATTGTGTTGTGTTCTTAGGCAAGTCACTTTACTCTCACAGTGCTTCTCTTCACCCAGGTGTACAAATGGGCACCAGCAAATGTGCTGGAGGTAACCCAGCGATGGACTAGCATCCCATTCAGGGGGGAGTAGCAATACTCCTAGCTGCTTCATGCTAAGAAAACCGGAGTTAAGCACCAGCCCCATGGGCCGATTGGGCCCATATAAAGGCTTTACTTACTTTTACTTTTAGGGCCAAAGTGCTGGTTGCTGTTAGGGACACATGTCCAAGTCATGTGACCTGACCTCCTCAGACCTTTTTCATCTGACACAGGTCTAAAATATCTAATTCAAGGCTATTACACCCCAGCTGTTGTAGATTTAAGAGCAAGAACCCCTCTATTCGAGTCCTAACAGACTCTGCTTTTTCTTTTTTAGCACCTCTGACAGTAATCTCTTTTTTAGGTTCAGATGTTGCACTGCATTGAACAAGCCACTAGTACAGGCGGAGCAAACCAGTTTGTAGATGGATTCTTCGTTTCACAGGAGCTGCGAAATAAAGATCGCAAAAAGTTCGATATCCTGACAAAGACGCGAATCCAGTTTGTTGACATTGGAAAGGACATGTTTGGAGATTTTCACTGCAAATTTGCTCGACACATGATTGAGTAAGTCAGTTACTCCTCATGAACATTATTGTGGAGTTAAGTTCAATTGAATGTCCAAAGTAAATCCGGAAACGTTTTTGATTTTCTCTTCTATTCTCTGTAATTGGTCTACGAAGTTAGAGCCACTTTCTCTCCCAGTCAGATGCAAAAGTGAAACAAGTTGTGACTTGTTCCCTCGCGTTTGCTAACGCCTTTCTTTTATACAACCCGGCGGGATCTCAGTTGATTCAGCAAGGACATTTAAGTCGACTATGCAACGGTAGAGTTCATGGAGCGTTTTTCGAGTGAGTATCGCAAAACCAAACCCAAAATAAAACATCCATATTGCATAAAGAGCGGGAAAACGCGGACGACCAAGACGTGATTGGTGTTAGTTTTGCTTCTGTCTGGTTGGGAAAGTGGAGCGAATTTTCTGGACCAATCACAGAGCGAAGTAAAGCATAACTAAAAACAATCCCAGATTACTTTCAACACTCAAATGAAAATTGCCCTATGGCCAAGCGCTTTACCCGACAACATACAAGAACTGATTGCTTTCATGTCACCTTTTTGTCTCAGGTTGGACAAGAACGGCCAAATTGTGCGTTTTGCCTTCAGCAACCAAGCGCGAGACTCTGTCGTGCTCAACTCCACCCCTGAGGAGACTGTTCAACTTTACGAAGCTTATCTTACTCTGGGCAAGATGTTAAGAGAACCGGCCAATCAAATAGAGCACAAAATGGTTCCCGGGGATATGATCACCTTCAACAACAGTCGCGTGTTGCATGGGAGATCGGCGTTTACTGTCCAAGGGAGACAAAGTCGGTTCCTTCGCGGCATCTACTTGGATTGGGATATCATGTATTCTCGTATGAGAGTGCTGGCGAAAAAGCTGAATATTCCGCTATCGTACTAAAGCATACTTCATATTCTTGGAGGTAAAACACACATGAATGGCCCTTGAAACATGATCGAGGTGAACAGAAAAAGGAAAGAAACTCATTTCGATTATTTACGGGATTTTTAGGTAATAACTCATGTTTCGATATGAAATATTATTAGGAAATATTTCAACATACTTCGCTGAAGTCGACACACTGAATGCATGTGGCTTTTCGTGAATTTCGTACAAGAAATGTTAGTCGGACTGGAAGCTGTTTTTCCGTGTAGAGATGTAAAATTATATTTAGTCCTGGTTTGGTTTGTAATGGGGGTAGAATGCATCGTGTCATATATATAGCGGGATCAGAGGTTGTAAGAACTTATGCCTAGCCAGAACGTATCCGGTTTGATTGGCTTTAGAATGGGGTAGAATGCATTTTGATATAAATATGGCGAGTCAGAGCTGGAAGAAATGGTGCTGAACGAGGAATTTAAGTTTAGTCCTGGTTTGATTTGGTTTATAATGGATTGAAGGCACCTGTGATGTGGTTTACAGCCTTCGGCATGTACTAAAACTAAGAACACTGGGACACAGTAAGAGAGGAATACTGGAAAACCGGAACATCAGAACACACCGGAACACGCCAGAACATCGGAACACACCCGAACACGCCAGAACACACCAAATGATAGACACCTATTTGTAGCAAAAAAAACAGAAACACAACCGGGGATCAAGTAATTGCCGTAGATCACAATTGCAAACGACATAGTTATACAGTCATTTCTTCACCAACAGACACCCTCGTAATCGGGTAGTTTTTTCCATTCCCATTTTTAAATCCGATCTATATATACTCAGTATTTATTTATTCCCGTAAGTGGACGGTAACTCGCAAGCGGATGCGGACACTTAAAGTGAAAATTGGATTTTTCTTTGTTTACGCTCTCTCGTTCGCGGACACCCATGATAATTGATTCTTGGAAATAAAATTTGTCTTGAATTTGAAAATCAAAAGTCCTTTTCTCTGCTATTTAAACGAGTTACTCGCTTAGCTTACGGTCTCTACCTTCCCTGCATACTATACATGAAGTAAAACTGATGGATTTTACATCCTTTCCGCTCTGAGACAGACCTTCAAGCGCGTTCGCGTACTTATTTCGAGCCTGCGTTCACAGACTACCAGTGGTCGCCCTATAACCGTAAGTACGTCATATACGGCGATCTGCAGCGGGTAACCATCGCTCTTGACTCTCGAAGCCATGAGGCAAAGTTTGGAAACTGGCGGTTCTTGGATCCCTCTCTTTATTCCTTTGTTAGGAATTTTTTCGATTTCTAGTGCACAAAATCATGTCGGTGAAGATTTAGACGCGAAAATCGCTTTTGATTTACCGGGACAACAGCCACCAATCTCGTTTGCGCAATCTACGACAGATCACCCAAGCACGGGATATATTGTCTATTGTCCTTGTATGGGTAAGTTTCCACTGTCTTTTGTTTTGTCTTTCACATGAAACGTCTAGATTTAGGTGACATGGCTTTATGTTTTATAAAGCTCCCGTTAATTTCCCGGATTATAACAATCCTTTAACGTTGTTGTATTTTTCTTTGTACGACTTGTGATGAGATAAATGTATACAAAGGGGTAAGTTTCTATTGAAACTGTGGTGCTGCGTTCGTGGGAGAGTGATAACAAGGAAGTTTGGTATTACTAAATGAGTTGATAACGTAAATTGGCCACCGTAAAGAGTTCGCTTGAAACATCAGCTTTGAAACTCTTAACGATGGTTAATTTACGTTAACAACTCAGTTGATAATACTTAATTACCTTGGTAATGTGACAAGCTAGGCAGAGAGAAGGAAAGTGTAGATAACGCGGTATCTTCATCTCGTTTAGACACAGGGAAAGGTAAATAGGTGTTTGGCTGTGGACTACTGAGGTCAGATTAGATGTTCTCCTTCTTTGGAAATATGATGCTAATATCTGTACAGCTCTAAAGGTTTAAACCTGGAGTTAAAATAATTATCAGACAGCACAGTGTAAGAAAATGTGGGTCATGAGTGACAGATTTGTTTGCGACACTAGCACTTTCACATAGAAAGTTTTGGTCAAAGTCCCATTCTTTACTATCTTAAATACTCTTTGATTTAGCCTCTACCAAAGCACTCTCTGAAAGACCAAAGCTTTTTACATATCTGAAGAGCTTGTTACTCAGAGTCTGTAGTTCTTTTTTCATTTGTCTTGTGAATCACCCAAAGCCTTACATTAACCCTTTGACGCATACGATTAAACAGCATCTAATTTCTCCTTACAATATCTCCTCTGAATCACACATTAAGGTCATGAGAATACAAGAAATGAACACCAACTAAACAAGCTCTTGATTGTTAAACAAGTTCTTCTTCTCAGCATCTCAGGAAATGTTTAGAGAACAGTATGGAGAATATGTATACTGATGTTAGGGTGTTGAGGAAGAAGGTCTTGATTGTTACAGAAATTCTCCTTGTCAGCACCTTAGGAAATGCATAGAGAACAGTATGGAGAATATGCATACTGATATTAGAATGTAAAGGGTTAAGCTTTTGGGAAATAAACTGGGATAAAAATATAACTGTGAAGATTCTCTGAAAAAGCTGAGTACCTTCTGTTGGGCGTGAATGTAAACCGTAAGGTTGAGAAAATAAAGTTTGTTACATTGCTGTTTCTACTGAAGTGTAGCTTATTCTAAATTTATTGTGATGTTTCTCTGTTTTTTTCTTCTTTTCAGGCCGGTTTGGAAATCAAGCTGACCAGTTTTTAGGATCATTAGCATTTGCAAAAGGATTAAATCGCACCCTTGTGTTACCTCCATGGATAGTTTATCCAAGTTATAAAAGAGGTGACTCTGTGAGTTTAATTCTTTATTTACTTGGCTAGTTAAATTACAAGTATTCAATCATCTAACTCCTTGTAAAATGAAAAATTTATGAATTTCTCTCTCTTGTCAATTCCATTAAGAACCCCTGACAACTGAGTAATCTTAAGGGCAAGTGAAAAGCAATGAGTGAAGATAATTTTTTCAAAGTTTTGGGAAGAAAATGTGGAGTGCCGGTTCTTGAAAAATCACAATAACATTGTTGAGTGCTTGAGATTTTCTTGATGTGTGGGCAACCTCCAAAAATTTACCAAAGCAAAAAAAAATTGAACTGTCAAATGAGTTATGAGGGGTTTCTTGAAGATGAATGATGTGTTTTGCAGATACATTCAAAGTAACATATCTTTGATCCTTTTCTTCAAAATGAATTAAGGATTGAATCAATAAAGCACAAGAAATAGTTCTCCTGTTTACCCTTTACATCACTTTATTCAAATAGTACTCCCTGCCCCTTTCCCTTCAGGATCGAGTACCATTTGATGACTGGTTTCTTGTTAAGCCACTTGAAGTATACCACAGTGTTATAACAATGGAAAAATTCATGAAAGACATTGCTCCAACAATTTGGCCACCTGGAAAAAGAATAGGTTGGTATTTGATTATAGATGAGTTTTTTTTTTTAACATTCATTGCAAATTGCGAGGAATATATATTTACAGGGTTATAAGCTCCAAATTTTTCAAAGGTCAACTATTTACCCCTTAACTCCAAATCTCTGGGTTTTTAACTCTCCCTTCTAGCTGTAACACATAAAATTTCCTTTTAGATTAGTTAGGTGAACTTGGTGTTAGATCAAGGTAGCAACTTCTACCTGATAAATTCAAATATTTGCTGGATAATATATGGATATCTTAGGGAGAAGTAAGATGTCAATCACCTCTTGGAGTTTGAGGGTTTCAGAGGGTTTAGTGCCCCATAAAGACATTTTATGTAGCAGCACTTGTTTTGTGCTGTGTAAAAAGCAAACAGTGTTCTTGTAACGAGAAAATTGATGGTGATGATTCTGTCTCAGGCTTCTGCTACTCATTCCGAGATGGTCAGAAGTGTGAGATGAAGCAGGGAAATCCCTTTGGACCTTTCTGGAATCACTTTCATATTGATTTTGATGATTATCAGGAACATTCTGGCTTGTTGTGGGACACAGAACAAGAATGGGCTAGAGTTGGATGGAACACAAGGTACATGTATCTCACCAAAATGTGTCATTGTACTTTGAAACTTAGTTCATTTCCTTTCTTTTTTTTCTGTTTTTAGCAAATACCACTATGATAATTATTAAGCTACATTTTGGAAAACTTCCAAAACAATTACCAAAAAATAGGACAAAATATATTGCAAAAACTTTTTTTACTAATAGTAACCTGGCAAAGGATACAGTTTAAATCAATACAAATATTTATCCAATATCCTTCACAGTCAGGTGCATAAGAAAGTCAAATGGTTTTAACTACTTTAAGGGCTTAAATTTAATTTCACGGAGTGGTCTTGTTGACAAGAAAATATGCAAGCTATGAGAAATTGAAGTAAAAACAGGCAAACTACCAAAAATGTGGGAAAATGCTGGTGACTGAGTCATGATTCCTCTTAGTGTTGAGTCTGATTGGTTGAGAGGATGGTGAAAGTTTTCTAGACAATGGTAGAACATGGTAAAGCAGACTTATTCTGGAACACTTTCTATACTTAATTAAAAATTGCTTCTTGAGTCATGAAAGGGTCATGATCGTTATTTGGGGGAAGTGTGAAGAAGGGTGTGCCCATTACTCTCCTTTCCAACTGTCCTGTCCAATTAGAAGTTCTCCTTTCTACCTGTTAATTTATTTTTGATTCATTTTTTCTATCGTTTTTCAGATTTCCAGAGTCAGAGTTTCCAGTGCTAGCTCTGATGGGAGCACCAGGAGCTTTCCCTGTACATTCACAAAACAGATGGTTACAAAAGTTTGTCCAGTGGTCGACTAAAGTTGAAAATACAGCTAAGGAGTTTATTTCTACTGTACTGAATAATGAACCTTTTGTTGGTATTCATTTACGAAATGGAATTGACTTTGTGAGTGAGACCAGACAGTAACGGTCTAGTTTAAAAATAAGACTACTTTATGCTAATTACAGGCCTTTTAGAGGAATTTTGTCAGTGTTCTATTGCATCAACGTTATTATCTGAGAAACTACGCACCAACCCTTCCTCTAACAAAACAACAGTCAACTGATAACGAGTTAGGGTTATTGTTAAGTTAGGGGAGGGTAAGTGCACAGTTTCCCAGATAATGACATTAATCCACACTATTTGTAGGCAGTCAAAGGAATTGTACGAGTCTGCAGAGCAAGTAAAATGTCAATTCCGATATCTTTCCATTTATATTATTTATGGAATAGGAATTAATTAACTATCTAGGTCTGGGCTCATCTTTCAAACTGAAGCGCTAAAAAGATTATTTCGTACACTGTCATCATTTCCCGTATTACTTCTCTACAATGTACCACAATGTACGAACCCAATGAAGTTTTGAAACATTTTACACTTATGATATCGTGCGAATCTTCTCTTTACTCAATGGAACTCGTTCCTTGTTAGATTATTGTGACCCATTCAGTTATACTCTGTTAGCGACAAGTGATCCCACTTCCGTCCCCCCCTGGAAATCATGTAACCCTTCTCAAAATCCTCCGCCCCCCCCCCCCCCCCAACCCCACCCTGGCTATAAGTAATGAATGATCCCCTAGTTTCCGTTTTCTACCTTAGTAACCACCATTATATTTTTGGTTCGTCTAAAATAGTTCTTAAATGTAATAAAATCATCTTTATGTTCAGGAAAGAGCTTGCGAACATGTTAAGGATGGAAGTACCTCCTCCTTCTTTGCCTCGCCTCAGTGTGTTCAACCTGGCTCCAAAGACAAGCTCACACATCAAATGTGCCTACCACTGAAGAGTGAAATCCTCAAAAAGACCAAAAAGGTGGCGAAGAAAGCTAAGGCAACAAGAGTGTTTGTGGCAACGGACAATGATCCAATGATTAGAGAGCTCACAGAAGCATTGAAGTCTTTAAAGGTAACAACTTGAACATTCTCGACAAAGTCGGGACGAAATATATTGAATCAATGACAGATGAAGTGACTTATTAGAGAAGAAGGCTTCCTTTTTAGTTTGCAATGGTTTTTTGTTCATGGCTCTTTTTGATCGGCCTTCTAAAGTCAAGCCATCCTCTAAACCAATCAGATGCAAAGCTAACATCAATAACGGCTCGTTAGTTTCCTACGAATTCCTGTCGTAGTAAGGGGGGGGGCTCACATCATGGCTATGAATCAAGTGAAAGGGAAAGGAATAGAAATAAGCATTGGAAGAATCTTACTATAGGTTATACATTGTCCTTTTACGAGCACGCCTCATTTATTATCATCCCTTCAAGATAACCGCTCCCTTTTGACCTTATGAAGGGAGCGGGAGAGCTCTAAAGATTTTTCGTTTTTGTCTGTGGTAGCCGTTACCGGTAATCAAACTCCTGAACCTGGCTGTTCATCCCAGCTGCTTTTATGTTAAAGTGTTTATCTCTGGGTTCTTCCAGGTTCTTTGCTCTTTAAAACCTGGGTCCATTCGAAATGTCAGCTGTAAACAGGGCTTTTCTTGATAATAATTTTCGAATGTGTTGTTGTGTTTGTCTTTTCAGGTGTCTGTACACAGAAGGGAACCTTCAGATGAAGTTAATGATCCGATACTGGACTTGGCAATCCTTACCATGTCGAATCACTTTATAGGCAATTGTGTGTCAAGCTTCACTTCGTTTGTGACTCGCTATCGTGAAGTCAATAATAAACCAACCTCATTTTGGGCTTTTAAAGATAAATAGCAAAACTAAGAAAAATCGCTTTTTTTTTCGTTTCTGTATGAGGTTGGTTTTGAGATCAAAGAATTTTTACATCTTGACAGTGTTGAAATTACTGCTGCTGCCAGAGTCCTTCTTTTATTAGATTTCTCGATTGTCTATGAATTAACTGCAAATGGTGTTGTAAACTAATCTCGATATGCACAGCCTCTCAGTTTTTCGTGGCACATTGTAGTTTCAATTGTAACTTAGTATAGGATATTTATAGATAGGGAATATTACAGAAACAAATTTCATTTGAATAAAATTTCCTTTCCAGAAATCGTTTTTTTTCCCCACGTTATCAGCTATACTCGAATTTGAATTTGCGCCCGTTTTCGTTCAGTTCCGTCTTACCTCGGACACTTTAAGGACTGTTCATACTTTTATCCGTTTTGGGCGGTTGCGTCCATTTTCACATATCTTCGGGGCGATTTGGGACACTTACGTTCATTTTCGAACGATTTAGTCCGATCTCGTACTCTTACGAACGTCTACGGAGGGTTCCGTCCCTTTTCCGGCACATCCTGCTCGCTTCCGAATGGTCATGGTCCCATTGAAATGACTCCAATCGCTCTGTCGAGGGGTTAACGATCGAAACGTTGGCTTTAGAATCTCTAAACGGGGGAAAGGGTAAAAAACAGGGAAACCGGAAACTCATTTAGAAACTGCTGAAAAAAAAAAAAAAAAAAGAAAAGAAAAGAAAAATCTAACCAACATTGCCCCCACTGCCTGGGGGAAAGGAAAGAGGAGACTTCAAAGAGAAATCCCTGAAATAATTTCTATCCATCACACCCATAATCAATTTAAAATGACACTCACTGATTCACGTGGAACCGAACACGGCAGGCTGAAGTATAATAGAATCGAATTATACAGAATTACCTACTCTCTTGCACTCGAAACCCGTCAGTCACGCAAAGGAGGTCACGTAAGACTTCCGCAAATAAATGATACAAACCACAACGCTTCAAAATAAAACAAACAAGCGAACAAAAGCACACAATATTTTTCAAAGGCAAGTATAATCGCGAATAGCATCATTAAATATGGTGGCCATGACCTGCCTGGACCAGAAACGCAGAACGCCACGCAATCAAGTGTGACATCATGAATTTTATACATTTAATACATTATTCTACCCTCCCACCCCCAAATTACCGTTATTCCATGTGTCTCGTACCCAGATCGTAATTAATTGTTAGCATGTTATCTCTCCTTCGAAAGCGGTCGGGTCTAGAGTAAGCTGAAGTTTTACTTTATGATTTTTTACACAGTTTTACGTCATACAAATATTGCTTTGTACTTTATAGCGATCGAATATGGATCCAATCACACTCACAAATGTGTAGTTGATGTTTTTCCTTACATACCCACCTATCCCTCTATGTTTTTCGTTTTTTTTATTGTTTTGTTTTGAATTTTTTTTTTCAGACTTTGTTTTGATTTGTTTTGGTTTAACATTCATTTCTTCCGTCCTAGTTTTCGCCGTATTAGAAACTCGCCGCCAAATCCCTTATTCAAGTACGCTGCTTTAATAGCTTTAAATTCATCTTCTCGTGATGTGGTATATGGCCGGCCGATGGTGACCTCATCGTTGCGGGAAAAATAATTCGGTTGATTAATGCTGATTAGCACCTGGTTCAAATTGTCGTGTTGTAAAACACGTACGGCTGACACGAAGAGCACGAAAGGATCTAACGTCACCTCCTTAATTATTTATAAGTTTTATACAATAGACTGTTTTTGATCGGAGAGTCGCTTCTAAATATTGATTACCATTTATTTTCCTATAAAATACGTTAGACTGAGCTGGGTTATTTCAAGAAGAAAGGTTAAGTTTAAGTCGCTTATCCCTGGCAAATGTTAAATTCTGCTGACGTCTTTCGTTTCACGTATTCCGTTTTCTAGTAATTTCCGGTCGAATACATCAATATTCATCGAATACCATCTCCCGCCAAAAGGTGCCTCACCCTTAGCAACAGAACAAAACATCACTAAATATAGCATCGATGAACGTCAGGCTTCTGTTTGACGCGTTCTGATTGGTTGCTACTTTACGACACGTTTATTCTAATACATAACCACCCCTGACGTAATGAACGCTGATTGGCCGACTGCATCCGAACGATCTCGATTTCACAATCGTGACGCTCTTCAACGTCTATTCATTCACGAAACTTCAATCGACTATATCGTGTCGAAGTTTCGTCGTTGAAAAATTTAAATTTAACCGGCAAGGTTACTCATCTATTCGATTCATAACAAACTTGTCGAGTGTATCATACTGTTGAGCACTTCTCTACGAACATGGATTGCGAAGCAACAAGAATTCTTCAAGTATCTCTGTCGAAAATAACGGACTCTCGCCGTCGGCGTGGCGGTCCTGTACTACGACGTAATTTATTAGTTTCCCACGTCTTAAACAACGTGTTAACCTCGACAGACTCAGCTTATTGTACGTACAGATCGAAAGTGGAGATAGATATGGACATAGATGCTGTTGAAAACGAGCTTGTGCCTTTTGATAAATCGAAAATGACGCCCAATAACCCAGCTGGACCTGACGCAGGAAATGCGAAACATACAGTGCGTTCCGCGGCAAAATCAAATGAAAAAGTCACGGAAATGGAACAAAGCGTGCCTAGCGAGGACAGGAAGGAAAGCGTAGAGCTTATGAACCTTGAGAAAGCCTTAATAGGCGATAAAGAATGTGAGAAAGTCAGGAAAACCGAACTTAAACGTGTCACTGGTTCGAAACGGCTGCGATCTTCAGCGTATGGTAATGAACCTTGTGACAGCCACGCGGTTGACAACAAACGTTTGAAAACTGAAAGAAATGAACTGCCAAAAACGGAACCGTCTCATCAAGAACCCATGGACATATCAGGACTTGTTAATGTGTTCAGTAGTAGTTTTTCTGGACTATCTAGTATTCCTAGAGCAACCCCTTCGCTCAAGTCAAGTTTGGACTCCTTTCAATATATTTCTCCCCCTGTTCAATCAGTTGGCGGTGTATTCGGCTGGTCGCAGACCATCGTTGAAGCCTTTTAGTTTAGTTTTCATTTCATATTTCCAATTTTTTTCTTGTTTCAACATATTTGCCTTTGTTTATTGCTGCCGTGCAACCACTGGCGACCGTTTGCAGCCATGCTCGTGCAAATGTTTTGGTTATGATGAAGCCAACTCATTTAAAACTTACGTAATAGCTTTTGTGATAACTATCTGTGGTTGACCTTTTCTACTTCATACTTAGTAAAAGCGATGGTAGGTTATATGATCTGATGCGTTATTTTTCAAGTATTCAGAGTTCATAGTCGCTAATTTGTATTCTGACCGTTTTGTAAGAGTTCAGTAAGTTTGCGTGCCTTTTCGCTGGCCCTTTGAAAAGTGTTTTCTAAAAGCTTTGAACATTTTTATAGCATGAACCTAGTTAAATCACTGTGCATCTGCTATATTTTTATTCATCTTTTGAGGGAGAAAATTATGAAATATTTGCTGAATGTGTATAAATTGGTGGAATATGTCGTGGCATGACACTGAGGTTTGATAACGACTGTGTAAATAACAGAGTTCTTTCTATGAAATTCATGTATACGAAAGAGAAATATTATATAAGAGAAATAAATATTTTGAAAGAATTATCTGTTACTGGTCGTTTGTGCGAAGAAAGTAGCATTCAACCGTTGGGTACATGTACAGGATATTTGCATCATCATTGTGTTCGTGGGATCAAAGTAAGGATGCTAGATTCTAAAATTAACCCCTCGCTGCAGATCACATGCTTGGAAGGTCAAGTTCGGCATTGTTCGGCTTCTGTTTACATTACGTCATCACCATATTCGTGACCTTCTACGGAAGTTATGCTAATTGTAAAATGCCTCGGACATTTGCCCTACTGAGTGAGACTAACAGGATTTATTTGAAATAATGATTTTTGGAATTTTTAGGATATTTTCCAAACTAGTAGAGTTTTCAGAATATTTCTATATATTGTCCTCTGAAATATCAAGATAGATAGGTGATCATTTCAATCATGCAAACATATGTAACACTGGCTGAAACCAGGAGCCCATTATTAAGTAATGGGCTGCTGAAACCCAGTGTACTTCAATTTTCTTACTTCCCTTTTACGCTTTTTTTGGCACATGGAGCTCTGTGTATTGTTACTGGTATGCATATCTTTCCTTCCTCATCCTTGAATAAATATTTTCCTATTACATATACGCCCTTATATGGATCTCTCACACTTTCTTTCAAATCATTAAGTAGTGTACAGATGTAAATCAACACTACCTTAAAAACAAGAAACAGAGCTGCCATCCTAAAGGAAATAAAAACTTATCAAAGTCAAGGATCCAATTTGAAATCAAGGAGCCTGCAACAAAGGGTTTCCCCTAATTCCATCTCTCTGTGTTCCATTTTTTTTTCTCATGCTTCTCCCCATTACAGGCATGGGATAGGGACATCCTGTAAACCCTTTGAACCCCAGGAGTGACCAGCATTTAATTTCTCCTTACATCAATACTTCTGAATCATTCATTAGGAACATGAGAATAATGGAAATGATTTCTAACCTATGAAGCTTTGATTGTTAAATAAATTCTTCTTGTCAGCACTAAAGGAAATGTATGGAGAAGAGTATAGAGAATATGAGGTATAAAGGGTTACAAAACATATTAAGACAACTGAAATTTGTGACAAATCAAAGAAACTTACTGAATTGTGAACTTGAGAGGAACAATTGAATAATCGCTATTAGTCGCAAATCAATTTTAGAACAGTGTTATGGTTGCAGGAAAAATTCATTTTAAGTTTCCTGTTTGTTCAAATTTTATTGCAGTTACAGCCTCGTGTAGATACTGAGAACATCTTTTTCAAACGGTGATTCTGAGAGGATATCATTGTTAACAAAAACATATGTAATTTAATTCTTAATTATTTGTAATTAGATCCAGCCAAGCAGCCTAAACTTCCTTTGACTGAAAACCTACTCCTTGCCAGGGAAGTGGGGGGAGGGGGGAGTAAGGGAGGTACATGGATCGATTTTTTCTGGGTATATGCAAGTGGCCACTCAGAACCCATACCCCATATTCTTTGCCCAACTATAGACCCTGTCTTAGTCACCTTTGGTAATACAGTAACAAATTTTGAACTGTGAATCTTCCCATTTTTGAATCTCTGCTTACCAGAATTTTCTTTCCCTAAAAATCCCAAAAATGTGTGACCCCACTCTAAGAACTCTTATAAAAGTGTGACCCCATATTGGTGAATCAAGTGATGAAAAGTGCAACCCCATCCAGCAGCACTTCCCCCTTAGTCTATTACAAGGAAGACCCCCCAATCCTTGTCTCAGAAGCAAATGGTGCTCTGAATCAGAGTCACCTGTGATCACTCAATGATCTTTTCTGTCACTTTTTCTAAAAACTTGGTGGCCATTGACTTTACTATAAACTTTGATAACATTTATTTGCGATCATTTATTATATGATTTCCTTTCTACCTCATGGTATGGTTTCATGCGTTGATCAATTCAAGGCTTCAACATTCCTCCCAGGCAACTCCCAAGGCAATCAAACCTTTGTAGATTGGTTTGTTTAAAATCCCACTCCATGGGGAAAACTTTGTGTTCCAACATCCCACCTAAAGTTTTGTGTAACGGGCAAAATCAGCAACAGTGCATGATGAGCTTTGCCTCGGAAAAAAATTTTTCTGCAAATTACCTGGCTGCACATTCAATGTTAAAAATAACCCTCAGGTATACACTACCCAAGAGGGTATAGGAGAGATTAAGAATAACCCTCAGCAGGTATACACTACCCAAGAGGGCATGCAAGAGACTAAAAATAACCCTCAGGTATACACTACCCAAGAGGGTATAGAAGAGATTAAAACTAACCCTCAGGTATTCACTACCCAAGAGGGTATGCAAGAGATTAAAAATAACCCTCAGATATACACTACCTAAGAGGGTATAGAAGAGATTAAAAATAACCCTCAGGTACACACTACCCAAGAGGGTATAGAAGATATTAAAAATTAATCCTCAGGTATACACTACTCAAGAGGGTATGCAAGAGATTTAAATAACCCTCAGGTATACACTACCCAAGAGGGTATGCAAGAGATTAGAGGTTATCCTCAGGTATACACTACCCAAGATGGCACGAAAAATTGAATTCCCACTTATTTATATCAGGAGACCGCTCTTTGTCTGGACTCTTTCTTTTGACTGAAAGTTGAGGCATCCACCATTAACTTATATAATTATTATCCTTTACTAATTCTCGAATGTCTTTGTCAAGCTCGGCTATTCTTGACTGACATCATTGCAATTTCCCATGATATTTCGACTGGAGGCGTTCCCCGCCTAAAGTGTACGGTCGAGGGCGGTTTGATTTACCGCATCAACAATAAGATTATATTTTGAGACCTTGCGAATCCATCTCCCTGTATAATTAATCCGGCACAGAGACCAATTGAAGATATAACATGCATGTTATTTGGTTACCTGGCGTTGAACGAACAGCCTTTGTTGGCGCGCTTGAGACCTGCTGGCGGGACAGACCGTATTGTGGTCATCGCGGAATCGACGAAACAATTCGTTCTTTGCAAAAGCTTTCGGCCTGATTTCACATTAACTTTTCGTTAGCACATACCAGGACTTTTTGGGGTCGAGATTGGATCCCGTAACTATAGAAAGCTCAGCCGAACGATCGAAGACTTCAGTCTCCATGATAAGATCGCGCCAAGTGATTTTAATGCCAGATTTCTTGTGTTTTCGTAATTGAAATTCGAGCATAGATGTAGTATTAATAATTAGGTGAACCTTTAACTTATAATCAACAGGTTTAAGTAACCGCACAGACACCTACCGAACGCAAACGTTGTTGTAATTCTCTACACTGATGACAGAAATATAGCGCCTCCGTAGAGTGCATGCTGCGAATTTTTTTCGGGGCCAAAGCTCCTCGTGTTTCACTCATTAAACAACCTTTAAAAAATAAACCTTGCAGACCTTTTCCTCTGAGACATTTCCCTCGCGAAAGTGAACTATTCGCCTAAACACCTCCGTATTTAAAGACATAACACTTATAATCTTTTGGAAAGACATTTCCGGGCAAAGTTAAAATTCTCCTCCTCTTGGGCACGGACGACGGTCAAATGCGCGCGGGTGGCCTGAGGCTTCGAATTGATCGGTGCATTAGCCTTAGTATGAGGTTAAGTTATGGACCTATAATTCACTCTGTCACTCCATTTTGATATATTCATGCATTGAACTTGGATTAAGCCCCACCGCCACCCTTCCTAGGTTTCGTCCTGTCCCCAGAGTCGTGCTACTGTCTCCCATTTAAATATCTGAGGGGTAGGGACAAACGCGGAAATTTTTATGTGGGCACATGGAGAGATCAATATTAATACTTATTATATATAGCTGTCGTGTCAGGTTAGAAGCTAAATTTATGAAGGTGATTTTCCCTTCCTTTCGCTTCATCTTTCAGTTAAAGTACAGCCTTGTAGATCCCCCCAACTAAGAGGAAATGTGCGCGAGATCGAAAAAAAAAGGGCTTCAAGGTCTTAAAAGAGATGATGACCTCAGTCAGAATGATAGATGGTTATTTCATCAGATACATCACTTTATTTGAACAACTAGGAATCGATCAAGCGCAGGAAAAAGGCAGGATGTGGAATGTACACTTTACCAGCTGGAAAATGGGTAGGCTTTGCTCCTCCTATTGCATTTTTTTACAAAACCTGCAGAACAGATAACTAGCAAGGACCTGACCACCATCTTTTCAGGCCCTTGCCATGGAAAATTATGTTGGCTGCAACTAGACGTTATTTTGTTGTTATTGGACTAACTTTGGAAGTTGATGTAGAAAATAAGCATGAGCCTGTTGATGACGTCATTAGGACACGCCTAATGTCACGCAACCCAAAACAAAAAGTGAACAATTCTACAAAAGCATATGTGACGTTTTCAGTGGTGTCTTTTTATCTGCCCTTTCTTCCGAGGAAACTCAAGCGTGCATCTCAACCTCTCTCTCTCTCTC